CAGCCCCCTAGGTTGCTCTGGACTGATGGCTGCTGCAGACCTGCCTGACTCGAGCCGCATCGTCTATGATTGTCCACCTCAGGCCCTGAGCTCCTTCTTCTCTTGGATTCCTCTGGACTGTTGCTGCAGACATGAACATCAGTCTCACTGACATTAATAACATAAAACTAGAGTTGACTACTATTAGGCCTGCTGACTGTAATCACATTAAATTAATTTAACATTGTCCATAATTACTCATATCCTAACCCTGTAAACTGAATTCATTTTGTTTCACCATTACATGAGCTGTTGTTGTTGTTGTTGCTGCTGTCCCCTGTCTCTCTCTCTCTCACTCTCGTTCTCTACTCTCTCTCCCTCCTTCTCCCTTACTCATTCTCTCTCTTCATCCCCTTATCTTGTTCTCTCTCTCTCCCCCTGCCCTCTCCCTTGTTCTCTCTCTCTCTCCCTTGTTCTCTCTCTCTTGCCCTCTCCCCTCTTCTCTCTCCCTTTCGCCCTCTCCCCTCTTCTCTCTCTCTCCCTCTCCCTTCTTCTCTCTCTCTCTCCCCCTGCCCTCTCCCCTCTTCTCTCTCTCTCTCCTTCTCTCCCTCCATCTCTACATTCCTCCCCAACCCAGCAGCGGCATGGTGGCTATCTGGCATGAGTCTGGTCCTGCTCAAGGTTTCTGCCTGTTAAAAGGAAGTTTTTTCTTGCCACTGTTGCTCATGTTAGATGAGATGGGCCAAAACCCATCTTAGGTTGATTCTTGATAATTCATTAAACAATGAGTGTGGTCTAGACCTGCTCTTGTTCTTTGAAAAGCGTCTTGGGATGACGACTGTTGTATATAAATAAAATTTGATTGATTGATTGATTGATTGGTACACATCATAGTAGCACTTTCTCATTCCTCTGAACAAATTACAAATGCTCTTGGACAAGTATCAGTTACTTTCATATAATTCTCTGCTCTTTGATCACATAATCATTTGCTTATGTCATGTCAGTCAAAATGAACTATACTTATGAATGCTGAATAGTCATTCCCTATAAAACTTATAGTCCTAATTTCATTGCTTGAGTCATTACATACCAAATTGTTAAACTAGTTGTCAAAATCTGTCAAGCTGAATTCATACATTGCTTTATCATTTTTTTCCCCTGAAAATGTCTCCTAAATTGAACAATTGCTCTTAGGTGATCCTCAGCTTTCACGCATGAGGAGGTGTGTGAAGCATTACTTGTAACCAATGACAAGTCACTTGTCCACAGTCACTCAGAGCTGAATCCCTTGAACCCTTCACTTGGCAAGCATATATAAACCAAGCATGAGATAGTGTGTACCATTTCTACAATTCTGTGACACAAAAATGGATGGTCAGCGTTATGGAGGAGGGCTGAGAATGCGGGGGAAAGAGGAAAAACAGGGACGGAGGAAGAGGAGGTGAAGTACATAGGCAAATCCCTGATGAAATTATGGTTATATATTGTTTACATTTGTGCAAAGTTCTACCAAAATGCCATTTCTTATCTTTGTTCTAAATAAGTGACTGTGAAATTTTTGTTTTGTTTTGTTTTTTTGCACAATGCTGTAGAATTGCAAAGAGCATATGCAGTAAATATGTAACACATACATGTGTCTTGTACTCAGTTACCTCACTATATACAGTAATGTGTAACTTTAATGTAGTTTTCAAATGGCTGTACAATTAGTGTTAAGTCCTGTCTTGGGCATTTTCAGGTAGTTTCATCAAGGTTTGACTTTTTTGCATTGGAAAACAGAGAGAGTGAACTGTCATAATGAAAACATGACAAAGCCATTTGACTGTCTTGTTCATAAACAATGGTGTCAGGACTTATTTTGATGACACAGACAGTTTCATTGACATGGATACTTGCTTTTGAGAAATCAACTATTAATTTTGAGCAAGTGACACACTTTTGCAGGTTATCCACTAGGTTTTGCAGTTTGTACCAATTGTTCTGAGAAATGCACCAACTGATGTGCAAATGTTAATAAGGATGTGAGAAATGCACCAAAGCGACTGAGAAAAACTGTAACAAAAAGAAAAAAGAAAAAAAATCTGTTTACAAAGACCCACTTTAAAGATGGGATTAGACCGAGCCCCATCCTGTAAGATCAGACCCACTCTGATCCTATCTTCAACCACATGAATGAAACACTGTACAGCATTTATCAAGTTACAGTGGAGAGGAAGAACTTCCTTTAACAGGCAGAAACCTCAAACAGAACCAGACTGATGTTAGACAGTCATCTGCTGAGACTGAGACTGAGCTTGGTTTCAAGAGGGGAGAGAGATGGACAGAGGAGAGATTGATGCTCATAGTTGAAGCAGCTGTAAAGCAGACAGGTCCTCAGTAGCGAAAGATCTTTAGCAGTGATGAGTATTAGTGACTCTAATGGGACATGATGATTCAAAATTAAAGACACACACAGAAACTCTGCTGGGGTTTGATCTAACTGCCACATTATGGAGTTAAACAAAAATGGAAGGACCCAAAATGCAAAAAAAGGAACTCAAAGAAAAGCAACAAAAACTTGCTTAGAAAATGTGCAACTCAAAAATCCAAAAGGGCAAAAACCAACAGAAGGCACTGGGGGGAAATCCGCAAGAAGACACTGAAGTCACACAGAGAAACATCAAACACAGAGGCATGGACATACAACAATGAACCGACAAAGAAACAAGGGAAGATGAGGTCTATATATGCACACACAGGGAAACGAGCAATGAGAGGCAGGTGAGACACTGAGACACAGGTGCAGACAATTACTAAGGAGGGAAAACTGAGGAAGTAAAACAAAACTAGAAACACAGGGAATAAGCTACTACAAAATAAAACAGGAAACACTGAAAACTGATAATAGACAATGAAACAATGAGAACATGAGGGAAAAAGGGTCAGACACAAAATGAAGACTCACAAGACAAGACTACCAGGGAACAGGAGCAATAGGGAACAGAGACACTGGGGAAAATGCACTCAAATCACAGAAAAAAAATCCTTAAACAGAACATATCATGACACTAACACAAGAGGACTAAAACTGACAGTTCACATACAGCCCTAAAAAAGTTTCTGTTATGCAATCTTTCATGTTGTCTTTGTTTTCCACGAACTTTTAAATGCAGAACATTTTGCAACCCGAGCAGCTGACTTGTTGGTTTGCTAACACTACTTGCATGAAGTGAATGACATCAGGGGAAGGATAAAAAGATAAGATCTAAGATTATTTACACCCCAAATACTGAAATGTCTCAAAACATGAAGAACTTTAAACGTAAGTCACATCATTGCCTGATGCATCAGTAACTAACATTTGTGAACCAGCAAACCCACAGCCTTGCGCTAACTTCAGAGACCTTTATGGAGCTTTTATTTACTCCTTATAAACATGAAACAAAAATAATGACCTTCAACTATCCCTTCTTTACTTTCTCTCACATAACACTAAGAAAAAATGCAAATAAACCAAACATACAGTATTTAATGATGCTGATCTTTGCAAAGGTGATCAACAGATGAAAGCACAATGTGGAGGTGCTTTGACCATGACACTTCAGTGCCAAAATGTCTCTTCAACACTTAGCAACAATGAGCTTATTTCTCAAAATTAAATTTCAGCTTCATTACTCAAGATGTCATCTTCATTCTTGGTATTTTGACCCTTTTCTTGCATCATACTTACAAAACAATCTTTTCCTCTGTGTCTGCTGTCCTCGGTCCTATACCTCCATTGTAAACCTGCCCCTGAGTTTGCTATCAGTGAATCCTGTGTATATCCACCCCTGTCCTACTGTTTCTCCTTCTGAATGGCCCTGTTGTAGTTTGTGTTTTCAATCATTTAACACCTTTTTTTCTAACTCTGTCTTTTTATGTATTTATTTTTTTGTTATTTATAGTTTTTTTTATTTTATTTTGCACATTAGTCTGTTTCCTCTCTTAAAACGTTTGCCCTTGTGGTGAAACCACAGTGCCTCTGTTTGGTTGCTTCTTCTCTTCAAAGATTTATTGTAGCCATGTTGATTTCTTACTTTAAGTTAATCCCACAAACTGTTTCAACAATCAACTCATCTCATCCAGAGCAGGTTCCTGCTTATTTGCATGGGTCTGGGCCCATGCTTTGCATTTCATATTATTTCCCCTGACTTCTTCTGCCAAGGCCGAGCTACCACCCAACACTCCCACTGGCCCCCCTTCTCACGGTCAGTCCCTTTGAGTCTCTCTCTCTCATTATGAAGTGTTAGAAAGTTGCTGAAGTGAGAAATGAGCCTGCAAAAGCTCGTTGTCCTAATTAAACTTTGACATAAAGAGTGACAAGACGCAATGAAGGGGAAACAATAGCAGACTGTGCAAGAGTGCAAGTCCGGAGAAAGCAAGCAGCTTTGTCCCCAAGAACAAAAGGATTTGTTTGCATGTGTTCAACTCCATTCAACTTCACCAGGCCCAGGTGCAAAAACCAACTTTGGGAGGAACATCACAACTCATCACACCTTTGCATGGTTGATGAACAGTCTGCAGTCACTCTAAATAGGCCAACAGAAACAGATCAAAGCTGCAGTGTTGCGATGTAAATATTGTGCAACAGAATTAATTCAGTCTCATTACTTTCATTGCGCAGGCTCAAAGACAGGCAAAGTATTCAGTATGCAAAATTTACCCCTTTCTTTCTGCTGCTGGGTCTCTGCCACAAAGCAGAGTGCTCACCACTACCTCAGCACATACAATAAAAAATAAAATGTACTGCTTTATTTACTACTGTGGTGACTAATGATTATGGTGCCTAACAGCCATGTCTACTATATCCAAAAAGAAAGTAGCAGATAAAGACGCCTTTTCCCACACTTTTGGCAAGGCATTAAATGCTGCTGCAGGTTGTTGCTAAAGTGAAGGAACACTCAGATATGGGCCTTTGGTTGTGGGCTGGGGCGGAGTTGGGCTCTCCTCTGTGCTGAGAGGAGGGAGGAACTCCACATTCTTATAAAAGCCGGTGGTGGGGCCGATAGTGCTGCGGAGAGTAGACGGAGCTGACAGACTGGTCCTCTTTACTGAAAGTAGAATGGCCCAGAACGGAACAACAGAGAATGGAGTGGCCGACGACATGCCTTTCCCCCAGCCTGTCAAAGTCCAGGACATCAGGCACACCAAGGTGAGGCGCACGTGGAGAGGTTTGAAGTCCTTGACAGTACAGGTTTTACTTTTAATGTGTGTTACTGTAACTTGAGCTCTCGTGGTAGTAAAGCCCCTAAATGTCTCACCCTCCACAGATTTTTATCGACAATGATTGGCACACATCCAGCAGAGGAAGGACGTTTCCAACTTTCAACCCAGCAACAGGTGTCAAAATCTGTGATGTGGAAGAGGCAGACAAAGTAAGAGTGCTGCTGCCTTCACGTTCATTTAACAAGAAAATTAAAAAATAAATAAATAAATACATTCAACTTAGAAGTACGATTTTGTTAGTAGCCTATAGTACATTTGAGCAGTTTTAGTGAAATAAGTCTTTATTGTTCTACAATAGATGGGCCTAAATAAAGAAATAAATAATCAGGGTAAGTTTTGCGCTTAGTAACACAGCATCTGTAGGGTAGACTGCTAAACTCCTGTTTACTTCACGGTAATATCAATTTATGATAAATAGAGGTAGGTCCAAAATTTAGTAGGCTATTTTACTCTTCTCTGTGTAGGATATCTGCTGAACTAGACTCACATTCTGACTGGTAAACTGTATGTAGTGATATTCTTGTCCTAACATTGCTCACCCTCCCTCTGCGTCATGTCTCGGCGCAGGAGGACGTGGATAAGGCGGTGAAGGCAGCGAAGTTGGCCGGGAAGAGAGGCTCACCATGGCGAAGGATGGACGCGTCCAGCCGGGGGAGGCTGCTGCACAAACTGGCCGACCTGATGGAGAGGGACCGGCTGCTACTGGCAGTGAGTTCACCTTTCTATACCGTCTTTAAAAAGGCTACATAATCTACATTAATACATTTAATCCTTACAAAAACCCAGCAGGTCCTTTGGCCTCAAGTCAAGTCAAGTCAGTAACATTAGATTTAACACAGGCGTCATTCACGTAGGTAGGCCAGGTATATTTGCTAAATATTATTCATCAGAAAATATTAACATTGAAACGTGGAAAAAATCCCTCTATAAGTAATGCACATTATTGGATAACTCATTAAAGTATGGAGAAACCTGCTTACTTTGAACTCTTAACTGAAGTGATTGGATATTTTTGCAGCATGATTTGTCAGTATTACTCTTTGTGTATTTGTGTACACAGAAGTTATTGCTGTAGGTATTCATCAAAATACACCACTACAAGCCAAGTATAAGGGCTTCATTGACTGTGAGGAATAAAAGTGGATGAGTGGGCATCAAGTAGAAATTAGTAAGTTTCTTAAAACAAATCGCAGTACTTATTTCAAGGATTTGTGCTTAGAGCTATCAGGTCTATGTGGCTTACAGGGTATTTTGCAAAAAGTTTTTTTTTTTCTGATGTGGACATTGTCCAATCAGCTGACTGCCATGCAGTTTACAAACATGTATGTTTTATATATATATTTTTTCACAAAATTTGTTTTTTAATCCACATAAAATACTCTAGTAAAATAACTCAAAAAGTACAAGTGCACATAAAAGTAATATGTTACAGTAATGTGAGTGAACGTCATCATTTATTTTCCACTGCTCAATGAACAATTATTATAAAAAAATGGAGAAAGTAGTACAGGAAAACAGTATAAAATGTCTACATGTTTGATAAGCGATAAAACTCACTGCATTGGCAGATATTTTTACTCATCCCAAACTATTTAGGACTTATTTTGAACCCATAGTATCTTTAAATAAGATCTGCTGTAAAGTCGGTTGTGAAATCTTATTGTGATGATATGTTTTGATCAGAAGTAAAGCACACTTTCTGAGACCAGAGTTTTTGCAGCAATGTTCTTTGTACACTAATAAGGATAAACAAGATCAAATATAATAACCTTGTCAGCAGTCATGCTGGTCATTTCTGATGACTTCTTTACTGAGAAAAGTGCATTTTAGTTTAACCTAAATAGTAAGGGTGTAAATGTAGTAAGCTTTATCACAAAACTTCATTCATGAGACTGATGTAAGTAAAAATAAAATGAAACCAACCCCTTCACTTTCAGCCAAGTAGTGATAAGACTTCATAAGTGATGTAAGAAGATCTAATCTGGCCAGCATGAAGCAAAAACTGTTAACCATCTCCATATTCAGCAAATGAAAGGCTCAGATCAACCAAGCAGCAGGCTGAGGGTTAGAGTTTCTCAGTTATGGATTTCCAGATGTTGAAAAATAGTTTAATCATCACGACCCACTTTTGTTTTTGTGCTTCATTACATGTGAAAGTGCTGCATTAAAATCTTCCTCAAGTTAAAGAGCAGTAGAATAACTCATCAAATGTTTATTAGAGGTTGGTGTTAGTGTGCCCACAGTGCTTCGGTGCTTTGTCGACCTTTTTTGTCATTTTTTGTTGAGTCTTGTCTGATATAAACCCAGTGTCACATTCAGACCAAAACTAGGCTGATGATTTCTTGTTTACTCCTCGGTGGTTCAGATTTGTGGGATTTTCCTGCAGCTGAAACACATCCATGTGCTGTGATGATACAGACTTATTCATATCAGGGATTGGCTAGTGCTGCTGCCTGACATCATGGCACTGTGACTCCACCCCGGCCTCTCTTTGTCTTTGTAGTGATTGCTGGATGTTAAGTTCAGACTTTTCTTGGACTGAATTCTCTGTTTTTACTCTGTGTAGCTGCCAGCTCGCATTAGGACTTCGATCTGTAAATGAGCCCTCACAGATGTGAGTAATAGAAGCAGATTGCATGTGACTGCTAATTGCAAACATGCTCTGGAGTGGTAGTGTGCAGGGTATGGCTAATTACACTAAACTCCCAGCTCTTTTGGGGGAAATAAGGACCAGATTCAGAGCACTTAAATGTACAGCAAAGCTGCGTGGTGGTTTCAGTATCTGCTCAAGCTGTGGCGCGTCACTGTGGCTTATTTTCTTTCAATAAGTAACTCCAGTACACATGCTAAAGATGTAGTGAAGGGGCAGTGTGCACAGCAGAGTGTGGCCTCATGCTGGGCTCATTGTCTTGTATTAATCTGCACATTGTATATAACAGTGGACCACTGTGGCTGCTCCACCCCTGGCTCCACAGAGAAACTATTCTGCCAGCTGTTTCAGCCTCATATAACTGGCTGCCTTTGTTCAGCCCCAGATTAATTCAACATCATTACAGTAATTGTTGTTATAATATCTGGAACCAATAAGTATAACATCATATTAAATTCCTGGTATGTTGTTCATCAGAGAAATAAAACAGTAAGTAGATGGGCAGGAGTTACTTTCTGTCAAAAAAAATGTTATTTTTGAAAACTTCACTTTTAAACGGCGGATAGAGACACCAATCTGACACCACTGTGTCAGTGTGTTAATAATCAAGGGTGTTTGCTTGTAAGTCTGTTTAAGTTATCGGCTTTGCTGTGTTTTATGTAGAGCCCAGCCCAGATTAGCACTTTGTCAAACACTCAAATGACAAAGAAATTTCTCATTTAACCTTTATTAAGTTAAAGAAAAACAGATTTATTTACAGTCGCCATGTAATTCAGTAAAGCGCATGTTAATAATACATTACCATCTATGTTACTGGACTGTGTTGTTTGCTGTCATCTTTCTTGGTGGCATGAGAAAACAGATCCAAACTTGTGGTGCAGAGAAGGTAGTAGGCTTTTTGATTCTTAGTATCAGGGTTGATACTGATTTAAATTTCTTTAAATTACAATGTACACCAAATACCAAATCCAGTAAATAACCTGTCACATATCCACCGCCCCGATAGAGTGTAGACATGGTGTTGGTGAGGGATGGATGCTGGATGAGCTGAGGATCTGGGCTTGACCACTGTTGAGGGGACTGAGATGAAGGGCCATCGAAGCAGTCAGACTAAAACAATGACTGAAAGAAAACCAGATTTTATCAGCAGGATGTTGATAGAGACCATGCCCAAACCTGGTTGGCTATAAAGTAAATTACTATAATCAGGGTGAGAGGGAGCAATGTGAATGAATTAGTAAATGAATGAAACAGTCTGCTGTTTGAACTTGTGCTGATTATCATTCTGAAGATTGTTTAAGTCACATGTAAGACCATTTCAGTCCTCTCATAGACCAACAAGGCAAGAGCCTGAGGAAAAGATCTTTTCTAGTAATTTGGCAGGAACAATCTCTGATATCACAGGTAAATAGAAGATTTATTTTTTCAAGTAAGTGCAAACACACTTTCATTGAAATGATTTCTTCTCTGCTGCTCTAACACTTGCTGATCACTGACTAAATATATCAGCAAAAGTCTTAATTTACCCTTTAAGAGCGTCAAAGAGGAGCTGATTTCAGGAGAAAGATGTTTTTGAGGGGGCTGATACATCGTTGCATGTGGAGGACCTCCTGATGCTGGTACCAAAAGCCTGTTTGTTCAAAGGGTTGTGAATACAGGGTGTCAGAGTTGGATGGTAAACTGTGGAGAAGAAACACCAGCATGGATTATACATGTATTCATATTCACTGTGCTGTCTCAGAATGACTGTAACTCCACACAATGGTTGAATTTCATGGGACAGCTCACAAATCTTCTCTGCTGCACCTTTAACCTTAACAAAAATACAGAAAGACTTGGGTGCCAGTAGCCGATGTGGTCTGAGTGTGCCCCATATACAGAGACTGCATTCCTTGACCCAGTGGTCGCTGGTTCCACTCCTGATCGCTGCATGTCTTGTACATCCTGTGCAGTAACAGAGACAATCACATGTCTTTGCCCAGATCTTGTCCTGCTGATGTTTGTTTTTCTTTCACTTACAGACACTGGAGAGTTTGGACACTGGGAAGCCCTTCCTGCAGTCCTTCTTCATCGACCTGGATGGCAGCATCAAAACCCTTCGGTACTACGCAGGCTGGACCGACAAGATTCACGGGAAGAGTCTGCCTATAGGTCAGTGTGTGTGTTATCTTCCTTTAACAGTTGGGAGCTCTACACAAACACACACCTAAAAAAAAGTATGGCTTGATGCTGTTGTTCAGAGGTTGATGGAAACATGAGTCAGGGACAACCAGCCTCAGAGGGAAAAAAAATGTGTTCGTTCAAATGATTTCTTCATCATGGTCCAGTTTCTTAGTGCCTGATAACAGATCAGTCTATGTCACTGTTCCTAACATTATTCCAGTCATTATAGATATGGCATCAGTCACGTATGATGATCAACATAAGATGGACTTAATAATAAAAATAATACTAAAATAGATAGAAATAAAGCTTGACAGTGACTAACAAAAACTGACACAGCATCTTTACTAAACTGACTGAGAAAGAAGAAGCACCAAGCACCACGACTATCACACGTCCTCTCTGGTCTGACTTCAATTTTGACCTGATGACTGCAAAAAAACAAACTCTGTCCTTTTATTAATCTGTATTTTAAGGGCACTTTAAAGTGTGTCATTTTCTGAAATAGTTTTGATACCAAGACAGCATTTTGTTAACCTGCCAAATATTAATAACCTGACTGACACACAAGTTAAGCTGCTCCTCCTAAGGTACTGATTTGATTTGATTTATTTAGCACCAAGTTAAGAAAAACAGTGCAAGGAGGGAACAAAGCCTGGAGGGGTTGTACCAAGTTCCATACCCATCATCTAAAAATTACATAAAAATCAAGATAAACAATAAAATGTACAGTGCAACATAGAAAAACTATAAAACATAAACAAAATTTATTACTGCTTAGGAGGTGGAGCGATAGTCAAATAACAATACAAATACATAATACGTTATAGACCAACCCTGGTCTGTCATGAAAGCTGTGTCAACAGCTGTGGACAGACAGATCTTTTGAGTGGTATTAACTAATCAAAAGATAACTAACATTTCAAATATGTATTTTACACTCTCACCGTGCCACTTGGTGTAGTCGTTTCCACAGTCACAGCCACGACAATCGGGAACAACCTTAAGACTCTCAGACCTCATGTGAGCTCGTCGCCAGGTTGAAAAAGCCCCACCCCCTGACAGAACTCAACATATTAAGTTATTGCTGCTAAATATGATCATTGCATTTTTCAGCTGAAAAGTACAAACCGCTAATTTGATTTAGTAATGGCAATGTCTTTTTACAAAACATAAAACAATAAAAAAAATGCATTATTTGGCAAGTATTTGGAGGTCAGAGGCCAGGCTAGATATATAAACCACTTTACACTGAAGATAGTTTAATTGGTTTTAAGATTATTTTTGATTTACAGTCTGGAGGGGAAAAAAAGGTACTTAGATATGACAGTTGATATCATGGAAACCGATTCTTTCAACTAGCCCTATGCATTACCTTTGACTGAATGTCATTCTTTCTCAGGGCTAAGCGTGGACAACAAATCAGAACATCAGAAAAAAAAAATGTGACTCAGTCTGTCAGGCTCCACCTCTGATTTTAAAAGGGACACAACCTGCCATGTACTTGATCAAGAGCAGAGACCTACAGGTTTCTCTTTTGTTATCGCCCTGTTTCTCTGCCTAAATAAATAGTAGATGGGAGAGGCCTCTTTGGTGTCTGTATTTATTCACAGAGGAAGACTGTGTTTCATGTTTCAGAAGTTTGCTGCAGTGTTGTGAGTTAATGTGGTGAGCAGACAGAGCTCTGATCTCTGCCTGTTATTCATGCTCTGCCTCTCTCTGCATAACCGGCATGATCTGTGCTATTTTAGTGCACTGACCCAATCTACAATCAATGCCTCAGTAAGCTGCATACTGAGGAAGAGAAAAGCTGCACAAACAAGAAGTTATTACCATAATTTATTTCTGCAGCCCAGTTATCAGATGTATTGTGAATTCTTGTGTTAATGACGTCTATTTTTTGTGTGTTAATGACAAACTTGAATCTTAGAAAATAAAAGAGGAATGTGAATAGTGCAATGACTAAAGATTTAAAGGTTTAAACAAAATAAAAGTGGTGATTTACCAACATAAGTGATAGAAGAAATAGATTAAAGATCGATAAAAGAAATATAAAAATATATATTATTGACAGAAAGGAGGAGTAAATAAGTAGATTAAAATGATCTACCCAACCAAAGCCAAAGGCCACCATAAAATTAGTGTAAAAGACTTAAAACCATGAATAAAAAAAGCAAACCAAACAAAGATCCAAACACAGTGGATCTTTCTTTGAGTAGAGATCTGAGCGTTAAAGTTTGAGTCAGACTCAGAGTAAACAACCATTTTTCAAACATTCAAACATCTATATAAGTGAGAAAGAAAGTTTGTTTCTGAATCCTCCTCTGGAAATCTTTCAGGATTGAGGTCTTTGATTGGCTGCTTCAAACTGTTTCTGTCACAGCGTTAGTATCATAACAGAAACCAAAGTTAGTTTCTTCTTTGAAGTCCAACAGTGAGAGGCACCCAGACTTTGTTCAGTCAGATTTTTTGTGGCTGTAACTCAAAGGTTTTTGCCAAAGTTTTGTTTATTTCTTATTTTGTTTATTAGGTTTAAGCTTGTCAGAAAAAGGGGGGTGACTTTTGTTGCGATTGTCCTTAAATGCACCACTTGGTAATGGGTTAATTACCAAAGCGCCTGTGACTCAGCCGGTCTCAGGATTGTCCTCAGGATTGTCCTCAGCCCTGGGTGGTATCTCATCCAGCTCTGAATACTTCCTCCTCTTGTCAGATCCTACTTTGTGTCTCCCCGACCTCTGCAAGACGGCAGATAGACAAAACATGGCTGCCTTTTTCTTCCCGATTAGATCCCAATAGAGCGCTGAAAGAGGAAAGGAACGCCGGACAAAGGGAAGAGGAAGAGGCTGAGATAGTAATCAGTGAGGTGCAACAGTCTGAGAGGATTAAGTAGTCAGTGTGGGCTCAGTGCCCACCAAGCAGACAGCCTCTTCACCTGTAATCCTCACTTATGCTCAGACACAGGCTGCTGGTCATCTGGAACAGACTCATGAGGTGTAGTTTAAATATCAGGGTTTCTTATAAAGTTGCAGAGGCAGACGTTTCCTGTACAAGGACTGACTTAACCTCATTTTATACAACTTGTGTAAATGTCCATTAGATTGTGTTTTGTCTCAACTCATTTCTTGAGTCTTAAAGCCTAACTAAATGATCTGCATTGAAATTACAACAGAAAAGTTGGAGTGGTTATATTTAGACCCCTCACTCAAGGCTGATACTTGACAAATAGCTGATTATTGATATCAGCATTCTTCCTTACAGACCAGCAGTAAAATGAATTGATTAAATAGTGTGCTACTTTCGGTGTGTCTGTTTTGTAGCACCACCCTAAACCCAATCTGATTGACTGGGTGTCACATAACTATATTGTAATTGTACTGTAAGTGTAATTAGTCAACTGTGAACTCGTGTTAATGATAAGGAACACTTCAGTTTTACTTTAAATACAGATCTCTTCAGTAATCTGACTCATGACCTTCTATTAACTGGTAAAATTGGCCCTGAATAAGAGTATTGGTAGACCCCTGTGTAAAATGTGAGCTGCTGACTGTTCTTCCTCCGTTTCTGCAGATGAAAACTTCATGTGTCTGACCAAACATGAACCCGTAGGAGTCTGTGGAGCCATCATTCCAGTAAGTATTGGCAGGTTTGGTCATTAATATGTACGTTTATTTACAATACTTGGTATGTTAGATTAGTTACAATGCACATGTCATACTCTAAATTTGACTGAGAAAAGACATTCATTTTTATGCTTTTTTTTTGCAGTTATTTCTGTCAGCTCAAGCAGCAGAGCCCTCCTTGTTGTTGTAGATTTTCTTGTTACCTTATCCTGATCAACTTGTAGTAGACTGTTTCGATGCTGATTTTTTTTTTTTATTTAACCTTTATTTAACCAGGTAAAGTCCCATTGAGATCATGATCTCATTTACAAGGGCAACCTGGCCAAGAGGTCAGCAGCACACGTCATAATGAATGCAATAAATATAAGGGAATCGACAACAAATTAACGGTTAAAGTGCAACAAACATTTTGGGACAATTACAATTTTCAAAACCCAGGCATTGATCAGTTTTGTGCATGTATGCTGCTGTTTTACCTGCACAAAAGACTCTCTAGCCTAACTGACTTTCTTGGAGTTTAAGTAAGGAAAACAACTCCAGAATAAGTGGGAAATATGAGCGGTGGAACCTCCCAGTGAAAGCACACGTAGTGGAGATAGGAGGGTGTAGGAAGAGGTATGAGACAACTCATGAAAATGGGGTTGAATTTCTGCTTTACTTCCAGAAGGTATACACTGCAAGGCAGAAATCAGGTTTTCTTAAATCTACTAAGGACTTAGGAGATGAAAGAGATGTCCTTTTTTCTCACCTGACTTAGCGTCAGCTCATTTCTTTATTCCCATTTTCCATTTTATTTCCCCCTTTCTTTTTGCAGCTCAATCTAAATTATAGGGGGTCATAATCACTGACTGTTATATAAATAAACTCAGGGTTAACCTGAGTTTATTTAGCTGCTGTCTAAACTTCATGAATCAGCAATCACTTCAGCAGCACTGTCATGAGTTTTCAGTGCTGCTGAAGTGACTGCACTGAATTTCAAGCAGCGTCTAGGTACGGGGCTGAAATGAGAGCTGGGTAATGTACCAGAAACCTTATCTTAATCTCTACTCCCTTTAAAGAAAACCTCCTCCCCACACATCCCTTTGGGGGGTTTTCTTTCGGGAATACACGACTTTGCTCCAGAGCTGCTTGGATTACTTTCACACTTTAGAATACATGACTTTTTCTCTTTTGATGATGTGTTCATCAGTTTGAGGGTGGGTCAGTGTTTGGTGTGTGACAGTATTGTGTTGCACAGTCAGATCCTGATGGACACATGAGCATTATTTGGAGATCATGTCAGAATACAGACACTCAGGTTTTATCTTTGAGCAGGAGCCTGTAACCTCTAATGTTGCTTTGGCAACAAAGGAACAAAATGCCTGTTGTTTGACACAGGAGATTATATCATAAAGTGAAATTTATACTGAAGGACGTTGTGTAATTACTGAAAGTACTGCTGGCGCTCAAACAGTATGAGTCATTGTCAGAGGAAAACAAAAACCTTTCTCCAGACTTATGATCCTGAGATCCCTGAGTGTTTCCAAAGTGTTGTAAAAGTTAACAACTCCTGAACAATAAACAGGCAGCACTCATATGTATGACTGTCTAATTTGGGTTTGAGTGCCTAATTATTAGTCCAGAGGTTTCCAACATGGACAAGAAGTGAAAGACAGACCCCTTCTTTTTCTGACTTTGTTTACTCATATTCAGCCCTGATGATTTAGATTCCCCCTATTTCTGTCCCAACGTCAACATGAGAGATACAGTGGGTTTGCTTAAATATCAGTTGTGTGTGTGTGTGTGTGTGTGTGTGTGTTGTTCTGATTATCAGTCCCAGTTTTTAGCCACTAACATAGCTCTGATGTTATTAAAAAAACAAACAAAGTGAACATTAAATGAGTCATCAATAAACTGCAATTTAAAAAATAAATTGTGAAAAGTCAGTTAGGAAATGTTTGTACACCCTGCTAATCTCTCTGTGCAAAGAGGGATTAGGAGGGTGGATGATGTGGGTCTTTTACAATAGGATGGAGATAAAGCTGGAAGTTATATCTATTTGTTTCTTTGATTTGCAGCCAAGGCTGGATCATAAACTACTTAGAGCGAGCACATTTCAGCCTTCTCTGCAGATCTATCTGTATATATCTGTAATTTAATACAGATGGCATGCCTGCATCTCCTCCCACTGTCCTGAGTGACTTTGCATTGCCAGTCATGGTGATCAATAAAATTCTCACTTTTTAGTATCAAATGACTAATTTAAACTGAACTAGTTGGAAAAACAAACAAACAAACAAAAAAAAACATGGACATAAATCACCCTGATCAGAAGTTAGCTGTCTAACAGGAACCATGTTAGACAAACATTTATTTGGTGTGTGTGTGTCCCCTTTGTCATCTGTTGAAAACAGTCAGCTAACACTATTTTTTTTTTTTTTTTTTTTTAATCTTTGGACTCTGCTAGTGGAACTTTCCTCTGCTGATGTTCATGTGGAAGATCGCTCCGGCCCTGAGCTGTGGAAACACGGTGGTCATAAAGCCTGCCGAGCAGACCCCCCTCACCGCGTTGCACGTTGGATCACTCATCAAAGAGGTTTGGACTCAGACTTGTTAATACAAAGCGATCCAAGTCAACTCCTAAGACACAAAGTCTGAGTGTGTAGAGATCTACCTGCTGTGGTTTCATGTTTTTACTGCATCTGTTCACAGTACAATGTGGGGTTCAGATACTCTCAAAAGCGCTTCCTCCATCTCTAGACAAGATCTCAGTTTCACACATGACAACAGGAATGTGTCTGTGTGAAATTGTCTTTATAACTCTAAAGCAAAAATCATCTCACTAATACTCCCTAAAGCCTGATTTTACAATCTTGAAGCTTTAGAGTGTCATCTGTCACATGTCAGTCTGACAACGCTCATTAAAAGCAGAGGGAGGTTCACTTCATCACAGAAGGTGGACTCTCTCGCGTCACATTGTTTTCATTTAGGGGTGAGGGTCACTTTCACACCACTCAACTACTCCACTTATTGTTTGAGTCTCTGGTCAGGTACCTGTTGTCTCTGCTCTGACCTGCTCTTTTCTCTCTGTGCTGCTCCTCAGGCCGGGTTTCCTCCAGGAGTTGTGAACATCCTCCCGGGATTCGGTCCCACAGCAGGAGCAGCGATCACCAGTCACATGGATATCAACAAAGTGGCCTTCACCGGCTCCACAGAGGTGTGTATGACAGTTTACTGCTGCTGGGTGAAGTTACCTTGATAAAGAAGTAAAAAATAAAAATAAAAAAATCAACAAGTCGACTGATGGAGAATGATACTACCTGTTTGATGAGACATTCAGTGGATCTTAGTGAGAAAAAAAAATCAGCTAAAAACCCCACAGGACCTTTTAATTGATCTAAAAATATCACAGCTTTAGCCTGGATGATGCATCATGTTTTAATACTAGCTATGCTATTTTTTTTTTTTTTTTTTTTTTCATAGAAAAAAATGTAGCTCAAAGTGCTGTCCATTCAAGCAGCATATACAATAAAAATACAAGTACAGAACCCCACCCACATAATTTCAGGCTTAGGAGGGGTTAAAAGATGAGTGTTTCAATCACAAAATGATAAAGTCATAATAACAAAGGAATACCAAGGGACTGTATTAATGTTGTGGATGAAACCCTCAACAACATAAAAAAATGCACAGAGGTAGAACAATCCATTGATGAATTTGAACTCACAACTAGATTTGATCGTCATGGTACTCAAATTATTGACAGAAATTAACGGTAGAAATGATTCCTCTAAGAATCTTCATTCTGTCCTCAGTATTTATATGAAATAATTGGTCGAACCTTTGAAAATATTTGAATACTTGCAAAGAGACTGTTTAAAAAAAAATCCTGATAACCAAAAATACTAGAGTTTTCAGTGTACATTTTTTTGTAAGAGAGTTCTGTCTCTCACTAAATACTGAAGATATTGGTCGAACTCACACTGCAGTACAGTTTTTAAGCAAAAGAGAGGTGATGATTGTAGCTCCAAATTTTTTTAATGTATGCATATATTTTTTTTTAAATCCAGAAAAATACTTCATCAGATATCAGTGTTCATTTTTATGTTCTTGAAAAATGATGATCAGTATTATCCATGATTCACCAAGCTGTGCCCCCTGACATGTGAATGCTGTTACCTGTGCAGGTGGGTCAGCTGGTCAAAGAAGCAGCAGCTAAGAGTAATCTGAAGAGAGTGACCCTGGAGCTAGGGGGGAAGAACCCGTGCATCGTGTTCGCAGACTGTGACTGTGAGTAAAAGGTTCAGTCTCTTTACACTGTGTTACAAAGTTAATTTCCAAACCCACTTCCAACAACTCAGTATGTTGCTTGTGAAGGACTGAGTATTTCAGGATGCTCCTTTTAAACCTAATCATGACCCTCACCTTTTTCCAATGAACCTATTTACCCATGGAGGGATCCAAGCAGGTGTTTTTCAAGGGCTCATTTTCCCAGACTTTTGTTGTCCCAACTGTTAATGAACATGTTACAGCATTAAATTCAAAATGAGTGAATATTCACAATAAGAAAAATTAAAAAAGCAATCAAGTTTATCAGTTTGAACATTAAATATCTTGTCTTTGTAGTGTATTGAGATGAATAAAAATGGAAAGGATTCATAAATTATTGTATTCTCTTTTTCTTCACAATGTCCAAACTTCAGTGGAATCAGGGATTTACTTAATTGTAAGATAACATCAAGTTACAAGAAATGTTTTACTTTAGGAGTCTCACCCTCCCTTTGCAGCCACCTCTGTTCCCCTGTCATGACTCAGCTGACGGCTGTGTCTGGACTGAGTGCTATAAACCCCCAACAGTGAAAAACTCAATCCCTGAAAGAATAAAAGTGTACATTATCCTAGTCTGGGATCAGGCAGTCCAGGACTGAAGGACTTCTAAACTCAGATCACCTTTAGAGACCTAGCATCAGGCAGATTTGTGCCTCAGTGTAAATGTTTAAGCCAAGAACAGGCTGTTTGCTCGTAGAGAGAAATCACCAGATTACAGGGGACTCAAAGTGTTCTACTTACAGAAACTAGAATGCTTTGTAGACCAGATTGTCATACAGCATGCATTTTGACCCATAAACAGGAAACATCTCATCTTGACCCGATGACGTGGACTAAATATCTGATGAGGAGGGTGTTACTGTTGTTCATTGTGTGTGTGTGTGTGTGTGTGTGTGTGTCCACAGTGCAGTTGGCTGTGGAGGAAACCCAGAAGGGAGCTTTTTATAACCAGGGTCAGTGCTGCACGGCTGCGTCTCGTGTGTTTGTCGAGGAGAGTATCTATGAAGAGTTTGTGCGTCGCTGTGTAGAAAACACAAAAAAGATCATCACAGGAGACCCGCTGGACCCCCAGACAACACATGGACCTCAGGTAAGGAACACCCCCTCTCATTTTAGAACTTCGAGTTAGTAATTATCTGTAAGGTAAATGCAACCTCGTACAAGCTGTTGTTTTATAGATGGAAACAAATGTGGAAACAACTATGAAAATCTAAAAATAATAAATTATATGCATTAGATAGAGACACAGCATAGGCCTGATGTGCATGAATATATGAATGGAAACAAACATGTAAACAACTATGAAAACAAACCTACGATATGTTTGTATATTGTGGTCTCTCCTCCACCCCTACTCAAAGCAGCAGGTGGGCGCTGACATGTTTGACGTGCTTGATTACACGAATAATGAACCTCACGTTTTAGAACAATTTGTTGGATCTTATCATGAGTGTTTTTGTAAACCTGGGTTATGGGGAGGGGGTTGGGGGAGGTCTGACTTTGACGGCAAACCCTTCTGCGGTGGGGTATGACGCGGGTCAGTGGAGCGCGGCTCAGCGGGGTGAAGATATACTCAAATCAGCACAAGAAGGCAATTAAACACAAATATTATATTCAGCAAACCAATGGACGTTGATTAACGTGAACACTCTTCAATCTTCCTGTCTCCAGTCAGTCTCCAGTGGGTTGGGCGAATCCAAAATGGTGAAAATAAGGGGTGGTGGTTCCGAGACAGGCTGTTACTATGGGGGTGCTCTGTAAACACCCCCATTAGATCTTTGTACGTTCCTTCTGATAAAATTAACCATAGACTGTAAATTGGAAAAAATTCGAGTCAACCAATCAGAATTTTTGTAGACTCAGCACGTATCGACCAATAAGTTGACCAGTCGACTAGGACTTCACAGCCCTACAGCTGACCTAACCTGAACCTTTTTATACTGGAGTTGCTGTCAGTTTTTTGAGGGTGGTTTTGATTGTTGTTGGGATTTACTACTGTCAGAAAATAAAGTCCCTCCAAATGTGATATCCAGGAGCAACCTTAGAGTCTTCCTCTTCTTATTACAAATTTCTGAGCTTTTATTCCCTTTAATGATGATATGTCTTTGCCCTCTGGATGTAGGATGTCTTTAAAGGGGAAATTTTTTAAATGGGTCTACATGGACACTATTTATTTTTTGTATATTTTGATCTGTTAATGAGTAAAGTCTCCACCAGTGGCTTACTTCTAGCCTCCAAAGATTATGTTACAGCCATTACAATCACATCCAGAGCTGCTGGTCTTGACAAGTGTAAATCCATGACCTTTGAGACCTTTAGACCCTTCATTTTGATCTAGATCTAACCCTTTTAGGGTTGTTTTAACTCTTGGCACACAAGCATTTTAAATAATTAAATTAATCTTTTTTTCCATCCTCTGCCTGCCTGTCTGTTTGATTTTTTATCCAGATCGACCGTCAACAGTTCGACAAGATTATGGATTTGATTGAGAGTGGGAAGAGAGAGGGAGCCCGACTGGAGCGCGGAGGAGCTGCTGTGGATGAGAAGGGCCTCTTCATTCAGCCCACCATCTTCTCTGGGGTTAAGGACCACATGCGCATCGCCCAGGAAGAGGTCTGGTTCTCTTTGTTTTCATGAATAAGCCTGACATTGTCGTGTGTGTAGGGAGGTAGAAGTAAAGCCTGACACCTTGTGGAAGAGAGATAACAGTGCAGGCAGTACGGAGAATAAGGAAGACAAACACAGGTACTGCTTCAGTGAAAGAGATCTTCTAATGCATTTCAGGAGTGTGGAGAAGCAGACCTGGGAGTAAATCCAGATCTGTTGCCTTGGAATTGGTCTCTTTCTTGCTCTCTGTTTTCTTGACACCAGTTCCCACAGATTGCTTATCGGTGTGCAGAGATTAAGGCTCCGCTGGCTCAGATTAAAAACTGTGAGCACAGATTTGTAAACTAAGATAAAAGATACTCTGGCTTCTTTTTTCTGAGCTGAGACCAGGAGGGCTTAAGTTACAGCTCTATCAACCACATACAGCTGAACCCCTACTGCCTGTCATTGTTGCTGTTCTGACTTGTATGCACTTACTCTAACACCAAATGTTATTTATGTTGATATCTCTGACCATCCTTCAGATCTTTGGTCCTGTTCAGTGTATATTCAGCTTTAAGAGCCAGCAGGAGGTCATAGAGAGAGCAAACAGCTCAAAGTACGGCCTGGTGTCTGCAGTCTTCACATCCAGTATGGAGAGAGCTCTGTCTGTGTCTTCAGCCCTGGAGACCGGCACTGTTTGGTGAGTCCCTGATACAATACTGACAGCAGACAGCTGATATCAGAACAGATATACCTGATGGTTTTTTTCATTATTCATTAAAGATATGCTCAGCATCTTTTTTTTAATAATAGAAAAATGAAAGACTAAAGATCTTTTCCTGATGCTCACTCCAGCCAAGTCTGAAAATGTTTTGACTTTTTTATCCTTTTCAGAGCGAAAATAAAAAACGTCAGTTCATTAACATGTAGTGAACAGCCCTTGATGTAGACATTAAAAAAGTCTTAAATGTAGTAGAATTAAAATGTATAACATTTTATAACTGATGAAACCAAACAATGTTTTTTTCTGTCTCTCTCTGAAGGATCAACTGCTATAACGCACTTCATGCTCAGACTCCATTTGGAGGTTATAAGATGTCAGGAAACGGACGTGAGCTGTAAGAAACTCCACTCTTTCTCCTGGTTTCTCCTTTAGGCTTTTTTATCCCCCTGACCCTCCTGCTGTGTTTGTCTCTGTGCTCTCAGGGGGGAGTACGCCCTGGCCGAGTACTCAGAGGTGAAGGCAGTGACCATCAAACTGAGTGAAACTCTGTGAGAAGAAGTGGGACGGTCCAGTGAAACATGAGGACAACACATGTCTTTAATGCTCCCACACCGTCATCTACTCTCAGTCCTGCTCCTTTCTTTTAGATCAGGGTGAGGACAGTTTTTAGAGCTGAAACCACATGAAAAGATGAAGTCTACTCACTCACTCACTTGCTCACTCACTCACTCATTCACTCAGAGGTGCTCCTGTTGTCATCACACAGTGTCTCATCATTTCTGTCTGCGAAAGAACTGCAATATGGGAGAAAATTGTTTTAACTCTTCTTTTAAACCTTTACTGTTTTTTTGTTTCCCATAAAGTCTTTTTCAGGCTTTGCTCTGTGGCCAACACTGAAGCAGCAAATTCAGGAATGATGCCAAACCTCAGCCCAGTTCTCTGATCATGGATAGGGTCTGATGATAGACACTCCTCCCGGTTTGTTAGGGCCTAGGTTAGAGTCTCTGTAGGTCTGCTGAGGAATATAATTTCAGTGTTATTGCCTTTAATCAAACTCCCATGGAAGCTCGTCTGTGAGATAAAAAAAAAAAAAAGATGAAAACTCTGCCTTGATGAGACACACAAATACCAAATGTTGGGATTGAAATAGTAAGTCATCCTTCAAAAGAGAAATCTGTAGTGAGACTTTAAAATGTAGAAATTATGGGAGGAGATTGTTAACTTTAATGAAATTAAGTCATTAAATAAAGGATAAAAGGCACAAATATGAGGTGGAAGGTCATTATTCTGACACACAATATGTGTAAAACTTCATGTCATGATTGCACTTCATGATAGTCATAATTGTGACATTTTGTCATAATTATCACTTAGTATCTCAGTGCTTTGACTCTTCAGCTCAAAAATCTAATTTCTACCCCAATATTAACTGACTTTCTCATAATGTCGACTTATTTCTCCTAATTGTAACTTATCTCAAAATTTTTTACTTTTTAACCTTTTAACCAAGACTTTTTATTTCAAAATTAAGCCTGTCACTATAATGAAAATGCTGATCTACTTAACTTTTAGTTGACCTAACTTTGGGCATAGAGGTGGAAGGTTAAGGCCGGCCTCTCCCTTCCACCTCTATGTTTACACCCCCTACAGTGTGTTTAGGTAAATGATTGAGTTATTTAGGCTAAATGGCGTATTTTAATCAGTTAGTAAACATGTTTATTTATTTAGTGTTGAGGTTGGAGTTTCAGAATAAGTGGATGTGTGGCTCCTGGTGCCTCTGACAACAGCCTCTAGTGGACACTTGAGGAACTGCTGCTTGCTCCCACCTCCCCTGCATTTATGGATTTGGAGTGTGTTTGCTGTTGCTGCAGTTGTTTCAGCCACATGCAGCATGTGTTTTCAAACTGTGCCGTTTCCATCATTAACTGTATTTTGGACCTTTCCACATGTCTCTGAATCTGTGGCCTGTTTGTGCGGATGAACATTGTTTGGGCCGTTGCAGGTCAATTGCCCCCCACCCCCTCACAGCAACAATGATGTGAACTGGAGTTAAACCTTCTAAAACAGACTGGTATAACTTTTTTGCCTTATAATGTTTGAATCATACATTTAAAGCAAACAACAGTGTACTATGAGGTAGATAAGTCTGGAAGAGGGCAGGTTTGAAGGGACAAAAAATTCTAAATTTGGGCCCAACCTGTAAAACAAACACAAACACCTGCACTTAAGTGACTGGAACCCATTTTACATGACAACAGCACCATCTCTGGGATGAGTGAGGAACTTCACACACAGAGTGAGAGCATTCAGTGACAAAAGATCAGTGTCATGTTAAGGTGTTGAGAATACAGTTGAAGCTTTAAGAATCTCACCTGTTTTGTATTTCAATACTTGGAACTAATACTGAAAGTTTTAATTTATTTTTAACAAGTTTGAATTGCTTTTCAAGATTATTCTCAGTGTTTTAACTTTGTTCTCAACAACTCAACTTGCTGATTTGATCTTTAAATGTTAAATGTTTAAATTGAATTTGATTCTGGTGAGTTTTTGAAATATTGAATTCCTGACATTATTTAGGACGTTGTGACATTCTAACAACATTCTCAACACATAAGGTGTATTTTTTATATTTGGGCAATTTTCCTGTATTCCAAGGTTTTCAATTTGATCCTCGATATTTCAAGGCTGATTTCTGTGTTGTTATCAGTTTGGACTTATCCTCAAAACCTTGGCTCTTGACATTTTTACTCTTAATGAAGATTTTTCAGATTTACTTTTTATATTTTGACATCGTTTTTCACATTTTTTTTAAATTACTTCATGCTGTTCTCTTAATTTCATGTCTGCTATTGGCCCTTTGATGATTCTCAGATCCACAGTTAACCTGTGACAGATAATCTCTTTCAGCTAGAGATATCTTCAGAGGCCAGGGATCTGAATGTTTTTATTGAACAGAACAAAAAAGTGGCACAGACTTCATTTTTTTCTGCTGTGTTGACTGTCTGTGAGGTCCTTCAGAACTAAAGATACACAGATCCAGATCATAAAGGCTTAATAACACTGACAGGATTAAACAAAAATTCATTTAACCTGTATCTGCACTCTAAGATGATGTGTGAGAGGACCTGACACTTTTGAACCTGTTTGAAAATGCAGATACTTTTAAACTAATTCAAACCCATATAATTTGATATTAGTGTCTTCTTCTGTGCTCTGCTTTTATGAACTGTCTCCTGTCTCTGATAAGGTAACATTTACCTGGATGCTCCAGTTTTAGTACTGGACCAGCACCAATGGTACAGTGTTGCATGGGAAGTGTTGACAGCATCTTTTCCTCTTTTTTTTTTTTTTTTTTTACCAACATATTTTTTATTGTCACACATGGACAACATATTTGTTTGCATTTCTCACATTAGTTTGTATTTAAACAAGTTCTGAATAAAAATATTAAAATCAATTTTCTGTTATTATTTTTTACCTTTTTTAATACTTTATTGCTGGCTCATTCATTACATACATGTTAATTTCATACATAGCATATTACAAGTTTCCTTTATTTGTTTATTTCAGCTAGGATTTTTTTTCTTTTTCTTAACACTCATAAATTAGTCTTATTACAAAAAAATGGAAAGATAGAAGGAAATAAGAATAAGGGAGAGAACTGAATAGAAAAGAGGGAAACAAAGAGGAATCATAATATTAAAAAATAATAATAATAAATAAGGGGGGGTCAGCTTCCTATCGTGTTCCTATTAGTTTTTGGGGGGAATATATTCAGCATACTGAGGCGACTTAGAGGCTGTTCAGAGAGCTGATACACACAGACAACACAGACAACATCAACATAGCAGGAATATAAGACACCATGGGGGAAAATGACTACACCAAGTGAGAAGGTGTTAATGTTGAAAACAGAAGGGTTCCAAACACTGGCCCTTGAGGTACCCCTGCTGATAGATCATGTGGTATGGACACCCTTCCCCTTCATGAGTTTTTAAAATGACTTGCCTGTGAGACAAGACCTGAATGAGTAGAGGGCAGATGCTGGGATACAAACTCAGTGGGTATGGAGAGGAGGATTTTGTGGTTATTTGTGTTTTAAATCCTCGCAGACTTTTTTCTGTAGGTAGCAGGGACACAAAGGGAGGAGTGGATTCTCAAAAACCTCCTCTGTAGAGTAAAGTTATAAAACTTTAAAAATTGTTTCTGGATTATGAGAACTACTGAGGGGGTGTAGGGGTGGTTAAATCAATCGCTGAATGAAGACGATTTTAAAAGCAGCTTTTCTGAAAAGGTTAACCTTATTCTAAAGAAAAATACTCTTATTCCTCGGGTGGTGTCGAAAAATTCTCTATCTAACTACGGGATCTTATTTTGAAATCTGTATGCACCGCAGGCCAATGTTTTTGCATTGTGGAAGCGTTTCAGACTAAGCATTATTTTGAAAGATTTTACCGGATATGCTTCGCTTTAGTCTATTCCACTTTGAAATCGCGTGAGTCTCTGTGCGTCCGAATCGGAAAGTTTTTGTCTCGTGGAATCAGGAAGTCTACTTAAAGGTTTTCATCAGGCAGTCTCCTGTGCCTGTTCCCGTGGAGGGTTTTACAGGCTGTTAAAACATCTCCCGAGGCTCTTCGGACTCATCGAGCATGTGGTGAGCGTGGAAAACTATCAGTCTGCTGTCATTTTGTTCCATGTCTGCTGTTTTACCACAGCTGTGAGCGCAACTGGCGTTCATACGCAGCACGGCGGAGAGCTGCTGCGTGACATTGTCACAGCCGAGAAAAACAAACCGATCTGCACACACAGACTCGCCAACTCAGAGCAAATCCAGCTTATCATTCTGCAGAAAGATTAGACTGTAACATCGAAACAGGTAGTTCACTGTGTCGTCAGGAAGCGCTGGTTTTCCCGTGTTGGTCGCTTCAGAAAGAAGCACTGATTTTAAAGCTGTTTGGGGCTTCCTTCAGCACGCATCGCTGCAGTCCGCTCACTGTCTGCAGTTTTTACAGCCAGGATAACTTTTAGTGACTCACTCTTTTACTGTACCATGGTTTGTCATGCTCCATCCTGATGCTGGTACAGACACGCACAGGCGTGCGTAAATCTGTGTGCCACGGGAATAAACCAACAATAATGCGGTTGTGTGTCGGAAAAGAAAACAAACAGGTTCAACAACTTGTGCTCTGGAAGATAACACTTCTTTTATAACACGAGAACTCGCACTTACACTGTAACTCTTTTTCTTGGACTGTTTTCTAACACCTGCAGAGCCCTCACTGTGTTGTTGCACTCACTGAATGGCCCGTCAAGAGCTGGTGGTGAATCATCAGCTGCTGCATGCTTAACTCTACACTTTCCCTGGAGTCTGGTAAGTTACTCAAACCTGCCCATTATGTGCTCTCATTATAACACATGACGTTGATTGTGCTTCCATGATGGCAGTCTGTGACAGTCTTTTATTGTGCTTCCCAATTTCATAACCTTGCAACAACATTACACAGAATGTGATAACTATTACACTACACATTATACAAGACAACAAAAGAAATGATTTAACTCAAAAAGTTGGTTGTTTTGTAGATAATGTTTGCTCATTTGAATGCCATCAACACTGTTGTGAGTATATTTACACACCCTAACCAAGGAGTCTGGTAAAATGTCTCATTTATGCCTGACAGAGGATTTCAGCTGCTCAACAGTTCAGGGTCTCCTTTATCCTATTTGTTGTGTCATGATGCTCCTAATTTTTTCAATGGGAGACAAGTTAGGACTGCAGGCAGACCAGTTTAGCACTCAGACTCTTTTACTGTAAAGCCAGGCAGTTGTAATGTGTCAAAAATGTAGTTTGGCATCCTTATTCTGTGTTTAGGTTGGTTCTTGATCATCAAACAATGAGCGTGGTCTAGACCTGCTCTTGTTCTTTGAAAAGCGTCTTGGGCTGACGACTGTTGTGAATTGGTGCTATATAAATGAAATTTGATTGATTGATCGATTGATATAATGCAAAGACTTCCCTGAGAAAGTCATTGTCTGGATGGCAACAGGTGGTGTACATCTTCATACCACCATAGATTCTGCATGGCTTTGAAACGGTACTCATGTAAGAAGCCAAGTGTTCCCTTTCCTCCTGAGACCTAGCTTTTGTTTACCATGCACTTAAGATTTCCCCCGCTGATCTGGAATCATTAGGACCTAATAAAGTGCAAGACCTGAAAATTATCTTTGGACAGGAAGTAGTGATGTCCTCATATCAGGACAATAGGTTACGAGACAACACAACTGTCATGATTGTGTAACATGGCTTAGAACTTGATCTTCATGTCTAACCAATGCCATGCGATAAACAAATTTGACAGGTAGATTTTTTTTTCAACAATTTGTTTTCATGTTAAGGCTTCAACATGTTGTGCAACAGCAATACAGATCAGGCAGCTACAGGTAGAGAGAGCAGGGAGAGCAGCAGGAGGAGGAGAAGAAGAGAGGAGAGTAGGGAGAGGAGCAGAAGGAGAAGAGAGGAGAGCAGGAGGAGAGAGGAGAGCAGGGAAAGGAGCAGGAGAAGAAGAGAGAAGAGCAGGGAAAGGAGCAGGAAGAGGAGCAGGATGAGAATAGAGAATAGCAGGAAGGAGGAGACCAAGGAGAGGAGCAGGAAGAGAAGCAGGAGGAGAAGAGAGGACAGCAGGAAGAGGAAAGCAGGAAGGGGAGCAAGGGGAGATGACAGGGGAGCAGGGAGAGGAGCAGGAGGAGGCTGAGGTGTGTATCTGTGTGTGTCTGAAAAGCCAAGGGACAGAATGAGCACCACAAGAGAGAGGCCGAAGCAATCACAATTGTGCATGAGCACTAAGAAGCTAATGACAAGCCCATGTCTTGATGTTATAAAGGATGTTATATAGAGGCTTGAAAAGACTTTGCTTGATCTACAGCCTGTGATAAAATGTAAGGAATACAAGAGCTCGAAGTGATGCATGGTTCCCTTTCAGGGTCAGCAGAAGCCTACATATGACTTCTTAAAAAATGTGGCTATATCATCCGATTAGACAGACATGTTTAAGTAAACAAAAATGGTAGGCGAGATTTTTTTCCACTTATCGTATCTTTTTGAGAATTGGGACTTTTTAAGTTTTAAACAGGTTTTAAGTTCCCTGAATCTGAGTGATGCAGATGTCAAATTGAGGGTACTTAATAACCTTAACCTCCGCATTGAATTCAAAATCCTCCTTCACACCCATCACTGTCTGCACGGTGCAGCCCCCACCTACATCACCGAACTCCTCACCCCACATACCTCAGCCAGAACCCGGTCAGGCCAACTGCACCGTCTGCGCCCGCCCAGGACTCGGCTTAACACCATGGGTGACAGGGCCTTCGAGGCTGCTGCTACCCGTCTGTGGAACGCCCTCCCCGACCACCTCAGGGCTCCACAGTCGGTGGATGCTTTTAAAAAAGAACTCAAAACCTTCCTCTTTCGGAAAGCCTACCCGGACTAATTTTATCTGATTTTATCTGCTGACTGTTTTTTATGTTGACTGTTTTTTTATTGTTTTGCCCTGTTGCTTGGTTTTTACTGTTATTGTTGTCTTGTTGTGCACTTTGAGATTTTTTTTTAAATGTAAAGTGCGTTACAAATAAAATCTATTATTATTATTATTAATATCATTATCAATCAAAATAAAAGTGATTAAAAGTTTTGCCATTATGGTCTGTCAAACACTCTCTGCTGGACGAGTTAACATTGACTCCATTTCAAACCTATCACAGCCAGTTATAGTGCAATATATTTGTTGAAATTTCCTGAAGGTAAACATATCATCAATACCAGATTTCTCGTGTTTTAAGGCATATCCACTATTACAGGTATTTTGGTCTTACTCAAGAACAAAGAAACTTAGAGAAACACCAGCATAATTACATTTTCAGAGCCCTCTAAGATGGTGAAAATGAGCTGCAACTTTGGTTTTTAGAGGTTATATTTATTGTTCCATTAGGGCTGCACAGTTGAATATTTTCTGAATGGTAGGCGGTATTTTCGTGCTGCTTCAATGAGCTGTAACACTGGGTTTACTGTTGTTTGGTCTCTGTGCAGAGTGACTGCTGAGTCCACACCTCCTCTATGTGCTGGATCTTTGCTCTGATTGCCCTCTACCAGTGACTCCAGGAGAAATGTCGTACTGGTTTGTCAGCCATCCCCAAACCTCTTCAGACACTACCAGCAACATGGAGCAACAAAAGGGTAAGTAACCTCCCCAAATCTCTTGTTACCCCTGTCAAAACACCTTTGTTACTTGAAGTCCTGGTGCTTTTTTGTGAAAACCAGACTTACTATTTTGGGGGACTGCCTTAAAACGTGCACAGCAGAGCTTATCTGTGACAAACTCTTTATGAGTCCCTCTGTTTGGTTCAGGTCAATGTGCAGGAGTAGGACTTAACAGAGCGTGCTGGAGGAATTAGAGGAGAAGGAGTCAGAATGGGGAACTGCCTGGTGTTCATTTCACTACATGTAGTGAAATGAAGATCCTGTTCGACATGAACAGGTCCATACTAAAAATTCATTCATGTGTGGGGCGACTGCAGCTCTGCTTAAATTAGCAAAAAGAGAAGTGAAACCTTGATTGTTTGAGGGCCACAGTGCTTAGCTGCTGCTATGTGCAGTGTGTATGAAGCAGACTGATCTCAGTCAACACAGGGAGAAGGTTTCAAATATAACGTTCATCTAACACTCATATGCTTCTGTCTGTGCACGCTTAGACAGGATGTGTTGAAGTTTGTCAGTAATGATTGAATGGTTTGATCATTATTGTTTGTTGGATCAAGTTAGGAGGGGGCTGACAACCTCCCGTCTCCTCTCCCTATAAAGGGAGGTGTGTTGTGGCTAGCCACTGGACTCTGTGTCTGTGAGAACTGTGGACTGTCTTATCGTGTCTCTGAGCAACATTTGACCTTGTGGCTGTACTTCAAAATGTGTTTGCCATCTTAGGTTTCCGGCCCCATCCATGTTTATTTTTTTCCTACCTTCCTGACATTTGATCAGGGTGTGGATTATACAGGTATGTGAAGTGAAAATCTAACTCACTGACTGCTAGTTTAAGTAATTGTAGCAGGTCTATACAGATGGTTCCGATTTTAATGCCATTATTGGAATTTACGTTGTGATCTGTGTGCACAACCCACCTTTGTCACGTGAGGTTTGAATATATGCAACTTTATGTGAGTGTCTTTTTGTGGAAAAGGGTGTTTGTCTTACCAGTGGGTCCAACCTTACACACACCAAATCCATCTGTGTTCATATGAGAGAGTGTGGAGGACGCCCTCTGCAGCGCTTACAGCGACACTTGTTGAGGAGCTGCCTTCTGTCGCCATCGTGTGGCATTGCTGTCTTCAGACATCTCTTGATCTCTTTGACTACTTCACGAAAATTGTAATACGCCTCGCCTCTGGCGGATTTAAAGGCGAGGAGAAGAGCTGATGTTATTGGTCAATACAGGTCTTGGCTGTGTTAATCCCACTCCACGCCCTCTCTCCTCCCTCCCTACGACTTATGCCGCTGGGAGGAGCTGAGTTAGGGAGGGGGGATACTTACACCGGCCAAATTGTGCTTGGGAAGGTCTTGTCGGTGCGGCGGACCTGACTTACCCCGCGCCTGCGCTACGTCGCTGGCGATGCACGAAAATAGAGCCCTATAGGTCAGACAAACACCAACAAAACATTAATTGAGTAATAGTCTCTTGTAGAAAGCTAGCTATGTTAAATCATGGCTTCCAAGTGAGACTCACCTTATTATTCTCAGATGGCAACTCAGCTAATTTAGCTAAGCAGCTAAACGAGCCATGCAGCTACTGTGATTTTACTGTTACTCTCTATGTCATTTTCTCATCTTAAACTAGATGTCATATCTCTTTTGTTGTGTCTTTAGTAAGTGTGTGCTCTAGGATTTTTATCCTTGACTAATGTGGTGGTTTAGTTCTTTCGTTAGCAGAGGGTCTACCTTTGCTTTTGTTTATGTATGTGAATCATCTAGGAGTTAATGTCAAGGACAAGGCTGTTTTTTGCTGTGTTGTGGATTATGCAAACACCTTTTTTTTCTTTGCCAGATCTGCTAAATCTTCAAATGCTGATCTGTGAAACTTTTTAAAAAATGTTGGTTCATGCTGATCATGTCCAGCTACACCAATAACACCCAACATCTTAGTGTTATTTTTTTTTTTTTTACAACACCTTAAGATATCAGTACCATGATATTGCTAAAAGCCCCTATAAAAATACAGTGCACAGATTTCTTGCTCAAATATAAAGGTTACTGTCTGCCTGTGCCACATAATCATCTTAAACCTAAAGTTGAAAATGTTGAAAATGATGTTTCTTCATGACCTCAAACTGACAGGACCACCAGCAAAAAGACTTATATTGTCTATATATTAATTTTTTTTCTGGCTGAAACTGCTGGAAGGGGTCACTACTGTGGCAGCAGCTTGAAGAGTCAGCTTTTTATGGGTATTTTGAACTTCAGGTTTTATAATAAATGATACACTAGATTTTTTTTCTTCTATGTTTTTATTTATATTCTTTATTTGGAAGTAAAGCACAGATTTACAAGAGTTTTACATTATATATTTCCATTATATATTTCCACTTTTTTTTCTTTTTAAATGGAACAGAGAGCAATCCCCCCAGAACATAGGACACATGACTTCATATATGAGGGTTGACATGAATTAAAAAAACAAAGCGTTTTCAGGTGAGGATATGCTATACCTACTTTTGATATATGTAATTACATGTGTAATTTACCCGTAAAGTGTGCCAAATAAGAGTAGATATTAAAGAACTTAGTTATAACACAAGAGTAGCACGAAAACCACAGAAATCAAATGTTCCTTACAGCAGCCATAAGAGTAAACAAGGTTTCTCCCTGAGCTCTGATCCAGTAAAGAAAAGGGTGAGAAAACAGATTCTGGTCCTCCTCACTTTCATCTGAACCACAATACACCTGAATTTAAAAAACTCAAAACTAACTAAAAAAGAAGCTATTTATAATTTGAAAGCAGTAATGTCTCACAGTCTAGCAGAAGATGTATATTCATGTCTGTTCACCCTGTTGTTATGACTTTGAGTTATAGTGCTATATAAATCAAAACATTTCATTGCTCTGAACAAACTTAGTCTCTTTTTGAGGCCAGTCACCACTCAGTCTCCCAAAGCCGGGCCCTTTCTTTAGGGTGTAGTGTTTATTATGGTTTGTGGTGAGAATGACTCAGAGCTGCTGTGACTCTGGAAGATATGCAGCCATGTTAGAGAGTCCCACTAAATGTTCCTCTGTCTGTGTCTTACACATGTTTAAGGATTTATAAAAAATTATACATAAATACTTGTTAGCTGCAAATGATATTTGAGAACTGATGAGAAAGGATCTCTGGACCCTGCAGAGCACTAGAACAGCACTAGGAAGCTCCTTCAGTGACAGGCTTCTTCACCCGTGCTGTGTGACAAAGAGATACTTTAAGTCCTTCATGCTGCAGTCAGACTGTTTTACCACGCCTGCTCCCAGTAGTCCAGGATTTTTAGCACAAATAACGGACAATAACTCAATGTTACCTCATTGTGCAATATTGAAAGGCTAGATATTTATTACAAAAGCAAATACCTACATTTTTCTCAGGTATAATAACTCAACTAATGTGCAGTACTTATTTTCTGTTCACTGTGTGACAGTTTTTTTCTTTTTTAACATTTTTTGTTTAGGGCTAAGTTAACTTCTTTATAGTTATCTGTGCACTGTGTGGATGATAAGTGAACTTCTTCTGTGTCGGCTGTGCTGATCCTTTCCTGCTGGAACACTGAGAATTTCCCCAAAGTGGGATGAATAAAGGTTTATCTTCTCATCTTATCTCATAGTTGTGCACTGACTGAGCAGCAGGTAACCCTGCTGGAGCTGAACCTCAGGTGATGAGCCAGCATTTTGCTTCTCAGAGACAGAAGCTAAATTATTTGACTACTACAGTTTATGTGAGCTGTTTCTGCATTGTCTGCTTTGGGTTCATATCACATCTACTGATGCTTACTGAGTTTGTGAGCAGACACAACAAAACATTGGACGGCAAAAGGCAATGAATACTCTTCTGCATAAACCAAGAAATCAGTTTAACACTCAGTCTGGTTGTGAGATTACAGCAGATTACAGCAGAGAGGAGGTGAGAGGAGGCGGAGAAGAGAGAGAGAGAGAGAGAGGAAGAAAGGGAGAGGGGCAGGCTGCTAAGAGGATTGTGAGGCTGTTAAACAAAAAGGCATCGTTCCCTGCTTCCCCTCTCCTCCTGCTCCCCTACCTCTCTTCTGTTCCTCTCCCTACCTCCCATCCTTCCTCCCCCCTCAGCCCATAGCAGGGAGAAAGAGGATGCAGATCAGATAACAGATTCAGGATGCTGTGCAGACACGACACAGCAGCAGAGGAAAGCTTTAGATGTGATGATTTGATGGAAGCAGGAGGACGACGAGGAGGCTTCTCCGCTTCACTATGAGCAGGTTAGTAGGAGAGAGGAAGGAGACAAAGCGTGGCACTGAGAGGAGCGTTGTTTATATTCTGCACATGTAGACTGACTGAAGCTTACTGCTGCTCTACCGGGTCTGTGAGCAGCTCGCTGACATCTGATCAGAGCTGTCTGTCTGCTAATCACTGATCTGATCACTGCAGCAGTGGATGTTGGAGACATTTTTCTAAACTGAGTCTGATGTCACATGCTAAATTTACTTCACTTAAGTATGCATGGATGTCTCCATCTGTGGTTTAAATGGGACATGGTCCAAATGTAGGAGCTGCAGAGAGAAATCTCAGATTTCACAGAGAAATGAGGAGACTGGACTGTTTCCTTTCTACCACACCTGCTCTGCAGCTGTTTACCTTAAGGAGGGAAATATGAATCATCATCATAATAAATCAAGTGGAGCAGTGAGCTTTTTCAGAATGAATCAACTGAAGGTCCTTTCACACTGGGACCATTTTTATCATGCGATTATTTCGGACGTCAACATTTTTTTTTCCGAACCCGTATCCTGTCAGTACAAGCGTTCACATCAGCAACATTTTCCAGTCCTGCGATATTGCGGCAATTATTTTTACGGCTCACAGTCGATTTTTCTTAAGTTTCGCATCCTGTGTGTCCACTTCTGACCAATCCGATTGCGTGTTGTTGCGACGTCTGATTCACCCATATATCCAACATGGCCGACCGGCTGATTGTTAACGTGTCAGAGAACAGAGTGCTTTTTGATAAAAGACACAAACATTACAAAGATAACGACCTGAAGGACAACTTGTGGGGAGTCATAGCGTTGGATTTCTCATATGACGATAGTTTGTGTGCTTTAACAGTTTGCTAAACATCTTTGTTTTAACTTTCATCTGTGCTAAGTAACTTTAGCTCGTAAGCTAACCTGTTCAGATACAACATACCATATGTATTTTCACTGTCTCAAACTCAATCGCGTTGCTGTCACAGCACCCTTAGGTCTCAGTTGTTACCTCAGACTACTGTAACAGTTTGTTTCATGTCTAAATAAAAAGGAGCTGTCTCGTCTTCAGTAAGTGCAAAACTCTGCAGCGAGAATTCTAACCCACGCTAATAAGAGGACTCACATATCCCCTATTCTTGAAGCACTACATTGGCTGCCTGTGTCCTCAAGGATCAATTTTAAAATTCTGGTCCTAACCTTTAGAGCCTTGCATGGTCAGGCTCGGTCCTATATTTGTGATCTGATCCAGCCTTATACCCCCTCTCGGGCTCTGAGGTCCGTGGATCAGAATCTACTTATGGTTCCGCGCACTCGTTTTCGGACCAGAGGAGACCGATCCTTCCAGGCTGTTGCCCCCAGGCTTTGGAATGATCTTCCTCTCTCTCTGCGCTTAATTGATTCTGTTGACTCTTTTAAAAGCCAACTCAAAACTTATTTATTTGCTTATTCATTTCTTTAATTGTTTTTGGGGCTACCATGACTGTTTAAATGTTGTTGTCTTGGCCTTTTAAGTACATCTTTTTATTTTTGTCTATGTGAAGCACTTTGTGACTCTTTTGTCTGTGAAAAGTGCTGTACAAATAAAGTTTACTTACTTACGCTTATGGATTATAGTTTAATGTGCTTATCTGGTACTGGCCCCGACTCAGCACATGCTATCATGACAGACAGTCATCTCAACACTAGTGTCTAATCAGAACTGAAAAACAGTCAGTTTGCTGTCGTGTCAGTCTTCTGCCTACAACCCGGGATGCGTCTTTTTCCCCCCCCAGGAAAGTCACAAAATCGCATCGGGCTTGATGTGTATGGTCAGGCACGTCAATTTCGCATCGTATATTTGCGTCAGTCCCCCGTGTATAAGGACCTTTACTCTTTTGCATGGCTGGAGACCTATGGCAGCTGGAGAACTTGCATGATTTAGCGATGAAGAGCACAACTTCTTACGTCATGGTTTAGTATCTGCTGCTGTGTGGTCACTCAACATGAAATGTACAAAATATTTTGACCAAGAGCAGGTTACTCACACCTTATGCCAGTGTGATTGAAGGAGTAGTTATTGTGGACATTCAAGAGCTGTGATGTAGCAGTTAGCAGGGTCCTGTGGTTTGTTTGGCTAATGGAGCTAACGGCTTCATTTAGTTAAAGATGGAGTCAGTGAAGCTACAGTGTTAAACTGTGACACAACAGTCTTATAGATGTTTGGAAGTCTTCAGATTCTGGATTTACACCAGTACTCAACAAAATATCTGTCAAAGAGAGAAGTTAAAAGATTCTGTACCCGGCTGAGCTACTTACTCAGTCAGCTTGCAGGTACATGCACCATGTCAGCCGTGACCAGGAAAAGTGATGAGTGGAAGTATTTTGACAAAAAGGACCATAACGTGCTGTGCTTGATATACAGTGATAAACCTGTATATCATAGAGATACTAGTCTGATTCTTAACAACATGCATTTAACACTCTGGGAGAAGACGGCAGACTGAGATGATAGGTAGTCTCATATCACAGCGTTTGGTAACCCTGTGAGGAGACGCTGCTGCAATAATACCACAATGGAGAACATGAGCCTGCTAATAATGAAAATAGTGACTGGAGACAGTTCGTTGAGGGGGAGGGCTACTGTGAGCTGATAGTATTTGTTGAGCTGGAGTGCAAGCCACCATCATGGCAGACAACAACTATGAGAGTGGAAAGTGTCACAGGAAAGTGCAGCAGAACTGAGGACTGTTTTTTTCACGGTGTTGACAAAGTGTCTGTGACACTAGACAGATATTCAGTTCACTCTGGCTGCCTCTAAGTGCATTTCAAAATAGTGATAATCAAATGTGCTCCGTAACATCCCGGGATCAATTCAGTTTGCGTTGTTAGCAGCAATAGCAGCAAAATAAAGGCAAACAACACGTAGGAGCTTGTGTCTGGAGAGAAAACATTGAAACAGAAGAATTGACATTGATATATATTTTTTTAAGTACACTGATTGACATCTTTCCTGAGTGCAATAAGATAAGATAAGAACTTCACTGATCCCTGAACGGAAATGTAATATCTGTGCCTTTAACCTCATACCCCACAAACATGTACAGAGGTTATGTAAATGTCTCATTTTGCCCTTGAGCTATAGTCCTTTTAATTTTACATTGCTTCCAACTGGATTATGCAGACATCAATCTCCTACATACTGAAGTCACGTTTTCTTACCACATGGACTGAAATGTAATGGTGTCATCCACCAGAGTACATGATGGAAGAAGAAAATAGACTTGACTTCTGTTTTAAAAAGAAATCTGTTTTTGGTGGGCAGCAGGGGTTTTACAACACAATATTGTGATTTAATGATGATGCCCCTCCCTTTTAAACAGAGCTTAGTTTCACTTAAACATGGGTGTGGATGTGTGGTGTGTGGTATGTGTAGTAAAGATTGGGAAGAGAGGAAGCTGTGGATGTCACTTAGATTCATTGTGGGCTCCTGTTTTTTCAACACGTGCTACAGCATTTCAAACAATGATGCAGCCAGAGCTGGAGAGAGGAGAGCAGTGAGAGGAGCAGAAGGAGGAGAGACAAGAGTGGGGAGAAGAGGAGGAGGAGGAGGAGGCAGGTGTGTGCATCATGAGTGTAAATGAGCTACAACTGCCAGGCTAAATATTAGGTGACATCAGTCTCTGTATTTAAAACGAAGACCTACTGTAATGTGTAATAAGTATTTCAGCTTTCTTGAGAGCCTCATCTAAAAAATAAAAATATCACATTACATGAAAAAAAGTATTGAAAAAAGTCTATAAACTGCTGCTTTTCTGAAAAACAGGAAGCTGTCTGTATGCCGCCAGGGTCATTTGGCTTGTAGGAACTGATATTCAACTACATATAGAGACAAAAATATTAGTGAACATCCATCTGCAGATGTTCATGGTTTTAAGAGTGATCCAGTGATTTCATGATCTATTTGAGAACACTTAGTTCATTATAAGAATAAATTCTCTTTTTTTTTTTTAACTTAATTTCTTCATTTTCAGGACTCATGTTGTCAAAGTTGTAGTGCAAAAGTGCAGCACAAATACAGATTTTAAACATAGTTATTATGGCAGTAACATCTAGAGCCCCTGAACAGTTGGTCAACCCCCAATTGAGTAGGACAGTGAATTTACTTTGGTTTGTAATTGATATCACACCAAACACATTTTAAGCTGTGATCACTGAATGCTGATCACTGGGGTTATGTGAATCCAGTTCCTTCTTGTGGTCCAACACTGACTGAGAGAAACTGAAAGTGCTTAAGGACTGAGGTGGAAATTCCCCTGAGAGCTCCACACCGATCAGCAGTAGTAGCATGAGCGCCTGCACAGGGCTGAGGGACATGGTCAAAAGTAATATCATGAACCAAGTTTACAATGATGATAGACATTGATAGTTATCATGCTAAAAACCAAATCAGTATTTCTTCCAGATTTAAAAGTGGAGTTTTGCTCTTGAGTGACATTTGTAGAAGCGAGACATAGATATCTTAAACTGTCTTGTTTTTTCCTCACTTAAACAACTGTCATTATTTCTCCGCTCTCAAGACAAGCCTTGAACCAACACTAAGGTTTTTAACGGTATTCTAGATTGACTATAATTACAGAAGCAGTCAGCCTAAAGGCATAAATGCTAATTATCTCTTGTAGGGCATTGATATCACTTTCACTACATTTCATAACCAGATTGTAAACTCTGGAATTTATAGCAAGAATGTTTTAATCTGTACCCAGATCCATGATTGTGTTAGCATCAGATTGTCTGAATCAGGAATGCGCTGCTGTAATCTGTATTGGTGCCCATTCTGACATTTCTATACTGAACAGTCTTGACCCCTTTGATCCACTTAAACAGACTCTTTGCCAAATCAGTGGTCCCATCATCACTCACACTCAGACAGACACAGTATGCCATCTACTCAGTAGCATAGTAATCCCATTAAAGACCCACTCTGATGAAAATCATGTTTTTCTTGTTGTCTACATGTTCATATGGCATTTTTCTGGTTCTACAGGACATATCATGAGAAAAAGTAAGTGCAAAATTGCATTTCTAAGCATTTCTGTAGTGAAATGGCTGTGATTCTCTGGCAGACCCAAACGGCAGACTCAGACACAGTGAGATTCCCTACGTCACAAATCCAAGCTCCGCCCCTGGAGCCCTGCTATGCAGGTCAGACTCGGAGAAGTAGAGAGGACAATCGCAGAACAAGTGCATGTGTGTAAAAACGATAAAAAACTATAAAAACAATAAAAGCATAAAACATATAAAAGCATAAAACAACAATAAAGATAAACATAGCACATAAATAAAATACCCAATAAAAGCAGCTATACTTCCCCAAAAGCTAAAGTGAACAGGTGCGTCATCAGAAGTGTTTTAAAAGTGGAACGGCTGTTAAGAGTGCGCACTGTAAGGGGTAAAGCGTTCCACAAAGTGGGAGCCACGACAGAAAATTCTCTAAGAAATGATGATGTCTAATTTGTTTAGTGTCAAAGCTGATTGTTCTCTAAAGACTTGATCAACGACTGATTTTCTTAAGACCAAACAGTATGTTAAGCCACATTAACTGGAGCCAAAGTCTTCACAGCAGAGACTGGTTAAAGGAGCTGCAAACCCCTTAATTGGTTTCAAGCAGACACTCTCCTTCAAGGAATGTCCCCTCTTGTAGTATTTGCTTCACTGCTTCTTGGCAGTCCTGCTGATAATCCAGTGCACGCATCACTGCAAGAGCTATCTATCAACAGAGAGGCAGATTTTCACTGTGAGCACATTTCAAAGATCTATATGCCTCAAGAGCAAAATATTGAAGTCAAAAGAATCATTCAGTGTAAAACAATGTCACAGGAAATGTATGTTTAATTTTTGCTGCATTTTCTCCTGCTCATGTTTTGTCTGCATGTTGGAGCCCCACAGCTCACAAACAAATATTCACAGGAATGCACGCACAACATTAGACATAAGAAACACCACTAAAAGTAAGCTTTTGGGACTTCATACCAAACATCTTGGTACACATTTGCACTAAACTGAAAGTGCCATACTCTCTTGGTCCTGATGAATATGTATACCTTTACAACCCTAATTAATGGAACTTTCAGTCATGAACATACTCCACTGAAATAACTCACCAACTAAAGTAAGTGAAACTAAAAAGGGTCAGCTGTGACTGAGTGCTAGTCTGTCGTCCCCTGATTCCAAAACATTTCCTAAGCCAAGACACTTTACCCCACCTGCTACTGTTGGCTGCACCCAGAGGTGTGTGGCTATGATAAGTCAAAAACTGAGGGGCCCTGAAAACAGCAGCCTCTGCCATCAGTGTGCGAATGTGGTGTAAATGGGAGGATGTGACATGTGATGTAAAAGCTTTGAGGGGTCAGAAAATAAGCACTAGAACATGAATCATCATGATGAAAACTGTGAGGACAGAAACCATTCATTTGAGGTGAGTTCTGATTTTTTAGTGTGACCCATGTTCCATCTGTTAACTTGGAGGGGTCGGGGTTTGTGGTCTATACTGCAGCAAACCCCAGGAGATGATCAAAGTGTTTTGGTTTCACCTTTGATGAGCTGTCATGATGTTCTCCATGGAGTCCATGCTAAGGGTTGAGAGTATAGTCTGTATGGACAATGTAGCTCCACCTCCTGTCATTATATCAATTTGAAGCCAAATTTCTTTGAGTATTTCCAGGATTTTCTCCAGTTCCTGAAACCAGCAGTATTTGCGCAGTAGGGTTCGGTGAGAGAGTTGCTGTGATGACGCTCTGCTCAAACAGTGTTTCCCTGGGTGAGCCACGCAATCTTCGTACACCGGCTGTATCAAGTGTCAATCATAGAAAACTTGAACCCCCTAATAACTTTTAAAATTGGAGCTGTACAGAAAAAAGAGGACTTGAGCACAAACCAGTCTTACTGTAACTACATGTCAACATCCTAACCGGGGGGAGAAAAAATTATGTTCTATGTAATAAATTTCAAAAGGTTGTTCACAGCTCCATTCATTTTGCTGGAGGAGGCGGGGTTTATGACCTATACTGCAGCCAGTAACCAGGGGGTGCTGTTCACTCAGCAAGGAAGCAGAAGATGTTTATTCTATATACAGTCTGTGGTTGATAGGTTGCACACAGCTAATGCAGTGAAACATAAACCGGCATGTTTCTGCAGGGTTTGTTGCAACATATTTGTACTCCATTATTAACGGCTGTAAAAGTGCCAAAAATTGAGCTTCATTTCTCCAAGTAGTTTAATTTTCACAAACACCTGTCCTTCTCCACATTGATTTTGGCTCCAGTATTAAACACGGCAGGTCAGGGTTATGTTTGTTGATTTCCAGTGTGGGTCACTAAAAGGAGGAACTCAGTAATGGAGGCGGTACAGACAGCATCACAGCTCTCTCTGGCTCCTGTAAGCTGTCTCTGACAGGTCATGTAAGGCTGTGATGGAGGAGAAGTAATGGTGGGGGGAGGCACAAGTGGGTCTAATGGTTACACTCCCACAGGCTTTCTCAACAGGCTCAGCAGGCCACTCAGACTCTCTGTGTCTTAATTATTCATAGAAAAGCCTCTAAAGGTAGGTGCACATGCAGCTCAGACAATGCTGAAAGAGGAAACACAAGTGTTTAGTGCTGAAACGACAATCAGGAAAGTATTAACTGGTTGCCCTCACTCTGAGTCATAAATGCAGGTTTCTTTACATGGTCAGAGTCAGCTGTATGAGCGGCCAGCTGATGCTTCTGTAACATCTGCTGGATTTAATCAATCTTGCTATGGCTTGTTCAATAGAAAAGAATTGACTCTGTTCATAGCAGACTTAAACTACCTGAGATATTAACTGCAGCCTCTTGTGTGCACTGTTTGAAGCTCTCAGTGGGTCAGAGTGTTAAGTAAGTGAGAGGTTTGTGAGGGAAGCCTGGTGCCTGATCTGGGTCCTGACTAGGGATGAGCGATAGGGGCTAAAAAAATATCACAATAAAATTTGCCTTTCTGGCGATAATGATAAAAGTCTCATTAAAAAATATTATAATTCCAATCTTTATTATTGGCTCATTCTGTCTTGAGAACACCAATTGGAATAGTCAAATAAGATTGAGTCATACGTTATGGAGAAAACTAATGATATCAAACAAGTCTCAAACGTGAAAACATTCTCAACATTTGTTGAAAACTCTAAAAGCACAGAGTGAACAGCAGCAGATCCACTGTCTGATGTCAGGCAGACCTGATTGCACTCATCTTAACCCCAAACTTGAAGAAAATCCCTCATGTGGAGCCTCATTCAGTAACGTCGTCTTAGTTACCTTCGGCCATGTTTGTTTGTTGTTCTGCCCTGTGTGGGCTATGGCTGAAAGTCGGTGGCTCACGCTTACGTTGAGATGGCAAATATTTATCATGGAGGATTTTTCTGACGATATATCATGAACGATAATTAAAGTCATTTGTATTCTGTTGAATGAAATCTGGTAAAACTGTGGTTAGATATGATCTCTGATGTTCTCAATCAAATCTAAACATAAATCCAGCCTTTTTTTTTTGCATGTTCTGATTTATAATTTCATATTATAACTTCTTCAATGCTAAGTGATTTTTAAGACCGTGTGTGAGTTTAGGCAGTAAAATTTAGACCAGTCTCTGACTGCTGGGGTTATAAAATCCTGATAGACTTCCCTCTGAGGTGGCTCCACAAATATCAGGACACACGCTACTTTTATTTTTCTCCGATTCTGTGTGAAGATGAGATCAGACTGAGCCCTGTCAGGTAAGACCAAAACCACTCCCATCCCATCTTCAGCCTTGTGAATGAAACACTTTACAGCATTATGAAGTCACAGTAGAGAGGAGGAATCTCCTTTAACAGGCAGAAACCTTGAGCAGAACCAGACTTATGGTAGACAGTCATCTGCTTAGACTGAGCTGGGTTTAGAGAGGAGAAAGAGAGAGATGGACAGAGGAGAGATTGATGCCTGCAGTTGAAGCAGCTGGAAAGCAGACAGGTCTACAGCAGTGTTCTGGGAAAATATAGGTGTTGAAGACAGAAATGCCTTTAGTGGAAGTGCCAAAAAACAAAAAAAGCCTGACAGCAGTGCGGTAATTAAAAAAACACTAGCAAAGCAGATGTCCTATTTACAGAGATCATAATCCCTTCCACCCTGGTCCCAATGAGTGCAACTACATGAACTTTGGTGTCTGTTTTTGAGCCTCATTCTGGTTTTGATCAGATTATGGATGGGATGTTTTCATGCACACAGAGAAAACCGGTTATTTATGTCCCTGTGCACAAGACAAACACTTGTAGCCTTGTTTCTGATAACTGCTTCTTATTTGCAGTAATTATTTTATTTCATCCTATTTGAGTTACCTAAACAGGTTACCTACACACAGTCTGTGTCTCCCTGTAAAGTCTCAGCGTTTAAAGCAGTAGAGGAGCCGTCACCAAAACCACTTCCTGCTGTGGTGGCCAGAGGACTTTGATCCAGCATCCCGTCCAAGGTTTTGTGTAATTTGATAGTTTCTGGATCAGAGCCACTTCTTTTGTTCTGATGATTGGCTGTGTAGTAATGTTTCTTCTGCAGTGCTTTCCAGCCTGACCTGACTTGCTCTACCGTTTGTATTTGGAAACCTGCGCCCTATAGCCAGTTCATTGACGATTAAAATAGGTCAACATAAGGCTGGGCGACAAAACGATAACAATATGTATTGAAAATTAATTTCCATCAATATTGATATAAAACACGGTCCATATGCTTTTCGATAGTCTGCATTATGCCATGTCTGGGTAGACTATATAAATAGCCAATGAAAAGGGGAGTTGCTCTGGGTCCACTTCGCACTGAACCAATCATGTGCTGAATTAGAGCCAAGTAGCAAACTGCTGCGTAGTAGCAGGCTGCAGCTACATGCAAAAGACGTGCCACCAATAAGCACTGATAAATTTCATTTTTTATATTGTAAAATATATGGATATCAACTGATATGAAAAAAATATATCCTGATGAACTTTTTGTCATATTGCCTAGCCCTAGGTCAGCATTTTAATGTGTCCTCTGATCTAAACCTTCAGTTTGATTTAGTCCTGGTATTACTGAAAGGAGAAGCTCAGTCTAAAACTCTGCAACTGCTACTGCTGCCAGGTTTGTTTTTACTAATACGTTACTTTGCTGTGGCCGCACCTTTGCAGGTAGAGAGCAGCTTTCAGAAACCAGGCAGCTGGGATAAGCTTTATTCCTGGTTAATCAGGGTGATGTTTACATGCAAAAACACAAAAACAGGCTACTTTAAAGACCCAAACAAAATCAGGATCCTAATATACTCAGTGTTATTAGATGCATATCTACCTCTTTCTCTCCGCACATTTCCTGTCTGTCTCAAGCTAGCTGTTTTATCTAATAAAGGCTCCAAGATCCAGAAATAATCTCACAAATGATTATTTCTGAAAAACACATGTCCTTCACAGATACAGGGTTGCCCTAAGTTTCCAAAAAGGATGCAACACTGTGAGGGAATGTGTCCACAGCTAGCTCTCTAAGATAAAAATCTGTTTTTAATGTATCATTTATATTTTCCTATCACAATGGGTTTTAATAGAATATTTTGCTTGACTGGTAAGGGATCGTTTTACTTTTTTTTTCTTTTTTTTTACTGTAAATTGAATGTAAACAAGTTAACAATTGACCAAATGAACTCTTATTAATCTGAGTACCTTTGGCTAATGTGAGAGCATACAGGGAAATCCTGCTCAGCTCTAAATTTGGATCTTAGAGGGTTAAGTGAACAGAAACACTTCATCTCCAAAGAGGGCTTGTATTGTGAAAGATTAGTAAAAACTGTTGCTGAAAATTCTGTGATTTGTACAGTTTTTACAGTGACACTCACACCTCAGGACAAAATGTAGAAATGACACATGTATGGAGCTAAACTGTGTTACTCTTTACTACCACGCACACTCTTGCTCCAAGCACTGTTTGTTTTACAGCAGGCTGTAGTTTCATGAAATAAGAATCCATCAATAATCAAAATGCAGTTTCACACAGCAACAGTCTTCAAGAAATGAAAGCACTCAGTCCCTGCTGTCTCGCTCCAAAGCCAAAACACTTGGACAAAGCCTCATTTTTTTTTTGTTTTCAGTATTTTAATGTGCTCTCCATAGAATCAGCATCAGTGTGATCTGAGGTTGATATTCTACCTGCTTCCAGACCCTGTTTCACAGTCTGCACTAATCCACTCAGCTGTACCAGTGAGAGAATTCTTTAAGAGGGTGACCTAGTTCTGGGCATATGCTGCTATCAAGACTACAGCATTACAATGTGTTCAACCTGCACCCTGATCCCACTCCTCTGCAGAAATGCTCTTTTTTTAACTCCTGTCTGACCTCACTTTTCCCCCTATGTCCATCCTGTGTGCTGGTAGGGCCAGGGGAAGACATGGGGGCCAAGGAATCGCTGCTCAAGGCTCCGGAGCACTGCTCTCTGCTGGTTCCTTCTCCTACTCTGGAGAACATCCAAACAGCATATGAAGGAGGAGAGAAGGAGGCTGCCAGGGAGCTGATCCAACAAGCCTGCTGTGTGGAGTGCAGTGGGGGGGTGCCCCACATTGACGGGGTGAGTACAGCCAAAACATACAGGACTGCCTGCTGCCTAGTCTGCTGCTGGTGCAGGGTGCAATTGCACTTAATGTCAGTGGTTGAAAGAAAAGACTGTGTTTGTGTGTTTATGTGCTTCATAAAGAAAGAATGTTGTATTTAGCACTCTGGGGGTTTGATTGTCATGTTTCAGTTAATCAAACACAAATGAGATGATAATGTTAAATTTTCATACCATGAATGGAGGTATAATTGCTTTATGGGCTTTTACTTGGGGAATGTCGTATCTTATTTTAGGACAAGCTGTCATGTGTGTACAGTGTGATTTAAATTGCATTATACCTTCATAGAAAACTAAAAACAGCATCTTTTGAATTGTGGTTTTCATAATACATAATTTCTTTGACCTTATTCAGTGATATAGGTTTAGAAATAGCCAAGTCCAATTATTTAGATTAATCTGCTGGACACAAACATACATGGAATGTCTGATCTGTGAGGAGAGGTCTACAGTCTGGCTGCAGTTTACCCCTGCAAAAGATAAGAAGTAAGAGAAATTTGATTCATTTTCTGTAAATAATTCCTTACAAGGAGGGAAAACAACCTCCATGACCAAGCTCACCTACACCGAGCATCAAAGTCAATCAAAATGCATCATCTTTGGCTGTCTTCAGGGAGAAAAACCTCTGTACAGCTGCTGCAGGACAGTCCCCCTTCTCCTCCAGTCAAAACACCTCTGATAATCACATCCGAACTTTGTAGCAAATCCTGTTAGTTAAAAATAGTAATCCAGTTTTGAAATCCATGTGGAAACTCGCAGGTTGAACCAAATGAGGTAATGTAAGGTTACATTTCAATGTTATTTGAGGTTGGTTCAGTTAAATCACTAAAGGGACAGAAGAAACTCCTTAAATAATGAGAGCAATACCAGTTCTGACCGAAACTTGTCACGACTTTTCAGCAAATAGTAGAAGAGATGCTTCAACAGATTTAATAAGATCCTTTGATAGTGATATTACCATCGGCAAATAAATGGACAATCTCTACTGTTACAGCAGCTGCAGAAATACTATGTCTTGAAAGTTAGGAGGGTTTTTAAATAAGCTTCCTCTTACTATCACTGCATAACAATGAGATCCTGTTTTGATACACAGTAGAAATGTGTGGTCTGCTTGGGCTGCAAACTTGGTCTGACAAAATGATCATGGTCTGATAGAAGCTTAGAACTCAAATGAATGGGTAATGATTGCTAAATAAAATGGTGTAAACAATATAATTTAAGCTTGAAGTTAAATGCCCTATTATAATCTTTGTAATATGATTTTTAAAGAAATTAATTTAATTTTTTCCATTATCATAGATTTGACTTCATATTAGCAATTCATTTGAAAAATCGATACTTGGTAAATGAGATGATATATCACCAGACAAAATATCGTGATACTATGCTGTATCTATTTTATTATCTATTATTATGTATTATATTTTTATATAATTAAATTAACATTAAGTAGCTGAACTGGTAACAGGTATATAAATAATGATTCTCTTCTTGTGTTTGTCTGTGTGTATTATTATAGGTAAGTCTCCTTTGTGTAGCCACCCAGCACGATGATTTGCAGAGTGTGTGTTACCTCCTAAAAGAGGCCCATGTCGCCGTGCCTGATCAGCCGACCAACAACAACCCAGCAATCCTGGCAGCGTACTACGGCCACACAAGCCTGGTCAAAGAGCTGCTGGACTCCATACCAGGTAGGACATCCATTCTAGTGAAAAATTGATGTTTTTAGCGCTGTTTCTGGTCGGCCGGCTCAGTCATTTATGTCCTGGTCTTCTTCCAACGGGACACGGAAAGCGTCTCAGTTCTGACGCAGTGAGTCAGTCACGGCCTGTCTGGACCTGTGGTCTGGACTTGGTACCAGGTCCAGTGATGCTCCTCCTGTCGGTCTCTATCAGGACACCTGAAGCTAAAGCCAGCCTAAAACTTTTTCACACAATGCAAATGGATGGTTGAGAACCACTGAGCTAGAAGAAGTCATTGAACATAGCTATTGAACAAATATTACCTTAAAATATTATGCAACATGCTCTGGAGTTTGAAGAGCTGTCTGACTCTGTATTTCGGCAGGGGTGAATTTTGCAGTACAGAGCCAAGATATGGTAGTTGAGGTTAAAGTCCTTTATTGTACTCCAGACTGATTTATTAGCAAGGGTCACCTGCCTGACTGCCCTCAGCATCACGTCAGGTACTGCACTGCCATGTTCTATTTTTCTTTTGTAATTCCTGACCATGTCTTCTTGCTTTCTCCTCTTTGTTAAACCACTCTCATTTCTGTAAGAAGAAAGTCAAAATTTCTGTATGACAACTGCTGATAAGCAGACTCTCTATGTTAATTTTAATCCCTTTTAAACATGTGATAACTAACCCCAAAACGACTGAGACATGTTGCCCCAAACTACCATGTTTGCTAATTCTAGCTCTAGCTTAAAGTTAGCTTAAAACAGAACAATGACTGCAGTATGACAGGATGCCTTAATCTCTCCTCTAACAAGTCCACATGTATCACTGCTGGGATTTTTATCTGGAAGAAGCTTATTTTAAAATATATAAAGTTAAATTTTTTACTTTGGGTTGTGTAAAATGGTTAATTGGCGCTCATCTCAGCTCACAATATGCTCTTCTCTTCTCAGACAGGACATGATCCCTGACCATGTACAGGAAGAAAACTAGTATTGTATTTTTTAGTTGCGCCCTCTGGTGGCAAAGATAATTGCAATGTGACAACTTACCCATGTGACAACAAGCCCCGGTCTCCCCTACATTCTAATGAGGGATCACTTGTGTTGCTGATGGTTATGCCAAGTTTGACTTGCCACTGGTGCTCAGTTGCAGCTGTGTAAATTTGTCAATCTGTCTTTGCTGAGTCTGTCACTCCAACAAGTCAGATTGATGTCAGCTAAAAATCAGTCTTTCTATGGAGCCAAATTAACAGATTATAGTCATTAAATATCATAAACAGACTGAAAGATTGCTGAAGTAACTACATCAGGACGCTGATTTGTAATACATTAAATTAATTAGTTCAGCTGGTCTGTCAGATGTCAAACAACCACTTTTAAAATGCACGTTTTTCAAATGGTGATCAAACAACAAAAAGTGAAATCCTTAAACTAAAGGGTTCCATTTACGAAGAATTACAGGATTTCATATTGTTTGCTTGTGCCACACAAAAAAGTGGGGTGAGGAATCAGCAGGTAATTTATACTATACTATACAATCAGATGCTATGGAACATGACATGACACGGTACGATAGGATATGACATGATACAACATGATACCATACTATACTACTCAGCATAAAATGATTAAATAAAATAAAGTACTATAAGTAAGTCCAGTTGCCCTTGGACGACAATGATCTTGATGAATAAGAACCTACACAGGCAAAGTACAATAAGATCAATTGTACAGTGCAATAAGTTCAATTCCACCATATTAAGTGGTCGTCACATGAAATTTTGTGTTTCGAGTAAATAGTATATTGACGGGATTTGTAATAAAACATGTCACCTGACATATAAAAGTCATTTGGATATTGCTCGCCACTGTACTTTGTAGACTGACAAGAGTTTCAAAGTTTTTTCGTGAATGTAGCCGGTGTCTTTGGTAGCCGCTTCAACATACTGTTTACTCAGGAGGGAGGGGGCGGGTGAGTGTTTCTTAAGAGTTACATAGTGGTGCCATAGATAAGCGGTCCCGGGAACATTTCCCTAGTCAAACGTTCCTACTCCTGCAATAACAGCATTTCAGTCACATGATGCCAATTTCCTTGAAATTCTGGGTTTAACAGTAGAATCCATTTTTATTGCCCAATTTCGAAATTCCATCTGTGATTCCGTTATCATGGAAATCATAGGGCCCTACCCATGCAGTTTGCCTATTATGCAAACAAGTTAGACTCATCTGTCAGACTCCTGAAGTTTTCACAATCCTAAACAGAAAGGTGTCCACTGTAGACTCATTCCGGTTACTGGGATCCACTATCCCTGAAATCATCATCATAAACTTCTGACAGATAAGCATGGGTGTCAGGCTCATAGAACTGTTAGAGCACTGAATTTTCCAAATAAAATTATAATGCTTGGTGCTTCTACATGGATGTATCACACAAGTTAAGACCACAGAATAATGGGACATTTTGCCCCACCCTTGAACATAATAGCTTTACTTTTGATCACTTCTGGTGTAAAATGCACTCAAATTAACTGCTCATCTTCATAGGTGAGCGCTTTTACTCTAATACCTTAGGATGATAAAAGAAAAAGGTGGCCCTCTGAAAGAAAAGTCTTTTTTAGACAGGGTTAAAGCTGGATGCCAGGGCACCTGCTTCTCATATCCACGTGAGTCCCCCACCCTTGTGAATGCATAATTCAAAATCACTGGAGCACCCCTTTGTTTATTGCATTATTCTCTTTGCTGCGTTTTCTAATCTGCTTTCTAAGTTGTGATTGTTGCCAAAACACAGAATAAGGGAGGACTTTGGTCCAAGTGAAGGCCCTGACGCAACACCGTTATTGTTTCCTCAGTTTGCTGAGTGAGCTCTCACAAATCGTTTTTTTTCTCCTAATTCAAGTTAAATGAGAGGTTAACCACATCATTGAACAAAAATACTCATCATTAGAGTATAGACTATGCCTTTCTGACAAACCTTTAAACTCTCTCTGAAAATAAGCCTGTGGAGCCTATCCCAGTTATAATTATAAAAAAATATGATTATAAAACCAATAGTTTCTGTGTCTTTTGAAATACAGGGCCAACATACACAGACAAACAACCAACCATTCACACATCTACACTCACCTACAGGACAGAGTAACCTGATTACCATTGTTGGCATCAATGTTTGTAAATTAGTCCTTTTTTCACTATGAGGATCATTTGTACAGGAGGAAAGTTTGTGGTGTGTGTTTTAAGCCTGGGCTCTGTGTTTTCAGTTTATTTCTGTACATACAGTATTTAAGGATCTAAACTGGATTGCTATTTGGAGTGGTTCCTTTTGAAAGCTTTGATACGAGTTCCTGTCTGCAGTTTTTCATACTCTGGGTTACTATGAGTGGCTGAAGCTTTCACTCTGATACAAAGATTACCAGCCCACCGAATTAGAGTAATCCAGTCTGGGTGATGTTTAGGACTGATTTGGTTTCTGGTTCTCTCTAAGGTCCCAGTCTTAGGGGGGACTTACTTAACTGGATGCTGGCCACATCCTGCCAGCAGGGTCACCTGGATGTGGTCCGGCTGCTGGTCCAAGGCTACGGTGCTGATGCCAAGGACTGTGCCATCCAAAGCAATGAGTTCGCTGTCATCACGGGGCTTCCTCTGTACGCTGCTGCACGAGTGGGTGAGGAGACACACTTCTCTTTGTCACTAAAACGACTTGCCATGATAACACCAAGTCTACATCCTGGATTGCTTCTTTACCTCTACAGAGTGTCACAGATCACACAGTATCAGGACTAAAACAGCTTTGATTCATGATATAATCCAGTTTATGCCTGTAGCTGCTATGCATGTAAGCTGCTTTTAGGTAGGTGTTTATTGTTCGCTGCTATCTTGTACAGGCAGTGCCTCACACCAGCTTAACTGTGTGCGTCTATCTAAGAGACTAAATAAATCAATTATGCTGCTTTTAGTTTAATTATCTGCATGATGCCTATGAGCAGTTACAATTGATTGGAAATAAAAACAAAGAGAAAGAGGGTTTGTGACAGAGAGACTGATAATTTCCTTTTTTTAACTATGCTGACATTAGAGAAATTGATGTAATCTGAACATTGATCTGGTTTGAAAGCCTTGAATTGATTCAAAACCACAATAAGAAAAAGAATGAGGATGCTGGGTAACATGTTGATGATAAAAGTGATGGTTTCTGTGTCATTTAAAATCTATATTTAATAGAAAATAGTGCAAAGAGAACATTTAAATATTTGAAAAACATTGTTTTAAAATAAATGTATGCAAAAGGTTTCCGAGCAGTTGAGACATGCACAGCCAAAACCTGAATAGGCTTTGATTTTCAACAGAGAGGCTGATATGAGAGAAGATTCACCACTCTGAGAGACTGTGTAAACTGATAATGTAAAATTTTAAGGTTAATGTTCCTCGGATTGGAATCACAAAGAATTTTGGGATTTTATCATCTGCAGTCCTTAATATTTAAGATTCAGAGAGTCTGGGGAAATCTCTGTGCAAGACTCTGTAGGGGAAATCACTGCTTGTTTGAAGTCCACCATGCACAGAGGAACATAATCCAGAAATGCTTCAATGTCTCCAGGTCTGAGGCCATTTAGGATGGATGGAAGTGGAAAACAGTTCTGTGATTTGAACAAGTCAAATTTTGACTTCCTTGTTGTCCACAGTCCAAAGCCAGCATCCCTGGTGGTGTGGGGATCATCAGGGTTCCACATCTATGAAGGCTCCGTTAATGCTGAACAATATCTACAGGTTTAGGAGCAACATCTGCTGACATCCAGACAAAGACTCTTTCAGTTAACTGTATAAACTATTGATGGGAGCTTGCATTCAGCACTGTCTCATCTCTAGCAGAGCTTACTGGGCTCAGCGTTTAAATCTTCTGATCCAAAGGGAGTTACTGCAGCAGCTTAGCAGGGACCAAAACAAGCAGCTTCACAGAATCACTGTGAAATACAACACAACACAAACACATGCCGCTGGTTGGCTGCAGTGTTAATCTTACAGCAGTCTAAGAAAAGATGACAGGGAAAAAAAATACTGCTATTCAATGACCAAATCCTTTTAAACATGCACTGGTTCATACAGACTGGAAACTGTTTGGCTTTGTGCTGGAATAGAGGAATGACTCTTGTGTTTTCTGTTGCAGCAAATGAAGAGATCGCTCAGTTCCTGCTGCAGAATGGAGCAGGGTTCTCCTCATACACCCTGATAGACCATCCAGCCTTCAGCAAACACCTCCTCCGGCTCAGACTGCTGGAAAACTCCAATGCAGAGGGAGAGCTGGTCTGTAATCTGGGAACAAAGGGGGTCGATGTAAAGTCTTTCGAACCTTAAGGAGCAGATCATCATCACTGTGTTCTACATGAACACAGCATGTTTAAACTGATAGACTCAATCAGCTGTTTTCATGTAGATTTGGAGAAGGTCTGGGTTTGACCAGAGAAAAAAAGTTTCTTCATTCAAGTATTACAGAGTTTTAGGACCATTATTATTGAAGTTCTTAGAGTTTCTTCACATGAAATCTGCTTTGTTCTCACCTCTCATGATATCCCTCTGGATGTATGTGTGTGTGCAGGTGGTCAGTGTGTGTTGGAGTGGTCTGCAGCTTCCCTGGCTAGACCTGGACTGGTTCATGGACATCTCCTCCAGAATCACACACCTGGATCTGTCATCTAATAACCTGTCCACTCTTCCCTCTGTGGTGCCCTGGGGCCTGATCCACCTTGAGACTTTGGATCTTTCTAATAACCAGCTCAAAGAGCTGCCAGCTACCAGCAGCTCCCAGGAAATCATCTGCTGCAGGTACTCACTGCAGGGGGTTCCTCACATTGATGCAGGGTCCATATAATTTTTTTTTTTCGAACATGTGCATGCAACACAAGAAAGTAAACTGAAAACAAACAAACAAAATCAATGAGAATATTCAAAACAACAATAACAATAATCAAAGCATCATGAATATCCCCAGTAATGCCTGCTCTACTCTTAGCAGGGGGTCTTTGCTGCTGCTCACAAATAAAACTTCTTTTGTGAAATTAATTATTTATCTTTAAGAAAGTGGTCCTGACTGAAGTGCCCATTGTTTCGGTCCAGTCCATTTACATCTGACCGAACTAGTGAGAATCACTCTGTCATGTGTTTTAGTTTACAGCAGGTCAACCTCTCCCAGAATAAACTCACTGGATTACCACATGGACTCCTCCATCTGACCCACATCCAGAGACTCTTTGCTGCCAAGAACCAGCTCACAGTCCTGTTTGACATCCCATCAAGTATGTCCTGACTCATGTGTATGTAACTATTGAATGTGTGCAGAGAACACTCAGATACACGCATATTTTACAAGTAACTTTGTCTTTAAAAAGATCTTGTTTTAATCATAATCATTTATCTACCACCCAAACGCAACACTGTTTTTATTCAGGAGTTTTCAGAGTTTCTTTCCCTTTTTATTTGTAAATATGACAAAATTCTTATTTTGGGTGATTTCAATGTACATGTCTGCTGTCCCTCACAACCCTTAACTGTTGATTTTATTGCAGCTCTGGACCCCTTTAATCTTACCCAGGCAATACAGGAACCCACTCATGTAAAGGGACATTGCTTAGATTTGGTTTTATTTACTGGACTTAGTCCAGGTGATAGATCTTTCTCCATCAGGGCTCCTCTACTTTGGAACGACCTGCCAGAGGAGATAAGGCGTGCAGAGACAGACATTTCTTTTTCGTAAAACTTAAAAACTCACTTTTACAGACTTGCTTTTATGTCATGCCGTCTTTTTCCTTTTTCTCCTTTTTCTTTTATCTCTTTTACCTCTATCTTATTTCGACTTGCTATCCTTTTAGCCTTTGTTTTACTTATAATCTTTTCTTATTTTCTTATTTTATTTTTAGGTCCTTTATTGATTTTAATGTTTTTTTTCCTGTTCATTTTTATTATTCAATTTTATCATTAATATTACCATCATTATTATTTTATTATGATTGTATTATCATTATTAATATCCTCTTTTATACTTACTATCCTATCCTTACTTATACTTACAATCCTGTTTCCTGCTTTCTGTCCTCCTTTTCTATTTTATTCTTCTTCTTACCTATTTTATGTTTTTATGTTGGTCCTCATGGTCTCATTTTATGTTGTAGGGTTCTTGTATTGCCTGGGTTTCTCATGAAAAATGAAACTGGCCTTTAATTCAGAGGCTTTGTTTTTAACTGAGATTTTGTTTTTATTTCCATGTGCTGATGTTCTGTTCTTGCAACTGTTGTCAAAACACTTTGTAAACTTCTGTTTTTTAAAAGTGCTAAATAAATAAATAAAGTTAAGTAAAGTTAAGTCTCTTGTCTAAAAGGCTGTGATTGATCAGCATGATTGTTGCTGAGATTTTTTCCTTTAGTGTCTGAATGGACAGGACCAGTATTTTCTTCATAAGGCTTTATTTTGAGCCGTTAGTAGTAACATGTTGTAAAAACTTAAGTTTCTCTGTTCCCAACTTACAGGAACATTAATGAATACACTGATGTTGTCTGATCTATATAAATGGAGCCTGTCGTATATCAGTTTTCAGAGTTAAAATGATGAATTTGATGGTCAATACGAAAAGATAAAGAGCTGTAACAGCTAGAGGATGTTGTGGTAGTTTATTTGGAATTTAGTGAGTCTTTCTTTTCGCCACAGGTACTAACTGGATTGGTCTCCGTAAGCTGGAGGAGCTGGATGTGTCTGAAAACTCTCTTAGCAGTCTGCCCATGACAGTCATGCACTCTCTAAAATCTTTGAGTTTCCTCAACGTCTGCAGGAACCAACTCAGCTGCTTCCCTGATGCCTGGGCCTGTCCACTGGTAAGAAACCACAAAAAACTGCTCTTTGTGTCTATGTACATCTAGTTTATACAGAATAGCCACATGTTATAGCCTGAATATGGGACCTCAGTTTTAAAAAGGGTTTTATTGGTGGCCCCCGGCGTGTATCATAAGTTTTGTTTTGGAGTCTGTAACAGTGATGCATCAGTTTGTCTATCTAGTTTGATAAGCCTTCAAGATCCTTTTTTAAACTACTTTTATGCTCTCATCACACAGAAACACTTCATTATTAACGACAAAGTTTCATACACTGCTGCACATTTAAAAGGTCATCTGTGTGTTGTCTTCCTCCATTGTCTACTACACGTAACTATGTTTTGATTTCCAACAGGGAAAATGCCGCAAAAGAATCAAAATAAGAATCCATTTGTAAATTTCACTTCGTGTTCGAGAGGCAATAGTCCTCATAGCACTTCTCTGATCAAAACAAAAAAGCCATGAAAATGGAGTGAAGAAGTTAGCTGGACCACCTTTGTATGTGCAAGAATCTGTATTTGATTCTAAATGGTGTTCAGTGTTGCCAACTCCTCAGTAAGGAAAGTAACTCGTGGCTGTCACAGAAGTGGCTAAAAGTCACTGGATGAGATCGATACCTGCATTCATGTCAGAGGCTCCAAACTCCAGAAAAAGTCACTAGATTTGTCGCAAGGCATTTTTTCGAAAATAAGTTGCTACTATTGATGTCCCCCGGGTCCTAGGTCCATGTCCCCCGGGTCCTAGCACCACCAACATTGGTTCCCCATTCTCACTAATAACAGTTTATGGGGAGCCAGGACCCGTCCCCCACTGTCACTCCCAACACCAGGAAAACACTTTAAATACCATATCAAACAACCTTACTGTAGACTCTGCCCCGCAGCCACCCACACACATCACCCACATCACCCTCAGCACCATCTTCCTCCATCCATGGACTCCCTATCCCTAACCCAATCATTACAACCTCAAACATATAAAAAGAGACCACCCCCATCCCCCACAAACACCAGAGCGAAAACTTAACATGGCACTTTTAAATGTACGTTCTCTATTAAATAAGACTGTTTTAATCAATGATCTGATTTTAGATAACGGTATTGATTTTATGTTTTTAACTGAGACATGGCTTGGCTCTGATGGACCCGCAGCACTTAATGAAGCATCCCCACCTGGTTTTAATTATTTACATTCTTTTAGAGAGGGTAGACAGGATGGGGGGACTGCAACAATTCTTTTTGGGTCACATGGTTTTAAAGAGGTTTTATTTGGTGATTTTATTTCATTTGAGTACCATTCCTTTGTTTTTAGCAGTCCTCCTATATTTTGTTTTTATATTTTTATCTATATATGTTACCATTAGGAGATGTCATCAGGAGACACAGCATTAACTTTCATAGCTATGCTGATGATACACAGCTCTACCTGGCTGTGTCTCCTGAAGACACAGGGCCCATTGATGCCCTTTTTGACTGTATTGTAGATGTCCAGTTCTGGATGGCAGACAACTTCTTGCAGCTCAACCAGGACAAAACCCAGGTTTTAGTCATCGGTACAGGTCCAGAGAGCGAGAGAAACTGGAGAACAAACTCAGAGGACTGTCTTTTAATCCCTCAAAAAAAGTTAAAACACTGGGTGTTATATGAGATTTTAATCTCAGCTTTGAATCACACATTCGCGATATCACCTAAAAGGCTTTTTATCACCTTAAGAACATCTCTAGAGTCCGCCAGTTTCTCTCTCAAGCCAATGCAGAGACTCTTGTCCACGCTTTTCTTACCCGCAGAATTGATTATTGCAATGCTCTCCTCTCTGGTCTTCCTAAAAAGAACATTTCACAGCTTCAGCTGCTGCAAAATTTAGCTGCACGTATGCTGACGAAGACCAGGAGGAGAGCCCAGATTACACCAATTTTAAAGTCTCTGCATTGGCTTCCTGTGTCTTTTAGAATAGATTTTAAGGTTCTTTTATTAGTTTATAAATGTCTTAATGGTCTTGGTCGTCCTTATTTTTCTGATTTGCTTTTACGATATGAGCCCAGTAGAGCCCTCAGGTCTTCAAGTAGTGGTCTTTTAATAGTCCCCAAAGTTAGAACCAAAACATACGGTGAGGCATCGTTTTATTATTATAGCCCCCGTCTGTGGAACAGTCTGCCTGAAGACCTGAGTGCAGCACCTACAGTTCATATTTTTTTAAAGCAAACTCAAGACCTTCCTTTTTAGTCTGACTTTTTAGCAGATTTTTGTTTTATTCCTCTAGCCTCTCTTTTTGTCTACTCTTTTTATCTTATGTATTTTACTTGTTTACTTTAGTCCCAAAATTATTATTTTATGTTTTAACACTATTTGTTTATTTTCTTTTATTGTTTGATTTAAAAAAAGTTTTATTATATAATATTTTATTATTATTATTTTGTTATTATTACTTTTTTATTTCAATTTATTTTTTTATCATTTCATGAGTTTCCTATATCTTATCATGGTTTTATCAGTTTGGAGGGTGGGTGTGTGGGTGGGGTTTTGCAATTTGTATTTTATTTTTGTATTTTATTTGGTATCTCCTGATCCTCTCCTTCTTGTGTTCTTTAATGTACAGCACTTTGTGATACAGTCTGTGCATGAAAAGTGATTGATTGATTGATTGATTGATTGATTGATTGATTGATTGATTGATTGATTGATTGATTGATTGATTGATTGATTGATTGATTGATAGGGGGGTCTGAAAAGTCGCTAAATCTAACAACAAAGTCACTAGGTTGGCAACACTGATGGTGTCCAAAGATAAATCTTATTTAAAGCTCTGAAAGATGAACTTTTGGTTTGTGTTATTAATGTCTTATGAGAAAAAATCTCATCTCACTGACTTTTGAATGTCAATTTGTGAATATTTAATGTAGATATCTAAAAAGGGGTTGTTTCTTTATCAGGGCACTGACACCTACCCTTCACACCAATTTCAGTATCAAAAATTCCTGTGTGAAAATCGTATTTCTTGTCAAAGATGCTCTTTTTCTCTTTAAAATCTCATAAAAACACATCAGTATGAATTTCAGTGTATTTTATTGATGTCCAAAAACTCCTCACAGGAGCTTTAATCTTTTTCATGGTCTTTACGGTCTCCATTCATTGTGAAGTGGTGCAGCTGTTGTTTGTCTCTGATGTAAAAGTAAATATGTTTTTGGGGTGGTAGTTTGCCAGATTTGTTTGGAAACTTGGAGATCTCAATCCTCATTAAATCACAGGAGGACTAGACACACAAAGAAAGAGGACAGGTTGTAAGAGAGGTGTCAGTTCAATGCTCTGTGAATTGGTCAGCCGGTCAAAGTTGTCTTTAAAATAATACAGACATTCCTGTCTCTCTCCACAGAAACAGTGCAAAGCTTCTTCCAACTTAATAAAAAGTCTTCCAGACACCTTCTCCATCTTCTGGAGGACTCACCTGCAGGAGCTGGACTTCTCTGATAACAGCCTGACAGAGCTGCCTGCACACATCTTTGAGCTGGAGGTAGGCACCATCATCTGGATTTGTTACGGTCCAACTGAAAAGCAGCAAGCTTAGGAGCTCCAGATGGTCCAGTCTGGTGTGTGTGGTCTACTCACTAGCCTCTAGATGGCATTGTGGCTCAACAGAAGGCTTTATCTCCTGGTCGCCGAGTTTCTTTGTTGCTTTTGAAACTTTGAAGCACCATAGAGGATTAAACAGAACTTTAAACGAATGAGCTTCAAAAAAGAAACACTCACAGGATCAAGTTCACTCTGAGGTGACATATTTTAAGTCAAAGAATTGATCTCAGTCACAGATTCATTTACTTTTTTTTTCTAACTTTCTTTGCTGTCAGATATAAGGGCTGCAGGGAAATGTACCAAACTGAAGTGTTTACATTTTTTGATGGGCTAGCAGTGAATAATGCAACAATAGAGCCGTCGTCATGATCATGTCAGTCAGTCTCATCCTTTTGATCTTTTCTTTTTTCATGTCTTTCTGTTTGCAGAAGCACGCAGATCGCTCCCTTTCTCTCCTCACAAATGCACTTTTCTGTTACTGCTGTCCTCTGACAGGAACTTAATTCCTTCACTGCCTGGGTGACAAGTCCTGTCCTGTATACAATAGTATAGCATGGTTTGCCTGGAGCAGTGACACTGCCACTTGAGGCACCTGAGTGACTGACCAAACACTGCTCACTCTCTGAAGAAGAGGCCTGATACAGCCGTTTCTCAACAGCTGCCAGAGGCTGCAGATACTTTCCTGAGAGGGAACAGCTCTGCAAAAAAACAATGAAGTGAACATACAGGTCCACCACAGCTAAAGCTACAATCCACTGTCAATCAAATCATCTTCCCCTTCTACTGCATTCAATCCCATGTCCTGCTGTTCACAAATCAAAGTGTCCTTATGTGAAACATTGAACCTCAGAGAATGAATAAATAAATACATGAATAAATAGAGTCCATTTACTGTTGACTCTCTGTCTCTGTAATGTTGTCAGACATTCAGATGAACAGTCTGACTCTGTTGGAGACTAAAACACAGCCTTCTGGTTGATAAACTTTGGTTTAGCTGCTGGGTGAAGCAAATAACTTTTAAGACCTCTTTGTAGTGTAAACAAAGTTAAGTAAAAGTAGGTCCAGGATTTCAGATCTATATGATCCTGCTTTAAATTCAAGTAACTTTGTGGGGCTTTATGTTCTCCTGGCCGCTCAATGTCAGAGAAAGCTAATTGTCTGAATTCCTCTTAGAGTAAATAGTGAGTGTGTGGTTTACAGTATCTCACTCAGCCTCCCCTCCTCCACCCTGCAGGCTCTGGTCTCTCTGAGGTTGTGTGGGAACCACATTGCGACACTCCCAGCCTCCAGTAAGTGGAAATGCTCTCAGCTCAGGACCCTCGACTTTTCCAGGAACCAGCTGGGCAAGTAGGTCCTCGGAGACACCCACACTGTCTTGTCTTTGTGTGCGAGTGTGTCAGTTAAGGTCAGCTGTTAATGTACATCTCAGCCTCCACTTCAGCCTTAAATAACAGTGTGTAGAGCAGCAGGGCCGTGTATACAAGTTTGGATGCTGAAGATGTAGTTTGGTTCAGGGATGACCTTGTCATTTTGTTTGAAATATCAGGTTGAACTTTTTGACACATGCTGATGATGACACATCAGAGGTCAAAGATGAAGTTTACATTTGTGCTCACTTTCAGTCCAGTGACTGATTTGTGTCGTTTAGCATGTATCTTTACAAGAGTTAAAACTTGGACATCATGCTGTGGGCACAGTTTGGAAGTACAGAGGAGTGACTTATTTCTGTATTTCAAACTGTGTCTTTAGGACTGAGGAGGGACCCAAGTCCAGGAGGCTGGCCTTTCTAACCACGTGGAACAGGAGGGACCCTGACCCAGGTTAGATCTGCTTCACAGTCTGATGAATAAAATCCCCCCAAAAAAGCGATCACAGGAGCAGTTTTACTTCAGCTCGATCAAAATCATTGGGATTCATGAATTAACACTAAATGTTGTGTTTTCATGGATATTTAACATCTGATCTAAACACAGATGATGCTTCGTCTTTGTATCCAATATGTCAAAATTAATAATATAATAAATGAACCTATATTTACATGTCTTTATATACTGTTTATCAACCCTCAGCCTCCTTATTTAGTTATGTTTTATCTCTCTTATATTTTTTTATGTGTTTATTTTTCTTTTTTGTTGTTTATGTCGTATTCTGTTTTTTTATTTATCTATATATCAATTATTAATTTATTTTATTCTATTCTGTTTTTGTTTATTTATCTATTTTTTGTCATGTCTTATTCAGATTTATACTTATTTAACACTGTGACAGACAGTGATTTTTCCTTGTAATTTTCCCTCTTTTTTAACCACTAGGTTTGCTTAGCAAAAGTCTTATGATTACGCTAACCAGACCAAATGCAAAATGCAACAATGTAAACATTTGGTCCCTGAGCCGGACCTTCTAGGCAGACTTTGGGTGAGAAAGACCCCTAAATGAGCATTTATTTTTCATAACACAATAGCATTAATCAGTTTCAGTTTAGGGTTTTGCATAATTTTTAATTAAACAAAGAATTCAGACCTGTCTTTGACCCAGGAGACTGGCTGCTGGACAGTCCTTTTTACAGTCTTTCCCCTTCTTCAGCTGATTTCCTTCAAGCAGGACTCAGAGTGATTGGTGTTAGGGTTAGGTTAGGGTTTATACTGGAGTTAGCTAAAACCAGTAGGAGTAAAGGGTTTCCTGTGTTTCCGTGTAAGGAGCTGGAGTTGAGGGGATTTTGAGGGTTGAACTTGGAGCCACCTCTGGTATTAATCCTCAGACATGTTGTGTGTTGTGTTTGCTGTATGTTTCTCTGTCCCCACAGTGTGTCCCATAGAGTTTCCCATGATTCTGCGGGAGTCCCTGGAAGTGCTTTACTTGAACGACAACCAGCTGGAGTGTGTCCCCCAATCTGTGTGTGGTCTGCACAGCCTCACTGAGCTCTACCTCTCCAAGTGAGTCCCTCTGTCTGCCTGTTCCTGTGTCTCTGAGTGTCTCTGTTTACAGGCTGTCCCTCTCAGTCCTCTGTCTATATGCTGCTGATGCAGAGCTTGATAAGTTTTTGCTGTTTTTTTTCAGCTACCCTTTGGACTAATATTTGTTGGAGGTTATAATGCCCTAGTTTTTCTGCAAGCATTCACGAAAAGGCTAAAAACAAGATCAAGGTGTTGAGCACTCGGTCACATTTTTAGAGGCTGAGCTGTTGAAGGCATGATTTGCTTTCTTTGAAGATGAGGTTTGTCAAAAGTAAGGATCACCCATTGAAGATCCTAGTGAGCCAGCTTGACTCCTTAATTTAGAAACCAGCCAGAGTACTGGAGTGGAAGCAAGGCCATCAACTGCTGTGGACAGGGTCAACTCTACCACATTATATGGCCAATAAAAGACCCCAAAACACCCAAAGACTGATGTTGGTGGAGGTGCATGCTCCATCTGCTCTGCCAGAAACCATTCATTTCTGCACCATCCTCAAATGTTATCTAATCGTATTTCTCCGCCTGCAGCATGCTTGTCAGCTGTTCAGGCCTTAAGTGCATCAGTCAGTTTCACTTTCCCACGGTGCACTGATAATATTGTAGAATTGATACTTCTGCAGCAAAGTCTCGACAAAATGCCAAACCTCAAAAGGCACCAAAGATTGTCCAGCAGTTTGTTCTTAAGCTCAGTCTTCCCTGTCAACGATTAACAGTGTATTTTACTAAGGTCATCATGCAGACGAAACTTATGTTGTAGAGGCAAGTCCAACTAGTATCAATTCCTATTCCCTATACCCACCAGCTCAGAAGAGTGTCTGCCACCAGTCATGGTTTTTGTCTCTTTCAAAAAACACATCATGTTGGCTTTTTTCTCATAGACTGAGGAGCTGCAGAAACTTAAGTTTCCAAAGAAATTTAAAGGTTAGGCCTGTCTGACTTAAGACAAGAACTAACAAAGTGAAAAATAGCTCAACTTCTTGGGCTTCCCCTGAAATCCTCGAGTCCCTGGGAACCCCTGCTCTCTATGAGCTCAGTCTGCTGCAGAGCCTTGCAGCTGTCTTCTAACCAGCAGAAGATTTCTGCACTCACACACATACCAGAGTTACTAAATTAACGGAAGTCATGGATCCACAGAGTCACACTGCTGCCAAAAATGACTTCAGATTCACGTCCATCTGACTGACTGTAGAAAAAGCGGCTCATGTGACCTGACAGGCTCTTTAGATAAGAATCTGTGAGATCCAAATAATTTTAAGGAATCCAAGTAAAGGATAAGTTATAAAACTGTTGAGCGACTGAATTTCAGGCCACTGCAGTCTTCCTGTAATGTGATGTTGTATCTCTCCTGCTCTGGGGTCAGTAATCCTGGGATCAGGGAGCTACCAGCAGAGCTCGGTCAGCTCTCTAACCTGTGGCAGCTGGACATCGAAGACCTCAACATCACCAATGTGCCCCAGGATGTGAGGAAAGAAGGTACAGCATCTATGTATTCAGACCAACCTTTTCCAAGAAATGTATTGAAAACGGCTTATCTCCAGACTGTCACCTACAGTATAAAGGGCAGCTGACGCTTTTCTAGTGCTTACAGATAAAAAGTATGTCAAAGCAATAATAAATGATAATAAAAATATATTTAATTTATAGGCACCTTTCAGGACAATCAAGGTTGTCATACAAAACAATTAACAGACAAGTAAAATACACATTAGCACATCAAAACGGTTTTAAATGAAAGAGAAGAAAGAAAACAACCCCAGTCCAAGAAAACATGATATGCCATTTGAAAAGATGAAACCAGAATCTGCTTGTTTGCAAACCATTTTAATGTTCAATATAGAATAGTGCAGAAACTGAGACAACAAAAAAAAACAAATATCTTGCAAGGTGGGAGTCTCAGTCTGCTGCTGAATGAGCTGCTTAAAGCCCCCACAGTCTGGTGCAGTGGGTGAGAGGGATTGTCCATGATGGATACAAGCTTTGCTAACATCCTCCTCTCACCCACCTCCTCCAGGGAGTCCAAAGAGCAGTCCAGGACAGAACTGGCCCTCCTGACCAGTCTATTCAGTCTCTTCCTGTCCCTCTCGGTGCTCCCTGCCCCCCAGCAGACCACTGCATAGAAAAGTGCAGATGCTACCACAGAGTCATAGAAAGTCCTGAGCAGAGTCCTGCACACTCCAAAGGACCTCAGTCTCCTCAGCAGGTGGAGACGACTTTGGCCCTTCTTGTACAGGACGTCTGTGCTGGTTGACCAGTCCAGTTTATTGTTGAGGTGGACACCCAGGAATCTGTAGGACTCCACCATCTCGATGTCCAGACCCTGGATGTTCACTGGAACAGTCTGAGGTGTCGTCCTCCTGCCTAAATCCATGACTATCTCCTTTGTCTTACTGGCGTTGAGCTGGAGGGGGTTTTTGCCACACCAGTTGACAAAGTCAGTGATGACAGTCCTGTATTCCCGCTCATCCCCTGACGATACACATCCGACGATGGCTGTGTCATCAGAGAACTTCTGGAGGTGACAGTTTCCAGAGTTGTAGCTGAAGTCTGATGTGTACAGGGTGAAGAGGAAGGGGGAGAGCACTGTCCCCTGTGGAGCCCCCGTGCTGCAGACCACCATGTCCGATACACAGTTCTGAAGCCTCACAAACTGTGGTCTGTCGGTGAGGTAGTCCACGGTCCATGCGGCTAGGTGACAGTCCACTCCCGCCCTCAGAGCTTCCCCCTGAGCAGTGAAGGCTGGATGGTGTTGAAAGCACTGGAGAAGTCAAAAAACATGACCCTCACAGTGCTGCCGGTATTCTCCAAGTGGGCCATGGACCTCTGCAGCAGGTAGATGACAGCATCGTCCACCCCGATGTTCGGCTGGTACGCAAACTGCAGAGGATCCAGATGAGAGCTCACCAGGAGGCGGAGGTTCCTCAGCACGATCCTCTCCAGAGTCTTCATCAGGTGAGAAGTGAGGGCCACAGGTCTGAAGTGGTCGGGCTCCCTGGGGTGTGCTGTCTTGGGGACAGGAATCATGCAGGAAGTCTTCCACAGTGTTGGGACCCTCTCCAGACTCAGGCTCAAGCTGAAGATGTGCAGTAGCACCTCACAGAGCTGGTCTGCACAGTCCTTCAGGAGTCTGGAGCTGATGCCGTCAGGACCCGTGGCTTTCCTTGGCTTCATCTTCCTCAGCTCACTTCTCACCTGGTCAGCTGTTATGGAGAGGCTGGGGGTGGTGCTGGAGGGGGTGGTGGAGGATGAGTGGAGGGGGGTTGATGATGCCGGTGCCATGGAACTGAGGTGGTGTGAAGAAGAAGCAGCAGACGGGTCATTGGTTTGATGAGTTGGGGGAGGAGTGGGAGCAGAGTCAAATCTATTGAAGAACAGATTCAGCTCGTTGGCCCACTCCCTGTCTCCTGCTTCAGGTCCACTCTCATGGCCCCTGCTATGACCTGAGATGGATTTCAGGCCTCTCCAGACCTCCCTCGTGTTGTTCTGTTGCAGAAGGTTTTCCATCTTGGTCTTGTAGCTGGCCTTCCCCTCTCTGATCTTCTTCTTCAACTCCTTCTGCACCCTCCTCAGCTCCTCCTTGTCCCTGGATTTAAAGACCCTCGTTTTCTCCTTCAGGAGGACTTTAAGTTCCGGGGTCACCCAGGATTTGCTGTTGGAGAAACACCGTACTTTCTTGGTGGGTACGGTGTTCTCAACACAGAAGTTTATATAGTCTGTGATACAGTCTGTCATGGTGTCGATGTCATCACCATGTGGGCCGCACAGTACATCCCAGTCTGTGGTCTCAAAACAGTCCTGCAAAACAAAGTGCTAGAGTCATGAAATGCACATCCATGGTTGGAATATGCAAAACACAACACTGCTAAATAAAAACAAAGACAAATAAGGTGCAAAAACAACAATAAGAAGGCAAAAACGTAAAGTCTGTGAGGAGCTGCTGTGACTTGCTGCCACTCTCAAGGCACTCAGTCACACACATCATAGGTCAAAGAAAACAAAAAGAAATGTCAGAGAAAACAAAAAAGAAGCTCAAAGAAAAAAAAAGAGATCAGAGAAAACGGGTTTCAACTGATGATGCATGTCTTTGTTAAATTTTGTTTTGTATTTGCCGGATACACCTAGTTTTAGAGTATAATGTGTATTACTTCATCCTGTGTTTATCATGTATTTGCTTCGGTAACATGCAGTATAACTTTTATATCGATAAAATCCAAACTGTGACATCTCTGATCTGCAGGTCCTTGTTCTATACTGGCTTTCCTCCGGGCTCAGCTTCGAAAAGCAGAACCTTACAGACTGCAGAAGATGCTTGTGATTGGCCCACCGAGGCAGGGGAAGACCACCCTGCTGGAGGCTCTGCAGTTTGGGAGGATCTCCCCCTTCACTCCTGCAGATCGCAGCATCTCCACCTTTACCTGGGAGCTGGAGAAGCCCAACGGAGGCAAAAACAGTGTAAGCTAAGGGGGATGGCAGACTCACCTTCGTCTGTTTTGATTTCAGACCATTAGCTGTTTGATTTTGATTTTTCACCCTATGTTAGCTTTTCTTCCTCAGCAACTCTGTATAGCTGCGCAGCCAGAGTTACTGCGGAAAGGAAAAGCAGTCAGAGACAAATAGGGCCTGAGGTTTGCTGCCGATGAGTTCATGTTTCTGAGAGATACCTCCACCAGCTCAGCAACAAACCTGTTGAGAGATCCACTCTTAATATTATTATTAATAGATGGACAGAAAAAATTAGCATGACCAGACTCTGAGGATGTACAGTACTGTCTGTGTAATAACAGTTTACTATCAGTATCAACGTGAAAAACTTGATCACGTTTAATTCTGTGCACATGACAGACTTTTGTCTCAACAAGTGGAGTCCCTGTATGTTTGAAGCCAATCTTAAACTAACGACTTTTTCATGTTTTAGTCATCTCAGGCTCTACTTTTTTTACCTGACAGTTCGACATTCCCTGTAGAATAGAAGAGAATATTCCTTTATTGATCCCCCATGGGGGAAATTTTTTGTCACAGCAGCATCACAGACAACGTGCAAAAACACAGTTATAAAAATAAAGATCGTCGTATATTAAGAACTTAAATAAATGTAATAATTAAGAAAAAAAATAGAAAAGAAAAAAGGAGAAGAAAATATAAAACTAGATACAATATACACAATTTAAGTACCAGAAAAAAGTGGTGGTGTGAGTTCAGTTATTATTACAGTTCGTTGTAAAGTCTTATTGCAGAAGGAAGGAAAGACCTGCAGTAGCGCTCCATCTTGCAAGGTGGGAGTCTAAGTCTGCTGCTGATGGAGCTGCTTACAGCCCCCACAGTCTGGTGCAGTGGGTGAGAGGGATTGTCCATGATGGATGTATCACTCAGCTCTGGTTTTGTTCCCCACAGAAGGACTCAGTGGCGTTCAACGTCTGGGACATCGGAGGGCAGGCCAGCATGTCCACAGTAAACCAGTGTTTCTTCACTGATAAGGCCCTGTATCTGGTGGTCTGGAATCTGGCTCTGGGAGAGGAGGCTGTGGCCAACCTGCAGACATGGCTGCTCAACATAGAGGTGACGTTTATCTCTCTCTCTCTCTCTCTCTCTCTCTCTCTCTCTCTCTCTCTCTCTCTCTCTCACTCACTCACTCACTCACTCACTCACTCACTCACTCACTCTGTCTCTCTCTCACTCACTCACTCACTCACTCACTCACTCACTCACTCACTCACTCACTCACTTACTCACTCACTCACTCACTCACTCACTCACTCTCTCTCTCTCTCTCTCACTCACTCACTCACTCACACATTTCTGCTGAGTGTATGAGTGTTAAAAACAGGGCGAGGTTGATTCTGAGCAAAGCACTGGTGTAAGTGTTTCCAGTGAAGAGGGGAGGAGTGTCCTGATTTAAAGGAAGTTTAATTGCTGTCAGACCACATGAACCAATAACTGCCTGATGGATGTAATTGAATGGAAACGTGTTGAAACGTCTGAACTTATATTTCATATGAAGCCTTGTTTCTAACAAACAGTTAATAATGTGTCTTCAGTGGAAGAGATTAACCACATTAAAGGCTCATTCCTGTCTCATTTGTGATGAATGTTTGTTTACATTTTATAATCAGTTGAGTAGATTGCATCAGTCTGACATTTAAAGTCTGTCCAGTAAAAGTTCTTAATTATGTTTGAGTGTTTGCAGCAAGCATTTCAGTTTGGTCCAGTTTAGGGCGGTAAACCCTGATCTTGTTTTTTTGCTGGGAGTGTTTTGGCTGTGTGATCATTCCTAAACAGCCTGACTTTGGTTTCAGCGTGCATTTTAGTAACAGAGACCACTGGTATGAGCAAAATATTTAATGCCTGTCTCATACACAAAATTACAGACTCCTAGTCTTGCCAATTTTATTCCAAAAGCTGCATTCATATCTTTCCAAAAGCATTTCCTGACCTAAAAAACAAAAGAGAGAAAAAAGGGGAGATATCTTTTATTTATGCAAATAGTTTTACTGATAAGAATAATCCAAAAAGGTCTCTCCTGCTCCTCCTCCTCCTCCTCCTCCTTCTCAATCAGAGAGTTGAAGTGTGTCTAGCTCCACACTTGGCGGTTGGACAGGTGGTCTTAGTAAGTCAGATCAAGAAAGCCAGAAATGGAGGACAGTACTTTGCCTGGCATTTGGTAGTGGAAATGCAAGTTATTTTGTTTCAGGCTGAACTCAATTAAACCAGGCCTCTTCTAGGAAATACAGTTTTAGTGTCTGACAACCATGTGAAGAAAGAGCATTATTGGTTTAATTCAAGACAGATTAATGACATATTTCAAGTCACTAATTTAGTCTGCAGATCACAAGGAGTGCTGGTGTGATTTTAGTTTTTATGAGTTTGGTGGGTTTTTATTTATATATTTTTTTTGTCAGTTTAGTTCAGACAAAATACTTTAAAAGCTCACAGGTTCAGACCTGAAGCAGAGCATATAGTGTTTGTTTGTTAAAGGGGTCTGATACTTCACACAGATGAAAGTCATGACTGTTTCTCCCCCTTGAAGAGGAGTTTGCAGAGTAGAATTAATCACTTAAAAATGTAACATATCCATCTTAATGAAATACATCCTCCTCTTCTTTGGAAAAAAAGGATTATCTCTGGGGTCCTTCGTTTGATCATCAGACAGATGCACTTGTTTTCTGATATCCAAAGCTAACTGACCCACTGTAAACATCATTGAGCATACGTATCTCTGTGCCTTTGATTGTACTTCAGCTTTGACATCAATTCGTAAACATGTTGGTTTTGTGTGTTTTGGTCTGCAGGCTCGAGCGCCAAATTCTGCAGTGCTGGTGGTGGGAACACATTTAGACCTCATTGACACTAAGTTCCGCACTGAGAGACTGGCCACGCTGAGGGCCTACATTCTGGCTCTGTGTCGGTCACCATCAGGGGCTCGAGCCTCGGGTTTCCCCGACATCACCTGGAAACACCTACAGTAAGACATTTCAGTGTACGTTTGTGTTGACTGAAGGATGCTGCTGTGGGTTCATGTGGACTCTTGGTGTATGAATCAGAAAATCTCAATGAGTGTACATTCACCTGTGATGTGTCTGTGTGGTCAGTGAAGTGTCCTGTAAGACCCTGGAGGGCCTGAATGTACTGAAGAAGCTGATCCAGAAGGTGGCTCTCTCCATGAAAGACAGTGGCAGCTCAGCGGGGGGCAGCAGACTGCTTGGCAGACTAGTGAGTGAGACAGTCAAGTATATAAAGTCTTAAAGGGATATCCCGGCAAAATTTTAAGTCATGGTCAAACACACCATAACACAGAGTTAGTGTTTTATCCTTTATACAACTCATGTCATAAAAAAAGAGTAATTCTCTCTGTTGGTAAAGGCTGTTCAGCTCAAGAAACTCCTTTCATTTCTATGTTACCATGAACCAGAGACAGGTTTATATCATCATGTCCTCCACCAGATCCCCAGGAGCTACCTGAACCTCCAGGAGGCCATGATCCGAGAGAAGCAGAGGAGAGATGCAGAGGGAGAGGTCCAGTACCTCACTGATGTCCAGCTGGATGGTATTATCGAACAGAGCCCAGGAAGTGACATCAGAGACTACGAGGACCTGCAGACTGGTACTATGACTCACTCAGTAAATAAATATCTATTTCAAAAGAAACGAGTCAGCGGTACCGAACCAGAAGTAAAGAATAAGTTGAATAATCTGCCCACCAAGCAGCTCCTCGAAGGTTTCCCTCTTCTGGAGAGTTGATTTCAGCGCTCGGCTTTTCATTTGTGTTGCTCTTTGATGACTTGGTATGTTGCATAAAGACTGCTATTTGTAGTGTGGGAAAGTCACAGCTCTTTCCCAAAGATAAATGCACCAGAAAACAGCAGTGAACCTTTATATCATAGACTGTATATAGAATGAACAGAGTCTGCCTCCTCGCTGGGTAAAGCCACTCCGAGAACAGCCGCCTCTGATGGTGGGCTGCAGTATAGGTCATAAATCCCGCCTCCTCCAGCAAAGCTTATGGAGCTGTGGACAAACTTTAGAAATTTATTATGCAGAACATAAATTTTTCTCCCCCCTGCTTATGATGTTGACATGTATTTATTGTTAGACTGGTTTGTGCTCAAGTCCTCTTTTTTCTGTGAAGCTCTGTTTTTAAAAGTTATTAGGGGGTTCATGTTTTCTATGATTGACACTTGGTACAGCCTATGGGCGTTCAGGGATTGCGTAGCTCTCCTGGGGGATACGCTGTTTGAGTCATCACAGCGACTCTCTGCGACTGTGTGGCGGAATGCGCACATCGCTACTGCGCAGCGCTGGTTTCAGGAAATGAAGAAAAATCCCGGAAATGCCGAGAGCTTTTTGGCTTCAAATCCGTATACAGGCGGGAGGTGGAACCAAGTTGTCCAAAGTATAGTATAGTTTATATCTTCAAGACAACAGTCACTCTGTGATGGTTTGTGTTCCCCACTCCTCTGGTAACTACTTTGTAAACAAAAGCCAGTGTGAGCAAGATTTGTGTCTCAATTGTCATGAATACCTGGGACTGTTTCATCTAAGAAAACCTGGAATTAACATTATTAAAGCTAATGCAACCTATGAGCCACTGTGGGATTTTTCTCAAAGACTTTCAGTCGTTTTATGACTACAGAGCTGTGTGAAATGTAACACAGACCAAACCAGTCAGTCCAGATGTCACAGCACACACAGGTTCTTATGATAATGTTTTTTCTTACTTATTTCACTCTGGCTAAGCAGTGTGCTGACTGTGTCACTATCGAGGCCAAAACTCGCTAATGGGGCAAAATAACTCGCTTATTTTGAAAGAACACCAGTGTTGACTATGAGTTGTCTTTGTTAGTTGTGAACTATTTGTCATGTTTGCCTATAGCTTTCATACAGTACCCAGTATCCCAGCTTGTGTGCCTGTTTAATCCTCTGGTTACACCATCTATGGACAAACATGGGGCTAATGACTCCTCTGTCTCCTGAATCCACTTCCAGCCATCAACTTCTTGATAGAAACAGGGACCATGCTCCACTTCCCAGACACCAGTCATGGCCTGTGCACCCTTTACTTCTTGTGCCCTGTTTGGTTGTCTGAATGCCTGGAGAGGATCCTGCACCTCAAGTCCTCTCGCTCTGTCGCCAGGAACGGAGTGATCCGAGCGGAAGACCTCAGGGTAAGCATCAGGAACCAGTTAAAGTGCAAGAGACTGGGAGTAGTTAGGGGAGCTGTCCGTCTTTTTATTTCCCAGTTTCACTCAGAAACCTTCTGTCACCCAAAAACCTCTTTAGACAACATGGTACCAGACACACATTTACATGACTCACAGCCCGCATTATTCTGATCTGATGGCCTTTATTGTTGTATTTAAAATAAATGTAGTCGTTGTTCAGTTTTTATGAATAGTTATGAGCTGCGAAGACCAGGAGTGTTTTTTGACCAGACTGTAAACATGTTTTTGCTTTACTGTAAAAATGTTGACTTTCTGTGGTGATGTTCTGTGATTCAGATGCTGCTGGTGGGAACGGGCTTCACCGAGCAGACAGAGGAACAATATTTCCAGTTTCTGGCCAAGTTTGAGATCGCTCTTCCTGTGGCCAACGACAGGTAAACATTTGTTAAGCTTGTCAGTAGTCATTTAATACAGTTATTGATTCTACAAGAAAGTGGCACCTGTTCTAAAAAATAACTGCAAACCAATTATGTGCCTGTGCACCTCCTCATATCATATGCAACACCATTTTCATTCAAGTGTGGACACTGATAACAGCAGAAGTTGATGATTTTCAAATCATTTAAATCCATATTTAACTAAAAGTAGTGCAAAACCAACACGCTGGTACAGGAGCATGTTTACAACTGTGTTACATCACCACCTTTCCTTTTAACAACACTGCCAATATCTGGGAACCAAGGAGAGCAGCTTCGGCAATGGGAAAGAGAAATGTTGTCTGAGTTTTGCCTGATGGAGGATTTTCAGCTAATCTACAGATCAGAGTCTCTTTTCTCTTGTTTTCCATTTCAAGTATTTTCATACAGTGACAAGTAAGGCCTGCAGACAGACCAGATTAGCTCCTAGACTTTTCTAGAGCCGTGCTGTTGTAATCCCTGTTGTCAGAATGTGGTTTGTCATTGTCTTGCTCAAATATGAAGGCCTTCCCTGTAAAAGTCTTTGTCTGGATGGCAGCAGATGTTGCTCCTAAACCTGATTTCTCTCTTCAGCATTAATGGAGCCTTTACAGATGTGGAAGATACCCATGCTATGGGCACCTACGCATCAGGGAAACTGAACTTTGTGTTAATAGCAATCCAGGTGGCCCCTCTCCTTTTTCGAAAAAAAAAAAGACTAGTGAATTATGATTCAGCAGACCGATTCAGCAGACGTTTCCTTTTCCCTCAGTCCTTTTCAAACTGATTTGGACCAAGAGAAGTCCGGCTAGACTAACCTGTATTTGTGGATGCAGTAACAAACAGTGGACGTGATTTTGAGCTCATACAGTGTCTTCAAATACAGAGTCTGGTTTTAAAGCGGTGCTGCCTCAGGGTCATCAAACATTTTTTTTTTTTTTATGTCCCTTTCTTGTAGTGATTTCTCCAGATTCTCTGAATCTTTAAATAGTGTACCATGCAGGAAATAAAAAAAACAATCAGGAACATTATTCTATTTCTTCATGCTGTCTCTCACAAAGAACTGAACCTCTTTACTTCTGAGAGACTCAGCTTCTCTGTAATGCCTAAAGTAGTTGTTGATGTTCCTCCACATGCTTCTTATTTTAAGATAAAGCAACCTCATCTGTGTTTTGTTGTCCTTGCTCAAACCTTATGCAGGCATTGTGTTTAAAATGAACATATATGTTTTCATTCAACAATAAGATTTGTCAGTTTCAACATCTGACATGTCTTTGCACTATTTACTTCAAGAAGGTTTGAGTGATTATCGAACTATCCGATTCTGCAAATGATCAAATCAGACTAAATAACAGCTGAATCAATGATGAAACCACCCCAAACACTTAAACAAATGTCAAGCTATCAGCTCATGGTTCTCCTGCAAATATCTACTTGAGAGTTTGGCAGCCAACAAACACCAAACTAGAACTGAGAAATGTAACCATCACACAAACAAACAAACAGCCTGGAAACAACGTAAACACACTGAAGCCATCAGGCCAAACAACATGCCACCACCTGGACAGTTCAGGGAAACACCTCACAAACTACAGACACTACAAACAGTCAACATTGCAGGGAGGAACTTGTTGCTGACTACAACAAAACCCCATCACTACCACCAAACAATTATGTCCTCTGCCTCCTTTGACCTTTAACCGTTTTGCATGTGCTTTTCTCTCCACAGATATCTGCTGCCCCACCTTCTTCCCCCAAAACCGGCCATGGACATTCACAGCTTTCGCCAACAAACTAACAACACCCTGCAGCGCCTCATCAGGATGAGCTTTGTCCCTGCTGGATTCTGGGAGCGCTTCATTGCCAGGATGCTGATAAGCCTCACAGAGATGGACCTGCAGGTAGTAAAAACAACAGTAGTAACAACAACAGTCATCATCACTTACCTTTTCTACTCCACGAATTGAACACTTGTCACCTGTCATTCTGTGTTTGAGCAGTCTTTTGAACCAAAGAGGAATGCCAGGAGCAAGCACAGCAGGACCTCCGTGATCCACAGTTTCGGAAGTGCCCAGAACAGGAACCGCTGCAGCACCTTCAGAGTCAGACGCAGCAAGACCATTTACTGGAAGGAGGGACTGCTGGTCACCTTTGATGGAGGTTACCTCAGGTCAGAGCTGAGGCTGGAAGGATGCGAGCAGAAATCTAATTAGACAACCACTAAAGAGAGAATATAATGAAGAGTGTAGGGGTTAGGGTTGGACTCAAGGAGAACCGGGGTAAATTTAAGCTAGGGTCAAACACTGTAACACCGAGTTAGACACCCCCCCTCGAGTTATGAATGTTGCAGACTGCTTGTCTCTCCAGTTACACCAACTTTAGATACCAATACACAGTGGTCTACATCTCCACATGCAAACCTCAACAAAAAAGCCACTCTATAGCCACAAATAATGCTCAGAACAGCACCTAACTTTATCAATAGTACATATAGGGTCCCAACCAAAGTACGAGCCATCAGTCATCTTTTTAGCTCTGTCTGGTTTCTTTACCTACGAGACTAAACACAACTCACCCACTCTCTTCCAGCAGCCGCTTGTTTGTGGAGGAGCCCTGACGAGTCGATTACAGAGTGCAGCAGAGTTTCACTCAGTGCTCAAGGAAGAACATTTATGACCATTACTTCATGGAAATGTAATCAGTCTGAGACACTAAGGCAGAAGAACTACCGCGTCTGCAGTCCAAAATGATTATTATGACAATTATTACTTCATGGAAATGTTCTGCTGCACTCGGTGATCGACTTGTTAGGGTGAGTTGTGTTTGGTCTCTTTGCTAAAGAAACCAGTCAAAGCTAAAAAGATGTTTGATGGCTATGGCTGGGACCCTCCCACTGAGCAATAGGTGGCTATTACATGTCAAATTTTTCTTTTAGACCTAATTTCACTGTGTATATTCTGTATATTTTCAAACGAAATTTAGACGTTGTATTTTAACCCATTATTCGATAATTATTTATTTCAAAAAACAAATGTGAGTTGCATAACTGATCTCCAAGTACTCAACCAAAATAAATATGATAGCCGTTGAGCAAAAAATGCTCAGTGGGCTGTTGGACCTCTGTTAGCCGGCTAGTCTGAACTTGGTCTTAATTTAGATGTCTAAAAAACTTTCATTTTTAGACCTGTGGTAGCCTGATTTTACACCAGTCGTCTAGGCTACATTTAGACGTCTATTAGACCTCTTTTAGAAAATAAAATGCTCAGTGGAATATGTACTGTTGATGAAGTTAGGTGCTGTTCTGAGCATTATTTGTGGCTATAGAGTGGCTTTTTGGTTGAGGTTGCACGTGGATACGTAGACCACTGTGTATTGCTATTGTGCAGTCTTTGCTGAGGTTGGTATAACTAGAGAAGCAAGCAGTCAGCAACATTCATCTGTCAAGGGAGTGTCTAACTCGGTGTTACAGGGTGTTTGACCATAACTTGAATTTACACCGGTATATCCCTTAAAGGACAGGACAGGGTAAACAGCAGGTTAGAACCGGCAGGACGTACTGGTTTGCAGGAAAGCGGCACAGAAGTGACTCAGGCAGATCACTTGCTACACATGTACACATTTTCACTGTTGTATCTATAACAAATTATCCTCAGTTTTCTCAGTTATCAGGTACTTTCTGGAAGAAAAGGGATGATTAGGTCTCTGAAAGTTTAGAGCTTTTCATCATGAGGTGCACAGCACAGAAGGTTAGGGCAGCAGGGAAAACAAAGGGTGCTACGCTGTTCCCTGAGCTGATTGATTGTCATGCATTTGTTCTCCCATCATGAGAAAAAAACGTGAAAAAGATGCTGACACTTAAAAAAATAGGCTACATGTACACAAGTCCTGATGATCTGACAAAGTAGGATTCTGTGGAAAGAGGATAGATGTGGTTTACTTCCACGATGACAGAGGTCAGTCATCATTGACTTCATGAACACTTGATCATCTGTGTTCATTACTTTATTGATAATCAAGCACACCTAAAACCAAACCACACTGACCAAAGTAATGTGGAAGAAAAGAGGCATCAAAGTAAAACAAAATCCCACAAAGAGCACAAGCATGTGTTTTTTTTAAAAATGGATCATTTAGGAGAACAAAAAACTACGAGGCCTAGATAATCAAAAAAAAAAAAACCTGAAAGAGAACAACTCTAAATATATCGTAGATACACAGCAGCGTTCCTTTAGATTAAAGGCCACTGAAAAAAGATGGGTCTCTAGATCCGGTTTTCAAGGAAAAAGCAATAAAATGGATTATTGTAGTCTTTAAAATTGAAGAATTGAGAGTATGAGGCAGAACCATAATATCCAGTCCTGACTGTAAAGTTGAAAGTTGTAAATTAGCTGATAATAAAAGCTTTTAGAAGTTTTTTATTCAGGCTGCATTACTTTCCTGGCAGACAGAGGACATTATTGTTCTCCTCTCTTTCTACTTGTATGGATCACACCAGTCTTTTCCTTTAAGTGAGAACACACAGTTACAAACCCTAATGCAAGTTTGGACGTTGTGTAAAATGCAAATGAAGACAGAATCCAATGATTTGCAAATCCTTTTCTAACCATAGTCAACTGAATACACTATGATGTTTCCAACCAACATTGTTTTTAATCTGTAGGACTATTTGCTCACACAGTTGTTGACAAAGTGGTAAACCTGGTCCCATCCTTGCTTGTGAAGGACTGAGTCTTTCGTTGATACTCCTTTTATACCCAATCATAACCCTCAACTGTTTTCAATGAACCTGTTTACCTGTGAAATGATCCAAACAGGTGTTTTTGGAGCAGTGCTCAGTTTTATTAGTTTGAACACTAAATGTCTTGTCTCTGTAGTGTAATGAGTGGATAAGTATTTGCTATTCATTGTAATCTGTTTTTATTCATGTTTTACACAGTGTTCCCAACTTAAATGGAATTGAGGTTTGAAGACTGAACATAAAGTATCAGATGAGAAGGTGTAAGTTTCTTTGTTTGATGTAATGAAACCCTCAGTAAAATGAGTCGGTGTTTGTTTCTCTGCAGCGTGGATTCATCAGATGTCAACTGGAAAAGGAAAAAGAGTGGAGGCATAAAAATCATCTGCCAGTCCGAGACCAGAGATTTCTCTGCCATGGCGTTTATCACTGATCATGTCAACTCTCTGATGGAGCAGTGGTTTCCTGGTCAGTGTACTTCTCTCTGGTCATTGTACCCAAAACAACTAAAGTGTTTATTACCACTTATAGATACCTGGTCTGGTACTTTAAGTTCAGAGGGAGAGCAAAATCTTCCTTCAGGAAAAAAGATGAGACAAAGATACTCATCACATCATTTGACACTGGGGGCGAGGAATCATTCAGTGTCAATCATAGGAAAGGTGCAAGTGTGCCTCCTTGTACTGTATGTTATTTTCCTTTTATTAGGACATAATGGAATGACAAAGACTTTTCTTAAGCACCCATTAAGTCTCTGCTTGCTCTTGAATTTTCTCAAACTGTTTGCCTGCACTCAGACCTTAGACTATAAAATCAATGACTGAGGCAGAGCCTTATTTATCCTTGTGCTTAGGTTGCATTTGTGAGCTCTTGAAATGTACTCTGGTGGATTTTTGCTCTCATACCTGTGTTTCTTTTTTTTTTTTTTTTTTACTAGCAACCCTGCATATAAAGACCCAACAGAAACCCAGTTTATTGTCTTTGTTTTCTTTATAAACATCATAGAAATGCATTACCTCTCACTTTGTTGTCATTTGTTAAAACTGAAAGGTGCCTATCATGATTATACTGTCTGTTCACAGCAGTACAGCTGTCAGCTCTGCAGGTACCTGTTCATGATTGAGGTCTTTTTGTCCTCTGTTGTAGCTTTGACTGCCAGTGAGAGTGACGGGAGTCTCCTCATAGAGCAGTATGCAGCCTGTCCACTCTGTGCCTCTCTGGGCCGACAGCAGCAGGACGAGCATGCAGACAGCTGGCTCAGTGAGGACAGAGAGAAAGAGGGACGTGAAGGCAAAGATAGAGAAGGCAGCACTGAGGTTCACTACTTCAACATGGAGGACTGTGTGCTAGCTGCTGTGGAAAGGGAGCACATCATCTGTCCTCAGCACCCTGACCAGCCGGTCCGCCTGCAGGAGCTGGTTCCTGAGCTCTTCATGACGGACTTCCCTTTAAGGTGAGTCCCCTCCCCTCAACTGCAATGTGTCTCCTGCCTCAATAACAATAGTATATCCACTGCTTTTGGGCTGCTCTTTCTTTACTCTCACAGTTCAATGGATATAGATTAAGGACAGAATCAGGACATACTGTATGTAGCAGTAGAAGGTAAATATTGGACATCTCCATCATCATAGGGGTGAGCAATATTGACCAAAAACTAACATCTCAATATTTTGCCAGTAACCATTATAGATGATGTTTTGAAGTCCTTTAAAAATACACAAAAATCAGTAAAACGTGTTTTTGAAAGTTTTGTGTTGTACCGATATTTGACTCTAATATTTTGAATCCTCTCTTAGGATTTGTTGATTTAGCTTCCTTTGTAAAGTCATTGTGAACAGTGTTTATCATTTCTTTGTCTTCTGTTGCCGTTTTTGTGAGATGGCTATGGATGTTTGCTGTGCATCTATACAGACTGAAATGACGGGTATTCCTATTTCTTTGAAAGAATTGACTATTTTGGCACATGGGACACAGTCAGCTGGCGAGCTCAGTAGTAGCCTAGTCATAGTTTTATCCTGATAAACGTTAAATTTATCAAATTCGGGTTTGTACATAATAATGCAGAGCCAGGGGGGTAGATACCAATCTGATTGGACCCCTTTAGGACCTCCTCAGACTGTGATACTTCTGTAGAGTCACAGTTTTTCTGAAGGGCTAAGGTTTTAGATCTTTTATATCAGCTGTGATGCTCAATCACTGTCACTCTGACACTGAACTTCATAGTTACACGATAGTCCTTCCTCTGGACTCATTCCACTAACACAGCCCATATAACTCAGCAATACACACCCACTCCACCTCTCGAGGCTTTGGCTGAGGAATGAGTTGCAGCTTACTCACTGTGTCAGTTGATAAGTTGACAAGATTCACTGGAAACCATCTCTCCTTCATTAATTGGATAAACAGTCAGTCTGCTTCTGTGTCCTGCATTCTAGGGCTGTTATGCAAGTCTGTGTTGAGTCCCACACACCCATGAGAATGATTGTTACGACAGCTAAACAGCTCCTCCAAACATTAATACAATGCAGTTGAATGTGTTGTAATGGAGCCCCTGTGAGATGGATGTTGGTAGACCCTTATTTATGGACACGTTACAGTTTTATAGCTGGATGTTAATGTTTGAGTGCTCTCAATAGATTTGTTATTCTGTTTGAGTGAAAATATTGATTCACTGTCTGCACAGGCTCCACTGGGGAGCTTGAAGTTTAATAATAATTATGATAATAATAATAAACTTTATGAATACAGCAACTTTAAAGAAGAGTTGTCACAAAGTGATGTCCACGTGTGAAAGAATGATCTGCTATTAGACACCATTCCTGCCAGCCTGGCTAAAGCACGTCTGGTTGTACTTGGAGGAAACTGTTGCTATGGTTACCATTGAACTTTGGCACTGCTCTGCTGGACTGTAAGGCTAAGGCTAGTATGAACTCAGATCCCTGTGGTTAAAGCAGCACAGAAAAGACTAGTGCTGATAATGATCGCATGTGCTGTAATTAGCTGGAAGTGGGGACGCTGGTATAAGACACTTTCTTTCTTGTCAGGTGTTACATGTCAACCACAAACATAAAAACACAACATGACATGACATATACCTAGCTTGATTATGTTGAGTCATGGTTCTATACTCACTCAACTAAACGCTGCTGCAAAAATGATGTTTTTGCTTCATCAGTGAAAATCACCAGAAGTTTATTCAGTTTCCTGCAATCAAAAAGGTGTGTAACATGACTAAGTATGGTGATAATTCATCAACAGCTGCTGTAAAATGACAGATATCAGGAGGTTAGATCATCAAGTTTAACACGTTAACAGAACAGTATTTAATTTTTGAGAAAAATGAAAATGTGAGTTCAAATCAAAGTTGTCAAACATTTTTAAGAGATGTCCATGTAGATTCTCATTCATCCAGGTCATGGTTATCTTGAAGACTTAAAAACAGGCAACTGGACTGTGTAGAGTTAAGAAGACGTTTCGCCTCTTATCCAAGAAGCTTCTTCAGTTCTAAAAGTGCTAGTGTCAGGAGCAGATATTTATCTTACTGGAGAAGGGGGACAGTTAACGACTGGGAGGAGTTGAAAAGAATGGGTCGTAGAAACCCATCTCTCGGTGTGTCCCCCCCAAGTCGTTATCCTGAAAGGGTCGTTAGCGACTCCTATCATGTGACCACATGACTCATGCCACCTGAGTCATGTGGTTCCAGGTGTGAATGTTTGTGGAGCTTTCTGGGGAGAGAGCTGAGAACTGCATTGTAAGTGCCAGAGAGATTGTGCCCGAGTCCACCCCCTCTGTTCAGAGAAGGTTTCTCCAGCCTGGTAAAGATGGCTTCTTTAACTCCTCTTTCAAACCATCTGTCTTCTCGAGCCAACACCTGTACATCGCTGTCCTCAAAAGAGTGACCTGTATCCTTCAAGTGAAGGTGGACAGCTGAGTCCTGACCTGAGGAAGTGGCTCTCCTGTGTTGAGCCATGCGGTTGTTTAGTTTCCCCAATGTACAGGTCCGAGCATTCCTCGCTGCACTGGACGGCGTACACCACATTACTCTGTTTATGTCTCGGTGTTTTGTCCTTGGGATGGACTAGCCTCTGCCTTAATGTGTTACCAGGCTTGAAATGAACAGGAATGTGGTGTTTGCCAAAGATCCTCTTGAGTTTCTCAGACAGGCCTGCAACGTAAGGGATTACAGTGCTCTTGCGTCTCTCCTCCCTTTCCTGTTCAATGTTATTTCTCTTTTTGTTCTTCACAAAGGCCCACTTAGGGTATCCACAGGTTGTCAGGGCATTTTTGACGTGCTTTTGTTCCTTTTCCTTACCTTCTTTCTTCGTGGGAATGTTCTCGGCCCGGTGGTTGAGTGTTCTGATGACACCCAGTTTGTGCTGCAGAGAATGGTGGGAATCAAAAAGTAGATATTGATCCGTGTGTGTTGGTTTCCTGTACACTTCAACGTTGAGCCACCCATCTGCCTCCAAGTGTACAGCACAGTCCAAAAAGGCCAACACTTTGTCCTTGACATCTTCACGGGTGAACTTGATGTTGCTGTCCACTGTGTTGATATGGTCAGTGAAGGCCTCTACTTCATGTGTTTTGATCTTAACCCAGGTGTCATCCACATATCTGAACCAGTGGCTAGGAGCAGCGCCCTTGAAAGAGGTTAGGGCCTTCCTCTCTACCTCTTCCATGTACAGGTTTGCCACTATAGGAGAAACCGGGGAGCCCATCGCGCATCCGTGTTTCTGTCTGTAATGGCGCTCTCTGAACTGGAAGTAGGTGGTGCTGAGGCAGATGTCCAATAAGGAGCAGATGTGGTCCGGAGTTAAGTTGGTTCTGACTTCCAGTGTGCTGTCCTGTGAGAGGCGTTGTCTTACTGCTTGGACTGCCTCTGTTGTTGGAATACTTGTGAAAAGTGATGTGACATCGTAGGAAACCAAGTTTCTGTTTAACAACTAAATGATTTGCCCAAGGAAGAGTTCATACATCAATATTTGGTAAAATAACCCTGATTTAAATGACATAATTAGTGATTCCCTGCACACTCCTCACACAGTGGAATAGAATTTCTCCCATGCCATGTAAAGATGCTGATTAAAGGTCAAAACTTAAAAAATCTGTCATATTTGGTCCACACTGGGTAATAAACTACTCAAATAAGTGAGAGATGCACAGTGAAGCTGCCTAGAGAAATGTTATTTAAATATATGAGGACGTGTTTGAGTATGTGTATACTGTGTATTACAGTATAAAAATAAAAGTAACTTTACAGCATTTGTCAAGAGACAGTGAAGAGGAAGAACTTCCTTTAACAGGCAAAAACCTCGAGCAGAACCAGACTGATGTTAGACAGTCATCTGCTGAGACTGAGCTGGGTTTAGAGAGGAGAGAGACAGATGGACAGAAGAGAGACTGATAGAGGGAGATGGAGAAAGAGAGAGATGGACAGAAGAGAGACTGTCGTCATAGTTGAAGCAGCTGTAAAGCAGACAGGTCCTCAGTAGCTAAACATCTGCAGCAGTGATCCAGAGGAACCTACATCATGATGAAGCTCAGGGACTCCTAAAAAAGACTGTAGCTGTGCATCTGTCTCCGCACTGATGTAAAACTGTGTAAAAATGTGTGTGTGTGTGTGTGTGTGTGTGTGTGTGTGTGTGTGTGTGTGTGTGTGTGTGTGTGTGTGTGTGTGTGTGTGTGTGCGTGCGTCAGGCTCTTTTTGGAGGGGACAGACCTAGAGTACTCTGAAGAGGAGAACAACATCCTGGGTCAGGGGGGCAGTGGGACGGTCATCTACAGAGCTCGGTATCGGGATCAGCCCGTGGCCATCAAACGCTTCCACTTCAAGAAGTGCAGACAGCAGACCATCACCAGCGACACAGGTACAGAGGCTAATTCTAAGTTTTATTTTATCATTCCATAAATAAAACTTCACTGTGAAATAAACATGTTTACAGATTCAAAAGAAAACTCTCTAAGCATAACAGACTGTACTCAAAATGTACATGTACATGTTTTTAATGTCACGTTCTTATGAAACTTAATTCAGAAGTTTGAGTTTATAATGACACCAGCTATAAAAAGACTGCCCTCTAGTGGGCTTTTAAAGTGGTTCTCTGTTGCAGAAAGCTGGGGTTTGTAAAAGAAGATAATTACAGCTTAATAAACAACTCTAATAAACAATAACCGTGTTCTTTCTACCAATAACCATGAACAACAAAGTTTGGCACAGTTCTTAACTGGAGGACACAGGTAGATATTCCTCTGTAACAGAAGTGGAAACACAGACGTAAGTTACACAAACAAAGAGCCCTTCATCGTGGACTCAAAATGAGTCATTGTAAGCCTCAGATTATACACTTTATGATATTCCATAAAAACAATGGACAGTGAAAAAAACAGTAAATAACCGTAAATCTTGGACTGAAGGACGATTGGAAAGTCAGGCACTGAGCAGGGCCAAGGTGACCACAATTATATGAGTAATAATCAGAAAATCAATGACTGAATAAAATGTGTGGAAAAGAAAATAAAAGATTGAAGCTTTCTGAGAAAACAGTGTTTGCTTCATCCTCTTCTTCCTCTTTGCGTCTCCTCAGACACCATGATCAAGCACCTGCAGTCTGCTGATACCTGGCGGAGCTTCTCTGAGTTTCGGCAGGAGGCCAGTATGTTGCACTCTCTGCAGCACCCCTGCATCGTGTCCCTGGTGGGCATCAGCATCCATCCGCTGTGCTTCGCCCTGCAGTTAGCCCCCCTGGGCAGCCTTAACACTGTTCTGGAAGAGAAGCACAAAAGCAAAGGTAGGGGGGATGATCTCTGGATGATAGACCACTGTGTGCACCAGCTGGATCTGGGTGTGAGGTCATGTCCCACTGGGACCTGGAGGTTATGTGAAAGTTACAAAACTAAGTCAGGCATAATAAGAAAGATCAACTTTGTTTACATCAAGCTTGTGCCCTCAGCTCATGGAGTAAATTTCATGTCTAAGTCTGAATCCTCTCACTCCAGACTCCTGGAACTGGCAGTTCCTGCAGGGTTTTTCAAATGTGGTGACCTGGAGAAACCTCCAGAGCTGAAATAAACATACAGAGTCAATCAAACTTTAAGAATACATTTATTGGGTCAGCAGTTGGCATTAAGCAACATCTGCTGGATTTTAAAATAAAGTGCCTAAGGCATCGATTATAAACGAGTAAAATCTGGTTGGAGTTGGACAGCAAAGCTCTTAGAGAAATGGTTCATGTATTCTGGGATTTGGATGTGCTACAGTTAATAGGACTGTTAAAGTTGTGATGCAGTCGGGATTTTATGAAGTTAATTATAAAGACCTGATGAGATGATTGGGTTAGTTTGCTGATTTTCTGTGTACTGAAATTGTGTCTGCCACCGCCCACTGTCCAAGCTGTCATATTTGTCCGGTTGGCGAGGAGAACATGCTGGTGTGTAATTTAAATCTTAATTTGTGTCTCGTCTTTGCAGGCTCCAGGTACACGCCTCTTGGTCACATGCTTACCTTCAGAATAGCATATCAGATTGCAGCAGGGCTGGCGTACCTTCACAGGAAGAGGATCATCTTCTGTGACCTGAAATCTGACAACATCCTGGTGTGGTCACTGGAGGTGGGTACAAGAAGGACTGAAAGTAATGATTGATTTTTCTGTTTTGATCTGTCAGTAGTAGTGAGATTATTGAACTTGTCATCTGTGATATTTTCACAGTGGAGCATTAAACACAGACAGAAATAAATGAAATTTTCTGTCCCCTAGTCTCACACTGTAACTAAGTTTTTTCATCTTCTTCCAGGTGCGGGATCCGGTTAATGTCAAACTCTCTGACTATGGTATTTCTCGACAGTCCTTCCATGAGGGGGCTCTGGGGGTCGAGGGCACACCTGGGTACCAAGCTCCTGAGATTAGACCAGGCATTGTGTATGACGCCAAGGTAGCTCACACCACTTTAACTCTGGACTGTGTCATGTGTGCAGCATTTTCAGTCATTTGTTATCTATGTGTCTCATTTTGATGCTCTCTTGTAACCTCAGCAGGAGAGAACAGGGTCTAGACCATTTTATTTTATTTTATTTTATATCTTATTTGCCGTGAATATGACGCCTGCAACACCTTTCAAAAAAAGTTGACCCAAGTAAAAACAAAACACCGAAAAAAGCTGTGTAATGTTTTACTTCAGAGAGGAGGAGTCTCTCTGAAGGAATGATCGGAGAAGTTCTCTCCTCTGTGAGGGGCTTTATTTCTGCATCCTCAAATGGATGTTAAAACTGCACCATGCCAAGAGGAGACCATCTTTAGACAGGATCCAGAGGCCTGGGCAGCTCCTGAGCCTTTTTAAAAGTTATATGTAGGACAGCTTAAGACAGACAGGAAATGTCTTAAAGTGAGTAAGTTTAAGGAGACCAGAAGCAGCAAAGGGTCAAACAGCCACTCTGACAAGGACGATGGCCCAGTACAGGAGGTGTGAGCTTAAACTGGAGCATCAACCAGCACCAAAGTCAGATTAAGATAGACTGAGGAACGAAAACTACTCTGTGGTCTGATTGCTCAAAATTTGATGCTCTTTTAGAAAATCATGGTTGCCATGTCTTCTGCTCAGAGAGGCGGCATCAAAGTTTTAATCAGTACACAGTATCAAATTCAATTTTATCAACATTTTTCCCAGAAGCCCACCTTCAACTCATTACAATGACTGTAAAACTGTCAAAGCACTTCAGAAGGGCTACTTGCGCTGTCTTAGAGTAGAAACTATGTCAGAGCAAAGATATTGTTATACTCCCACAATGCTGGTGCAAACAACTCTCAACTCCTGGCTCATCTATTTTTTATGGACTGGACTATGAAGTCCTTTGAGATCTTCATGTCTGTCAAAGACAGCACAGTAGTTACCGCTTTATATAAAAAAAAAAAAAAACACAGTACAGGGGGTACACATGCAGAGACTGAATTCAATTTCCATAATGTGATTGTATTTCTCTTTGGAGGACTTAGAGGGGGCTTTCAGCCATCAGTAGGGACAAAGTAATTCAGGAGAACTGTGTGCGTGCGTGCGTGCGTGCGTACGTGCGTGCGTGCGTGCGTGCGTGCGTGCGTGCGTGCGCACGCACACATACTTTAAGGAACCTTCACATACTTTAATTTGTCTGCGACCACTTGTTAAGACAGAGGGATGTTTACCCCCTGCCTCAGCATTTATTTTACCTAACACTCCAGAGTATTTTCAGTGAGCAGGTTTATTGGTTTGACTGGCTGTTTCCTCTCTGCAGCATGTGACCTTTATGCCTGGTTAGAAATATATGTCTGTTTCAAACTTGTTTAATCTATGCTGCATAAAAACAGCTCTGACCTGTGAAAGTACCTGAAAGTTCCTGCTGCCTGAAAAAGACAAAAAATATCTGGATACATTCAGGAAAGAAATGAAATAGAGCTTAAAATATGAGCAGGACTGGTGGTGCTTAGTGGACTTGACATGTTTTCTGTCTCTACATCAACTTTACAGTTAGTTTCATGAAAATACAAGAAAAATAACTACAGGGGGGGAGTTTGTATCAATAAAATAGAGTTGACTGCTGAGCTGATCCCATTGTATCAGCACAGCATGAGGTCAGTGTCGATCCAAACCACCCTGAGAAATATCATCACAGAAAACCAACCAGCACAAAGTAGGTGAAAATAATGACTGACGGGGGCTGTAGCCCAAATCTCAACTTGATTGGTTCCTCTTTCTGGACTAACACTGTGAGTTCAGGCAGATTTGAGATAAATATGATGCATAAAACCTGGGTAATGTAGATAATTCCGCAAAGAAACTGTTGCCTCATGATTGATGAACCTAGCCTAATTTATTTATCTTTGTGGCTGTATTAAGATGAAGCTCTCGTCCATGAACATTTGGCAAACAGGGCTTATTTCTCTCTGAGATAATTAAGGAGGACACTGATCCTGCTGTTATGCAGAACAGTTTGGTAGATATCCATTTCATTTTTATTGCGTCAGTTTGATTCACAGTTGTTGCTCTTTTTTATTTCCATTATAATTATTTCTTCCACCTCAGCCAGAGACTCAAATGAATCTTGATTATAAACATAATTGAACATCATTTCAGTCATGCTGGCCTTCATCACACTGTTGCAGAAGTCCAACTGTGCTCATTTACAGAAAAACTTTAATTTAACTTATCTCACATACGGTCTGGCCTCATCAGGTCCAGACCAAAGACCGTCTGTTATAATGTATGTCATACCTTTTACCGACTGTCAGGCCAAAAGATTTAGAGCGCCATCTGCTGGGCTCCTGCAGTGTAAAGGTTATGAATCTCACCTCTCCCGTTAACAATTAATTTACATGTCAATTTTTTTTTTATCATAATAATCTTTGCTAATTTTTCTGAACTTAGTTTTGATCATAGGCTGAACAATAACTAGACAGAACATCATTGACGTCACCTGTTTGTTTCTGGATCAGATTTTTTTAGCCAATTAACTGCAGTCGCCATATTGGTAAGGTTGACTCAAACATCACTCTCCAGTACAGTTGGTACCGGAGAACCTCTAAAACTACAGGCCAAAACCATCTTTTTAACCAGGCTGTGAACGTGTTTGAGTTTGAATGTGCTGCAACCAGCCTCTAGTGGACACTCAGGGAATTGCAGGGAACTTTATATGCTAAAATGCTAATTACAATGCACAATAAAACATGCGTAATGTTTACAGTTTACTGTGTTGAAATGATGTAAATCTCTGCAGTGATTTGTTTAAGAATATCATCCTTTTAGATTTGAACACTGAACTTGTTTATGTTTGGTTGTCTAGTGTCTCAGTATTACAGCTGAATCTTGTGTTTTACCATTAGCTTTAACAAACAGACTGACAGTGGCATTAGAGTTCATATTTATAGATACTGAACGCACATCAGTGATGATGGTGTGGGTCGTCTTGAGTGTGTTGAACAGTGTTTAAGTTCTCTGCTGACTTGCAGATAATGTTGTGTTGGTTTTTTTACTACTTCTCCTCTCCCCTGGGAGTCTGGCTTCTCGTGGGCTCCCTGTTTGACTGGCTCCTGCCTCGGCAGGGGGAGCCGTAAAAAGCGCACATACACACTTTCATGGATTTACACACTTTTAGCATCAGCCTCTCCACCACAGTGTGCTGACCTCAGCCAACCAAACACTTTTTCTCCTCTCCAGGACGTTAGCATCTAGTTTTGATGTGGTTTAACTGTTTAATGAGACGCAGGCTGGGCTGGATGGAGGAGCGAGGTGTAGAATAGAAAGTTTGGGCTTCAGGGCTGTTAACACTTGGACCAGCTGTGAATATCTAGGCAGGAAATGGAACACATACAAGGTGTGTTTTTAAAGGCCTCCATTATTTTAACACCTTTGAACTTTGATTCCTAACATAAACTGTTTTTTAGAGTTAGAGTGAATGAATGAAACATTTTGTCAAGAACAGCTTTTTTCTGCAGCTGCGTTCATTGTAGAGACATAACATTGTGCACCACAGTTGTTAAATCTGGTTAAGCTGTGTCATGATGACAGGATGTCAACGAGATTCAATATGCTAACCCCATAAAGTCTGACAGTGGAGGATGGATCTGTGTCTTTTTAATCAATCTTCATTAAAACTGTGATGCATGAAGCTTTTATTTTCTATCAGTGACAGAGAGCTACAGCTGCATTTTACTGCCTTTGACTGTACTCACAGCAGGGTTACATTATGTCATGCCCGTTTGAAAAAACAGGGCAGCAAGGGAAGACCACATCCAGACATAGAGGACTGCTGACTTATCATCCCATTTAAATTGATCTAGGAAGGGGGTCCGGTGTTTCCACACATAGACCGTACCCGCACAGTCTGCCCTAAAGTGCATTTTAACAGCCTAATTATGATCACTCTTAAGTTTGACGTTTTTGCTCTCTTTTATGCTTTAATTTTTAAAATTTATTTTCCGCTGTATAAGATTACCAGCTGTATCTTTTCCTACACCTGCCGTCTTACAGGAAAAGGTGCTTCAGTCAGTCATGTTCATCTTCTCATTGAGGAGTGTCGTCACACTCCAATTTAAACCTTGTCATACTGCTGTTTAAAAAACTGGCTTCTCTCACTGACATAGAAATGAAAATAAAGGACACAAACTCAATGACTAATCCACATTTCCACAGACCCTTGAGATGTTACTGCATACCACAAATTTTCTGCGCATGTGGAGTCACTAACAAGTGAGGTCACTGCCACAGAGGCTTTAAGTGCTTTTGGCATTGCACCATTGTTTGTCTCTGCAGTTATTCTGGGAAGTCTCCCCAGAGTCCTCCATCTTTATCTGGGACCATTCCAGGTCAGGAATCCACTTTGATATTTTGGTCCTCTGATAGGGTTTTGAAGGATGAGATTACAGAGATGGACTCAGAAATAACCAGAGTCTGTAAAAGTGTTATTTTAACAAGAGTCAGTGAGTAAAGGTGCTCTGTGGAGTGAAGGTCTGATGATTGGACCTGATATTATACCAGGTAAATTGACTCCTCGTCAGGATAAAATAGTCCTGTGTAGGGCTAGGCGATATGGGAAAAAGTTTATCACAATATATTTTTTTCATATTTGTCCATATTAATATATATCACAATATGGAAAAATCATTTGTCAATTTTAAATGTAATTGTAAAATGAAATTTATCAGTGCTTATTGATAGCATGCCTTTTGAAATATAATAAGATACTGCATCTGTGAGGCGTTTCTGTCTCTTGGATGTTTTGTCATAAGGTGTTGCACTAGAGAACACAGATTGAATAGTTGGCTGTTTCGGCTGCACAGGCGCTATGGGCTTCTTGCTCCACTCAAGGTTAGTAACCTTTTGCATTTCGCGTGCTCTGCCACGTGGCACTGCTTCAGGTGGTGAAAAAGATTTGAGGTATTCCCCGACTTTGCGAGATCATGCACTCAACATAATTTGCAGTACACACTCCTCTGCTTCATGTCTGACCTCAAAAAAACAAAATACCTCCACACCACCGATGTTTTTGTACCAGTGTAGTCGACAATGTTGTCATCTGTTGAGCCTTCATCAGCATTTCTGCCCGGGGTATCGCTCATTTTCTTTTTTCCTCACCAACAGTGTTGTCAGCTTCACATGTTAAAGCACTATGGTTGCATGTAGCTGCAGCCTGCTACTATGCAGTTTTTTTGCTTCTTGGTTCCAATTCAGCACACGATTGCTTCAGCGCAGGGCAGACCCGGAGCAACTCCCCTTTTCATTGGCTGTTCGTAAAGTCTAAGAAAACATGGCAAAACGCCAGCTATCAAAAAGCATATTGACCTTGTTTTATATAGATAACAAGGGAAATTAATTCATAAAATACAATGTTATCGTTTTATCACCCAGCCCTAGTCCTGTGTGTTCTCATCCAGCTGATTTGACCCTCTAACCACACTGAGGTGCTTTTTCCACATTTACCCAGGGATGATCTGACGATGAACTCATATGTTTTGAGCTACTGCTGCCCGCCTACAAGCTACCATTATATATGTGTTTTCCACCCTGTCACTGATGTCCTCCCTCGCTTCATGCTGCCTTCAGGTGGACATGTTCTCCTACGGCATGGTGCTGTATGAGCTACTTTCTGGTCAGAGGCCGGCGCTTGGACACCACCAGCTCCAGATTGCTAAAAAACTCTCCAAAGGCATTCGACCAGTGCTGGGCAGTCCAGAGGAGGTTCAGTTCTACTCTCTGCAGAGCCTGATGACTGAGTGCTGGGACACCAAGCCCGAGAAGGTGGGCCTCCGCATGTTTACACTCTTAATCTCAGTTGATGAAACAAACACAGGTTTCTGTGTTGTCTCAGATTAACAGCTTGTAGGACACAGACTGAATAACTGAATTGAATCAACACAAAGAGGTCTTTGGGTCTTTATGCACCTCAGAGAGAAAAACTGTTCATGCTTTTAGCTGGGCTAAAGCCTGTCAGGGATTATGTCCTGATCACACGGTAAAGTGTGATGCTGTCTTTCCAAGGACTTCCAACCAGTCCCATGATTTGACCGAAATTATACACCTCTGCAAGCCCCATGACAAAAGCAGATCCTCTGTCACTCGAGAGACCGTCATGGCTCCTGTGAGACTAAAACCCAACACAAACTTATTTTAGCGCCAACTGTGCTCGTCCTTCATTAACCTTTGACCTTTTCAGAAAAGAACTCATTAAATAGCACCATTAGATGTCCCCTTTGTGGTCTGTTTGTCTTCTTGTTAAGAGTTAAAGGTGTGTAACATGTCAGTCTGCAGCTCTTCACAGAAAGACAGTGACAGTATAAAGTCAGCCCAATGATCCAGTCTAAACCAAACTCTGCCTGTGTGTGTGTGTGTGTGTGTGTGTGTGTGTGTGTGTGTGTGTGTGTGTGTGTGTGTGTGTGTGTGTGTGTGTGTGTGTGTGTGTGTGTGTGTGTGTTCTTGCAGAGGCCAGTGGCTGCTCAGTGCCTGAGACAGATGCAGGAGCCCAGCTTCCCGTGCCTCAAGTTTATTTTGTCCTGTGACAGCCATGCGCAGCTCTTCCTGTCTCAGCTGCAGGGACACAGCGCCGTGTTCTGGAGCGGGGACAAGGATGAGCGGTTTGTTTCAACTTTGCTTAATACTTTGTTTCCTTTGGCACTTGAAACGTACAATCTCTTCTCTGTTGCCCTCTTTTTTTATGTGTTTTGGTGAGCAACAAATACCAAAGAAAATATTCAGCATATCAATGAGAATTTTGGGTAATGAACAGAGTCTTCTCATCCATCTCTGAAAGAATCCTTCCTGCTGTGTTATCAGACATTTAGACTATTCTCGGTAATCTGAACCTGTTAAAGACTTTCAATGGAGGAATTTTGAGGCACAATTTCCTCTTATGATTATAATTCAGTCATAATCCTCTAGGCAAAAAGGTTCAGGTTCAAACTTGCTTTAACAAATGAATTAGTAGTAGCATAGTCAAAATGTATATGTGGTTCAAACCTTAGTTTGCTCTGTAGTTTATCAAATGCCCCTGGCTGAGTGTGTGTATATGTGCCGTGTGCGTGTGTGTGGCTGCAGGATTCCTCCGTTATCTCCAAACAATAAAAGCAGCTTTGATCCTGCTGTACAGGTGGTGTTTATGACGGCTGTGGATGTTTCCCGTCGTTTACTCCTTCACTCTGTCAGGACCTTGTTAGCTTCCCTCACCTGGCCTGAAACAATGTCCATTCTTCTCTTACCTTAGGCCCACCATTCAACTAATTACACATCATTGTGTGTGTGTGTGTGTGTGTGTGTGTGTGTGTGTGTGTGTGTGTGTGTGTGTGTGTGTGTGTGTGTGTGTGTGTGTGTGTGTGTGTGTGTGTGTGTGTGTGATCCTCCATTGTTTGTGAGCTGTCAGTGGATGAAAAAGAGGGAAAGTAGAGAATAAATGACCGTATAATAGTAATATTAATAGTAATATGGTATGATTATGGTAATAATGATAAAAATGACAATGATGATAATAATAATAATGATAACTTAATTTATGTAGCACTTTTCAAAACAGAGTGACAAAGCACTTAAAAAAAAATAAAAAAAATAATTAAAATAAAATAAATTAATTAAAATAAAATAAAATAAGTGAAACCTAATTATGATAGTTATAATAAATAAGATAAAATAAGTTTAGACTTAAGTAAAAATTAAGAGCTAAGTTCATAGTCATATCCAGTAAAAGAAAACTTGTGAAAATGTTTTTTGAAATGAGTTTTAAAACAAGATAAGGAACTTGCCAGACTGATCATCCCAGGCAGTTTGTTCCAGAAAGCGGGAGCCCTGACAGAAAAATCCTGGTCCCCCTTGGTCCTCAGCCTGGACTGAAGAGTAGTCAGCAGACCTTTGGCTGAGGATTTAAGGGTATAACTGGGCTCCTAAGGTTCGAGGAGATCAGTGATGTACTGATAATGTAGAGAGTACAACACAAACACAAATGTTTCACTTTTTAAAGTAATTGTATGTCTTTTTTTTCCATGTCAAATGATTCCCGGCACATTCCTTAAACAGCAAGTCCTTTGCCCAGGTCACAAAGCCAAGACTGTTACTTCAGACGTTTTTCACAATAATTACATACATAACCAAGAGGGGAGCAGCTATAGAATCACCTTATAGATAAGGACATGTAGTGATTTAATCCACAAGTAGCCCAAGGAGGCCAGCCTACTTGATCACACAAAGAGCAGTGATGAGTGAAAGACTTCAGATTTACAATTAACTTCAGAGCCTCATGATGCTGAATATGAAGTTTAAAGACAGAAAATGATCAAATCCTGTACTTATCAGAAGATCCAGACTCAAACACCTCACCTTGAGGTGTTGTAATAGATGGCAGGTTCAGCAGCTTTGTCTTTGAGTTTGTGAAATATCATCAGGTTTGTTTTATCAAGATTCAAGATCAGCCTCAAATCATAAAATATATCTCGTACAATATCAAAAACATCTCATAGATGACAGAGAGCCTGATACTGTGTTGGAGCAGAGCAGTAAATAACTGTATCATCCACATACAAATAAAAAAGATGCATTGGAGCTGAATTGTAAACAACAGTGGTCCGAAAATAGAGCTCTGAGGCACAACATGCATAAATTCAAGAGGTGTAGAGGTGATTCTTCCACCTACATACACTGATGATCTGTGAGGGACTCTGCAAATCGCATGGAATGAATTACCTAACTCTATGCGAGTCCCTCTCTACTTTCATAAAGACAGCTAAAGACCCAGCACTTTAGAGAATACTACACACTTAGCTAGACCATTCTCCACTGTTGACCTCATTGGTTGAATGAGTCTTCCAGCTACAGTTGACTCTCACTGTCCTGCTCTACTCTGGGAACTCGTGTTCAATGTTTGAGTGACCCAATCATGGCTTTGGATAAAAGTGTATGCTAAATGACAGTGTAACATCTGTTGGATAAATAATTTTCACACCAGCAGACAGTCCGACACAAACTGATTTGTAACACTGGAGGATGATGAGGTTATATAACAGGTGTATTTGTGTTGATGTTGTACAGTAACTACAGTGTGGTGAATGTTGAGAAAGGCCAGGTGGAGGTAAAGAGGATGTCATGTCCAGGCAGCAGGATCAGCTGTCAGATGAAGATGGGGAACACTCTGTGGATCGCCACTGAGGTAAACTCCACCCACCTGACACCACCTGAAACCACACTAACCTGCAGTGTTTCACTGAGCAGAAATGAGCCAGACTATCCACACAGTGGAAACAGCTGGTATGATTGGAGTGTTAAAGGGATAGTTCACTTTTTCAAAAAAAAAAAAAGGGGCTGCATTACTATGAGAATTACCCACAGGGGATCCAGATCAAGAGAGCCTTTAGGTTGGAAACCAGCTGGATAACTAGAACAGAACAGAGGTTCTTGACCCCTTCACGCGGGGTCAGATGCAATTTAGCTCATTTTCACAAACTGCAGCCCACACAGTAACACTGGAATAAGCATGTTCTCTGTTTTGACATTATTCAGCTCTTATTCTGAACTCTTCAGCTAATTCAGGTTATCGTGTTTAAGTCTGTGTGACTTTTGCTCTCTGCTTTGATAAATTATTGAATCTGGATCATGTTATAAAGAAGATAATGTCCTGATATATCATGTGCTCTTGATTCACACACTTAGTGATCAGAATCAAACCATTTGCATGTTTTTGTGTGACAGGAGCAGGACGTCTTCATCTACAGCCTGAAGGACATGTGTCCTCTTAGTCAGCCTCAGAGACAGCTTTCATGTCCAGCCGTTATCACCTGTCTGTACCCAGTTCCAGCCAGAGACCAGGTCAGTTTGCTGACAGCATTTTATTGAAAATAAAACTCAGAGGAATACTCAGCGTTGATTGTCTCCATGAGCTCAGCAGCTGCAGCAGCTCTTAACAGTTTCTTCAATTTGTCTCTTTAATGTGCTGGGGTTTTTTGTTTTTTTGTTTGTTTGTTTTTTACTGCGCACAGCTTTGATTTATTTTTTCAGCAATCACAGATGAATGTCAGGTAACCTCTGTAGTTAGAGTCAAAGTATATACAGCCACACTTTCCATTTGTTAATCATCAGTTAAATCAAACACCCAGTGAATAGTCTACTCACCCAGGTTGCATAAATATTTACACCCTTAAACTAAAACTTTGCTGAAGCACCTTTTAATTTTATGACAGGAGTCTGTCAGTGTGGCACATCTTCACTCAGCAGTATTTTCCCACTCTTCTTTGCAAAAATGTTCCAAATCTGTCAGGTTTCCAGGGCATCTCCTGTGATCAGGTCTCCTGAGATCAGGTCTGGGCTCTTCTTCTGGTGGAGGCTTTCTTTGGTTGATCAATTCTGGATGTTTGCTTTGGGTCATTGTGATGCTAAAAGATGAAGTTTCCCTTCATTCTCAGCAGAAGCCTGGAGGTTTTGTGCCAACATGGACTGGTATTTGGGATCATTCATAATTCCCTCCACCTTGACTGAAGCCCCAGAATCAGCTGAAGAAAAACAGCCCCTAAGTATGAGGCTGCCCTCACCATGGTTCATTGTGGATATGGGGTTCTTCTGCTGATGTGTTGTGGTGTTGTTTTTGGGCCAAACAAACCTTTTGGAGTTTAGGCCAAAAAGTTCAACTTTGGTTTTATCAGACTATACTCCATTTTCTCACAGGCTTTGGGGAGACTGGAAATGGTTTTTGCTGAATTTAGCTTGGCTTGGATGTTTTTCTATGTAGGAAAAGGCTTCGGTCTTGCCACCCTACCTCACAGCCCAGACATATGGAGAATACAGGAGATAGTTGTCGCGTGTACTACATAACCAGAAATCCCAGCAGCTCCTGTCATGGTGCTGCCAGCCTCTTGGCAGCCTCCCTGACCAGTTTTCTTCTTATCAGTTTTTTAGAGACATCCAGTCCTTAGTCATGTCACTGTTGGGCCACATTTTCTCCACCTGATGATGACTGTCTTCCCTGTGCTCCCTGGTATATCTGATGCTCTGGATTTTCTGAAAAAAAAAAACACTGAAATCCCTCTGATGCTTTGAAGCTCTCTGTGGACTGTGGCTTTTTCTGTGAGACAGGTCGCAGAAAATGTGAGGTAAAGCCGACCAGAACAGCTGAAGTTTATTTGGGGTTATCAGAGGTGGTGGCAGGAGTGTATTGACTCCTAATTAACATTAGTTTGAATGTGATTGGTTGATTCTGAACACAGCCACAGCAACCACATTATTTTAGTTTATTATTTTTACCAGGTTCAGTTCAGGCTGATAACCGCAGCAGAACTGGGTCACACTAAGATTTGGTAACCGTTAATCAAAATGATCTTTCTTAGAAGCAGCTGATCTTCTCATTCACAAACATACATCCATTATCTGAATAAAACTGCATCCCCTACACTCAGGTATGAAACCACATCAAGAATAAGATTGGTGGTCATTTTCTTGTGAGGTCAAGTAATCATATGAAGAGAAGGAAAGTTTGGTTAAATACCCTTGACCAGGGGTGCACAGAAGCACCTGTGTGCACCCCTTTAGCATGAAAGCTACCTATGAAATGACCAAGTGAAAATGATCTACCTACTATAAAAATGCAAAACATATATTTATATATATACATATATATATATTGAGAATTCTCTTTATATGTAGAAATATATGTTGGTGTGCCTTGCATTACCATATGAGCCCACATTGCACAATACAACTCTACATTTTTTTGTCATTACCGTACTCTGATGACTTGCACTGAATGGAATCGGTGTCGTAGTTTTTGTGACCAGTCCGAAAATGCCACTCCACATTTCCCTTCTTCTGTGTAGATGGTAGACTGACAGATGAGGCAAACGCACAAACACAAAAAAACAGTCCTCCTCCCACTCCATATGGAAGTGGTAGGTTTTTGGCCTCTTACTTGGTCTAGCTCCCCTACTCATTTTTATCTCCTTTCTTACTCGCTAGAGTTTTGCAGCACTTTGTGCTGTTTTATGCGCAATGTCAGTGCTGCATGTGTCGAAAAAGGTCAGATGGCATGCTGCCCTGTACATCAATCAAGTGCGACCAGTCGGTCGCGAATGCCATAATGGGCACTTGTGCCCTTGGCAGTCTATAGAGCGAAAGTCTGTCAACTTTTAGTCGCTCCTGCTGTTTTTGCTTGAACATGAGCTCCTCCAATCAAAGCAGCCACAGTGATCACATCCAAACTTTTTGCAAGAGTAGCGATCCAATGATTGCTGGTCAACAAACTTGACATAGCGACATGGTAACATTTTGATGTATTCAAGGCACGGTCAATATAATTATTTGTTTGATGCAGTTTATTCTTACACAGGATAGAGCCACGCAGCTGGGAAAAGGGTTCAATGGTTGTGGTCTTTGCAGGCACATGAACTATAACCCAAAAAGTAATAATGTACATTTTCATTCTCATTGGAGCATGGCACATTGTCCTGTCTTGGTCAGACCAGCATCCATCTTTCGAAGTTTCAGCCTTAAGCAAACTACTTTCATTAAGCAAGGGAGCAAACAAGAGGTCAAACAAGTGAAACCCTTGTCTCCAGTCTCTGAGTGATTCCTAAACACTGGTCTTGGAGAAGAGAAAGCTCCAGGACTCTACCAGGTGGGCTCTTTGACTTCTATGGAGACAGTGAGTGCTAATGGTTTACATGCCTGTTGTGATGGCCCTAAAACATCTTACTGGCTGTAATATAACTGTAAGAGACAAGCTCCAAACAATACTGTGCTGTGGGAAAAGTGGGTTTATGGCTTGTACTGCTGACCCCTGACCTCAGACCTGCTGTCTGAGGGGGAAATGGTGAGATCCAGGTGTTTGCACTGCCCTGTTTCTTTAAACCACAAGTTGGGTGGTAGGTCAGATGTAATCCACCCACAATGACGTTCTTGCTCACAGTCACTCCATCATAAACTGTGCTGTTTTTACACCATACTATAGCTGAATTTATTACCAAGTTTGCATCCTGGCATCTAAAGGTCCACAATATGCCTCACCCTGAGATCAGACTGGCTGATACTAAACCCCTTCTTGCTCTTCTGCTGCCTTAACCTGCTGCGTCTCCATAGTCTCAGTTGGAGTTGCTGTTATCAGTCACTGTCACCAAACCTGGTCCAGCAGTGTTTACATTGATGGGGCTCTTGATTTTACTCATGCTGCTCTGGCTCCTTCACCTTCTGGTGGTCCAAAGCTTCTTAGATGTGAACAATGATACTCACAAAGTGCTATCAGAGCATTAAAGTACTGTGGGCATAAAGACCATATAAAACATATTTTGACCTCCTTTTGCTGTTATCTAACCCCTCTATCTCTCTCTAAATCTCTCCCTCTCTTTCATCCTCTCACTAGTCCAGTGTGCCAAATATGTAATATTGCATGTAATATTGCAACTACCAATAGCAGCACAGGTGACCACCATTGATCTATGCTACCCTCAAATAAACGTAAATGAGCTAAGTTTTTCCCATCTCATGACAAAGACAGAATGTCTTTGTGCCCAGACGTCCCCGATTTCTGGGGACAGTCCCCGTTTTTGATGATCTGTCCCCGGCTAAAGCTGTTCCAGGAAATGTTCCCTATCTAAGCGATTTATGACTAAGAATAAAAATGTTATTATGTTTGCCGAGTAGGTAGGAAGCACGAGTAAGCATGTTGGACAGTCCTGAACAACTGTTTTTATGGGGGGTTATTACAGGGGGCTAGCGCTGCTACTAAGTAGTATCGAGATAATGTGTGTGATCACGCAGCCGGAAACTAATCTGTAAAGGGGGGGGGGGGCAGTGTTAAGAGGAAAGAGGTTCTTTAGATGACAGGGTTTTTTTTTTTTTGGAGCCAAACCTTCTCTCTCTTTCTGTACAGAGCCTGGCCAGAGTGTTTGCAGGGATGTCTGATGGTCTGGTAGCAGTATACAACCTAGTGGAGGACCTTCCTCTGGAGGGAGAGACGTACCTGTGTTCACACACCCTCAATAAGACTGTGTTTGGTCTGAAGGACTCAGACCCCAGACAGAAACCCTACCCGGTCAGGAGCATGGCTCTGGTCGGCAGTGGGTCACAGGTGAGCAGACACTCAGAAATCAGATTTTATAAACTTGATCAAAAAAGAGGAACCCAGGGCTGCACATTGTGATATTTTCTTCACTTTTAAACCTGGCTTCTGTCTCTTGTTCGCTCGGCCCAAATTGAATTAAAGATGCAAAAAGTTTTGAAGCTCTTCCCCTAGAGTTCATCAGTCAGCATCCATAAAACAGGCTAACATGGATGTAGCATTTCTTTCAAAGACTAGACTTATGATTGTGACAATATGTCAGAACATATTCCCACAGAAAGAGCCTTCTTTTGACCAGAAACAGACAGTAAACTGTGTTTCTAAAGCCCCCGAAACAAGAACTTCAGTAGTATCATCAGGGTTTCATCAGCCACATCCTCCCTGACAGTCTCCAAAACCAGAACAGCTCGAATGGCCTTAGCTTCAAAAACTACCAGAATGTCTCCTTTTTATGACTTTATTCCCACCCTTTGCTCCTCAGCTGTGGTTCTCCAACGGTCCGGGTGTGCTGGTCATAGACTGTCAGAGTCTGCAGGCAGTTCAAAGAGTAGAGACTTGCAGCACTATGTCCTCCATCATATCCATGACAACCAGCTTCAGCCTGTGGGGGGAGGAGGCAGTCTGGACCCTGGACGACCACACCAACACCCTGCTGCTCTACCACGCTGCCTCCTACCAGCTCTGTGCCAAGTACTGGTGAGTAGATCTGTGATATTCAGGCACCACCACACGGACCAGTCAGCTGCCTGATTTTTGATTGTTACTGTTCTGAAATGCACCATTCAGCCACAATGTGAACACCACTGGCAGGTGAAGTGTGTATTATTGATTATCTCCTGACGGTGTCGTTACCAGTGTTGTTTCTTGCATATTATATGTTCTTTAGAGGTCTAGTGTAGTCCATGTCCAGTCCATCATATAACAATACAGTACAGTGGTGTCCTTGTCAAAATGGTCATAATGGTAGTCCACAACAGTGTTGTAACATAGCTGATAGATAGATAGATAGATAGATAGATAGATAGATAGATAGATAGATAGATAGATAGATAGATAGATAGATAGATAGATAGATAGATAGATAGATAGATAGATAGATAGCAATAAATGGTAAAATAAATAAAATACTGAAAAGACAAGACAATGACAAACAAGATGTAAACAATATAATATAGTAGAAGTGTTATGTTTGTGTGGAAGCTGCACAGCCTTCAGTCCTTTGTATTTTGATATTGATCCCACAGCAGTATTTTATTGTCCCAGCGTGTGATTTCATAGCAGCAGAAAACACATCCAGACATGCTTTTGTTTCAGCTGTGGAGACAGCCATCCTCTACGGGACACCTTCAGCGTGCAGCCTCCAGCAGGCCTGTCCACACTGACAACCACCGACCTTCAGATGGCTGACCAAAAAGAACAGCAAGAGTGGGCTAATGGGGAGGTTTCACTTATCTACAGTGAGGAGGCCGGCACCCAGATCATCCAGCACCAGGACTCACTGACAGACTACTGCTCTATTTCATCCAGCTGCTCCATGGAGCTGATAGAGTCAGATGGTTTGAGCTCAGCAGGCCTTGGTTCAGTCACCAGCAGCAGTTCGCAACCACCTGCAGACCAGGAGGAACTGTGCCAGGACCAGGATCAGCAGGCATCAAACGGCCCTGAGTGTGGCATAAACTCTGCAGAAAGCCTGATCCCCACTTTACCGAAGTTGCAGGCGTTCACTGTGCTGTCAGTGAATGGCACTCTGTGGATCCCCAGGTATACAACACTGCACACACTCAGTGAACAAGTCAGTGAATGTGAATATGAATATTAAGTAGTTTAATTAACAGCAGAGCATATAAAAGTACAAAATACATCCAAAGACAGAGACCAGACCCTGTCCCTTTAAATAAAAGCTGGTGTCAAGAATGGCTGAGAGTCAACACAATCTTAAATAGACCATCAACAGGTTGTGAACAACTAAGATGTGTAAACTAAGACGAGTACAGAAGAGTTTGCAGATTTGAAAGCCTATGCAGCATGAATAATAACTGCTGTGGTCTCAGTGATAGTAGTGAGTGGACGGACAACATCAGCAAATGGACAAATACTTAGTGGTCAGACATTTTTAGTGGGGAAACCGAGTGTGTAGGACAGAGAGAAATCAGGCACTCCATGCTCATGACTACTACTATCTGTGGTCACGAACAGACCATCAAATATGAAGACAAAGACCACACAGAGGTTTGTGGTCAAAGTCAAAGAAATCCCCCCTAAGCTACAGAAAAGTGTTCTTACTATGTTTGAGACCAAAATAGAAATAGATGGAGTTAAAATAGACCAGCCAGAAAACTGTGTCCCAGCAGAGGACTGAACCTGCAGATGAGCGGGATGATCATCTTGTGTATAGCTCACTAATAAGGAATAATGGAGAAAATACCTCTTCTTTTGCTAAAATATGGGGGCATATTTTGACCATATCAGACATTGACAGTTTTATATGGGCATATGACTTTTTATCTCAGTGTCTTTTATAAATATACTTTTATAATCAAGGAATATGTCACATTTTGAGTCTCTGAAAAAGCCAAGTTGGGTGTTTTTGTCATTGCAGGTATCTGTGTAATATGCCAAAACAAACTGTAATTTGTAGGAAGTGCAACATGCCACTAGACGGCAGCTGCTTTTTTTTTTTATCAAATGCCATTTATAAAGTGTGCTGCTAATTAAGATATTTGTAATAGGGATTAAAAGTGTTTCATAGTAAAATTCATGAAGAAATTAAGGGATTTTATCTACTGAAATGTAAAAGGGCTTTTCACTTTTGATAAAGCAACTCATGACCCATGTTAGACAGTCATCTGCTGAAACTGTAGAGAGGAGAGAGAGGAAGATGGAGAGAGAGAGAGATGGCCAGAGGAGAGACTGGTGTATGTAGTTGAAGCAGACAGGTCCTCACCAGTAATCCAGATGAACCTACATCATGATGGAGCTCAGAGACTCCCAGAAAAGACTGTGTTATTTACTCTAATGGGACATGACGATTCAAAGTTAATTAAGTTCTTGTATTGTATTGTATTGTATCTAAATACTGTCTCCTGCCACACTTGTGTATCTGGCCTGCTAAGTGTCAAGGTGTCTGCACGCAAAAAGACTCGTCTTGCAGGTTGTAGCACACACGCTTGTTTTGGGCTTGCACTGGAGGATTAATACAGAGCCTACCTTATCTTTAAAAATGGATGAATGTGCAGGATGTTGAAGTTTTTTAGTGTCAAGTTGTTGAAAAAAAAAAAAGAGAAAGTTGATTTGTAAATTGTGAAATTAAATATAAAAAATCTTATTATAGTCTGTTTTTCCAAACTGAATCTGCAGCTAGTTTCAGGTTTTTATCAAAAGTTCTGGTTTCATTTCTTTAGATTTTTGGTCACAGTCTGGACCAAACATACAACTTAGATTGAACTTAAATTTACATCCTCAGTGCATATTCAAGCTGAAATGCTGTGTAAGATCAGAAACATCACATGCAATAAAGAGAGCATATCTATTCTCATCATAAGCTTACACTAACTCTGCTCTGTCCTGTTGTGTGTGTGTGTGTGTGTGTGTGTGTGTGTGTGTGTGTGTGTGTGTGTGTGTGTGTGTGTGTGTGTGTGTGTGTGTGTGTGTGGGTTTGGTTCTCAGGCGTGGAGGAGATGTGATGGTCATCGAGATGCAGTCACATGCCGGTCAGCTAAGGGGGCGTGTCATTGCTGTCCTCAGTCCACCTGGATGCTGCTCTTTAGGGTGAGCTGATGATGAAATTCTTTAACTTTTAGCTGGTTTCATGCATGTAAAGCCTTTTTGAACAATCTAGTTGGAGTTTTTTAAGTTTTCGTTATGTATCATACACTAATAAATTCCACGACTTCCCTCTTGGTGAACATGAGTGCAGCCTTTTAGATGAACAACATTAAGTGACTTACTGTTCGGGGCAGCAGTGGTGTACCGTCTGGTGACTCAACAGCTGTGTCTGCCTCTAAATGAAGTATGAATCCGATTACAATAAAACTGTGTGCTCTGTTAGTATTCAAGCACCAGCACACATTCAGCCTCCTCAGACCCTGAGGGAAGCTGCTGGTTTTGTTTGAATACAGCTGAAGCGTTGCTTTCTTCTGCTGGCTGTAAGCAGCCTATTCGGAGACTGGGAAAGTGATAAACCATGGTAACTGTATTTTTAGCTGTTATTGATTGAATGATGATGTCTTGATTCTGGCCTGAAAAATCCAGACTGAGAGCAGCACCCACTCTTATGTGTCATGAGGATATATTTTTTTTTTTACTGGACTGTATATGTCCGTCCTTGCAAAAATGAACTTGCTCTGCCATGTAGGAAATAAGGCAACATTGAATTTTTCTAACCACAAAATAAATGTTAAAGTATATTAACAATTATGAAATTGTAGTGTAAAGTTTTAGATTTAAATGAAGTTTTTATAACACCTGCACAGCTATCTAAGCTAGTGAGGCGGATTCTGATCCTCGGAGAAGGGTTTGAGTTTGTCTAATGGGGCGCTCACACCAAGGGTGAGTAAAATCATCTACTCACTTAATTCGTGCAAATCTAGACACGTGAATGAATAGTATTTACTCACCTCATGCACACATCAACGGTAATTGGAATGGTAATCCCTGCCAATTCAACCAGTGGGATCAAGTAATAGACAACGGCTTTTTACAGTTTACCAGGTAATCTGACCCCCTCACTCACTTGCCTCCAGGTGAGCTCCTTTTTATCCCGGTTTCAGTAATTGAAAGAAAAGGTGTCATATTATTTGGGACACCCACACACCAACACGATCAGTTTGTCCTCCATTTTAGATACCAATTTACGTCATTCACATCGCCAGAGTAGTTCAAGCGTCTAATCACGTCTTTGCATTGACTAAACATGTAATTCAGTCGCGCGAATGATTTTACTCGTACTTGGAGCTGCAGGGACAGTTAGATTACGTTTGGTGCATAATTTTGCCCTCTGCATTAGTAAAAAAAATTTAAGTGTCGAACTTTTACATCTACATTAGTACAGTATGTAGTTTTTCTTTATTTTCTACTGTTACTGCGTGTTTTTTTCCACCTGCACGGAGCCTTTTTTTCAGATGTGCCTGAAACCGTTCAGTCCTGGACTGGAAAAAGCAGAAGAATTACATTCAGAGATGAAGTCTAAGTGAAGTTTAGCCAGATCCTTCATCATGTTCTTATGGTGCTTCACTGAGTCCCTAATTATTTCTTTAAGGGGACCAGCTGCTGGTCTTTTGTAGAAAGAGCTTCTGTGTGAACCTCTGCTCAGGGGGCTGGCCTGTTAGCAGCAGGCAATAAAAGGGACACCAAAAGCAGGGTTCATAATAAGCAGTTATTACATGGCGCACCTGTAACACTGGCAGCACCCTGGGAGGTCACAGTTCAGGTCAGGCCTGTAGGGCTCTGGAGCTACTGTTTTCTGCAGCTGCCGACTTCACTCAATGCTCAATTTGACCCTGTTACACATGAAACCCTGAGTTAGAAGTGTACATTTGCTCAGAGTTCTTGTCCTTTTTTTAACATAATTTTGGCTCAAAATTACAGAGAGGTTGAGAAATTACTGCTGTAGTTAATTCTTCACCAGGAGCTGCAGCCTTTACTGTAATTGCAGCTAAAGGAATTAGAGATAGACATTAAGTTCAAAGCAAGGAAAGTGTTTTTGACACTTGACAGCTGGTGAATCGCTCTTTTCAAAGATACTGCCTCCACTGATAAAAACAGTAATTATACCTTCACAGCATTTAGCCTGTTGCTTTCTGAATATGCAGTGGACTTAAGGATTTATTATTTAAATAAACATAGCACTGATTTACCGGTGTGGTCTCAAACTGAAACTTGGAGAAAGGAGACAGCTATAAAGTGCTTATCTGTCAAATATAAGGTTTAATTTTGTCTACTTCCATGATTTTGACTGGTCTGAAGAAGGTTGCTGCCCATTCAGTAAGTTCTGTAGTCTCCCCCCCAGGTCTACAGTGATTCAAACACTGCGAAACAGTGCTCTCCTGTTGCTTGCTAAAATCATCCCTATAAGCTGCACCTCTTTGCTTAGGTTGTAGGTGGTAGTCAGGCAGCGGCAGCCTGTGATCTTGAGTAATGAGGATGATTCACACGTGTTTAAAACTGCAGTTCCTTGAGTGTCCACTTGAGGCTGGCTGCAAGATCACCAAAGCCCTATTCATGAAAGCCTATCTTTATAGCAGTATTGAACATGATTACAGACAGTTACTGGAAAGGATTAAGGTCTAATTAGCTCAGATACTTCGTTAGGGATGATTTTATCTGGTTTTCCAGGACATTGAATTTGAAGATATTGAAGCTTCTGTCAGGAATTTTCTGAAGTTTTGATTCCAGCATCCCCTGATGACATACTCAGTTTACCTCTAATCCTTTTGCCAAACTCATCATGTACATTTGTGAATATTGTTTGACAGTCAAATTCCTCCTGCTGTCTTTGAACAGGTAACTGTATCAGTCATTGTGACTTTTCACTGTGGAAAAAGTCCATGAGCGAGCACTAGCCTGATTCATGGCTAAAACACTGTGATAGAGTCATTCAAAATCTTTCCTAACCCTGGGTTTATTTGAACCTCAAATATGTAAAAATGGAGCTCAGGTTGAAGGATGTGTCCTCTAACTAGCATGTACCTTCACAGCTCAGCCTCACCTGTTCTTGGAGTCATGCAGCTGTATATCACCAAACAGGATAATGATACACCTCAGAAAGATGAAACAACAATAGAAGGAGATAATTCTGGGTTGCTCTGTGTGATACATGGGTGCTGGGTCACCCAAAGCTCTTCTTCCTCCCAGTATACATTGGGTCACAGCCTCCATAAATTACAGTCAGCTTAATGGAGATTGTTTTGATAGTATTTTTAAGTATTGTTATTTTGGGACAGCTTTGCAGGAGCGTCTAAGGACAGAGAGGGGTAGATACAGAGCCTCACTTCTTTACCACCATGTGAACAAACAGTAACTTCTCTGTTATGGTACATTCAGTATCTCGAGTTGTTGCTTCATAGAACTGCCCACTAGTTTCTAAGAAGAGCTAATTACAGTGCTGCTCAGAGATGCCACCAACTTTAGCTCCTCCCCCGCACTGCATCCTCACAGATCGCTATCCCTGCCTCTCTCACTTTTCTCTCTCTCTTAGGATCCTGGAGGAGGCAGCACTGGTGGCAAAGGACACAGTTGTGTGTGGCTTTCATAAGGAAAACATGGAGTGGTGCCTGTGTGTCTGGAAGGGCTGGGGCAACCACGAGCTGGAAGTATTCTTCCAGTCCTACGAGGAGCTGGGCCGTTTGGAGACCAGCATGAGGAAAAGAAGGTAGCTGTTGTGCTGCAGCGACCGACTGCAGAATCACAGCTCTGTATGGAGGGCGAGCGAGGGGAACACGCAGCCACAGACTGCCAGTGTTCAGAGCCGGGGGACGGCCCAGCGCTGACATCAGATCAACGTAGGAGGAGGAGGGGAAGGTCCAAGCCTCCAGCTGTGCACAGCTGTTTGTCCCCCCCCACCACATACTTCAGTAACAAACAGAAGTGAACAAGAAATAAAGCGATGAGAAGCCTTCAGGCTAAGTCACAGCCAAAGTTTGTTCCTGAAGTAAACTCTGTCCCTCCAGAACTTCTCAAAGCTTTTAAGGTTGTCTTTTCTGATTGGAGAGCCAAAGTTTGTCCCCATCAGTTTGCTTATGACAGGGACTTAAATGATCCAGATGTCAGGAACTGTTGGACTCCAGCTGCTGCCTCTCAGAGTTTATTCTTTGTCTGTTTCTGTTTTCCTTTATTTGACTTTTGAGCTCTGCAGCAGCTCTCTGGACAGAGACATTCTTGAGGGAGAAGTAATGACTGTTTTTAAATAGACTGAAGTGAAGCTGGTCCCACAGGGAAACAGCTGTGATTGACTCTTTCACACGCTTGTCATCTGTCTTCCTGTATATTTTTCCTCCACACGTGAATCTGCATGCAGGCTGCTGCTTCCGCCATCTCCAGAGGAGCCTGGAAGCAGCAAACCAACATCTGTGTTCTGTGCATCATTACACAACACAGCATTTGTAACCAAACCCTGCTGCTTTTGGCAGGTCTTGCCAGATAAAAGACACCAAACAGGCTCCTGGAGGTAAAAGAGTTTTCATGGTGACTGCCTAGGCCTCTCCTCCATTTAGGATCTGCAGGGATGATGCAGAATGCTCTGCACGAGACCCAAGAGCTGGAAGACAAGAGTCGATCATGAATTCACTTTAACACTGTTGGACAGTGCAACACTAGTCTTCATCAAAACAACATGTGCACAGCTGCTTTTAGTCACAGTGTCCGCTCAGGGAGGGTCTACAGCCAACATTAATCAAACAAGAAACTTCAAACTGAACTTTGGGAATTGTTTTATTAAAGAGGGATCCATGTATATTCACACCTGAGTCCTCTGCCATAAAGGGAAAGCGAAAAGACTTTAGGAAGAATCTGATGAATGAATAATGGACATGTGGTGGTCTATTTGTTGGACTATTAAGGTGTTTCTCTCCCGACAGGGTTTTACATATTTAAATCATTTTAACTTTACTGTTTTAGCTTAAGTTGGCACTTTGGCGCTCTTCCATGTGTCAGAAAGAACTGTATATTGTCAATAAAGATTTGTGGTAATGCAGAGGTTATTTATTTATCAATGTATAATAACTGTGTTGTTTTGTGTACATAAACACTGTGCAATATGACTGAATAAAGTCCCTATAACAGACGTGTTTGACTGTGTTTAAATCACTGAGACAGATGAAAGCTTTAGCTCTGCACTCGGTCCTGTTTTCATGCTCGGCAAACCCTCAGACACACAGAGAGAGAGAGAGAGAGAGAGAGAGAGGACGCCTCCTCTGATGAAGTGATGATGACAGACGGGAGGAGGAAGCTGATAACAAGGCTCCTGTTTGGTATGAGGAACTAAAGGAGGCCGCCTCAAAAGCTTTGTGCTGGAAAAATCCCTGCTCCAACCTGTTTTTGATTGTACAGCTCAACCCTCACAACCTGACATGAAATACAACGACATTTTCATTTTTTAGAAGTGTATATTTTAAAGTCATTGACTTGAAGAGACATCAACTGAGTGACCAGACTGAGTTGTCCCGGCCTTGATCTAAGACAAGGCTGGACCTTAGCAACACATCAGGATGTTTGAATAAAACCTCTCTGCTAGCAACAAGTCTTTCAAATCAATCAGAGCCAAACCATGAAGTGTCACTTTACTGCACACATATGCTTTAGATTATGGTAAAGAATGGTATAAAGTGACCATCGTGGTCCTGCTCGCCCCAACCAGACTATTCATGTACTAGTTTAGAAAGGCTAATCTTTCTTTTGCCTTGACAGTCTGTTACACTCAGTCCCAGCTTTGTCCATAGAAATGTAAATACCCACATTAAAGGGGCTGGCCAGTTATTAAGCTACTTGCCTATGGGTAATGTATTAGCCAAAGGTGATCAGGTCAGTCCAGTTCTAAAACAAAAAACTGGAACAGTAAACCTTGACACTACTCTTAGTGTAAGAGTATGTTCTACTGTGAAATCTTTGTATTTCAAGTTGACATCATTTTGAGCTTTGCATACCTAAGATTATATAACAGATACAGTTATGTTTGTGGAGTTTATTCAAGCTCAGTCTTCCCCTTCAACACAGTGAACACAACGGTTTTTGATAAGGTAAACATGTCCCATCATGCAACTAAAAAAATGACGAAAGTTGATAAACCCTCCAGCATTCAGTGCAGCAGGGAACTCTAGATGGTGAGTGACGCAGACTGCAGTAGCATGTGAGTCACTGGTATCCTCTGATTCACAAAGGTCCTGAAATACCTATGAAATCATGCAAGTCCTACTTGTAACAGCAAGTAGTTTTCTAAGTTCATGGGCTCACAGTTTTCACACCTGCTCCACCATGTCATTTGGGATCTTGCCTGCTCCCTGGTCAGCATAGAAGTTTCCTATGAACCCCCAAGTCCAGATTAGTTCAGCTATGGTCTCTGATGTTGGCTTCATTAGTCTATGAAGGAAAAAGAAATTCAATAAATCCCTCTGTAAATGTGTTCCTATTGGGTTTGTGGTCTCAGTCTTTAGTTTCGGATCTTCTTCATTGCAGCACAATGTTCACTCTGTGAATGATGGTTCCAGTTAGAGTCAAAGAGACCAGAAAGAGCAGGATTTAGGGCAGGGCAGCCTGTGATTGACAAGCTGCTGCTGCCACAAAAACTGCTGACTGTTTTGAAACTCTGAGGGTCCCTTATTTATACTTTCATGAGATAAATAAATACACCCTTTTTTTTGGATGCTTCCAAATATTATAGTTACCGCGCTAATACTGGCATTCAATAGCAGCATAGATATAAGCAGCCTTACCCTCTCATCTGAGTGTGATCAGTCCAGCTTGTAAAAATGTGGTTGATGGTTTAAAATGGTTTGTTGGTTTAATGTGCATCATTTAGCTCATTTATGTTGATTATGTGGTGGAGATGCTTGGGGCTGGAGGTAGACTGCAAATTGTTAATGAAAACTAAAGTATCCTGCTGGATTCACATTAATCTTCTGTGCTCAGTTGTCCATACTAATTGTAAAAGTTGTAAGTACCTTCAAACAGCTCCAAGAAATCACAGCATATCCATGCCTTGGACCTGCAAAGCTAAGCTAGCATGAGCATGTTCAACAGAGACAGTAGCAGTAGCCTTCTTTCACCAGCTTCAGGTCAACCGTCTGTGCAGGTTGGAGAGAACTCTGAGGTAAACCAGGTCTCTCCGAGGTTTTTATCTGTGTTTCTTGAGTGTAAACACTATATTTTAAACATTTTTTATCACAAGCAAACATCACTGATTATAGAAATTGATGCTTGAGCTGTGTCAGGGTGATATTTTAACCCTGAATGATCCTCAAAAAGACAAGAAGCTACAGAGATTTTCTTGGAAGTTGCTGTGGTCTTCTGTAAACAAGATGACAGTTGGTGCCAGCTGTTTACTCAGAGGCCAGCATGGTGGCACTGCACATATCATGAATGATGCTCTTGTCATTTAGGAAGACTTGGCCTTCTGTTGCTCAGATATGAATAAATCATGCCCAGTCCTCAGGTGCTCTGATTTAACCTCTGCAGGTCACTTCTGGCCCCTGTCAGCCGCTTATACTGTAGTATACGAACGTATCACGAACGACGAAGGCGGCTCACAGGCATTTTCCGGTTTCTACAGCAAGATTAAGCAGTTGCAGATCTTCTCTTCTGGTAGTCAGTCGTGGTCGTCCTGGAGATTTTCCTGGCCTCAAATGACCCTCCTCTCGATGAACTCTGAGGATTTTAGAGACCGCACTCTGGGATATCCCAAGCAAATCAGCAATATCAGCCTGTTTGTGTCCATCCTGTCGAAGTGCAAGCACTCTTTGGCGTATTGCGAGTGGTGTTGGATGAGGCATAGCATAGGGAAGTTCTATGTCAAATCTGGTTGAAAATTATTTCAGACAATTCTGAAAATGTGGACCCATTGCACACAGGCTTAAAGCGGGAAACGGACAACACAGCAAATGTCTTGTCCTTTGTAGCACCAAACAAATATTATGCAGGAATTGATTTCACCTGGGTGAAAATCATTCAACAGATTTTAATAATTTCATTGTGTGTATATGTTAAATTACATGTTTCCATTTTAAAATTACCCCAAAAAAGCATGTAAATGAAAGGGTTTAATCTTATCAGTCAGGGCTTTGTGTCTTTTTGTCAATAGGTATCAAATATTTCATGTTTTTCTTTTACATATTTAAAATACTGCCACAAAATCTATGCACTCATCAGACCCCTTCTTATAGCTCATGTGATCAGTCCATCCTTTTGACTGGCTGGAAACAAACCAGTGAAACTACCTGAGGTTATCAGGAGAAGACAGATGAAAAGCTGAAGAGCTCCCAAAATGGTCCCCTGAAAGCTAATCTCTGTTGATGACAACTTTTGTGGACTGCTGCCCCTTTCATTTGTTCCTGTCCCTGCCCCTCAAACAGTCTGATTACACCACTAGATAAACATCTCTCCAAATCTGTGCCATCTAGAAGTCAGACCACCTCCCTCTCTGTGCAGGAGAGCAACAGAGTTCATGATTGTCAAACATGGTATGTGGTGGTCGAGGGGGCACGTGGAGAAATCAAGGAGACTTAAGTGCAGATCTGATCCGACCATAGTCTGTTTGTGATAAAACTCATGATTCATTCCTCGAGAGTGTGGCGCTGACGACAAGAGATCTCAGTGTGCTCATTGTGTTCTTTGGGTGTTTCTGCTGTATTTGCACAAACAGGCATCTTTCGGATGTAGCTGTTGTTCTTCCCAGTTGATCATGGGACAATGGAGAAAGTGTCCTCTGTCGATCTGTTACTTCACCCAAAACATTTATCAGAGAATCACCTCTGGAGCATTGAGGATAACTCTCCTGAATGTTTGTGAGTGGCATAGTTATTAAATCTGCACTCCAATGTGCAATAAAACGTCCAGAGTGTGACGGCAGAGAATCAGAGGGGGGAGAAATGGAGTCGGGGTGGGGGAGGTCGATTAGCTGGTAAGTTTATGAAATAAATAGCAACCCCCACCCTCTCTCACCCCAGAGGCAGACAATGGCTCTGTTGTTTTCCTCAGTGGTTCAATGTCTGAATAAGGAGATTTAACTTACACAACACTGATCACTTCCACACCTTGCTCTGTGTGTGTGTGTGTGTGTGTGTGCGTGTGTGTGTGTGTGTGTGTGTGTGTGAGAGAGAGAGAGAGAGAGAGAGAGAGAGAGAGAGAGAGTGTGTGTGTGTGTGTGTGTGTGTGTGTGTGTGTGTGTGTGTGTGTGTGTGTGTGTGTGTGTGTGTGTGTGTGCGACTTGCAGTAAAACAGTAAGAAGAAGTTAGATAAATTAAAACGTGATTTTGTCTCTAACGAGGTTTCATTTTGTTAAAAAAGTCCAGTGAGACGAGTGAAGAAGTGATAAAGTCAGGTTTGATGACACAGATGCTGTTTTTTCAAAAACCTGTTTCCTTGTGGGACCGTGTGAGAACTGACTTATGTTTACAGATCAGTCTGTCCTGCGCTGAGTGTTGTGTAACTTTATTTAGAGTAATGTGAACCTCATGCTGTTTCACATTATCACACTGATCTGAATGATCTGAGCTTTTCAAGTTGATGCTTTATGAAACATCTGCTCATGGCCAAAAGACAGGACAAGTCCTGGAATTGTACATTTCTGCAGCAAGCAGTGGTTCAGATTGGGACAGTTTGGTACAGATTGGTACACTTAACCTGATCTTACCTGTGTTTCTACAGCCAACTGTACCATTATTCTGCAGAGGTGAGTAAAGATAGCTTTCTCTAAAAATGTCTTTTTTGTGTACATGGTTACCTGTTCTTTTATAGTCAGCCTTAAATAGACCTTCTGAGAAGGGCAATCTATAGCCCCACTGCATCAGCCCCATTTCTCAAGACCAGAAGCTGCTGCTTGGTCTGGTTTTATTCTTCAGAATCGTATGCTTGGTGCCCCAACAGAAAGGTGCCAAAAAAGAGTTGTTGATTTTGTGCTTTTCCCACTTTTTGACAGTATATACACAAATAATTACATACAGGAACAAACTAAATAGAACATAATTGGAGGAATTCCAAAACAACCAAATCAGTGAGGTATTTTAAATTGTAGTGTGACATGACATAAAGTGAGGAGGGGATTGAGGCTGCCTACGAACGAAAGAAGGCCAAGTACTCAGAGCTGGCTGCTTAGTGCTGGGAGGCTGGTTGGAAGGCTACCGTCTACCCAGTGGAGATCAGATGCAGAGGCTATGTGGGACTGTCAACGACACGCCTTCTGAGGGACTAGGAGTAACTGGAGGGAACCTGAAGAAGGCAACCAAAGAGCTAGCAGAAAAGGCTGAGGAGGGGAGCTTTTGGCCCTGGCTGAGGAGAAAGGATAAGTGCTGGGGAAAGAACAACTAACCCAGATGATAGCGGCAGACAGTAACACCTCTCAGCTACAGGGGGTGGCAGGGAGACGTCCCTGCCACTGCTTCGCCACCAGGAGACGTTCCGGGATCAAAGGAACGAAACATTGGTGAATGGTGGTTCCTGGCTGACGACTCTGTAGCTGACCTGTGGGCACCAGAGGAGGTGCGACAGGCAGCAATGCCTAGCAGGTGTTCCATCTTCCTGTACATTAATCTGGATACACCAGCGCGCTGTTGTAGCCCCAGTGACGTGCTTTCATAGCAACCATTCAGCTGCCCTCTTCTATTGGGGGGTTGGAGGAGGATATAAAGAACTGGCTTGATATAATAGTGTTGTTAATAGTGTTATGGTTTGTTTTCCATTTTTTATTTTCCAGTTCCCTACCGGTCGTCGGAAGACGGCTCGTCTCCTGATTTTTGTTTTTTGATTTGAAAACGAAAAACCGTTGGCCGCTAAGTACTCGGGACCAGTAACTCTGCTCATCTTCCAAATAGAGTCATGTTAACTTATACAGCTGATTTAAAGCAATCAATGTTGAAGTAGCTTAAGTATTTGAAGATAAAAAGTACAACAAAAAACAACAATAAATATCCCACAGTGACAGAATAGTCAGCTCTGTTAGGATGATTATGTTGGCCACAGAGGAGCTACTTGTTGTCAATTTGAGGCACATCCAGGAGCAGCTGATTGGTCAACCTCAGAGCTGTAGTTGGATATTAGCATGGAGAAGTTCTGCTCAGCAAGGTCCATTAAAGGCTTTACAGGTCAACAACAAAATATTAGAAATCAATCCTGTAACTACTGGAGGCGAGTGAAGAGAGAGAAGCAGAGGTGTGAGTTACTCTTTCCAGTAAGAAGATGAGCAGCAGCAGCATTTTACACCAGCTCTAAGCCCAGATATAAAGAATTACTATGTTATCAAAGCATATGAGGCAGATAAGCTTTAACTTTAACTGTCAGCCTCCACTGAACCAAACTGGACTCAACAACAGATAGAGAAGAGGATTCAAACACTGCACGTCTAAAAACACCGGGAGACATAGAGAACATCTGCCATAGATGAACATGTTTCTCACACTTGATTCTGGAGACTCGCAAAGAGAGGAGGAATAATGTCAGTGTGATTAGGCTGGTTACTTTGTGAGAAATTGACACTGACGTGTAAGTGAGTTGATTGTGTTTGTTATTGAAGTTACTGGAATACTGAAGTATGTGCTACTGCACCCTGTCTTATCTTTCATTAATTTGACTGATTATTTGAAGGTTTAAGTTTGAGTATTTTATGTTTGAGGTGTTCACTGGTTCAGGTGTTGTACCATTGTTGTGGGACAATTTACAAAGATCCAGATTTATTCATCTTAAAACTCCTGTGAGGGACTTTCAGTTGGTGTCAATTTTGGTGCCCCCTTGTGGACAAAGCATTTTCATGTTCTCTACATGCTTGAGTTATGACTTTTGATTTTAAAAAAATCTCAAACCAACTGACAACAAGGCTGTTTCTGCAGCTGCTTGGCTGACACCTGTACCTTTGCCCTGGCATTGAAAATAAGGATGTATAGACAGTCACTCTTGTCACTGATGATCTTTTTTGCTTTTGGAAATATGGTTTATCAGAATAAATGTAGCTAGACTAGTCTCAGATGGCCCACAATTCACCCCTGCAGTCTCTATAATAGTGACATGTCATACTTTTTCACAAGGACCATGTCAGACAGCTTGTTTTTTGGTGGATTCAGAGCAGCAGACGTGTACGGTGAGATGTGTCTGTGCAGCGGCTCCTCTGTGCAGAAACACAGACAGACAGACAGAAACACAGACAGACAGCACAGACACACACACACACACACACACACACACACACACACACACACACACACACACACAGTGACTGCTGTAAAGTGGGGCCCAATCATCTCTCCAGCTTCACGCTCAGCGTGTATTGTACAGGAGGTGAAATGTCACAGAGGCCCTGCTGTCTCCATGTGTGTCTTTAAAAACAACTCTGAGGCATGTCCATAAAACTGTGCTGTTCATTCTGTAGCATTCTGCACCACCCTGACATGACATTCAGCACAATGAGAAGCAGGTTGTGTGTTTTCTGTGTTTAAATCCACATGCTGGGCTCTGTGCTGATAGTGATGGTGTTTGATGGATCACATGTTTGTCCCACAGATGAACATTTACAGCATCAGGTGTTTACACGACTCACTCTGAGCTCACTCCTCTGCCTCCATAATTTGAGATCAGAACAGTCATTAAACAGAGTAGAATGAAAATGACTCTGTTAGCTGGAGTTTTTAAGTCTTCAATTCTCTTGTACTTCAAACACATATTTATTTTGGATGATTTGGTGAATAAATTGATAGTCACTGCACTGAATGTTGGTGATAAAGTGATAACGTGTGTCAGACGTGCTGGTATGATGATTACAGCTCTGGCATCCCCTCAGTACAATCGTCCATTTTGATCTAACGAGTCAGCATACTTAAGGTTTTCGCCTCATTGTGAACAAGCAGAGGTAAAACATGCCAGATCTCTCAAACTGATTTGATATGAAGTGTGATCTAGTTGTCTCTTACTATCTAGAATAAATGACAAATGTCAGGAGGTTTTGATCAATCAGATTCAAGTGTTTAGGTGTTAGGTGATGATTGAGAAAGATGGATGAGACTACAGACCTGTGATTAGCTCTGTTTTGGTGAAATCTGATCCCCCCTCTATGCTAATGAAGTAGATGAAAATTAATAACGTGAAAGTCTCTGCTCTGACACCTCAGTCACAGACCTGACTAAGAACCATAATTTCTGATGTGTTTGTGCATAGGAGACTGTAAGGCCCATCATCGTCTTTTAGGATGAGTTCAAACTGTGTTCAGACTGCGTGGCTCCCTCCTGCTCTTCCTCCTCCTCCTCCTCCTCCTCCTCCTCACCATGCCCTGTTTGCTTTACAGCCCCACAGCAGACACAAAGCACAGTGTTGACTTATCTCAGTGGTGGTTTATTGTCCCTGTAGGGCTTCCGTCTCAAACACTGATGGGGTTACGCACACAGATCACTGAAGCACCAATAGGCTTTACCTCTGCTGCGTCACACTGCCCTGCAAGATTTACTCACAGCTGCTGAGCCAGGAGATTGATTCTATGTGTATGATATGTTTATTGTTTTAATTAAATCACAATCTCAGTCTCTGTAGTTAAATCCTGTTCCACAAGGATCATTTCCAAAAGCTGGTCCTGAATGCCAGCGCAGGAATGTGGATTACTGAGGAGGCACAGAGGGGAACTGCTCCTGGCCACACAGCCTCGGGGTGTCACCGCCGTGGATGGTCCGCAAATTAGTGCGGTACTGTGCACCACTTTGGCTTGGTCCACTGTGGTGCAAAAACTTTTTATAAGGAATAAGCATAAGAATAAGAAGAACTTTATTAATCCCTAAAGGGAAATTCAATTGTCTGTTGTCTCACATAATATGTCTCTAAAAGTTATCTACTATTTACATAAGAGTTATAAAATCTGAATCTTTCTGTCCTGCAGCAAAGAGAGAGGAGCCGTCCACCACCATTGGCCCTTTGGTCCATTAAGGTGTTGTGAAGTGGATGATCCATGTTCTTTAGAATAGTCTCCACCTTCCTCAGTGTAGATCTCTCCACCACATCCTCCACTAAGTCCAGCTTGAATCCAACCACAGAGCCAGCCTTTTTCACCAGTTTGTTAAGACGTCTTGCATCTTTGTGTTTGATGCTTCCTCCCCAGCAGACTGCAACGTAAAACAGAACACTGTAGACACCACAGACTGATAAAACATCTGCAGCATCTTACTACAGATGTCTATTGATCGGAGTCTTCTCAGGCAAAAGAGGCGGCTCTATTCTTAGATCAGTCCAACTTATTATCTAGACGTACACCTCAGTGATGTGATGTGATATGATGTGCATGAGCATTTTTTGTGGCTATAGAGTGGCTTTTTGGTTGAGATTTGTGCGTGGAGATGTAGACCACTGTGTATTGCTATCGTGCGGTTGTTACTAGAGTTGGTATAACTAGAGAAGCAAGCAGTTGGCGACATTCATCTCTCGAGGGGGTGTCTAACTCTGTGTTATGGTGTGGTAGACCTTAACTTAATTTAACGCCAGAATGTCCCTTTTAGTCGTGCATTTTCTTCTCCACAGAGCCTGAGCAGGTATCAAAGGTTCAACAAAACCCTGAAATTTACCTAAATGTTCCACCAGGAGACCAACATTTAGTCTTGTCCACTATCTATTTAATTCAAGTGCCTTGAAAAAGTCTTCATACCCCTTGAACTTTTTCACATTTTGTCACTCTACAACTACAAACTTTAAAGTATTTCATGAAGATTTTTTTGTCATAGACCAACACAAAGTAGCACATAGTTATGAAGCGGAACTAAAATGATACATGGTTTTCAAAAATTTAAACAAATAAAAATCTGAAAAGTGAGGTGTGCATTTGTATTCAGCCCCCTGTGTCAATATTTTGTAGAGCCACCTTTCGCTGCAATTACAGCTGCAAGTCTTTTGGGGTGTGTCTCTACAAGTTTTTCACATTTAGAGACTGAAATTTTTGCCCATTCTTCTTTGCAAAATAGCTCAAGCTCAGCCAGATTGGATGGAGAGCGTCTGTGAACAGCAGTTTTTAAGTCTTGCCACAGATGCTCAATGTGATTTAGGTCTGGACTTTGACTTGGCCGTTCTAACACATGAATATTCTTTGATCTAAACTATTCCATTGTAGCTCTAGCTGTATGTTTAGGGTCATTGTCTTGCTGGAAGGTGAATCTCTTTCCCAGTCTCAAGTCTTTTGCAGCCTCCAACAGGTTTTCTTCCAGGATTGCCCTGTATTTAGCTCCATCCATCCTCCCATCAACTCTGACCAGCTTCCCTGTCCCTGCTGAAGAAAAGCATCCCCACAGCATGAGGCTGCCACCACCATGTTTCACAGTGGGGATGGTGGTGTGTTCAGGGTGATGAGCAGTGTTACTTTTCCCGCACCCATAGCGCTTTGTATTCAGGCCAAAAAGTTCAACTTTGGTCTCATCTGACCAGAGCACCTTCTTCCATGTTTGCTGTGTCCCCGACATGGCTTGTGGCAAACTGCAAACGCAAATTTTTATGTCTTTCTGTCAACAATGGCTTTCTTCTTGCCGCTCTCCCATAAAGGCCAGATTTGTGGAGTACACGACTTGTAGTTGACCTGTGGACAGATTCTCCCACCTGAGCTGTGGATTTCTGCAGCTCCTCCAGAGTGACCATGGGCCTCTTGGCTGCTTCTCTCACCAGTGCTCTCCTTGCTCGGTCTGTCAGTTTAGGTGGACGGCCATGTCTTGGTAGGTTAGCAGTTGTGGCATACTTCTTCCATTTCTGGATGATGGATTGAGCAGTATCAACTTCTCCACAACTTCTTCCCTGACCTGTCTGGTGAGTTCCTTGGTCTTCATGATGCTCTTTGTTGAGTAGTGTTCTCTAACAAAGCACTGAGGCCTTCACAGAACAGTTGTATTTATGCTGATACTAAATTACATACAGGTGGACTCTATTTACTAACTAGGAAACTTCTGAAGGCAATTGATTGCACTGCATTTTATTCAGGGGTATCAGAGTACAGGGGGCTGAATACAAATGCACACCACACTTTTCAGATTTTTATTTGTTTACATTTTTGAAAACCATGTATCATTTTAGTTCCACTTCACAATTATGTGCTACTTTGTGTTGGTCTTACAAAAATCTTGTTGTAGAGTGACAAAATGTGAAAAAGTTCAAGGGGTATGAATACTTTTTTCAAGGCACTGTATTTATTTATCTACTATTACTTTGCATGTTAGGGATGACTCACTTAAAGGGGGAGGAGGACACTTTCAACACTCATGAACTCATGAACTGTCCTCCCACTGAGTGTGTGGGTGCAGTGCTGTCCTTACTACCCAACACTGAAACTTCATGAGGGCTTTGAGGACTGTTTATGCTCTTCATGCTGTGTCCCTCCTTGCATACATCTGCAAACAGTCCTTTGAAACGTGCTAAGAGTTCGTTGTAAAATTGGTGAGACGCCTGCCCCCTAAACTGTGAGTGTTAAAAGTCTAGGGAGAAAAGTTGATCAGTGAGTGACAGAAAAATGGCTGATATGGTCAACTGTTACACATTCCAAGGTTTATAGTCATAGCTTTCCTGGACTTACTTCCTTAAGACAGCTCAGACAAAGTGAGGCTGTTTTTTACTGATTCCATTAAGATGCTTTTAAACAAAAAACTTGATGCCAATTCTCATGTTCGAGAACTCACATCTACACCTGTCATCAACTGTCATCAAGTGTTCAGGTTTGAAGGGGGCCAGGACAAGACTTTAAAAAAGAAGGACACAAAACAACTGGGGGAGAATCAGGGGAAATTTTAAAAAGAGAAAAAGCAGGAAGAAAGAAATAAGCAGAAGCAGCAAATATTTGACTGATTAAGAAGAGAAGGATGACTAAACAAAGGAGGAAATCAAGAGACTGAAGAAGAGAAAGCGTAGGATCAGGATTGAAGAAAAGAATGAACATAAAAGGCCCTGAGGTGTCTCCTGACTTTGACCTGCTGTTCCTGTTACGGCAGTCATCCTGACGGTTGAGACAGAGATAATGAAAGACTGATAAAAAACAATAACAGCCAAACTCTTGTTCTCCACCCACTTTATTTCTTTTTAAATAGAAAACCTAGCCCAGTCGGACAGAGTTTAAAGAACAAAAAGACAAAAAAAAAGTCAAAGAAAACAAAACAAAAAACCCAAGAAACACTTTGATGACAGCGCAGTCATTCATCCTGGTCCATCAGTCTCAAATTCAGCCATCCATGTTGTAAAGCTGGAAGAGAAGCAGTCACCCAATAGGGCGTTCAAACGTACAGTACCTGCCCATGGACAATACAAGCAGGAGGACAACCACTCTGTCCGAGACACAGATCATCACAGCTCAGCAGAGACCGGGACCAGCCACAACACTTAAGATTTTTTTTAAGACAAAGTCATTGATGAAGGGAGATGCTGATGAACCGGCCGACCAGAGAACCTCTCCCATCCTGAACCGCCGAAGAAAGGCAGGTTCCTGCTTCACCCAGAGACACCAGGGTTCACAGAGCTTTTGTGTTTGTCTCCATTATACAGCCGGTTTCATGTCTGTGCCTGCTAAACACCACCATGCTAAACACCACCCAACACGCACGCACGCACGCACCCACGCACCCACCCACCCACCCACTCACTCACTCACTCACTCACTCACTCACTCACTCACTCACTCACTCACTCACTCACTCACTCACTCACTCACTCACTCACTCACTCACTCACTCACTCACTCACTCACTCACTCACTCACTCACTCACTCACTCACTCACTCACTCACTCACTCACTCACACTCAACAGGCAACATGATCCCTAAAGCAGACTGTGCAAACTCTTTGGTGATAATGAGTTTAAGAAGAAAAGAACATTAAAAAAAAACCTACCCCGCATCTGGTTACAATCTTTCCAATATACATATTTTAACAGACAGAGTAGAAAAATGGAGTCTGCAAATTCAATAAATTAGACAGCAAAAGATGATTTCAGAATACAAAATCCAGCAGTTGGGTTCACAGAAATAAAAAAATAATGAAAAAAACATGAAAATAAACATGGGACAGACAGCAACAGTGTTGTGTGGTTAAGACCAGGACTGTCAAAGCAAAAGGAGAAGAAAACTGATGTAGGTCAAAGACATGGAATGACAGGATGTGATTGCAGTTTTCACTGATGAAGAGTTGTTTAAGTCTTTTGTAAACAGTCACAATCAAAAATCTTGTCGTGTTTGTTGGAGCTATGCTGCTCTCAGAAGTGGTACCTCTTTTTTCTGCAAACTAGACAAATGAAATCATTAAGGACCATAATGGTGTACTTCAGTGAGGTACAGATTATAGGGAATTTCTATATTTGATCAAAGGCTCTATTTTTGTTACACATTTTCGAGTCTAAATGACTAAAGGGTGAATAACATTTAGAATATTTGCAGATTGCCTCAGCTAGCAGCCTTGAAACAGGCTGTAATGGCTCTGAGGTTATCCTTCTAGGCAAATGGGCTCTGCAGTCCTCTTTGAAGTTGGGGGGTTAGACCAGCACCTCCCGTTACCTCAAAGGAGACTGATTATGCTGATGCTGTGTTTTGAAGAATACATATAATGTTTCTATGGTCAATACTAATCCAACATTTTCAAACAGAACATATACAGGCCTTGGCATAATCCCCAGATGTGCGTTCTGGCTTCTCTGTGTGGCTCATTTTGAGGAAGACTTGGCCTAAATTTGACATAAGTCTCTGCCATCCTACGGCAACTCTGTCAAGGAAATGCCCACCTAGGAGCTGGACAGTCCATTTCACTGCTTAGCTCCCCCCTTCCACTGTATTTTGGTTGATTTTGATAGTACATAGACCATCTATGTAGACCCTCCATGAGGGCTCTGAACTGCTGTAACCATGCAGGTCATGCATCATTATAGGCCATGTAATGACAGCTTAAAAGCTATAATTCAGGGTTAACAGCTAGCCACATACACTGTCTGTGGAGGCATAACTTTAAGGTCGTTACATGACAACAAAGCTGTGTAAAAAGTAACACCATGTGTCTGCCTTTATGTCACTGGAAAAGCAGAAGAGGGTTTCAGACAGAGACTGACACAAGGATCTCACTAACCCCCAGCATTAGACAAACAAGAACTGATTTGAGCTTTGATCCATTAAACGCTACCTTACAGGTCTCTCAGACTGGCACAAAAGGTGAAAATGAGTATAATGGATCTCTTTTAAGGTTAAAAATGTGACTTTTGTTGACAGCAGCTGACAGCTTTAAATACAATGACATACAGTAATCAGACCCGAACAGGCCTCAAATCAGCTGGGGTCCAGCACATGCTCCACTGTTCCATCTCTGCAAGTTTAATTGCAGGAATGTGTAGAAGGAAGCTGGGACATAAAAAAAACTACTTTAAATTTAAAAAGCCAGAGAAAAAGCGTTCCTGTCATTTTGTCAAAAGTCACGTTTACAGTAAATAAAAAGGTACAGAGCTGTAAAGGTGTCAATGTTTTCACAGTTTGACTTTTGACCATTTGGGCCCTACTTTATTTTTTTGTCTATTGTTTCAGTTTGTGGTGAGATAAGTCTACTTGGCAAAGGTCCAATCGTAACCAGTCAAAGAGGGCATGTTGCCACCCACTGTAGCAGAAGCAGACTTACTTTAGTCAATAAGTTGGCCTTCAGCTGTGCTTGTATACTAGCAGACCGGAAGTAGTCCAGTTAAAGTTCCTACTCCAGCTTGAATTTAAACGTATCAACAATCTTTAGACTGGCCCATTTGCCTGCAAGGATTATGCTGTAATTTGCCTTCATAACAGTTTGTACCTTTTAGTCAGTCAGAACAGTACATATGTAAAAACAGTGCCCAGGTTTAAAAATACTGAAATTCTCCTTTAAAAAAGCCCCGCCCCTTTCCCCAACGTGTAACACAGCCTGGGTGAGCAGCAGGCAAACACAAGAATACTGGTCAATATTAAATCATTCAAGAAACCCTCTCATTACCCAGACTGTGCGTCTATGAATTGTTCAGCATGACATGTCTGTATTTTTCATAAAAAAGAGGCATATTTTCAAAATATATCCATGTGGAGTCTTTCATTTCTGTAAAAAATAAATTAGGTAGTGAGAACACCACGAAGAGGAAGAAGTAAGCTTAGACCGGGTTCAGGTACAGTTTTTGACAGCCCTGCATTCTCACGCTGTCCTTTCTGAGCCGTTATTGCTGGCAAGTCTCCTGAAGCCGTGGACGTTCTTCTCCAGCCAGAGCTCGGCCAGCTGCTGGGTGGAGCCATGCGACGAGGCTTTGGAGCCCAGGCACATCTTATATTGCTTTGCCTCAAGGTTGGGGTCACATATGACAGGGTGATGGACGTGCACTATCCCCGTGTCTGTGCTTCTGAACAACTTAATCCCTGATTGGACAAATTTATTAAAAAGGTCAACGTCTTCCAATCCCCACCCCTGTATAGAGGTGTCAAAGCCTCCGGCTCGGACCAAGTCCCCCCTGTAGACACAGACGATCCCAAATCCATAGTTCCTCCACAGGCCTGTCTTAGAGGTGAAGACGTAGTGGTTGTTGCTAGGTACCTTCCCGGCGTACACCACTTTGGGATCATACTGGCTGAAGATGATGGGGAAATAGGTCTGCTCCCCAAGAGCTGTGTTAGTTCTACATCGCTTTAGGAAGTCGCTGGTAAAGAGCAGATCTACATCACAGAAGAAGAGCAGTGAATCATTAGAGAAGTGCAAGGAACCCACTTCCAAGGCCAGAGCCCTGGAGAAGGAGCCTGCTACAGTTTTGATCTCCATCTCGGCCCGTGGGTACTTCATGTGATACTCCCTCATCAGCTCCACCTGTCTGACCCGCTCTGTGTTGTTGTCCGTGCTGAAGAGAAGGATCAGCAGTCTGACGTTCTGGTTAGGGACCAGACAGACTCGTTCAAAGTTGGCCATGAACCGCACAAAGATGTCGTAGCGCCCTGAGAGAGGTACCAGGATGTTGACTTTCTTCTCTTTTGGTTCCCTCTGGTCCTGGCCAGATGTGGCCAACTTGAAAGGCACCAGCATCTTTAGGGAGTTAGACAGAAATGACAGTGAGTCAGATTCCTTGTTAATGTGACTGGCCAGAGCTTTAGCATCCATCTCCTCCTCCTCTCTGAATTGAATCTGGCTGAAGGTCTGTTGCAGGTAGGCGTGCCTCCTTACAGGAACCGTCATGGTCTTTCCTTTGTGCTTCTTGTACAGCAGCAGTAGATCCAGCACATACTCGGCTCCATATAAGGGGTTGACCCTCCGGTAGCCATACTGGATTTCTTTGAAATCAATGACCCGGCCTCGGGTCTTGGCGTTGGCATTGATCATCTCCATTACTTGCATGATGATGTCATCCAGGGCCTGCCTCTGGGAGGAGTCCATCCCTCTCCGTGGTGGCTGACCATCAAATGATGAGAAGAGGTACTTCCCTGTCAGAAACTCCCATTCCAGTACCTCCTCTCTCTGCCTTGGGTGGAAGCGCATGAATGAGGGAGGCATGCCAAGCTGGAGGTCCTCTCGGCTAGGTTCGGCTGCTCCGTAGCGCCCCATCTGAACTATCTCTCGGTGCAGCTGGATGGTTCGGTGTCGCAGGTCTGCTATTTTACGGCTGAGCATGTAGCTGTGCAGGCGATACTGATAGGGAGGGTTCTTGTTTGGGTGGAGGGTGATGGCTCGGTGGATCTTGCTGTTGTGGAGATCTCGTATGTAGCCTTTCTTATTTGGTTCGTAGTTCTCGTAGAAGAGCTGCTGCATCTGTGGACACAGGAGATTGATAGGTGTTAGTGCCACAGAGGCCATGTGAGGGGGGTTCATTATTTCACATTTCTTTTTTTCTGACATGTCCAAGCCCACCCAAAAGGTTTTTACCAAACATCTTTATCAAATTTAGATTTTATCTCAATAATCATTCAATTTCTTTAAAGGTTGGTTCACAGAAATAACCTGTCTAATATATCATGTCTTCATATGAATGCAGAAAAATACCTGGTGAACATCATTTTTGTGTGAATATCAGAATTCCTTTGATTTAAAAGCCTTATCAGTCCCATTATTGTATTTGTTCACTAGGTGTTACAGACCTCATCTCTCCACTCACAGACACACTTGTGAGGTGGATGTCTAACACTGTCTTGCATTAACAATGCTATTTGGCAGTGAAACTGTCTGGTGGGAAATCTCTTCAAAATCCTACAGACTTTACTTTTGTGGATTACAGTTTCTGACAGTGTTTTATGTGAGGTTCACAGATTTCATAAAACTTAAGGTTAAGAAATGGGTTAATTGGCCGCATGAGGAGGAAGAAATAGGTGTCATTCTTATTTTCATGCTAATAATAAATCAATATAATTCTCTAAAGGTACCACTGAAAATGTGTTAAATATTTCTACACACAAACAAATACATAAGATATAAAATGGTGAGTAGTGCTAGTTTATGCACAGGTCATAGTTGACTTTCAGCTAACAGTGTTAGACTTATGAACAGATCTGAACCGAACTCATTTCATAACTGAAAAGGTCTTTGTTCTGTATTTTGTTGGTACATTTTCCTTATAAAGGACCATGGGTGTGTGCTGCAGCACCCAGTGCAGAGTCCAACGCTGAGTGTTTGCAGGCCTCTCTGAGCTTTACAAACCTGCTGTTTCTCAAATCACTAGAGGTTTAACATGTAAACACCAGGACAGCTGCTTTGGAGCGGTGTGCAGGATCTGAACCATGGTCAAGAAGGCGGGTTTTGTAAGTTTCCTCTGAGTGATGGGGGCACCAGAATGCCTCATGGACTAATTTCAGGGTACGGCTCTGAGACGCACAAGTTGTTCGACAGGACAGGCCCAAAGCCATGGACGGTGATGGCTGAAGCTTAACATGATCTGTGGCTGCCTGAGCAGGTCTTTGCTTTTCCAAGGAAACATAACCAGCCTTTTCTAGTGCATTCCTGAGCACCAGGAAGGGCAGCCAGCCAGTCAAAACACACTGGAACTATATCAATAATAGAGGTCCTGAGCAGAGCTGGGCCTTCAGAGATGACTAATCAGTCTGTACCTGAAATCTGACCAACAATGCATGTGTAAGAAGAACTCAAGTGTAGGAGTTCCACTGACAGAATTAAAACACTTCCTGTTTTTTGCAGTTATATCTCAGATGGAAACCTTTTCACACCTTTCTATAAGTGATACTTTGAGTCATCCAGACACACTGCAGAGGACTTCAACACAGATGTTCTTTAGACAGGAAAGATTTTTTTTACAGAAGCTTTAACCTCACTGGGTAGGCCATGTCTGGCCCAATTTCTTCCCTCTCTGAGATTACTGAAGTAGCTTTCTTAAGCTTGACGTGAAACAGTCATATTTATGTGCATAAAGCTAATAACTGCAACGTAATCCTCAGGGGCATATGTGCCTGATCAAAGTACACCTGAGGAAAGTTCTTGTTTTTTTTTCACCGACAGGCTCAGGTTGTTATTTCAAGTGTCTCTGACAACTTTACAGAGAGGATCCCTGCAGAGATAGACCTTTTCATTAAAGAGGAAGACGCTTCAATAACAACGAGACATCTTCAAAGACACCTAACTGCAAGAACTAAAAGACGTTCTCCTCTCAGAACACAGACATTACTGCTTCAAGGCTACATTAGGTGTTAGTTTGTGTTATTGAGGGAGTTTGGTGTCAGGTCAGATTCAGCACTACTTTGAGTAACACACTCTCTGGGCATGGTGAGTAGGGATAGACTGAACATTGTGATCACCACCATCTTTGCTAAATGAAAACATATCAATTTGTCTACATTTGTGAGTGTAAGACAAAACAACAACATGATACCGGATTTTATATTAGCCACCGGCAGTCCTGCTCTCTCATTATCGGTATCAGCATTGGCCATTAAAAACCATAATCAGTCAACCACTGATGGTAAGCACAGAGCATAGATGAGAATGGACTCCTTAAGAATTTGCCTGCAGATCCAGCAAATACACATGGCCCAAACTTTTGCTGGACACTAGGCTATTGAATATTTTAGTAAATGAGTATTCTACTGAATATTCAATCCATTAATGAAGTATATATCAAATTTTAATTTGAAGTGCAATTGTTAAAATACAAGAGAAAACAGAACATTTAACTTGAAAATGAACAATCAAATTTTTTTCCTTTTTTAGAAACAAGGAACGCGGAACAAGCGTGTGCTGTAGCGGACTGCAATGCTCGTAAGAAAGCTAATTATAATAATTCGAGGCAGAGAAAATTCCTTGATCCTTTTTTGTATTAAAGGTACTCGAAGAATCGTTTCAGCCCTACTTGACACCGAAGCATGATCCATCATTTAGCACAGAGTACAGACACAGAGATAACATTAAAACCTCTGTTTAGTCCTCGAAAGGACACACCCCATCCTGACAACAAAAAGTATTCGACCAAACTACACTAACAACCTGTCATAGTGGGAGGAGCCAAGCCTGGAGACAATGAGGTTTCCAAGCTCATCATGGAGGAAGACAACATTTGATCTTGTCTCTAACACACGACATCCTCAGTCTCTTGACAAGGAAGCACAGAGCCAAACTGAATCTGAGCGGAGATTAACAGAACCATGGAAGTCTAGCGTAATGCTCACACAAGTGTCACTGAATTTTCCACAAACATGAATGTCTGCTTTAAATCACTATGGTAATCTGATGTGGACAGGACCACCTGAGGGGTCTTCTGAGTCTAATGGTCAGTTAAAGGCTTGTTTTGGTTAGTGTGGCGTCCATTCAGCAATGTTTCTAGACCGGAGGCTTTTAGGCATGCTTTGGCTGCACAGGCACAATATGTTAGCACCCACAGAGAAGGTTTCATGGCTTTATAACTGTTAATAGATGGAAATGAAGTGACCAATAAATAACTGATCCTCTCTGTAATGTTGTCAGACACCTTGAACAACAATCTGAGCCTGTCCTGTACTAAAGTAAGACCTTTGAGAGGGTGGCCTTTGATCAGTTTCAGTATTTTGTTGCAATCCTAACAGCTAGTTAGTACTTCTGATTCTTATCTGGAGCATAGAAACATGGAAGAATAAGACCCTGATAAAAATACTATAACTGTCCTCTAGTTTATGGGCTCTGGTAAAGTCAAAATCATTTTTTTATATCCAACTAAAAGTGATTAAATAACATGTGCTGTTATCTGCTGCCTATTCAATTATTTCACACAGAGTTTAGAGAACCAAAAGAGTCACTCTGGATTTTTGGAGCTCCTTGATGAGGCCATATGCTTTGGTCTGTGTTTGTTTTATTTGTGGGTCAAGGTCAGACTTTTTTTTCAGGTTTGTTCAGTTAAAAGTGATGCTAGAGGAGAGCTCAGACTGTATCCAGCAGGGTAATTCCAGTGGTCATCAGCTGACAGCTAATTGGCCAGGATGTTTATGCCTCTCTCCTGTGGCTTCACCATCATTAGCACCTTCCTCACTCCACGACTTGCACTTTTGTGCTCACCTTTGAAACTTATGACTCGTTAGTGCAATTTCTTCACACCCATCAACCTCACATCCCTTTGAGACTCAGATTGGCTCTCGGACAAAGTGAAGACAAAGACATGTCCTATGTTACTGTCTGTTGGGCTTAAACACAGTAAATTTATGAAAGTTTGGGAGCTGTTGACCAGCAGACCAGACATGCTGACATCTCAATCTTAATACAGTACTAAATAAAGACAGTACACTTTTATTATTACAGGCAGGCAGAGTGTTTGAAACCACAACATGAAAAAAATCATACATGTCCTCCCACAAAACATCCTGCTTAATATTACATGTATCCTGTCATTTGGATAATCATTATGGGTTTTGCCTCATTAAATCTGCAAAGGCCCTTCAGCTGGTCCAGAATGCTGCAGCTTGGGGACTGGCAGGAACTACAAGAGCTCATGCTAGCCTGCCTGTGGTACCTAGAAGTAGTAAGAGAGGTGGGGCCTTCAGTTATCAGACCCCTCACCTTTGGTACTGTCCATCATTTAGGGTCCAGGGAGTCTCTGTATTTTAAGGTGTAGGCTTAAAACCTTTTGATCAAGCTTGTAGTTAGGCCTGGCTCAAGCTTGTTCCACTGCTATAAGTTTAGACTGCTAGGAGAGCTGACCCCCCCCCCCCTTCATTCTGTGTTCATTCATGTCACAGTAATAATGACACAGCCATCAACAGAGGTTGATAGCTTTTAGCTTAAGTCTTTCTTTACTCAAGATAAGGAGTAATCTAAAGTAAAGAAAGGTGCCAAACCAATGTGTTAATGAGAGGAGTATGTGCTGTGATTATTTAAGAGGAATGACTCCTGCACACAAAGCCTTAAATAAACACACTGCCATACTCCACAAGAGCTACATTCCCTGACACTGAGCCTCCCCAGCCTGGCAACCCCTCAAGACTTACAGAGGATCAGTAAAAGCTGTTTAAGGGAACTGTAATAAAAGTCTGTGTCAAACACAAACACAAGATGACAAACATTAGAAACCAACCTGGTTTAATATTTAACACCCATTGAAAACGTACCAACACAAAGAGGTTTTTCTAAGATCTTAGCACAATGTAAGACCCCTGGATTATTTACAGGTGTGAGTAAGTCCCATTCAAACACACTGAACCTAAAGGCTTGACATACTGTCAATTATAAACACTGTCTTATGAAAAACCGGGACAACGGTTCACTACAACACAGCAGGACTTAAAGTGGAGTAATTCAGTGTCTCTCCTGAAGGTGTCGAATTTCAAAGATCTGAATGCAGCTCTGACCCCTAATCCAAGAACCTTAATTTTTTAACTGCAGCAGCAACGTCAACAAAAGACACTGGAACTTTGCAGCATCATCACTGACAAGCTGGCAGTAACATAGCAACAAGTATGAAGTAAGACCATCCTGCATTTAAACAGAGTAAACTCCAAAACAGACCATTTGTAGTCATGTGGTGATGTCATGGGTATCTTCCACATCTGTAAAGGCTCCATTAATGCTGAACAATACAGGTTTAGGAGTAACAACTGCTGATATCCAGACAAAGACTTTTTCCAGGGAAGACCTTGGTATTTAAGCAAAACAGGACGGTGAGCATATTTTCATGAAACAACCACAATTTTTTATTTTTTGTGTTAACCATCCTGGTTATTATTTGCCCTGGAGAACAACTGGATCCTTCACTTCACTTTTACAGTCTGCCATGACTCGTGTATGAGTGTGTGTGTGTGTGTGTGTGTGTGTGTGTGTGTGTGTGTGTGTGTGTGTGTGTTTGCATGGTACCACATGGGGAGCAGAAGCAGGCAGTGGAAGGGCAGCCTGAGGCTCGCTCAGAGCAGCATGTCTGCCTCTGCGGCTGGATTTAATCTGCAGGACAAAGGCAGAGTCCGCTTCTGAGCCGGCCATGCCAATCTAATTGGAGATGGCATTATGCTGTGCTAATTGGCTCTTTTGTAAACACGGGTGCTCTGTCCAAACTAATTTCTCAATTTGGGGAAAAGCTTCTCACACCTACGACAGCTCCACAGTGGGTCTGCTATTGATGTGTGGATGGGAGAGGATCACGGCACCAGACGGCTTTATCAATATTAGCTTTCTGACCCATGGACTACAAGTGTGAGACTACAGAGACAGTCTGCAGAGAAAGTTCATAAAGTCCAACTGGACTGACCATGTTTTCATCCTATCAGAAGGAGGTGAGCTCGGATCCATCTAAAGTGGACGCCAGCTCTTTACGGAAAAGCAGTCCTCCAGGGAGTGTGATGGCCAATTCAGTTCAATGATAGACTCATGAGAGGGAGAGTTGACTCAAGAGTGAGGACAAGGCAGAGGTTTAGTGGGAATAATACTAAATCAACAGATGAGCTGAAGAGGTACTGAGGGGTTCAGCCCGAATTCTTTTGATGAAGCAACAAACAATAACAAGAGGCAGTTTACACAGCCCAGAGTCAGGATATTAGGAAGACAGCAGGCAGGATATGAGAGAACAGACTCAGTTCGGAGCTAATCTCCCAGGCGCTTTGATGGAAAATTCACTGTCACAGGCCAAAACTGACACATACTGCTGTGTCAGTTTAGTCAGCTGAAATCACTTCATTTCCCCTTTAATGTAAATGTCGCAGAGGTAGTGACAGAAACGCAAGAAAGCACTAATGCTGAACAAAGAGCGGAACAAATGTGATGTCTGATGACTCATGGACAGCAGGCGGCTTCAGTCTGCTCTTATGCAAGTAATGTTAACAATTTAGAGAAACTTTGCTCAAGTCTGCAGATTGTCTACCATCCCCATTCTGGCGTTCTCAGATTCAGGTTACTTTCTTGCCACCTGAAGGTAGATTGTTTTGCAGCAAGAGGATGAATCCAGATTGACATTCAATTCCAAAACAGTCCTAACAACAAAACTACCAGAACCAAAAATCTGCTATAAATTAAATCTATTTATGGGTTTTTGAAACTGAAACCCTGACAAGCCAACTCTCCCTAAGGTGAGAAAAAACTAGAACACACATGGGTGAATGTTGGAGTCAGCGAGTCTGTGAGTAAACAGTGCTAAAAAGGTGTGCTGAATGTGGCTAAAACCAGCAGACCACAACCACAAGCCTTGGTCTTCCCTGGTGGTTTAAGTCCACACGCCTGTGCTATTTATGCATTGTTCTGGTGGACTTTATCCAGACACACCTTACACATTATCTCCATTTCCTCAAAATCAAAAAATCAAAAGACTGCTGTACTGACTGAGACTGAGTTACAGTCACACACTTGCTGTCGACACACATGTCGACAGCATTTCTCGGGAAATCACCAGAAATCATTGTTGTTCTTCTGGAGAAACACCCACAGGGACATGATACAAGCTCCAACAGGTCTCTGACAATAAACTGCTGCATGTCCACCAACACTGAACACACACCTTGATCAGAACCACTTCAACATTTCGACATTACTATCCTGTATCATAACCTTCGACTGATCCATTTCCTACAATGATTTATCTGTCTGAGGCTGATCCTGTGCGAGAGCACTGCAGAACATGTAAAATGACTGAAGGGAGCAAAAGGAGAACATTTATCAATTGATGTCAGCTTATGAAATACTGGGCTGGAGTATTCACCACTGCATCCCTCCTCTGCACAGTCATGTTCCAGTTAGGTCACTTCAAGTCTCGATGAGTCAGCACTCTGGCAGAGTCCCCAGATTACAAAGAAACCTAGACGAGGAAACTGACCAAGAAACCCTATTCCCTCCTTCAGTGAATACTCCCCACTGTTTCCATGACAGCAAACCCCTGAAATCAAGCACTCTTGTATCTGCGCTTAGTTGCCCTGAAACTTCAGCTGTCACAGATAATGATTAGCAGTGTTCTTCTTCACCCCTCAACAATAATGCAAGAGGTAGGGAGCAGCTGCTGTGCATTAGAGTGGAACAGTTTCTTTTGTTGGTACTCTGATTGGTGACTTTGGTCCAACATCTGCGTAACGAGTCTTTGAAAAACTGAATCAGACAGTTAACAGCTATCTGATATGATCTAGAAGTAATACTCTGTTCTGGGTTATAAAAGATAACGGACAGGAACCACAGCTTAAAGTCTGCAGGGACATGTGGCTTACAGGGCTGAAAACACGCCAAACACAGGACAGTCCATTATATTAGTTTGAGCAACCCTGTGTCTAAATTCTCACAATAAACAATCTGACAGTCTCTTGCAATATCTGTAGTATGGTCCTTTCAATAAGCAGTAGCAATAGAGCTATGATCAGTACTACCAATCTGATACAACATCTAAAACCTGAAAGACCCACTCCAATGAAAATCATGTCTACATGTTCATATGGCATTTTTTCTGATGCTACAGGACATATCATGAGAAAACTAAGTGCGCAATTGCTTTTCGGAGTATTTCTTCATTCAAATCGCTGTGAATCTCTGGCACACCCAAATAGCAGGTTCAGAAACAGTGAGATTTTCTACGTAGCAAATCCAAGCTACGCCCCCAGAAGGCCAGACTCAGAGGAGTAGAGAGGACGATCACGGAACAAGTGTGTACTTTAGCAGATTGCAATGCTCGTAAGAAAGCTAATTATATTAACTTTCATCATGTCCCTAAAGACATTAGTGTCTGAGAGCTGAATAGCTCCCATGTTACCTGCTACTTCTACTACACCGGCAATGTTAGGCTGCAAGCTAGCAGGAAGAGGAGTTTGCGTAGCGGCGCTGTCTCCACCCATGACTCAATGGCAAATTGCTAATGAGCTACTGGAGCTCTGCAGAAGAAAAGCCCTTAAAAATAACACAGGTAATGTGATTTTGGATTAAAACTTCATAATCACAATTTAAAGACCACTGACAACACTTTAAGTAGTAAAAAAAAAAAGGTTTATTGATTGATTGATTTAACATCTCTCAGCCTCTCGGACAGTAAACCAGTGGGCATTGATGGAGAGGTGTGTTCCCCTTTGAAAAGCTCATGTTGGCTGATGTGATCGCTACTCCAACAGCCGTGAAATATGTTCTTTTGTGAGAGCTGACCTCTGACTAGGGCATCAAGACCATAAGAAGCACTAGACCCTGTAATAAAGGCAAATACAAGTATTGGATCAGGACTTGGAACCAGCTGTATTCATGATTAAAAAGTCAGGCCAGGATCTGGAGCCACAGAAGCCAGGACATCCCAAATAAAGTGTGGATGAAATGATCAATGTGACAGATATTGTGACACAGTTTGTCCCTTCATTTTTACAGTAATTTGACTGAAATGCTCACAGATGTCATGGAGAGCCCACCTGAGCCCTCTGGAGGACTGATTTGTCTTAGACCTCATTATGACAGAAAAATTATCACAGCAGAAAGCATTATGACCCAGCTCTGCCGCTGCATGTGAGCTCTGACTGCAGCAGCCTGCTGAAAGCTCTAATAAGAGAGGAATGTGAACAGGCCCTTTGGTTTGTGTGTCCACTGAGGATTGGATAGGACTGGGTAAAAGGACACAGAAAAGGCCCTTTGTTGCCTCCAGTCAGTCCCTCCATCCAGATGTCTTCCTCAGCTTAGGCTCCCAGGGAGAGATGGGAGATATGCACTATTACAGCTCTATTACAGCTCCACAATAGAGAGGGCCAAATGGAAAAAAATTCCCAGAGAAAAAAATTGAAACTTCACCATTAAGTCAAACTTTGGTGAGCTGGATGCTGATTCATACTGCGCCAAAAAAGAAAGAGTTAGAGTGCCATTTTTTCCGTTTTTTTTTTTTTTTTTTTTTTAAAAGCCTCTGACGCTGTTAATCATGACATTTACCACTAAAATCTACTGATTTCATAGCAACGCCCTACAATGGCTCAGTAATTATGCAAAGTGCAAAGGAAACAGCAGTAAGTCAACATAAATGATATAGAGCCTGAGAGAGCGGAGTACCACAGGGTTCCAGTTTGGGACCAATTTTGTGATCTAGCAGCAGTGACAAACACAACTGGTCTAGGATGGTTTGGGGAGGACACCAAAGTACTTATCTCCAAAAAACAATTGTCAGGAAGAAAACTATGGACTTCTCATACATTTAAAAGAGTGTCAAACTACTAATAATGTCAACATTTGTAAATTAAAAATTAAAAAAGAACTCAACATTTTCAACAAATTCAGATGTTTAAGTACATAGTGATAATAAAGACATGACTCATGTCTGAAAAACAACATTTTTATGGGCGGAACATCTTATCATCTACGGAGATACCGTAAGTTTTTCCCTCACCTAAACATGAGACGTACTCTAATTCACTTCGGTCTCTGTGTAAGATTGATTAGGAATCTAAAATTGATCTAATTTTGCAGGTTTGACTTAAGAGATATTGATCCTCCTCACAACATAGTAAACTATCCTACAGGCTCATGGGATCCACCCGACTGCTGTGCAGAGGTCAGCCTCAGGTGGACGTGGCCTCATCCTGAAGTTCCTCCAAGTCTCTCTTATGATTCACCAAACCAAACATGCTCCTCAGTTGACAGACATGACTCCAGCAAAGGTCTGTGTTTACACACTGAACGTGAGAGTGTTTGAGAAGAAGCAAGGTGCTTATTGAAAGCTGAAGGAGCAGCAGCAGCCCCCTCCATAAAAACTTGTATAACCTCAGAATACCACATCTGTCTCAAAGCAGGAGAAGAGAAAACATGTCCTCCCACCAAAGAGATTGCACTGACGAGAAAGTCTAATCTTAATCTACCGAGTAGACCTAACTGCACAGAGCCATGAGAGTATATAATGTTCACATGCTGCACCTTATCAGTATTACAAATGCAAAGGAAAACCACGGGAGATGACTCGTGACCACAGAGACCTGATACAGGCTGGAAAAGGAACTCCACTATTGCTTAACTTCTGTCTTGCACCAACACCCAGTGTTTAATAAGCCTGATGCTGTGTGTTTCCTCTGCTCAATATTCAGGCACACAGAGGACCTGAGGGGAATTTGCTCAGACTACCTGTCCTTAAAACTTTAAAAATAAAAAAACAGCTCCTAAAAGATCGTACATTGGCTACTACCATCAAGTACAAGTCAAGTACTCTTACTTTGGGCAAAGTTCCAAGCTGTGCATACACATATTTTCACAAACTCTTTGACATAATATGACAACAGCATTAATAAGGGATTTTGACACTGACTGCACCAACCCAGGGTGAAGTTACTTCATATTTTTGCAGCATTACATATGTCAGTATTTGTTCAGTCTCTGCAGAGATGTGGATTCACGTCTGTCCATCTCTCTTTTTATCCTTCTCCCTACTTCTCCTCTCTAAACCCAGCTCTGTCTCAGCAGATGACTGTCTAACATCAGTCAGTTTCTGCTAAAGGTTTCTGCCTGTTAAAGGAAGTTCTTCCTCTCCACTGTAACTTCATAAATGCCTTAAAGTGCGTCACTCGTGTTGTTGAAGATGGGATGGGAGTGGGTCTGATCTTATAGGATGAGGCTCAGTCTGATCCCATCTTTACACTGGCTCTTTGTAAACAGAATCTGGTCTAGACCAGCTTTTTATCAAGCGTCCCGGGATACCACTTGTTGTGAATCAGCGCTATATAAATTAAGATTAATTGAATGGTTGATATAATACTTTGTAGATGGTCCCCGCACACTTTAGTCATGAATGAAACATGTTATTGTTATAAACCATGAATAGGGACTTCATCGTCTTGATTTGGCTCGAGTGTCTTGACATAAGATTCATAGCTGGACCTGTCAGGTTAATGCAGCTAAAGTTAAGTATTATGAGACATTAAGACTAGAAAGGAGACAATTTTCTTGGTTAGATTTCAGTTTTTTTTTAGGAGTGTCTCTTACTAATACTACTGATTACTGACTACTTTGTGCCACTGATTTTATTAATGATGAATACTTGATAAATAATGACCACATGACTTGATCACTTTTGTTTAAACAGAAAAAAGCTGATACAAAACACAGATGTACATCCCTGACTGACCGGCTGCACAACCATCAGTGACTAATGAAGCCAAAGCTCAGATTAATTGGCTGTCCTCTAATCCAGATTTTCCAAATCACTTTGCTTGGAGGTCAAACTGAATGTGAGCACACACCTGAGCTGTCGTCTGTCGTCTCCTCACGGGTAAACAGTGAGGGAGAAGAGCGAGTGGCTTTAATCAGCATGTTAATAAAAGGCACAGGTTGTTCTGAAATGAACTGCCCATTCTTTAGAGTCTAACACTGTTGTGTCCTTTGATTGGAATGATTGATTGGAAAGGACTTGTTAACACACAGTCATTAGCTCCAACAGGATAACTTCATAGCATGGGGACAGCAGACAAGGCTTATGTAGAACTGGCCAATCAGAGGATAGTGGACAGAGTGTTTCCACCATTACCAGCCTGAGATAAATAGAGAGGTTTTTTGAGCTGTAAATCACGGAAAGCTACCATGGCAATAACAGAGCATATATGTATAAATGCTAATAATAAGCAGACCCCCTCTGTAATGAAAATGCTGAAAGACCACACTATGATGAAATTTCTGAGGAGAGCTTCTTAAGCTGCCAGGGTTTCATCATCAGGCTGCTCTGACTTGGATCAACACAAATGCCCTGATTTAAACAGGATCAAAAACAGCATTTTAAAAAATGGATCATATATGTTAAAGGAAAAAAACAAAACAAAAAAACAGTCTGATCTTGCACAACCAGAATTAGACATTCAGTCACACTTCCAGAGCTCCAGCGCCACAACCAATTTTTAATGCAAATATTTACATATCATGCAACAAATACATATGATTTTTAAAGTTTCAAAACACCAGTTGTCGTCCTTACAGAACCTACAAGGGCAGACTCCAAGGGTGCAGGATTTGAGCGGTACATTGATACTGTTAGACCGACACTTTAGACAAGCCTCTGCTCTGTCTGCACACTACACTCTATGGCTCAAAGGTGGAGAAAACAAGATCAACAGTTGGTTTAGGACTGATTATATCATGTCGGTTTAAAAGACGTAAGGGCCTGATGATGCCAAAACAGAGTTCCCAAACTCATCCTTCAATTGAAAAACATAGGTTTTTAATATACGTTTTTTGACTATGCATTGTTGTTTTGCCCAGACACATTATGCAGTTGGACCTCAATGCTGAAGCAGCTGGGGTGTCCGGCCAAAAATTAAACCAGTGATTTGTGACCAACATCAACAAGGCTGCTTCCTGGTCAGAGCAGAGCTGCAGCCAGCACACTCACGAGAGTCTGCATCTTCCTCATAAGAATAAGAATCACAACTCTGGACAATCAGCAACTAATTATAGCTTTGCTAAAGTGAAGTTAATTTGAAGATAAACACACTACATTTCCTACAAACTTTTCATGTTAAAAGTCCCTAATTCTTTATTTGTGAAGATACTGCTATTCTGAAACAGCCACCTCAGGAAATGGCTTGTTTTAAGCAGTAACTTATGACAACATGACATGATCAGTGAATCAGAGGGGAAATGAAAGCCTAGCCTCCCCCTCACTCTTGTAGCCCACTCCTTTCCAGACTGGCTGATTCTTGGTGTCAGCATACCAAAGCCGAGGTATCAGTATTGGTGAGGAACTCCAAAGGTTGTTCCATCCCTGATGGTGATGGCATCAGATTTAATAATAGCAGCTCTATTCAGCTAAAAGGACATATTAATAAAACGCGATGTGGAGGAAGTTGACCTGACAGGTCGAATCTCCAGCAGTCACTCTGCATCCAAAGAAGAGGGCACAAGAAGACAGCTGCAGTTCACAGCTGTCCGCCTGCTTGAAGGGAAGCCAAGCATGGGCAGATCCAAAGCATGACATCAAGGCTAGAGCTTAAATTAAAAGCTTCCATCAAAGTAAAGGGAAATCTACCCAATATTGGTCAAAATTCTCTTTTTTTATTGCTGTAGGTAATTATAGCTGTGCTGTGGGCAGCAGCATACTTGTGGAGCTCTGGTGGTCCATGGAGCTAGCATTTAGTGAGTGCCGCCCAAGGTAGCTGGAGGGAAAACGGGAACTGGGACGTGGGTGTAGGAAAGCTGTGAGACAAGTGTTTCTACACGCAGACACACACACACTCAACAAAAGAAAGTGAATTGTGCAAGCCTATAATCTTTAGCCCAGTCCCTGCCCTAAACAATCTCTCCATTCTGAAAGCAAATCTCCCTTTGAAGACTGATTCCTCTCTGCCTGCTTAAGAGCTCTTATCACAGTGTTTGAGGGAGGCCACTTCCTCTGGAGGGTGACGGAGGACAAAGAAGAAGACAGATACCAGGATGGGATCTATTTCAGGAATTCTCCTCTGCACTTCTCAAAAACTCCAAAGAAAAGAGGGAGAACAAGATAACACTTCAACTATTGAGTGGAGAAATATAACGGAAAAATTAAACAGTGAGTGATCTCACAGAGAGTCACCAACGGGATGTCCAATCAGACTCAAGTCCCACATTTTCAAAAACAGCAAACTTTGTCAAGTGTGGGTAAGATTGTTGTATTTTTTGTGTTTGCTGAGAATACACCCTTTCGCTTTCCAGTTACATTCATGTCTGCATTCATGAATACAGCTGCACATTCTGTGTCCAGTTCAACTTTCCTGCTTCCTCCACCAGTTTTCACAACATGTTGGTTAACGTATTGTCATCAGGAGCTCTTTTCAATGTACAACAATGTCTGGGAGTGAATTAAAGTTTCTGTCAGTATTTTCATTGGGGAGCTGCTGTGTAGCTGCTGGAGTGTGTGTGTGTGTGTGTGTGTGTGTGTGTGTGTGTGTGTGTGTGTGTGTGTGTGTGTGTGTGTGTGTGTGTGTGTGTGTGTGTGTGTGTGCGTGGGTTTGTTTCTCAGGCGTGGAGGAGATGTGATGGTCATCGAGATGCGGTCACATGCCAGTCAGCTAAGGGGGCGTGTCATTGCTGTCCTCAGTCCATCTGGATGTGTGTGTGCGTGTGTGTGTTTGTGTGTGAGGCTGAAAAGAGCTGACTGAGATTTCCGATAAAAATGATAAATCATTTTTAATGCAATATCAGGAAATGTGAACACTTTTGACTTGACAGAATTGCACAAACTCTTTTTTCATTAAATTGAAAGAGTTGATCTCCCACAGAGATTTTGACACAGTTGAAACCTGTGCTAAGCTTAACCTGACAGGTAAATGGGTGACATGTTTTTATCAGTTGCATCATGCACAGTGGAGATGGAAAGTCATAGGGAGCTCATAAGGATGCACTCTTTTCCTCTGGCTAACAAGCTGCAGTAGTTATTTTGTTAAAAAGCTAGTTTTCACTGGACTCAGAAAAAAAACGTGCCACTGCTGTTACCAAAAAAAAAAAAAAAAGCAAATATCTGCATGAATTCCCAGTGCTGGAATTTAGCGTTGGCGCTGACACATGCACGCAGAGATCAGTCCCTCCCTCGGCCCAGCGACCTGCCCAGAGGGGAGTGCTCGGAGTTGGTCACTAATTACAACCCTGTCCCTGTTTGATCCCACCGGCTGCATGGCCATCTGACCCCCGGGTAAGTGCAGCAACAGCTGTATGCTGATGGCTACAGATGATGGTCCAGATGTCAGTACTGACACATGTAGCGGGCTTGGGAAACTCTCTAAGACCCCTCAGATACCTTCACTACCATCCCTGTGCCAGCTGACAGTGAGGGACTGCATGGCCGTTTGACAAACTAATCTGAAAAAGAGATGCTGTTGTTGACTCTTGGCAGATGATTTATCTGGTATTTGAGTCTGCTTTGAGGAGAGGGATGTGGTTGTTTCTTGTTACAAAGGTGCTTACTAAAACAAGAAATTTTCCCTCTGTAGGGGTCCTTCCTGTATTTCTGTCAGGCACCTAGCAGAACAATCTAAGCCCGTCAAAGACACAAACTAAAACTTTTAGTGGGCACCATTTGATTAGGAACATTTTCCTTCCAAGGATATGTTGCAGCTTTGACAGCCAATTTAGTCCTCGCTTGTGTCCTCCTCATCTTTAGAGCTCAGTCTGTGTGGGTCTTAAAGCGCTCCTGAGCCCTGAGCCCTACAAGCCACTGGTCACCATGTCTTGTTCTCCTGACCTCAAACTGACCAGGACCCACATGGATGAAGAAAGTAGCACTTCAGTAATTTCCTACAAACTCAAGGAGACTTAGTCTGATTCAGCTAAAGCTGATCAAACCTGATCCACTGCAGAGAGAACATTTCTGCAAGCTCTCTCTGTAATTTCTCCTGATCTCCTGAAGTTACAGCTCCACAGACTGGCACCCAATCCCAAACATGTGCTATCAGGGCTCAAGTGTGACACCTCTTTAAATGGGCTGATCAGTAGAAGTCTAGCAGGTAAATTATCCGCCTGTCAGACACGGGGATATGACGGTGAGAGGAGACGCAGAGGAGCTGGAAACACTGTCACTGCAGAGAGTGAGTGCAGCCCAGCACGTTTCCTGGCAGAGCCGGCAGGTTGCTGTGGGGGATGCTGCTCCTGCTAACTGGATTTACAGAGCTTTGGACCATCTGATTGTGGCATCCAGGAAAACAACTCATTCACACAGGCTCAAACACACAGGCATATTAAAGTGTCACAGTAACAAATGTTTGGTACATGGTTGGAGTTTCTCTCTTAAACCCAAAAGGCTCTCACTTGGAACACTAATGAGCTTGACCCGGTCTATTTATAGTCTGTGCCTTAGCGAGTGGCAAACACTGGGCCATGAACTTAGAGGGATTTTTAGACCAGTACCAATTTTAGATACAGAGCTGGCCGCCATATCATTAACTTCTGACCTAGACTGAAAGCAGACCTTTTCTGGGTTGACTGTGCACTGATAAGAGCGATCAGTGGTGCCCAGAAGGCTGCTGTGTTCAACAAATAACACAATCAAATGACTAAGTAGTATATTAAACACCATTAATCACTGACAATCTGCTCTGCTGTGGACTAGCTTCCACTCAGCGGCGCTGTGAAGACAGTAAACTTGGGGGCTCAAAACTCAGTCTAATCAAGTTTAAATTCAGTTTTCTGCTTTAGCATCTAGTTGTTGTATATCTAGGACAGTATTTGTGAAACAAAAACTCTGTTAGGTTGTAACACACATACAGTCATGAAAGCTGAATCCATATATTGCAAGTCCAAAGGCCAACTGTGGTAATTCAACAATGATAGATGATAGACATCTGCACGCAGGCGCTGCTGAATATACAGTATTTGCTGTTAGACATCTTCGAAAGAAGCTTCAGGAGCTTCTTTTGGATGGACCATGAAAACAAGCAGCACACAGAGAGAGGATTGTTGGTCTTATGTTCTGAATGATGGAAACACTGAATCCCTGACAGGTTGCACAGGATTGCCAGATAAGAACAAATTTGTTCCCAGATTGTACTGATTGTGTTTTTAGCCCCCTGTTCTGCACACCCATGTGTACACCTGTATGTTCTTCACTCACCATGAGCAGCAGCAGAAATCTAACCTGACAAGGACACACCTTCATTGATAATGATGTATTAGGGGAAGCTCCAAAGCTGACACTTCTCACCCTGTGTGTGTGTGTGTGTGTGTGTGTGTGTGTGTGTGTGTGTGTGTGTGTGTGTGTGTGTGTGTGTGTGTGTGTGTGTGTGTGTGTGTGTGTGAGAGAGAGAGAGAGAGAGAGAAAGTAATAAAGACCCCATTGATCCTGACTTGTAAGCTTGATATTGCATATAAGGATGTGCCTGCTGGATTAACATTAAACCTAGAATATACATGAGTATAAAACCGCCTGACCAGTGCTCACTCTTTCAATGTTTGGGACACTATATTATGAAATAACCCTGAAGTACAAACCCATTCTGGAGGTCTAACTGCAGTGAAAAATACTCAGATATATAAGTGTGGTCTCAGAGAAGTCCCTGATTTGTTTGGATAGATATTTTGTTACATCATGCATGAATATAATGCATCCTAAGTGAAACAAATCTCTGCTCACTGTCATGTGAACAGCAGGGTGTGATGCTGACCACGGCTTTAAAAAAACTTTGAAATGACATCACTGCGCTCCCTTTTAAACCTGTTTCATCGCCTTTATTCTCACACCATGCTTCTCTGTGTCTTTCAAACAGGTCTGTTTTCAAAGACTCCGTGAGTCAAACCATGTGGTTAAAAAAGTGTCTCATCTCTGACCTGAATGCTAACAGCAGCATTGTTTGTCCAGAAGCTTCTGGATAGCTTGTCCCTCACCTGTCAGCTCTGTGTTTCTTACCCACAGTGCAGATAGGTGCTGTCCTGATCCATTTATCAGCAACATGTCAGGGTCTGCTGGCACACTTCCTCCACATGGCAACAGAGGGTGAAAAAAGGCAAGAAGCTAACGCTGGTTTGAGGATTTGCCTCGTCATAACCTGTGGATTTGGTGAGACAACTATTTCCTCAGAGGAAAGTGGAGAGGCAGAGAACGGCCAGGGAATATGGAAAAAATGAGTGTGGTCCTAGACAGTCTGAACACTCTGAGGGAGAAGGAAGGAGGGAGCTGAGGAAGTGGAGAACAGGTTAATTTAAGGAGTGAGGAAACAGGTGATGACAGATGTCATTATCCAGTTATGAGGGAAGAGCAAATATTCTGCTAGGCAAGATGTTCCTCCTCCCTCTCTTCCTTTCTCTTTCTCTCTCTTCATAGTGGAGCTGAAGGCAGCGACAGTCCGTCTGCTCACAGCTCAGAGCTGTCCACACTGCCTGTCATTAAAGTGCATTATTAAATAGCAGCTCATACGCATATGTCAACAACTGAAAATGTTTGATGTGGACGAGCTCTAGAGCTGTTGAAGCTGTGAGGAGACTCAGGCCTTTACTTAACGTCAGTCTCTAGGCTCCAGGCTAAGTCCTGGGACCATCCTGAAAACTATTCAACAGAGACTGAGACCAAGCGACTGAAGAATCAACCTTTTTTTTTTCCTTTAAAACATCACACCTTTAAAATATTATTATTCCTCCTCTGTATTTAAATAGGACAAAATCAACACCAGATAAAAGCTGGATATGTATCAGATCAACTCTACCATATCCAAACTGTCTTATGAGTTCACACAACAAAGGCCACAACAGACACAACCTGATCACATATTTGGTTTCAAACCCATCTCTACTGAAGCTGCTGGATCCCATCCACCTCTTCAGAAAGGTGGATCCACTCCCAGTTTTAAGAGCATCTATGAGGTTCAGATTTCTACAAAGGTGCTATAAATTCAGGTCTTCAGTCATGAAGCCAGGATGGCAGCGCTAAAAAAAACTGCAATTCCTCAGGTGTTCACTTGAGGCATGCTCCACATAAATAGGATAGCTTTTTTCTCTATCTGCACATATTGTACAGGAGTTGACTTTTCTGCATAGACTGTATATAGAATGGACAGAGTCTGCCTCCTTGCTGGTTGAAGCCACTCCAAGAACAGCACCCTCTGTTGATGGGCTGCAGTATGGGTCATAAATCCCGCCTCCGCCAGCAAAGCTTATGGAGCTGTGGACAAACTTTAGAAATTTATTACACAGAACATAATTTTTTCTCCCCCCTGCTTGTGATGTTGACATGTAGTTATTGTAAGACTGGTTTGGGCTCAAGTCCTCTTTTTTTCTGTAAAGCTCCGTTTTTAAAAGTTATTAGGGGGTTCATGTTTTCTATGATTGACACCTGATACAGCCTATGGGCGTTCAGGGATTGCGTAGCTCTCCCGAGGGATACGCTGTTTGAGCCGAGCGTCATCACAGCGACTGCGCAGCGCTGGTTTAAGGAAATGAAGAAAAATCGCAGAAATACCGAGAGCTATTTGGCTTCAAATCCGTATACAGGCGGTAGGCGGAACCAAGTTGTCCATAGTATATACAGTCTATGCTTTTCTGTCACTTATTAGATTTTTATAAATCAAGTTGATAAGGTTTGTTTAGGAGGCTAAAGGGCCGCCCCAACTCCACCTCTTTGCCTCAAAAAATTCTGGTTTATTTGGATCAACTTGTTGATCATTTTTCTGCTCCTGCTGGGATTGCCAGTGGCATAATGTAGAGCAAGTTCTGCTTCACCAACCTTGTCTGGATTCTTATTTGCGCAACCATTAGTGGTCAACCAGTTATTGTATTGACAGACAGCGTTGTTAACCCGACCCCTGGTTTATTGACTGAGATGACCTCTTCACTTGGACAGATTCTATGGACTTGTACTAGTTCAGCGGACTTCAACAGGTGATACACAACAAGTAAAGAGACTTACACAGGCCCCCGAGCCACCATCATAGATGTGAAAACAGCCACTATGAGCCAGCAGGACACCAACACAGTCCTGCTGATAGCAGTCTTTGAGGAGCAGTCGGGTATGAGTCTGCAGCTTACTCAGCTCTGCACTGAGACGAGGACATCAGGGACAGAATACAATCAGCACAGAGTCAGCCGTGTGTTTCACAGACCTGATGAGTTTCTCACAGTTTTCCCTTCCTGTCTGCCAGTCTCCCTCTGCAGCCTGCAGGACTCTGGGCTCAGCAGACCTTGTCCCTCAGAGATTCACAGACTAAGAATGCAATCAGTCTGAGAAATGCTGCTCATGGACACATACACAAAGACACAGTGTCCTCCTCCTATAGAGACCAGGGATAGCAGGAGAAGAATTACTGATATTTGTTCTAGACCTAAAAACTAACCGTAGTTGATCACATTCACGTGTGTCTTAAAGCAGATCAGCCGTCTCTAAAGGTTCCTCTTTCTCGTTCCTCCCATGATGAGAACACAGCACTTGAGGGATGATCTGGTGTTTTCTGGGACATACTAAGTTTTTTCCTCCTGGAGGCAGAGCGAGTGGAGGGTGTGGTGATGCCGATCGGCATACTGCGACCTTTGTGCCAAGAGCGAGTGAGTCTGGTGCGGTTTTCTGCTAGCCTGCTCAGCACACTCGAGTTCTTTAATGTTCGTGTCATCTGAGGACACACCCAGCACACAAACCCCTTCATTCATGTGTTCACTGTCCTCTTTAAGTCATTCTGTTACACCAGCTGACATGTCATCACACACACACACACTTGAAAAAAAAGACTTCCTGAATTCTTCTTCAATATTCTAGTGATTTCTAAAAACTTCAACTGAACTTTTCCATCGATCCTTTGAACATGTGATGACAACTCATCAGTGAAATCCTCAATCAGGCAGATCATTTCTTCTTTCTTTCCTCGGAGTTTAAAAGTAACTTGTCAAAGTTGCACTAAATCTTTTATAAATCATAAACTGGATCATTTCTACATGTTTGACAAAATGCTTTCTTGCTTTGTCATTTGTTATCAGTACATGTACAGCACTGTAATCACTTCATTGTTTTGTTCTGGTCATAAAAGGTACCAGTCATCAAACTTGCATGGTGTCATCCTCTCTCTGAAGTAACTGTGATGATGAAATCATCTCTGAACACTGCAGGAAACAAACTCTTTACAATGAGACAGAGGAGAGCCATGAAGATGAGTGCTTTCTCATGGATTCATGCAGACTGGAGATGGAAAAACAGTAATTAAGTGGTGGGGAGGAGTGAGAAGGCCAGGACACAGTACAGAAACAGTACAAAATCATCTGAAAATGTCCTTCACACTGTCAGAATAAACTCTGAGATTTTAGAGCAACCTGCTGTCATCTTTACCCAGATGTCCTCTGTCAGCCTGCACTTTCACAAGGTTGGTCAAATCTGACTAACACTGCTAAATGTGCCGTAAAACATGACTTTTGATCTCCCCAAATCTTATCAAATCAATTTTGAGTCCAAGTGGGTGTTTGCAGGTCATTGTCTTTGGATAGCCCGTCTCTAAAATGAGTACAGTGAGACAGGCAGATACATGATGCCTCTTGTCACGTCTGTTTCCGGAGCGAGGGCAGAATAATTGCTGATACATAATTTATCCAGGGCTCAACAGTGCGACCGTTTTACTCGCATTTGCGACTAAAATTAGATGTGTGCGAATTGTAAAATGTATTTAGGGGCACATGTGCGCTTGAAAAAAAAAAAAAAAATCAGCAGAGGCAACTAATGCTTTTTCATGTAAATAACGCGGTGAAGTTAGTTTTTGGTTGGATATCCGACGGACATTCACTGCGGATCTAACGGTGTCTTCTCACTCTCCATAATCAAGAATAGCAACAGCTGCTCGGTTAAAACTACTCAGCCCCCTCACTGTCAACGTCAGGTGTTAAATAAGGAACCATCAATAGATCATTAGTTGATGTTCTCGAAAAAGGCTGTTTCCCTTCAATAGCTTCCATTGCATGTGACCAAAAGACCAAAAATTGATTTCAAGTAACAATATTTATGTCAAGTAATAGTACACACATTATTTGATCAATTTTCATTGTGCCCCTAAAGTTCTTTATGTGCTCCTTACTTTTTCAACTTAGGAGCACATGTGCTCCTTGTGAAAAAAGTTAGTGTCAAGCCCTGTTACCTGCTTTAACTTCAGATCAATCAAGGCAGCAGCAAAGACCCAAGGGAGGCTAAGGCAGTTTCAATGAAACACCCATCTCCACATTTGCCAACTGGACATTTCAATAATAGTTGGTACACGCACATGCACATGCACATGCACATCTCAGTCAGATCATTGTATTTGGCTTCCATGGTAATGGTCAAGATTGAAGAAAATTTGCGTCAACCGGTGTCTTCTGAAAAATAAAATCCCACACTGTTCTGCGAGCTGCTGATGCAGAAATAAACCTGGTAGCATCCTTATTCATCTTCATGTCATGCCTGAGGACAATCGTCCTTGTGTCTTTGATGATCACTGATCCTTCTCTCTCCCCTCTCCTTTCCTGTCATCTGCCCAGCAGTAACCTGAGCCCTGAGACCCTCTCCATCCTGACAAAGACAGCTTTCTGATCGCACAGCCACACACAGCTCTCTGCACGAGGGCTGACAAATTCCTGCTCCTCTGAGTCCATATGCATGAATCTGACTTTCTCCACCCCTGACACACTGATGGCTAATTCAATTCGGGATCTCAGCAGCTGTGTTTCCATGTCTCATTATGCTGCACAGAGATGACCTGTCTCTTCAGCACTCAAACCAGCACCAGACCAGATGGAGGACAGAGAGGTACAACATAGCTTTATGTCTAGGGCTTCAGCGATAATTGGAGAATTTAAAGAGACAGTGTAGCTTTTCTCACAGCAGAAGAGAATTTTTTTGTCCCTCATGTTTGTCTGAATACAGAAATAAGGCCCAACAAACATGTCAGTATTTGTCCAGGCTGACCACATCAGTATGGTCTGCATGGGAGGCTGCAGGAATTTAAAGAATGCCAGCATTTTTGATTTTCCACCCAAACCTCAACATGAACGACTGATTTTTTTTCTCTGCAGGGAGCAGCTCCAGACAAATGTACCTCCTCAGTCTGCGTCACAGTACTGAAATACTCAACTATGACCTGGTGACTAAGACCACTGTGATCCTAAAGATAACATTCAGCTCTTTTTTTATTGCCACAATTTTACTGTATTCACAAAACACAGAAAATCTGGTTTCCATAGAGTTTTTTAAAGATGTATAGAGACAATATGATGTGTACTCCCTTTCTTGACTGATTGGTGAAAACGAGTAAGTGTCCCACTCGCACAGTTTCTTATTTCTAAGGTAACAAGGTGAAGTGAATGTTTCACAGGCTCACCATATTTAGCTTGTCACATGTTGGCTGAAATCTGCCCCACTAGAGCTTTATAAGCCCAAAATAAACACGCAGGCCAATTAAACCAAAACTGTCTGGATGCAGAGACGGAGTATTACTCAAGGGGAAAATATGTTTCAAGAAAAGTTTATCTCACCTGCATCCAAACAGGGTGTAGAAGGAAAACTGATTTAGAGAACAGACAATCAAATGAACCCTCTACAAAAAGACAGAATCCACTGCCAGAAGAAAAACAAAGAGAGCATATGGGAATACAGACTAACTAACTAACTAGCTCGCTCACTCACTCGCTCACTCGCTCACTCGCTCACTCGCTCACTCGCTCACTCGCTCACTCGCTCACTCACTCACTCACTCACTCACAGTAGTGACACAGAAGTAGTTCATTACATTGGCTTCCAATTCCACACGTCTGACTCTCTCTTTTCCTATTTAGCCATGAAATTATCACCTTCTTTTGCAAATGCCATGTTTGTTCTGAATGGTGTGAGTGTGGGAACTGAGGAGCACTCCCACAGGAAGGGATAGCCTACGGTGACCTGGAGGCACGAGACATGACATAGAGGCAAATCAATTTGACGATTAATCTTGCAGCTCTAATTCTTCCTTACCCCTTAATTTCCACCGCGTCCGGAATGGCTCAGATCCGGAACAGCAGTGATTTTTGCCATCCGCCAATGCCCTCAGGATCTGTTTGTGAGGCGGATTACGGGGTGGCGGGAATCGCAAGAACTCACAAGAACTCGCGAATTTACGTGCAATCCCGAGATAACAAGTTGTCTCTGTAAAGACAGCCACATAACCATATAAGCAGTAGATTGTGTCCTTCCAGAGGAGGAAATCTACTTCTTATAAACTTATTCTAAGTCTTACTAGACTTATAGAATCAGCATCTCCTCATCCATGGTGTCATCGGGTGAAATGCTGTTTAAAAACCTTTAACTTGTTTGTCTCCACCCATTTGCATAGCGTGAAATACGATCCGCCTGAAACGCGGAGTGTTTTATTTTGAAAAGAACCAGATGTTTTATTTTGTGTCTGTGCTCGACTTCCTATCCAGCACAGGCGAATCTGTGCTGAATTTATCTGGCATGCTACAGCGTCTGGAAAAAAAGAACTCTTGCGAACAGCTGCGGAGTCCGGCGATCTGCAGCGGAACGAAAAGAAGCCGGTGAAAATTGACACATTAACTTGAAAGTTTACGGTCAGCTACGATCTGTGGATATGGCCTTTTTGTAGCCGTTACAGATGCAGTGGAAATTGGGGACAACTGTTTTTTTTCGTTATTTGTTTTGTACTTTCTAGAAGCAGCATCATTCTTCCTTTCAAAATAAAAGTATTTTTCTACAATCTGAAAATAAAGCAACTGAAATTAGAAAATTAAATTCAAGTCATTTCAGTTTGAGCTCAAAACACAACTGGTATAGCCTAACAGGGATTGACAGCTGACAAAAGCAATGACTTTATGTCTGAATCTTTTGTTTTCAGTCTTCTTCTTCTTCATTACACTTCATTCTGAACATTTTGTAAAGCATCATCCCATTTTTAGTAAAATACTCAGTGAAATCTGTTCCATCTTGATCAGAGTGGGGTTGATCTAAAGACACAGTGAGCGGTTATAGGTGGTCATTCTCTCTCGTGAGTATGTCTGGTCTAAAAGCCTTCTTTCTATCAGTCAGAATTAGCATCTCAATCAATGTCATGGTGGTCCAAGTTTGGCTCCAAATTAGTAAGACAGCCACAGCCAAAGTGCTGAGCTCGACACTTCAAAACAGCATGCATGGAGTTAGAAAGGGAATGTCCTCTTCTCACAGCCTTGTGTTAAATCAGCCCAGCATCTACCATGAAGGAGAGGACATTCCTCTAAATAAACAAACACAGTGAAGCTCCAGTCAGCAGGCACAGTATCATGTGCTTCAAGTTAAGCTGCTAAATACACTCCGCTAACATGAAGGACTTAACCAAACAAGATCTCTACCTTGATTTCAGCCGTATCAAAGTGAAGTGTGAGGATAACTGCATCCCGAGGACGCTCTCTCTCCTGGACTCCTTTCTGTAAAAACTTATAATAGCAAACTTATAATAGCACACATCTGTGAACAGACAAAGGTCCATGTCTACACGAGTCTGCAGACCTGACCTTTTCAGCTCATGTACATAGATCTGGGTAGTTCAGGATTAGGATATTCCTCTAATGATGTGAATTAATGTTAATTAAGCACCACCAGCCTTTGGTCCTCTATGTAGGTTAATGTTCACATGCCTGTGCTGGTTACACAATGCTAGAGCCAAACCAGACACAACTAACACACAACTTTATCTCTATTTTCTAGATGAACAAAATACTGACAAACTTCGTCAAACTATGAGATCCCATCTGTCATCTATGGTTCTTTCCATCCAGGTCATAGAGCATTATAACATGATGGTAGAAGCCATTGCCAAGCTCCAGCTCCTGCTAATGTGCTACAGCTTAGACATGACATATGACCTATATTTCAGGCCAACAATACCCTAATTATTACAACTCGTTTCACCAACTAAGATGTCTGGTCCTTAATGGTGGGTTAAATTGAACATGCACATCCCTGGAACTGAAATGTAAAGACAAATAACTTCTGTCATGATCATTTCATTTGTTTCAGATTTCTTTTGCTGTCTTTACAAAACAAGATCCCACTGAACCTGAACGAAATTCTGAGGGTCATATCAGTGGTCAGGTGTCTCCTTTATCATCACCATCATGACTTTTTTCAAAACCATCTATGGTGAGATTTATTAATCATGCTGTTTTTCGTGACCCTCTGGAAGATCACCGTGTGGTGTTCTGTGGTTGTATTGATGTCTGCAGCTCCAGTTAAAACAGCTGAACAGTCACACCTGAACTCTGTTTCCAGAAGGCAAACACTGCGGTATAACATCCATGTGAAATCCTTCGTACACAACATCAACATACGGCTTTCAGGTAGACACTGTGGTGAACATGGTGGTGTCATTGCCAGTTCCTCTGTGATCCATGTATGGGGACGAAACACATGGTGAGGATGTGGATGCTCATTGTAAGACTCTTAGAAGATAATCTCCTCTAATTGGATGCTGGAGGCTTAACAACACCGCTGTGATTGACTGTGATGGCGCATTTGGCGAATTGAGCAGAGTGAATGGGCCGGTCTCATGGCTGCAGATCTGCCAGCACCGACTGCCTGCTCCCAGACAGTTTCTTTTCCGGTCAAACAGCAAGTCCTCATTTTGATTTAAAAGTTTACACACAGCAGTGGAGTTACATATTTGATTATTTGTACTAACTAATGGGAGCACTTTCTGCACAAACTACTGCCAACAAAAGCCTCACTCTTGGAAAACTTTCACCTCACAATAGGATTAGAGAGTCTTTGTTTCACATTGAATTACCATGGTTTCCTCCCATCACAGAGGGTCCCATCACTGGGTAATGACCAGCATACAGAGGCCTAATCCTAAACAATCAATTTATCTATTTTATCATCTTATATGATGCAAGCTGGTCATTTTTATGACATTCTACATAAAGAGGAGGAGGTGTACATCTCATTCTTTGTGTCGTTATTTTACAGACTGTAAACATACACATGACTCCTTCGCTTTTAAGTCATTACAACTTTAACAATACTCAAACTAAAACCTTTATTCTCTGATACATGACTATGATCAGTCAGAACCAAAAGCACTAATCTCAAAGACAAAAGGTGCTCCTATCATTACTTTACGTAAACTTTCTGCCCCTTTTTTTTCTTTTTTATAAATTCTGAGAATTTGTTAATTTTTCCCTGAAATATTTCATGCCATTAATGTAGTGCTGATTATTTGTCTGTCTTTTTTAGACTTGTAAGTTATTTTTAAGACTATTTGCTAGGCAAACATATTCATATTTATATTATAACACACCTGAGGAGAAGCCTCTCCAGTTTTGTTGTGAATAGAACCTACATAACGACAATAAAGGCTATTCTATTCTATTCTTTTACTGGGCTATTCACAGGCACCTCCTTTGACAAACAGCTGACTAATTACTTCTCTACAGTCAAGTAGTTGTTTCAGTTAACAAGCTGTAACTGCCTTTATCCTGTCAATTCACAGGCTTCCTCTTCCACCTCAAATCAATACGAGCCTGAGAAAAATGTCTGTGTTGGCACTGACCCTTAGATGCCAGTGTTTGAGAGACACTGTCCAAAAAACGTCCATGTTATTGCAGAAATGAGTGATCGTCCTTGTAGAAGATCCCTTGAAGCAGCAGAAAAACAGACACCTGCACAGACACCATGTAAGGGGGAAAAGTGGAGACACTGGCCCATAGAAACGCTGCCTGCTGTGACACACACACACAGACACACACAGACACACACACACACACACACACACACACACACACACACACACACACACACACACACACACACACACACACACACACACACACACACACACACACACACACACACACACACACACACACACACACACACAGAGGCAGAAATGTGTTTGTTGAATAAACTTACAGCTGCTCCTGTTGATGACATGTTCACTCATCACTGCTGCACCAGATGTGTTATCATGAAAGCACACACACACACACACACACACACACACACACACACACACACACACACACACACACACACACACACACACACACACACACACACACACACACACACACACACACACACACACACACACAGTGTGTAGCAGCTGCATTGCTGGGATGAGAGTGGATGCTGGACTGAAGCCTCAGGTTGCTCCGGCAGGATGAGGTCACTACACAAAGGTAAGAGGTCATATCCAAACTTTGTTTCAGTCTGTACGAGTCAATCATAAAGTCCTTTGTGATGGATGTATCAGCCTGGGTTGGCGGACAGATAGATGATCAGTGGGCTCTCTCTGGTCCAGTCCTTTAGAATTCTGAAACTGAATGTTTCGGCCATCTTCAGGACCTGAGTCCAGCAGGAGGAAAATGTTCTGACTCACATCTCGCTCAGAAACTGCAGGCAGCAACATGCCTGGAGAGGAGTTCTTGCATCTATGGCTGATGCTAATCATCAGGGCATTAAGATTAGCTTACAACAACATAAGGTCATCACATCTGGCTAAGTGTGCAATGTTCACACACATCTGGTGGATGACTTTGGCGAAAACTGTGAAAATTCTTAAACCCTGATACTTATGCATTAAACTCTCACCCTGTATTTACTGCCCTACATCAAAACAGCTGTTCTGTTTCTTTCAAGTGCAATCCTGCTCCATACAACTGACAGTGTCAGTGATATAGAGGACATGTCATCAGTTTAAAGGTTGCTGGTGGATCACGTTTTTTCTTTGAGTGCAAGGAGAAAGAGAAACCAGCAGAAAGTGCTGAGACTGATGCATGACTGCTCCTGGACTTCCTGGAAGGTTCATCTGGTTGTTTTGTCAGTTTTAAACCATCAGTAGAGTGCTTTGTAAATAAAACAAGGGCAACATGTCTGCAAAAGCACCTTTTTTTCACTGAACCCTTATTTAAGCTTTTTTTCTGCTCATGATGGGTTGCCTTTGCCCAAACGCAGTACTTCAATAACAAACTGATAGTAGGAGATGTTTCCTTCTTAGGGTTAAATACGGCAACAAGTGGCAGACTGGAATTATCTAAAGATTTATTCCCAGCCAATCATGGTCGATTCTCCGCTGCAATCTTCCTCTCAGATGTGAATAAATCTTGAGATAATCCCAATCTACCTCTGGGCACCATAATGACTTTCAGGAGAAAACATCTCTCACTGTCAATTTAGTGTCACAAACAGGATTTGAACCTGTCCAGGGAGGCCTGCCCATCAGGATGGCATACCAGGTTTTGACAAAGTCCACACTCAGACAAAAGAGGGCACTCATGCTGACAGTTTCTGGAAAATCTGAAGACATCCAGGCCCTGATGTGTCGCAAAAATGTGCCATTTACCCATGCATCCAACAGCAGGGGGTTTCCTCTGTCAGATAAGCTCTGATTCTCAGCCTGGTTTGAGTGAGGACTGTTCAGTAAAAGCTCCTGTTTCCTTGTTAATTTCACTATGAGAGAGACGTTACTACAGCACAAACACAGCAGAGGAAAATACGATGTAAGACAGACAGCTGAGGCTCACAGCAGAGAAACTTCACTCAAAATGAACAGTAGCATCATCACCTCACTCACCTGCTCAGTGAGGAGGATTATAACCTGCTGGTTTCTCACATCAAGTCAACCTGACGGAAAAAGGTTTTGGTAGTTTCGGGGTTCGGTTCATGTCTTTATCTTGTAAAGGTTAATTTTGAGGAGACTAATCAGTAAGAAAAGAGTTTTATTTCAGCTGACACTGCCCAGCCCCGCTGGATAACATGGGAAATTTATCAGGAGTGCTATATGTGGAAAAAAGGCCTCAGACTTGAATTAAACAGGTTGGTCCAGCATTAAGCTTTTGGCTACAACAACTGAATCAGCTGCTATCAGATCAGTGTGTGCTGACGTCTACAGTATCAGTTTCACCTGTTTTTACAGCGGTGATATGAGAAAAAAAAACTTGATCATATAAGTTGTAGCAAAGCTGAAGACTGTTGTCTGTCAGGAAAGGGTTTTTAATTAACTTTATGTATTCACATTGTCTTGGATTAAGCTACATTTCCCAGCATTCGATTCTTGTCAGGGCTTCCTAAGAGCTGAAGGACAGAGAAGGAGAAAGAAGGGGAGAGGAGTGGGAGGAGGGAGGAGAGAGCATGACTGAGGCCTTCAGTGGCAGAGCTTCACAGTGCCAGTAAATGCCAGCAGCTTTGGCACAGCCAACAGGAAGGAGGAGAGGGCAGAGAGACAAAAGAGGAGGAGAAAGCAGACGCTGAGAGAGAGAGAGAGAGAGAGAGAGAGAGAGAGAGAGAGAGAGAGAGAGAGAGAGAGAGAGAGAGAGAGAGAGAGAGAGAGAGAGAGAGAGAGAGAGAGAGAGAGAGAGAGAGAGAGAGAGAGAGAGAGAGAGAGAGAGAGAGAGAGAGAGAGAGACCAGGGAATGTGTTTTAATTCTGCTGCAGAGGATAAATCCTGTTTATCATCCCACAGCTGCTCAAACATCCACTTATCACTGTAGAGTTTTTTCTGTAGAAGAAGAACTGAGGCTCCTATTCACTCTTATCAGTCCGTACAGCACATCAGATACTATCTAATACACATTCTTTCAAAATTAGCCACATTTACAGAGTCTCCCACTGAAAACACCAAAACCCACATCCCTCCATGTTTGCTGGGAAATCACAATTATACTTTGGTTTCTTCTTTGCTACTTTGTAAGTGACCCGAATCATCCCTGCACGCACGCATGCACGCATGCACACACACACACACTCTAACCTGTATACAGCATATACAATAGTAGCACAGCCTGGTTAGCTATTTGACTAAAAGTGAAGACTGTGGTTTGTACATGAGGAAAAGAAGAGGAGAAAAGGAACACACCAGCAACACTGCAGTCAGAGCAAACATACAATTAGAGAGAGAGAGGTAGAAGGAGGTGGTGTAAAGAGGAGAGGCAGGAGCATGAGCTGGCAGACTGAGCTGCTGGTCTGTGAAAAGGCTTTTCAGGAAGGACCAGACCCGCAGCGAGCACTCATTTATTCTTTTCCACAACTCAGGATTGTTCGAGTCTTTGCGCACTATAAATAACACCACCTGCTCGCCTGATATTTGATCATTACTACTGACTGCACCCCAACTTAACAATGTGACAACAGCTATCTGGGTAAAATCTACCTTTCTTCAATGTTATCATCCTGCAGAGATCCTCATCATTCCCTCTGCCATCCTCCACCTGTCCCTGCAGTCTTCCTCCTCCCCCATGTTCCTGTACAGCAGAGGACTAACAGGACTCCACTAACAGGAATCTTCCCAAAGGTTCATTTAGCTGTCTGCTGTGAATGACTTTAAAACTGATCTTGATGCAGGACAGTAAAACAAGCTGCAAACACTGCTGTATTATGCACAGTGAGGTATAAATCAGCTAACAGAGGAGTGAACTTTGTAATCCTCAGATCCTGTGTCCACTACAGTTTGTCGTATGGACACTGACGTTTTCATAGTCATGTTATTCAGTTTACCGACTGTAAGTCCCAGTTCTGTTTGGAGGAAACCTGTGCTCATAATTCAGTTCTGGTTTGGTGTAATCCAAAACCCTAAAGTAGTCCAAACTTTACAACAAGACTAGCTCCTGAAAAAGCACTGAGCCTCTATCAGCAGCAGCTCAGTTTGCAGCTTTAGGCACATGAAGAGCTTCAGGGATAAATTCAGTTTGAGATCAAGTGTTGAATTGATTTTTTATCATGTACAGTACATGAAAGCGCTTTAAAATGTGTGAGAAATACTGCAGATTTGACTGCACCATTGGCTCAGGTTTCACTGGAGAATGGTCTGGTTTCTTTTGTTAGCTTAGAGTGCAGCTCCAGCTCCACAATGTGTTTCATCATGCTCCGTCTATATTATGATCCCGCAGCACAAACTCCCTGAAGGGGCACCAGCACACGTCAGAACCAGCGGCTGTTCAGGCCCACAACCAAAACGTTAATGAAGCTTCCTGAAATCAGGCAGGTTAGAACTTCAGCTGCGGGCACAGCATCATGCCCAGACAGTTAGTGTGAATGATTTCATCTTCATGCCAAACAACACCCAAACATCTAAAATCATCAATCAGACAAACCAAACGTCTCAGAAAGGCACAAGAGATCTTCACGAGAACAACCACACAACCGTACCCACTCACCCAAGACAGGAAACAAAAGTAAAGGGAAGAGACTTAAAACTGAGATTGATGTGAGTCCTGCTACAAAAACACAGGTCCTTCATGAAAATGGTTAGACTTCTAGAATTGGAGTCTACTTTTAGCCCAAACTCCACACTCAGAAAGGTCACCCACACAACTCCCCCCAGAGCCCTATCACAGCCTTTTGTCTTATTATTCAAAACAAGCCTTTGAAATCTTCTACCCACTTGTTGTCCTCCATCTTGCACCACCACCAGAGCAAAGATCAGACAAGGAACAGCAAACAGTGTAGAAGAAAGTGGCTGTTGAGTGCTACAGAGTTTGCACCCATATCAAGTATTGATATTTGTTAAAACCTGATGAACTGAGATCATTCTCCACATTCATCACAGGAGCGTCTTGACTTTGAAGGCCAATGCCACTTCACCAACAGGAGGGGAGAGTAGGGGAGTGATACAAGCGACAATCTGATAGCCACATACTTCCATTTCTTCACACTGTGCCTCTATGTTTACATTAGGTACAAGTCTGTTTGAACAGAATACTGTAACTACTGTTTATTAAGAAATCAATCAAATCAAATCAAATTTTATTTATATGGTGCCAATTCACAACAGTTGTCATTCCAAGACGCTTTCCAAAGAAAAAGAGCAGGTCTAGACCACACTCATTGTTTGATGAATTATGAAATGGGTCTTTCATTGACCAGAACTTCACTCCTACAGCTGCAGAGAGGTTGACTGTGTTCATCAAGAACTGAATCGACCCATCACGATATTTTTGCACCAAGGACCAGTCAAGGAAAGCTTACACGCTCCTTCAGCTCATCAGGACTACTCTGTGGACTTGTTTAAGCCCAATAACAAATATCTCTCTTTGCAAAAACAACAGTAGTACCAGATGGGCCCAAAGAACAAACTGTCAGCATAAAGTCAACAGCACCTGCTCCTGTCAGCCCAGTCCATCACTGTCACCGTGACGTCCCAGGTCGGTCTGTTTAGCAGCCTGCAGGGCTAATATCTGGAGAAATATCCACAGCAAGGACCTGACTCTGCAAAGACTTTCACAAAACTCTGGGTAGAAGATGCACTTTCAATACTCGAGTCAGTCATCATCTAAAATGTGAGCTGCATATTTAGAAAAGTTAATTATTGTGTTAATGATGTATTTACCCTGAAGTTGTCGCTGGAAAAATAAGCAGATGCTTTAATACACAAGACAAGAGAGGCTGACCAGCATTTTTCTAACAATACTCCTGCATGTGTTGAGGTCATGCATTTAAAAAAAAGTCATATATGAAGAAGTGTTAAAAGCCTGTGAAGTGCTGGTTTGATTGAAAAAAAAAAACTCTAAATTTAAAAGGGGTGGTGTAACACTCTGCAAATTGGGGCAGTAGGTTCATCTGCACCACATAACAATCAGCTCTACCCTTAACTGTGTTCAGCTACTAGAGATGGGTATCGACACAGAGAAAAAACTGCACAATTCCCTTACAAAAACAGACGGAGTCATACACCAGTGTGACTCCTATTACAGTTACTACTGTAACTGTGCAATTCATTCTTACAAAGAGGATAAATCTTGTCCAAAAAAGATGTCGGCTTCGGCTACGGAAACGATTATTTATTACCAAACTCTCATAACACTTACATACTTTCCTCTATGGTCTACATACTCTTCTATGGTAACCCTGGTCATATTTAAAGGCATGGTTGACGATTGGTCCTATAGATCCGTTCACCCTAGCAGGTGCAGGGCTGCAAAAACATTGACCAATGGGAGCCATCCGTCCCATTGGTCAATCTCCTGCTCTGCCTCTCCATCCAATCCCCTTGCTGTATTCAACACACCCCTCTCCTGTAGTTCCGACTCATCCCCTCCCACTCTCTCCATCCTCCACGGAGCTCTGAGCAGCTAAAAGTAGCGTATCAGCTGAGCTACAGGAGCTGCGATGGAGAAGGGCGCAAAAAAACCCACTTCTGCTTGGCCCACCACCAAAAGTGCTAAGAAAATGCAAGCCAACAGAAGACAGGGCAGAGACGAAGAGGAGATGTGACCAAGAGAGGAATCTAACTTGAGTAAACATCGGGTCATCCTTCGAGAGGTGGAGAAAGCTCAGCCAGGATTTGGGCCTGAAAACAGACACCGAGACAGCAGAGTTTTTGTTGAACAGGTCATTTTTGCCTTTTATCGAGGCACAAGTTACATGAAAACATCTTATTAGTCTCTGCAGTGTCAACACGGTAGCTGTCCAGGCAGCTGCAGACGTTGCTCGCTAGCAGAGCTGGCGTTTACTGCCGCTAGTCACTAGCAACCTGACATGGTGAATCCTATTGGAAGCTAGCGTAGGATCTTCTGCCGTCTGGCATCTTGCGCCGCCAGAGGGCGTGTGTTGTGGGGAGGGGGAAGTTATCGTGGAGCACGGAGGGGAGAGGTTTGTGTGTGGGGGGTGGGACGCTATTTTCAAATTGCCTCAATGGCTCAGTTTTTTTCAACTGCTTCTCAGATCGTCAACCTTGCCTTTAATCAGAATAATAGATATGCAGTAGCATTTTCAGGGCATGCACAAGAAACAACTGGCATCCTAAGAATATATCTTTGAGCAAGAAGCCTCTGTTGAGTAAAATTAACTCTGTGTTAGTTGTTATGAATTCATAACACTGCACCTTTGCCTCTTGGTAGACAGCTTTCAACAGCAGACAACGTTTTTGTCATAAACAAACTTCTGTTAGTGAAATTTGTGTTTGTTCTGTGTTCACAGCCTCTCTGACTCATTCAAATCAAAACAGGTGCAGAAACTCACAGTTGATGGTTTTACGAGATAACCTCCGAGCACACGCTGTAGCTGGATAACCTTGCATGGTTATTATCCTTTTCACTGTTCTCCAGCTCAACCCCTCGTCTAAAAGGACACTTCTGCCTCTAAAATAATAACTGACCGCCATGAATGGCAAGAACAGCCACAAACTGATGGGTGACTTCCTAGCTGCTTCATCCACCACTTATGGTTAACTTATCAAGTATGATGACAGTTAGAATAGAGGTTATCCAGCGAGAGTGTTGCTAACTTTAGGCTCTGTCTCCTTAACTTGTCTCTCCTCTAAACAATTTAGCATCCTGTAGCCACACGCAGCCTGCACGAGCCTAAACGGCTGCTCTTTGGGCACAGTGGTATTCAGCGTCTGTTTATTTTTATAATCATGCATGTAAACATTTATTTGCTCTTTGGGCAGCGCTTGCAGGGCCTACTTTTAGCAAGCTGTGAAGGCGCTGCTGAGGAGAAGCATACAGCTAAGCAGCCACAGGATGTCTGAAAATACACCAGGCTCACCGCATACTGGGCCGTTTTTTTACACTCACACACAACTGGCAAGGACAGACACACACACATATACACCCACATACACACAGTACAAAGATGCACAAAGAACGGTGTAGACCAGCAATGTGATGAGTGGCATTCCAAGTAATGATGGATTTAGTCCATCTGGTCTTTGGACCTTCTCTCTGGTTATAAAGGAGTTTGGTATCACTTCAGCTCGGCCCTACTCCATGTCAAAATCCTCTGGGATAGCTGGAAAAGTTCTGAACAAAGTCTGGATCTAGACCACAGCTCTATACTGTAGGTCATACTCTTTCTCTCTCTCCAAGTTTTCTTCACATCTAAATGAAATAAACTGAAAAAAATACATGATACTGCTGGGAAATTTCAGGATTCAGACGCATGTGTCAGAGTTATCAGAAGAATTCAAATGAATTTGAATAAAACTATCATCACTGGGAATATCATTTTATGAAGGGACGGAACTGCCTTGTTCAGATTTCTCCATCCAGGGGTCCGTTTCACGTAGGTGGTTCAACAAACTCTGAGTTAAATCCTTAACTCTGAGTTGATCTACTCTGAGTTGGGAAACTCTGAGTTTCCGGTTTCACAACACCTGATTTGAGTCAGATTTATCAACTCCGAGTAGTTTGACCTGGAGTTAAGCACGTGCACGCCAGACATAAACAGCCAGCATCTGTGGAGCCCAGATTCATTGATCAACCAATGGAAACAGGGAGAAGGAGGGGGCAGCAGCAAGCCAACAGCGAATTACAGCACGTTTTTAAAGAAAGTGCAATACAGCAGCAGTTGCAAAGGAGAGGGAGAGGGCATGGAAGGAAATCGCTGCTCGCGTCAATGCGTGACTTTAAATCTAGTCTTGTGCAATCACAGTGACAGACTGTTGCAGGGAAACTGCGTGCATGGAGCAAATTAATTTATTTTATGTAGGTGCAATCCAGCGGGACAAAAGCGCACTTGACAGCAGCTGATAATTAAATATAAAAACATTGTGCAAAAAGGCGAGACATCTGCATTTTCTCATTTTGATCATGTTTTACATTGTCAAGGTGGGGGGGGGGGGATTTGCGATCGGACCGGCCGCGATCGTCGAACGGGGGGGCCCCGGCAGCTCCTCTCCTCCGTTAAAGGTGGGGCTGCTGGACCACCACCCGTTTTTGTGTTAGTTTAATATTCCTAATCATTTAACGGAACATAATAAGAGAGTAAAATTTATTTTTGAGTGTGAAAAGAGCATTTTTTAAGGGATCAAACTGTCACTTAATACTTACTTGACAATGTAAAACATGATCGAAATGAAAAAAATGCCGATGTCTCACCTGAAACTCTGGGTTTACTGAGTTAAACCTGCTCCCGAGCAGGTTAGGTTCACGGAGTCTGTTACTACGGTAACTGACCGCGAGGTTGAGTTACCTCTCTTTGTGAAACAGGTTAGAGTTACCCCTCTCTCCCTGGTTTAACTGACCCTCCTTTGTGAAACGGAAAACTCAGAGTTTCCCTGATTTCAGGGTTAACAAACTCGGAGTTTCCATTAAACCTGCTACGTGAAACGGACCCCTGGTCTTATCAATTGCATCAGAGCCAATCTGAGGGAGGATTGGCATTTTGTCTGCTTAAGCTGCTACAAACTCAGCACACTTTGAGACAGAATTCAAATGCGCACAAGTAACCTTTCAGTAGCAGCCCTGTGTTAGCATACTTAAAACTAATATGTCAACATGACTTAAGTTGGTTAAAAAAAAAGCTGCATTCAATAGTTCCAATTTAAAACAACTCCTGAAGACTAAAGATGCAGTGGCTCACCAAAGCAACAGAGGAAAATACTGCTGCACCAGAGCAACAAATTCTGCACTTAAAAAGAAAGGAAACATATCCTTGAGAGTAAAAGGCCAAGGACATCAAAGAGCAAGTGGTTTGGACAAGTAGTAGTAGGTAGAGAAGGCAGGTTTTGGAACTTTTGGATCCACAATAATAATCCACATCTTGATTCAGCATCTCAGACACTGCCCTCGGAAGCTGAACAGCAAAGTTTGTGATACTGTTCATACTGCTCCATGTCAAGGCTGAGCCCCTCAACACTGCATTGATTCCTCCAGAACAAGCTGAAGACTCCAAGTTTTTTTTTAAACTTTAGTCACAACAAAATGTAACTGGCAGCTCTATTATCTGAGAAATTACAAGTTTCTGATTAGGGCTCAGTACTGATGAATACTCAGTATTAAAAAGAGTCAGAGTTGGGGTCCTAAATAAACTCAGCAAGACTTCCATCTTTGTGCTTTGCAGTGATCTTTGCTGTTTTTCGAAATGTCATACTGAATTTTATGATTATTTCTGAGGTCTGTAGCATGAACAGATTAACTGTGAGCTGTAAAGCAACACTAAAGAAAGAAAAAAGGAAATATGAAGAGATAGTTGCAACACATATCACTGTTCATGTATCACAAGATGTTTCATGACAAGGAATTCTGGGAAAAGGGGAGCTGGGCATACTATTAAAGAGATACTATTGTACACTTCAGGACTCCAGTGAGAGAGAGAGAGAGAGAGGGAGAGAAAGAGAGAGAGACGCAGCACTGCAGCGGTTTTACACACTAAGGTAAAGTCAGAGAGATGAGAATGTGTTTGGAGGCATGGCTGTATGGTGTGTGTGTGTGTGTGTGTGTGTGTGTGTGTGTGTGTGTGTGTGTGTGTGTGTGTGTGTGTGTGTGTGTGTGTGTGTGTGTGTGTGTGTGGTTGACTCCTGTGTATCAGTGTAAACAGTCAGACTGCCCTGACTGATGAAATGTTTAGCCGACACTGTTTAATGTTTAGTTAACAGGCTTTCCCTCGTCAATCTGCTCTGTGGCTCCTTTTAAATGTCCAGGGCGTTCATGAATTCCTCAATCAACATGAATCATTAATCGATGACACAAGATACTCTCCGTTTTTGTCCACACAGTGTATTTTATTAGGAAATGATAAAAAACAGGGCTGTGTCTTCAGCTGCCTGGCTAACACCCCCCACCCCCCCATTGATTTCAGGCATTAAAACTTATGAGAAACAAATTGTCAGTCTTGTGGCTAGTCTTGTTTGCTTCTGGATTTCATAAAATGGCATCAATATGAATTTCAGTCTATTTCATAAACATAAAAAAGTCCTTACAGGAGCTTTAAATGATCTGATCTGATCTCTGTGGCCTCTTCATGGCAGCCCTGCAGCTCTGTGTCACCTGGATCAGATCCAAAAGACTGATTCATGTGAGCATCAGAAGTATAAGCTGCAGGTCCTGACATGTAAACCAGCTCAATGGCAAACCTCAGTCAGAGGGCTTCCTATGTTGTGTCATGCTCTCTGCACACACAGACTATATGTTGAGTTGTTCCTCTGAGATAAAGGAGAACTGTGACGCATTTTACACACTCATCGCTGACATCTAACCACATTTCCTCTTTTTTTTTTATCTGACGAATAAGCTCCAAGCTTAGCACATGATGAGACATTCCTTATCTACAACAGATCAGCTCTCTGTCGTCTCACACGGTCACATCTTTAAACTGTGTGATCTGCATTAGCTTCACACGCCTGTGCTTCATGTGAACAGCGGTCATATGAGCAGCAGGTCTGTGGCACAGCCATGCCCAGACATGTCAGAGAGCAAGCTGGTTAGAATGAGCGCACAGGAATACGCTCTCCCCTCCTCTCCTCTGACGACATGGCTGCAGCATTTCTCCCATAACTCTGTCTCTTTGTGGTGGACTCCTTGTGTATATGGTGTTGTTTTAATAACTTTCTCATGGCCAAACACTGACGACACTCACACAAGCCTCAACAATGACTGAATGCTGCACTCTCCAGCAGGCACAGTGCATCCAGCTGAGCCGTCTGCTGCACAACTGAGCCAAACACTCCAAGCTTTTTTACCTTACTAGTTAGTCCTCAAACAGTCCACATGCTAGTCCATTCTGTGGGGCAACAACCTGACAGATCTAACCTTTTCTGGTTCAGTGATTGACTAGGGTGATATTCTTCATCTGCACGCTATCTCATCTTTACTGAAAATGTTGGACTCAGTGTACCATGCTTCATTGCAATTCGTCTCTGGTTCAGGTTTTCACACACATCTCTGTGTTCTGTCTGAGAAAGTATGTCTGCTTCTGGTTTATCTTTGTTTCTGAGACCATACTAGATGAGCAGCCTTCTGATTCACACCTTCGACTGACTCTTGAACCTGTCCTGAGCTGTAACCCTCAGTCAAATGTGTGTCAATCCTCAAACTCACTCTGACTTTGCTTAAGGCGCTTTTAATGTCTTCACTCCCTCAATTTGCTTGGAGCCACAGGGTCACTTTAAACCAGAGTATTTTACTCCGTCGGTAGATTTGAAAGTCGGGACTAGAGATGGTCTGAGTGGTGTATGCAGGTTTTACTGCTGAACAATACCAGTTTATTCTTGTTATTCTCTGTCGTTTGTCTGCTTCTTTCTCAGACTCCTGTAAAAGACAGATTTTGGTTTCCTGTTAATAATAATTATAATAATGCAGTTTAATATTGCCTCTGCTATAAATATCAGTCCTTTTTTCATTTATAGCCTAACACAATGAAGACATTAAAAATCAGTCCAAACATCTTACTGGCCCAGATGAGCATCTGTATTAGACCCTCTCTTTCTCTGTGAAAACAAGCTGAGGAGGCTTCTTTGGCTCAATGTCAATCTGACTGTATTTAATTTCAGGCTGATAAAGTGGCTGTATATGATGAGGAGGCAAAATAAGGGAAACTAAAGAGAAACACGAATCACTGCTTCAATGTAACAGGTGATGTGGGTCTCTTTTAAGAGTCTTGTTCAGTCTTTAACAGTGAAAAAAATATCTGACTCAGGCTGCAGTCGACCAGAATATGTCTGTGTTATTGAAGCTGACCGTACAGAGCTACATAGATGATCTTTTTTCAGATTAAAAACAGGCATCGCACTTTGTCTCAGGAAAGTCTGACAGTGTCTCTGTCTCTGCAGGGATCCTAACGAAAACTCAACTCGAGCCTGTTGGTGAAAATAACAAGAACTTACAGTGGACACATGTTTGATTTCAACGACTTGTTTCAACCCAACAATGTGAGAGAAGTCAGTTTTTAAAACACATCTGAAAGACCTCAACGAAGAGAAAGTGAGCATCAAGGCGGTTTCTCCTTTTCATCTTACCTCGTAGGACCAGACACACTGGACCCCGGCGAACCTCCTGACACACCGGCCCACCTCCACATCCTCGTGGGTGGTGTACATCTCCTGTAAACACTCTCGTATGTGGGGCACCATCCTCTTAAGGACCTCACGGCTCATGATGACCCCTGGTCCCCCCATGCAGAAGTTCTCCCCAGGTTCCAGGGCCAGCTTCCCCAGCTCGTCCCTGGCCCCCATCCCTGTTTGGCCTAGAAAGATGGCCTCACTGCTATTAAGGCTGCGCAGGAAACTCTCCAGCTTCTCACCCTTGATGTAGACATCATCATCCGCCCTCATAAACCACTCATACTTGTCCAGGTAATGGTCATGCATATACTTGAGCATCATAAAGGACTTCTTTTGGGGAGGGTAGGAATCATCCACATTCCTCAGAGCCACTATTGGAATAGGTAGGGAGGTGTCGGAGCCTTCGCTGGAGAAAAACTCCACCTGACCTGGAATTGTCTGTGCCCACGTCCTGTGAACACACAGAGGTGGATTAATTACAAACATGGTCAGAAACTCTCAGCTTCAAAAGTTAAAAGTTGAGCAAAGCTGGAATTGAAACACACACATACTGTACATTCCGACTTTAGGACAGCCAAGTGTGCGACTCAAAAGTACTGTGATACCTTCACATTTAGAGTATTGTCAAACTTTTGGTCAGAAGTAGCACCAAATCCAAACCTCCTGTAATGATTTAGAGAAAAGCAGCTACGCTTTAACGTCACAAAAAAAAAAAAAAAAAAAAATCACATGGTGCAGATCTTTTAAAAGCTTCCACTTTTTGGTTTAAACAAGTTACAAAGCAGTCATTTAAGTTCAGTTTCCTGTAAAAATAACTAGCTTTGACTAACTCATGAAGATTTATAACAAACACTCTGTTCTTTTAGAAAAAAAAAAACCAAACCAACATGGAAATGTGAGTCCCCTTTTTATCTCTAATCTCTTTGGACATGATTTGCACTGCAGTAATGATTAGCATAAGTAACCCAGTGAACAGTTTGTGGTGACCTATACAAAAAAGACTGTGATGCTTTGATCTGGACATTTTTACTGTCTGTCATTAGGTTGCTTCATTTTCTGTACTGTTCAAAGTAAAACATAGGCTACTTTTATTTTGAAATGATGTACACACTTCCTCCATTACATTGTAAGTATTGAATGAAACCAGCTACAGGACGAATCACAAAAAAATAAATGACTATTGAGAGGTGCATGTTGTTTTTGAAATCACACTGAATCTTGTAACATGAGTCATTAAAGTGTCTGGACATCTTTTGGAGGGCTGCTACAGCTAACTCACTGGTTACTCAATGCAACCAGCATAAAAAAAAAAAAAAACCCCAAAAAACCATCAAATTAGCCTACTATGGACCAATCAGATACATGGTATTATCATCACACGCTTTCTTGACCCACAACATACGTCATTATTTCATTCTCAAAAGGCAAACTGATTATACATACTGGTCCAACCAACCCTTATTTCCCAATACGTAGATATCGATCAAACGTCTTAAACAGGTCAGTTTGTTTTTAGGTCTTATTGGTTTCTGACCCCAGTGTACAAAAAATCTCACAGGGCACCTTCTCAGTGTGTACAGATGACAGGTGGGTCAAACTCAGTTTAAGTTATCAAATATAGTTCTTATAGCGCTCATGTATGTCCATGTGTTCACAATTTGAACAATTTTAGCATTATTTGGGTATCTGACACCAAATAAGGGACAAGACATCATTACTGACTGCTCTGTGGACCAAGAGGCTCCTGCAGCATTCTTCATGGGATTATCAGAGTAGAGAGGAACAGCCAGAGGAAACTAAAGCACAAGATTTAATGAACTTAGCAAAACAGCCAATGTCTGCTCTAAACTAACACAAGAAAATGCATTTATAGAGTTCCATCTTTGGACAGTTATGTACATGTTCAGATGATGACTTGATTACCACAGAAGTTCTGGACTTTGTACTGCCATGAAATGTCCAGCTTTTGAACCAAATGTAGCTCACAGTCCTTGCAGCAGAGCTGTGTTACTGAAATCTGAAATCCCAGACTGAGGTTCCTCACATACTTAGGTCAGAGGAAAATGAAGAAATCAAACACGCTCTGGGTCATAGTTTCATGAGTGAGGTGAGCTGTCACACAGCTGCTTTAGTGAGCTGCACTGATTACAGAGCAGGGGACGCCATAAAATCAATGCAGATGTGAACATAAACTGGTTCCTGCTTTACGAGGACTGTGTTTACACGAGTTCCATTAGATGCATATGATGCGACATGCAACTTAAAAACACAAACAAAACCAATGAGGTGTTACATGCAAACAGCATCAATAACTGACATGTATTTTTGTTTTCCTAACTTAATTCCTCTCTGGCCTGCAGACAAAGCTGCTGTTAGCACAGTTACTGTACAAGTTTCCAATGAAGGGAGGTTCACAGAGGTCAGCATGTTTCTGATCAGTCTAAATGACATTACGAAATACATCTGCATCACTGACGGGGAGTCGAATAAAGTCATCACTATAATTTATGGTATTTGGTGGAAATCCTTCGTCAGTGTCTTGTTAAAAGCATTCACATTTACCACAAAGATTACAAACATGTCTGCAACAGTGCTGTCAGATTTTGCTCTCACCCCTCCACATTTATTCTAAAAAGACTTAAAAAGCTTTTAAAAGGGCACTTGAGTATTTTTTATGCGGGGTCCCTTTTAAACATATTTTGGAGTCAAAGCCCCAGTGTGTCGTTTCATATAAACACACACACACACACACACACCTTTGTGGCCTAACAATCAGCCCATCTTGCCTCTATATGCCTGACAATAGTAAATGACGTTTGGTGTAAAACGCCATCAAGTACAATGAGAACATTTAAATTAGCAACATGGCTGTTAGCAGCTCCACTCACAGTCCCTCATGACATCAGGGCACCAAAGACTGTCCCTGATCAGCAATATGCTGACTCAACCCAATTTTCAACCTGGAATGAGGCAAAGAGATGAAGTGGACTTAGTCAAGTCAGCCATATCCTGGAACCTGGAGCCTTCATGTCTCAAAACTGAAGTTGTAAACTAAATTCATCCCCTGCCTGGTGTGTGCAGAGAAAGAAAAGAGGCTGATCAGACCAGAATGTTTTCTGAACCTGGTTTATAGACATGTTCATTCTTGCTATAAAGATGGGCTTTTTAGAATGAGTGCCCGTGGGGTTTCCAGGATTCTGGAGCCATCCCCTCGTGGACATTAATGAACTGCAAGTTTTAGCATTTCTGCAACTGCTTTGTTTCTGAAGACTGGAGGCTGCCAGTTGTTTGTAGCACAAAAGTCAGTTTTACAGTGTTTATTGGTTAATCACCATCGCCTCCGTAACACCAGCTGATATGACATGTCACACCTACCACCAAGTGACACTTCTAAGGAAGGCGAAAGTTTCTGCCAAAACATGCCACAGTACGTGAAAAAAGATAACATGTCTGAGATAAAGGAAAAAAGAAACCGATTTCTTATCATCATCTCCATTATCAAGATACAGCTTTTAACATGTGTTATGGTCTTTTTTTCTTATTCCTTTAAAAACCTCTACGCTGAGTTCTTCCTTATTTCATTTATCAGCCAGTGAGTTTTACTTTTGTACTGTTATGCATTTAAAGGGTTCTGTTTGAGCTGCATATTAACATTAAACTTCTGTTACTAAGTGATTTTTGCATCTCGCTTTTCATTACGGAATTCCCATTTTTGGGTTCAGCCTTATTTGAAGCTCTTAGGGGTTTTTCACCCTTGCTGAAATACATTAATAACTGACTCTTGCAAGGACTCATACTTTAAAAACTTTGATTTCGTCATTTTCAACAACGTAAACTGACAGTTAAGTGATTGGCTGAAAAACTGGCGTTAAGTTAAGAATCTTGGTCCACTCCTGTCTCAGAATCCTCCATTGATGTCATATTTGTTTTTTTTTTGTTTGCACAACTGTCTGATGGGATAAAACAAAAAGTAAAGACGTCAAAGCTTTCAAAGGTATTGTTTAAGTCTTGGACTTGTGTAAAAAGTAAGCTAGTTAAATCTGGATTATAGAGCACATTACAAGTACTTTTCAGGACATAAACAGGGAAACTGGAAATCAGGTAGATTTTCTTTCGCTGTAACAGCCGACAGAGAAAAGTTACCTAGTAGAACGTAACTGCAAATTTAAACGTAAACCACATTAAACCTAAAACCAGAATATCACACGACAACACCTCATCACCTGATGTAGTTGATCTGTGACCAAGGGCATGTCCAGACTTTTCAGGCCAAGCTGGCATGAAATATTTACACACACATTATCAGCAGTCATCCCGTTTCCAATTATCTTGTTTACTAAATGACAGATATTTTAACCAACATCAAAGTATCCTACTGGTCTTAGCGTGTGCCATGATTTTACTATGACAAGTGACACATCAGAGAAGCCCAATTCCACTGTAGTTGGGAAATTGTGATAAACGTAAATAAAAACACAATACAATGATTTGCAAATCCTTTTCAACCTATATTCAATTGAATACACTACAAAGACAAGATATATTCAAACTCAAAAACATTATTTTTTTTTGCAAATTATAATTAACTCAGAATTTGATGGCTGCAACACGCACCAAAGAAGTTGAGAAAGATGGCAAAAAATACTGAGAAATTTGAGGAATTCTCATCAAACTCCTATTTGCAACATCCCACAGGTGAGCAGGCTAATTGGGAACAGGTGGGTGCCATGATTGGGTATAAAAGCAGCTTTCCCAAAAATTCTCAGTCATAAACAAGCAAGGATGGGGCGAGGTTTACCACTTTGTGAACAACTGCATGAGCAAATAGTCGAACAGTTTAAGAACAATGTTTCTCAAAGTACAATTGCAAGGAATTTAGGGATTTCAACATCTACGGTCCATAATATCAAAAGGTTCAGAGAATCTGGAGAACCAACATCAAATGCCCGTGACCTTTGATCCCTCAGGCGGCGCTGTATAAAAAACCAACATCAATGTGCAAAGGATATCACCACATGGGCTCAGGAACACTTCAGAAAACCACTGTCAGTAAATACAGTTCATCGCTACATCTGCAAGTGCAAGTTAAAACTCTACTTCAAAGCAAAAGCCATTTATTAACAATGTCCAGAAACGCCGCCGGCTTCTCTGGGCCTATGCTCATCTAAGATGGACTGATGCAAAGTGGAAAAGTGTTCTGTGGTCTGACGAGTCCACATTTCAAATTGTTTCTGAAAATAGTGGACGTCATGTCCTCCGAGCCAAAGAGGAAAAGAACTGTCCGGACTATAATCGACGCAAAGTTCAAAAGCCAGCATCTGTGATGGTATGGGGGTGCATTAGTGCCCAAGACATGGGTAATTTACACATCTGTGAAGACAACATTAATGCTGAAAGGTACAAGTTTTGGAGCAACATATGCTGCCATCCAAGCAACATCTTTTCATGGATGCCCCTGCTTATTTCAACAAGACAGTGCCAAGCCACATTCTGCACGTGTTACAACAGCGTGGCTTCGTGGTAAAAGAGTGCGGGTACTCAACTGGCCTGCCTGCAGTCCAGACCTGTCTCCCATTGAAAATGCGTGGCGCATTATGAAGCGTAAAATACGACAACAGAGACCCTGGACTGTTAAACAACTGAAGCTGTACATCAAGCAAGAATGGGAAAGAATTCCACCTTCAAAGCTTCAACAATTAGTCTCCTCAGTTCCCAAACATTTATTGAGTGTTACTGAAAGGAAAGGTGATGTAACACAATGGTAAACATGCCCCTGTCCCAACTTGTACTACTACTACATGTGTTGCAGCCATGAAATTCTAAAGATAATGATTATTTGCAAAAAAAAATTTATGAGTTTGAACATTAAATATCTTGTCTTTGTAGTGTATTCAGTTGAATATAGGTTGAAAAGAATTTTCAAATCGTTGTATTCTGTTTTTATTTACGTTTATCACAATTTCCCAACTTCAATGGAATTGGGTTTTGTAATAGCAAAGAGTCAGCAAAAATAATTATCAAAACTGTTCATAAAAATTTACTGTAGACCAGGAGTTCCCAAACTTTTCAGCCCACAACACCCAAAATAAGAGAGCCAGAGACCGGCCACTGGACTCTGTCTCCTGAGCTGGTCACATGTTACTCATATCTGTTCAAAAGCATTAACAGACCAAATCAAACTAGACAATGGAGAAACACAAAAAATCACAACAGCCAAAATAAACAAGGGTTTTAGTGTTATTATTTCCTTTCAAATGCTGGAGGCAAAATACAAACTTTCACAGGTGGGTCTGTGTGTCCTGAGTTTCACAGTAAAAACGTCTCCATTCTATTTTTGTACATTTTTATGCTACAGTGTTTCAAAGGGGCTATTTTATTGATTTATTTATGACTGGTGGCATCCCGGCGCCATTATTAGTGTCTCGTGAACCCTACTTTTGGAACTACTGCTTCTTTTAAGTTTGGAGGACTTGCCTTGCAGATTTTGAAGAACCTATTTTTCTAAATAACCTTTGGCTTGGGAGAGGTGAGTAGAGTGTTTCTTTTTTTTAATTGTTTAAAAGACAAGAAGGAAAAATGTGCAATGGGTAAATGCAAAGAAATTATGCAGCAGTTTGTGGAGTCTGACAACATTAAAATAGTAGATCATATTTTAGGATTTTGGGAAAACAAAATGTGGTTAGGGTTAGGGTGGTGGGGGTCCATGTCGCCCCTACACGTCCCTGTTTATGTACTCACTCCTGGATCCCTTTAATATGATGTCCTCTGGGGTTGAGTGTTAATAATCGGTGTGGAGACACCAGCCAGTATTTGATCAGAATGAACAGTGGAATAAACTGTAAAAGCTACTCCAGACAGTGAGGCTGTCTCCTTTAAGGGCAGATATCTGCCTGAGGTTAGCAGGGAGGATAATTCATACCTGTGTGCTGCTACAGCTCGGTTGTTCAGGTACTTCTGGGCGGTCATCACTCCAACAAATAGGAAACTATCGGATCTGGAGCTGGGTTTCTCGGTCGCCGGTGACCCGGTGTCCTGCTGTGACCATAGTACTCCGCCGTATTCCTTTCTGAGAGCCCGGTTCAACCCACAGCCTGCCGGGTTTGCTTTGCGTTTCTGTCCTGCTTTCTTCAGCTCGGTGGCTTTGGGTAAAATGAGTCTGGACGCCAGTGTGAAACCGACCACCAGTCCGAGCAGAACACTGAACCATGCTCTTCTGCTTCGCCCTGCCATCCCCCAAAACTTTACCAGCCCACCGTGAACCCTCACAGTGAATATCCACCAACAAATGCTAAATCAAAATTAAAAACAATTTATGACCGGGATCAGCGGCTCTCCTTCGTGTCCACAGACCTGACTCACAAACACTCTCTCATAGTAGAAAAGCCCTTTTCTTCCAGTTGCCTACGTAGCATCACAGCAGTCTCCTTGAAGACGCAGCCTGAACCGTTTTGTGCCGCCGCTCCCTCTGATCATCGAGCTGTCATCCTCTTTCGATCGTCAGCAGACTGGGAAACACATCGACTACAGCTTTCTGGTTTTGCTGGCGATAGCGGCCCCCGATCTCATCATAACCTCGCCATTGGTAGAACATCGGACTGTGGAGAGACGCTGATCGCGAAGGATTAACGGTAGTTTGACCTAACGGTGCTTCCGTAGAGCCCTCTGACTGGCTGGTGGGAGGAGCCAGTGGTTCCGGAAGTTTTTTTGCCCTTTAAACTTTATTTACAAAGAAGATTAAGGAACGACATCTTTAATTGAAAATTAAAACTTTTATTTTAACGACATTTTGGCATAAAAATAATAGATGATATTGCTTTTTATAATGACTTTAGAGTTTTCTCTAATAAATAAGGAATTGTATCATGTTTCAACTTTCTTGTAACTTTTACCTCAAATGAGTTTTGATGAGAGACTATGGTTTTGATCTTTCCACAGTTTCAAAGGAGTGAATCACAGTGGGGAAAAAAAGCTGTCTGTAAAACCATCAGACAATTGCCAGAGGCAGAGGACTTCAAAACAAGTTACAGCAATGAATACAGAATCAAAAAACAACACACACAGCATATCTTTAAAAGTACAGCTTCAAAAAGCTGGGACACTGTGAGAAAGGTTTAGAGAAAACAAAAAAATGGACAGTCAGCAAATTTTTTATTGTCAATATTGAATGGAAAATAGTGTAAAGACAATTTATGATGTAAATCTGAAAAGTTGTACTGTTATATCATAAAATTATGTTCATTTGAATTCAATTCCAACAACAAAACTCTGAAAAGGAGTAACAAACATTAAATTCACAATTAAAATTAGCATTTCACGACTTATTTTGTAAATTTAGAATAAGCCAGCAACATGACTGCGTACCAAAGTGGCCCCACAGAGGAAGACTTTCACAACTCTGTGACGAACTGTGTGAACAAATGGTTCAACAACTTTAGAAAACTTCTTCAGTATAAAATTGTAAAGGATTTCCTGATTTAATCCACTCCGGAGCATGATCTGATGGCATTTATTTATAAAAGAGATGAAGCCTGTAATGAATACTGGGTGGCTATGATATCTGAGTTACAGGCAGCTCTGTGTTAAAAACAAAACAAACAAAGAAAAAAAAAACAAAAACAAAAAAAACCCAGACATAACCAGGCACTGTTTTGGTGTCATATTTCAGCAAGACAATGAAAAACACATATTTTACATTTATTATAACTTCTGCAGCACCCCTTGAAAACATAGCTGAACTATTTGACAGTGAAACCCATGTGTACTTTTATTAAGACTTTTCAAACAAGAGCAGCATCAACACATCAGTGTGACTTTACCCATATAAAGCACTGGTTTGATAAAGTGCTCGTATAAATTGGTCAAATCGAGCTGCAGAGAAGAGGTTTGTTTGACCCCTTTTAGGACTTCTGTTCTGGCATGAGCAGTATAATGAGGTAGAGCAGCAGTCACCAACACAGGCTTTCCCTCAGACGGCTCACTGGTCTGTAGCTCTCCCATGTGGTCATAGATTGTCACAGCAGCCAGTATATGTTTTCTACACTTTGATTTTCTGTTCTGTAAAGAATGTTTGTAGAGCCAGGCACAACACTTGAGCTACATCTGCAGAGTAATGGAGAGACCACCGTATCATGCAATGTGTGTATGATATCCTAATATGTTGCATTTACAGGACACTGGCTTTCTTACCACCGTTCTTACCAATGTTGCTAGTATTGTTGGAATATTTAGATAGTTTGAAGTTATCCTGTGAAATATTTGACCACTTTTAACAGCTCACAGAAAAATGGAAGTAAACCAGGGCCCACTGATAGAGATCCTTCAAGGCTGAAACTTAATTAGTAGTACTCTGAACAGTGGCAAAATGTAGAGAGACCCCTTCTGTACTGACTGTGCACTGATTTGATGCAAATATGACCATTCAAATGTTCTAAATAACCTTTGCTAAAACACGATGGAAGAAGAAAGTGTAAGAAGATACACTTTGGGGGTAATTACAGTGCAAACCCCCCTCTGCTCAGCTGCTACATGTGCTGCAGACAGTGCTGTCAGGATTGTAAACTTTGATAGTCTGCTGGACTACAATGAGTTAACGCATCATTTTTAAGCCACAGAAGAAAAAAAACCTTTGTTTTTACCTCTATGTCCATATAACACACGAGTGACAACTACAAAAGTTTATGACAAATAGATCAGCTTAAGCACATCACCTGAAGCAGCCCTACTGAAGGAAAGACCGAAGGAGGGAAAGAAAACTTTTATTTTGTTGGTAGTGGTGCTCAAACTGTATTTTTCATTTACTTCATGTCTTTGTGGAAAAAATGATTTTTGGAAACAATCACTTCTCTACATGTCACGAGGAAAGCTGTGGAGTAACAGTGTTTAATTTTATATTTGTTAATTTACACATGCTACTTGTGGGCTGTGTCAATAGGAGGGACAGTAACTCATTTCACAACTTTGCAGATGACATTCGGCTCTTTGAGGCCGTGTCTCCTGATTGACTTACTTTTCAACTCTATTTCAGCTGCTAAATCTTAAAGTCCTAAAAGGTGTTACAGCTTGACCAAGAAAAAACAGACATATTAGAAAATTACTCCTCTGAGTAACACAGAGAAAAATGCATGCTTTTTTGACTACTGTCACACTCTTCCTTTATGATCCACCAAAAAGGTCCACAAACCTGCTGGTCAATTCAAAATTCCACAGCAAGAGTCCTGACAAAGACCAAAAGAAGAGCACACATTGTATTAAAAAAAGCCTCTTTATGAACACTGCCGGTTAGTTTTCCTACTAATTTTATAAGGCACCGCACTGTCGCACCCCAGACTAGCTCTCAGAAAAGCTTTCATTTGAAGAAGCTGGAAGGTTCCTCCAATTGTGTTCTCCTGATTAGCAGCTCCATTACAGTGTTAATAAAAACCACAACCAGCATGTTGAAACTTTGATACACTGCTGATATCAGATCTCTTTTATTGCATACAAACGTGTGAAACAGTAAAGGCATACCCGTGTTACATTTCAACTTATCCAAAGGTTTATTATGATTATATTTGCTATGAATGAACCATTTCTTAAAATTAACTGTGTGTCCAGGGCTACAGCTGCTGTCCAAACACTAACTCTCGACTTAGAAAGAACATTCTGATCAAATGTATCTGCAAAAAATAAAATAGAAACACTGACTGTGAACTTCATCGGCCATACCTACTGGTTATACACCGTTTACAGGTATGGCTTCATTTCAAGCTTCTAAGTCTAAAATGATTTCCCCAGCCCGACTCATAATGATCACATTTATATCTTTGATACTTAACAAAGCTGCGGCACAGAGAGGTTACCAGGGGACTGAAAATAAAAAGCCATTAGAACTTGTAAAGCAAGAAAATCTGGAGAAAATTTGGGCATGGAGACATGGTCCGCTTGGTTCAGTCAGTCAGTGTGTATGTCAGGAGGTCAGAGGTCGAAGGTCAAACAGACCGTTTCTCTGACTAAATTTAACCTCATCCACCGGCTGATGGGCCCCTCCGGCCGGGCCTCCAGGAACATGTGCCACCTCCATCTCCAGACAGCGGGTTGTAGTCTGAAAAAGAGAAGCTTGGTTTTAAAACGGCAGGATTCCATGTGATTTTTCTGTCAACCAAAAAAATCCTACTTGAATTAAACTGATTGTTGCAGAAATATGAAGGGAAAACACTTTCAATTTTTTTGCTACTCAACACTTTCTTTTTAACCCCAATTCCTCTAAGTGTGAAGTTTGTGTACCCGACTGATATGAAGAAAGAAAGTGAGATATGTGATGAGTATCATAAGTGACATGTAAAATGTCCTTCACCAGGACCCAGCTCAAAACAAAAGAATTCATCTGTTTAATAACATCTTTGTGATGGAGAGAATAACTCTTAATAGAGGACTAAAAGATAAAATAACCAAAAATCAGGCAAAGTCAATGACATGTTTTTAATGTCAGACTGTAAACTGTTGTTCTATTATGAGAAAATCCCAGTCCCCATTTAAGTTTGTCTTTTGCCTGTTATAGTTTTGATGAGGTTTTCATGTTGCCTCATTCGAGGAGTTAAATAGAATATTTCTGTTTACTTTCTTGTGTTTCTAAAACAATACAAGGAGAATTTTAAAAAATGCGTAACTCTCCTTTAAATGGATATTCCAGCATAAAATTAACTTAGAATCACATCGTAACACTGAGTTAGACACCCCCTCGAGAGATGAATGTTGCCGACCGCTTGCTTCTCTAGTTATACCAACTAGCTACTAGCTATGACCGCACGATAGCAATACACAGCGGTCTACATCTCCATGTGCAAACTTCAACCAAAAAGCCACAATAGAGTCACAAATAATGCTTAGAACAGCACCTAACTTCATCAACAGTACACATAGGGTCCCAGCCATAGCACTAGCCATCAACCATCTTTTTAGCTTTGCCTGGTTTCTTTAGTAAAGAGACCTAACACAACTCACCTACAGCACATTTAAACCCGCTGTCGTAACCATATCTTTGAATGTTCATCATCACAAAGCCCACAGTGTGCTGAGTTTAAGGTTTTAGTGTGAAAAAACAAGTGCAAGAAAATAACACCTTTGAATAGATGCATTTTAAGTTAACAGGAGTAAAAAATCATCACACTTATTTCCTTCTCTCCCTCAGCCTGAAACAAAAATGTATGTATACATAAATAAAGACCAAGAGAAAACTAAATGCATTTTGAACATACAATTGTTTTTGAAACCTTGGGAAGTGCTCAAACAGTGTAAACATATTATTACTTGCCTGCGCTACGAAGAGGCTTCCTGTCTGTCTTTGGCTTCAGCGCTGAGGTTGACGAGTTGGCCTCCTCAGTGGTCTGCAGTGAGGCAGATGAATCAGGTTATTGTGGGATCAGTCTCTACAATCTCTGATCAGAATAAAATGTCTTTCTCAGAGTCAACACAGGCAACAGCCATGTCAGTTATCTGGCCAAGTCGGTCTGAGCTGAGTCTCAAAGCACAAAGGACTATTGTGTTTCCGTGCCCCCGTTTTCCAATCTAGAGGAGGTCTTTGAGTAAACCTCGTTTGAAATCTGTGATCTCAGCAGTGGGATGAATCTTACGTGACCTCCTCTAAAATGTTTTCAATCATTTCTAAGAAAAAATCCAATTACAGGTTCATTCAGATTGAGCTCTTGCCAACTCTTTCTCACAACAGTCACCAGGATACAAATGTCGTCTGCAAGGAACCTATCTCTGATAAAGTGCTCTGCCTCTCATGTGTCCTCTTCTTCTGAACAGTTTTCGGATCAGGGTTCTAGATGGAGTGGCTTGATTTTAAGAAATACCGCGGCCACAAACTAAACTTGTTCATCCTTCATTTCTGAGACCACATAAACTTTTTTTTTTTATTTTCTAAAACTTAAATAAAGATTATCAACACCTGTAAACCCTGAAGAGAGGAGGTGCTTTTCTTTAAAATGCACACCGTTTTGAAATTTTGTTTTAAGACTCTGATGTTTGTCTTTTACCTTTAACAGGAGTTGCAGTAACTTTTTGTTTCATTGGGTAGCTTTAGTTAGCTTACAGTGAAAAATCGTCAATGTCTGAGATGGGCAATTAGATGTACAGTCTCCAAATCGAGTCATGTGGACTCCAGATTAAGAAAAAAAAACAACCACTTGTCTGAAAGCTCTATAGAAAAGAGATCGTGTGCATCTGCTGCGGGGCAAAGATAAGAAGAGATGTAAGATGTAAAGGTTATGTATTCGCAACAAACTGTATTAGTAAAGGACTTCCAGTATGGAGCACATGTGTACTGAACTGAATGCATGCAAAGTTATCCAAGTTACCACACAGCCGGAAGACGGAAGCTGATCTTACACAGAACACACAACACAACAAGTGAGAACTAGAAGATCCCCCACTAACATTAAAGGTCTCCTGTGTGGGAACACTATGGTTTCCCTGTGAAATAAAACAATGGACAAAGACAAGTGGATCAGACTAAAGCAGTTTGACGGCACTTTTCAGCAGCAGTCGGGGACATCGATGGAAACATGTCCAACTTGTTAACACATATGAAGCAGCACTGCATGAATGTAACATTACTCTCATGAAGAAAAAAGATACTGTTGTTCAAACTCAGCTGCCTCTGGAATTCAAACAGCCTCTACCTGGTAATTCAAAGCGGGATAACACTGAGGTAACAATAAAAGAAGGAACTCTTAGCAAACAGCATGATCTGTCGTCTTGTCATCCCTTTTCAACACTGTGTCGTGTTATTTTAGTTTTCAAATCCCTCTAGATGAGTGAACTGCATGAGTATGAAGTGAGGTTCAAGATGATTTATAAACTTAAAACTATAAAACTTACTTCAGAAAGTTTTTTACTTCCTTTGTAGCTCTTCCCTTGCTGCATACTCTCCCATATCTCAATTTTCTGCCTCCTCTTCTCCTCCTCTTGCTGTTCACAAAACAGATCCCAAAGTCAGTTCGGGGTTGACTTCATTACACTCATTAAATTTCTTCACCTCACTATAGTTGCACCTGTTTCTGTTTCTCCTTGAAGATGGCTGCTTTGGCATCAAGCTCCTCCTGCATCCGTCTCCGAGCAGCTTCCATGGCTTCTTGATTTCTCACAATTGATGCAACATCTTAGTGAAAAAAAGTTAAAATCATGAAAAAAAAGGACATTTTTAATTATTAGTATTTTAAGTTATTACATAGAAAAGGATTGTGACAATCTCTATACACATCTTGGCCCTCATTTATCAAGCTTGCGAACGGCAGAAAACTTGCGTACACTTTGCGTACGAAAATTTTGACGTGAGGATCAGCATTTATCAATCTGCACGTGAGCGTACGCTACGACCAAACTTCACGACAGGTCTGACATCATGTAAGCAAGTTTGAGTCAGTGTGGATCTGTGGTGCAGCAAATGTCTGTCTCAAAATAATTGGTATACAAACCTCAAACCTGTCATTAAGCACAACCAGCCAGATTTCATTAAAGATTAAGACGTGAATAAAATAAAATAGATTTGTTATGTCCTTAGTGAATCGGCCTATCCGATAACTCTGCCCATAAACACTGCCACAGAGCAGGAGAGCTGTTTTAACATTACGCACACGCGCCACTGTGGAGCGCTGTGTTTGACTCCTAAAGGCAGGTGTCTCTGTTTTGGCCCAGCAGCGGGGACGTTGTTGTACACTCCTGAAAGGGTGTGGGACATCATTCGGGCCAGTACAGTTTAGCACAATGTTGCACTGGTGAATGGAGTGCCGTTGGCTGTGCCGGTGCAACGTGTGGACCCGATGCCCAGAGAACAATAACGAGGAGAGACTCCACAAAGGTGCTGTACAGAGGAGACAGGACCTTATCCATGGATTCTGACATGTAAAGTATAAGTTTAGAAAAAAAAATCCAATAGAAATCCATAAAAATGTGCCTCAGGAGCAGCAACACACCGTTTGGTGATGTTAATAATTATTTTTGTTCAGCCTCTGTCAGACTCTCCAGTCTGCTCTACATTACAAAGACACAACAAATTAAAACTAAATACTTTCAATAATTGGAGCAACGTATCCTATGTCATGGCAATAAAAAATATGAGGCATTTATAAGATAATTATTTATCACCACAAGCAACTTATTGACTAATGATATATTCAAACTTCAGTCACTGTCCACTATTCCGCTGCAGCGCTGTTCAGCGCCACCATAATCCTGCTCCAGACAGGAGTTTTCCGGACGGTTTTATACCAGTTTTGATGCTTCCAAAGAGAAAATCCTTGTTAGTTTCACCACAGGTGTGAGGATATCCACTTTCAGCTCAGAAAACTTTCGAATCCTTTTTACTCCTGGTTCATACAGGACGCGCTTGGCTGTGTTCATGTTTGACCTCAGTGGGCGAGGCTTCTGAACCACAAATATTTAAGGGCGTAGCATGTCAATGACGATCGATTTCAGCCGCCGTATTTATCAAGACCCGATCATACGTACGCTGGGATTGGTCAGATACGAACCCTTTCATAAATCTCACGTGTGTCATATCGTACAATGAATCCTGCGCTCAGATCTGCGCAAAATTGATAAAATAGGGCCCTTGTGTTTATGATCTTGTCTTGTATTTTTCTATTTCTTCCTCCCCTTTCTGCTTGCTTTACCCAGTTACTTCCACTCCCACCTCAAACCTCACCTAAACCAAACACACACTCCAGAGAGAGTGTGTTTGCATAGGAGGTGTAAATGGCTAATGTTGGTACAAGGTAAGAGATGGGGCCCTGTGATTGGTCAAAAAGTTTGGCTTCATGAATGTGGGATGCTGCTGAGCTTCAGGTCCAGTTTCACGTCAGATCTGTAAGATCCCATGAGACTAAATAATTTAAAATAAAGACTTTTTGTATTTGGTGGTTCAAACAAAAGTTTTCTCAGACACATAGTTTTAATGTGGTTTCCCTCTGGTATACTTATTTACCATTGAACACATCTGGAAACGCTGAAAAAAAAAAGATATCTTTAACCCCAACATCTTTCTTGGAGCATTATTAAGATAAGCAACTGATATAAATGATAAATGGCATTTTAAAAATCCATTACTTTACATTTTTGACCAGATTTTAAGTTTGTATCAACCAGAGATGGGAATTGTGGCAGCAAGTCATTTCCATGCCATGTATTTGTTCTGCTCAGTTACTGAACCAGGTGCCTTCACTAATGAGCTCACCTTCCTGGCTGCTCATTGGAAACAGCTGGTTCAGTGACAGAGCAGAACAAATACATGACATGGAGATGACTTGCTGACTCCACAATTCCCACCTCTGGTATCAACTCTGTAAAGTAATTCTCCCGAGGGCCTTGGCTTTTAGATTTGCTGCCCTGCTACACTGCTGTGATCTGAAACTATGACTTGAAAGAAGGATACAGTTTCAGTGTGCTTACTCAGTCAACCACAAGGCTTATTTTAACCTTTTAAAGACAATCTGGATTCTGTATTAATGTCCTGGGATCCCTAGTTGATACAACAGTTTTCGCACATTTCAGGACTTCCAGTTTGGTTACTTTTCTTTCTTATACAGGTCTTTTATGCACGGAGCTATTGTTCCCCATGATGAAACGGCTTGTAAATGGTATTCAGACAGTAACATAGGGCCTGTGGAGCATTATGGGAGACCCGCATCCTCTACAATGTTTAGTGGCCTGCACTCAGCTGCCATCTGTTCAGTTAGTGCTGGGGCTGACTTCTCTGATAAAGTTTAGTCCACGGGTTTGTGGGGATTCAAATACTTTTGAAATATTATGTATCAATTTTACACTAATTTATTCCATGAAAACCAAATGAACACTGAAAGTCTGGCCACACTGAAACTGATTCACTCTGGATTCTCTCTCCTTCAGTAGACTGAATTCATCCTCATGAGACCTCTGCCATTGAACTGTCCTACTGGAGTGTAAAACAGAGTGATGAAGAGCAGCAGCTGACCTTGCTGTGGTTGTGGTGTAGTTGAGTTGGTGTCTTCGCTCTGGCTAAATCTCTTCATCAGATATTGGATGAGCAGGGAGACCAACACAGTCGCAACCAGCAGGTGCCAACCATACTGAGATAGGAGTTCAGCTGCTGTGGGACACACAAACACAACTGTACTCATTGACTTTGATATATTAATTGTGAACTTCATTTGGTAAACGGATGTATTTACTGATAGATAAACTAAGGCTGCTAGCATGCTAATGTTGACTGATGCCGTATGTCAAGAATCTTGTGTTTCTTGTGATGTTATGAGAGGTTACCAGCTTCGCTCAGAGAACTCAGGTCCTGGTTGTGTAGGTGATGGGCTTTCTCCACCTTGTTAGGCATGTCGCCGTCGTCCACATCTGTAATCTCCACATCATCCATGTCGGGCTTATCGAAATGATACCTAATCAGGTCACAAACACGATGTTTTCTTGCTAGGTGACAAACGTTATCGGCTGTCAAATAACTTCACAGACGATGCAGATAGTTGTTCTGAAGCATTTTTGATTACTCTCGGTTGGAAATGCTTTTTCTAGTGTCTGTTATCTCAGCAACAAAAAGCGAAGACTAGCCAACACGCGAAGCAGCATTTTAGATGACGTGTTTATTTTCGTGGTGCGTTCATGTACGACGCGGAAATAATTCGACATTTGAGTGACGTCGTCTTCTTCTTCTTCTTCTTCTTGGATTTGATTGGCGGCTGGCATCCAACAATTTGGCGCATTGCCGCCACCTACCGGACTGGAGTGTGGAACAGTAGATTGGCAGTTTACAAACAACAACAACAACAACAACAAAAAAAAAGGGGAACCCCCTCCAAAAACATACTACATCCTTTCAACTAGGCCAGTTCTTCTCAAATATCTTTGTACATGTTTATTGCTCTCTTCTGTTCTCTGTAACACACTCCTTAATGTGAATCCAATGTTTTCCTTTTTCAAGCCAGCTTTTAATACTCCCCTCTCGCTTTCATACTCCCTACATTCCATTAAGACATGCTCTACTGTCTCCTGCAAATTGCAGCTTCGACAGTTTCCCGTGGGGTGTTTACCTATAATTTTTAGCGTGCTGTTTAACCCTGTGTGCCCCAGCCTGAGACGGGTGATGGCCACCTCCTCCTTCCTGCTCCTGCCAAACACCCGTCCTCCACCCACCTGGCTCTGTATCCTGTAGAAATGTCTCCCAGTGTCATTGATGTCCCAATATTCCTGCCAAACCCTCTGCATCTGTGTTTTGATTATTGACTTCCCTTCAGCTCTACCCAGTGGAATGCTGTTTTTTATTGTTTGTGCTCTAACAGCTTGTTTTGCAAGTATGTCTACACAAATCCGGCTGTCCCCCCCTGTTCTGGAGCTGGTGTAGAAGTTGATGAATCTCCATAACAAGGTCTTGCCTACAGGATTTCATTGTTTTGATACTTTCAAGTGCTGCATAACTATCTGACGCTATTAACGCATGTACAACACTACCTCCCTTCATTCACTTTAATGCAAGTATAATTGCTAACAGTTCCACTGAGTATACTGAGGCATGATCAGTAGCCCTTTCTTTAATTGCCAGTCTTTGTTCTGGGACAAAGACTGCTGCCCCGGTGCGCCCAGTCTCTGGATCCTTTGATCCATCCGTAAATATTAACATTTTATTCGCATAGTTCTGTTCAATGTATCTTTGCATAATAACTCCTATATTCCCTGATTTCTTCTTAATTTTACCCTGAATACCAAAGTCCACTGTTGGCTCCTGAAATACTCACGGAGGGATTTCTGGTAAAGCGTTACTTGACACATGTTGCATGTTACATAAACCAACACTATCGGCTTTTACATTCCCAACCCAGCCCAAACTCCAAAAGTTGGTCTTGCCGTGCTCTGAGCATTCCTCTAATATCGCTTTTGCTGGATGAGACCTTTTGTGCCCCTGCAGATATACTCAGTATGCCAGCATGTGCTTTACCCTTCTTATCCTTGGAGGTTCTTCCCCTACCTCAACTTGAAGAGCAGCCACTGGAGAGGTCTTAAACGCCCCACTGCATATCCTCAGCCCCTTAGCCTGCTCCACGTCCAGCTTCTTCAGGTGACTCTCTGCTGCTGACATATAAGCCACACTGCCATAATCAATTCTGGACCTCATCATCGCTTGATATATGTTTAACAGAGACTTCCTAGTTGCACCCCAATCTCGCCCTGCCAAGCTCCTCATAAGGTTATTAACATTCTTACATTTATCTCTCACTTTTTCAATATGCTGCTTCCAGGTGAGTTTTTCATCAAATAAAACACCCAAAAAACGTACTACTTTGGCTTGTTCTAAAGTTTGATGATATTGTTTTATTGACACCTCTTTGTGTCGCAGTGGAGTGTGGAGTTGTCGATAGTGAGAGATAAGCTGTAGGTTTTGGATAAAGTGGATTTGGTGCCAACGAGGAGGACCTCGGTTTTATTGCTGTTTAATTTCAGGGAATTTCGGGTGAACCAGTTTTTTATTTCAGTGATGCAGTCAGTAAGGGAGGTGGGTGGGAGAGAGGGGGAGGGTTTGGTGGTGAGATAGAGGTAGGTGTCATCGGCATAATAGTGAAAATGGATGTTGTATTTACGTAAATATTGCCAAGGGGAAGGAGGTAGATGATGAAGAGTAGGGGCCCCAGGACAGAGCCCTGGGGCACACCAGAGGTAACGGGGAGGAGGTGGATTTGAGGGACTTGAGTTGGATGTATTGAGTGCGGCCAGAGAGGTATGATGTAAACCAGTTCAACTGAGTGTGGGTGATGCCAATGGTGGATAGCCGGTGGAGGAGGTTGGTGTGACAGATGGTATTGAAAGCTGCAGATAGGTCTAGGAGGATGAGGATGGTGAGGAGTCCAGAATCAGCTGCCGTGAGAAGGTCGTTCGTGATTTTGATGAGTGCTGTTTTAGTGCTGTGGAGTGGGTGGAAACCGGACCATGAAAATGTGGAGATAGCATTAAAGTAACCTCCTCTGGCTTTAACAACAGCTTGGCATATACAGTACCAGGAATCGTTTCACAAGTTTTTCAAGGTATGTTCCAGGGATTGCATTCCAAGATTTCTTAAGTTTATTAAAAAGAGACTGCTGATTCGTGGGACGCATTTTTCTGACCGATCGATCCAATTCATCCTTCACAAGCTCAATCGGAGAAAGGTCTGGAGACTGAGGGGGCCGAACCATCTTTTGAAGAACACTTTCCTCTTCTAGGTAACCTTGACAGAGCTTGGCAGAGTGCTTAGGGTCATTGTCTTGCTGTAAAACAAACTTATGAGCCACAAGCTTGAGTCCAGATGGAACAGCATGGTGCTGGAGGATGGAGTGGTACTGTTCCTTCTTCATAATACCCTTTACTTCAAACAAATCTCCTATTCCATCACCTGCAAAACATCCCCATACCATGGAACTACCACCTCCATGCTGAATTGTGGGTGTAACACATGGTGCTTTCAGACGTTCACAAGTTTGTCAGTGGACATAGACTCTGCGTTTTGAACCAAACAGTGCAAACTTGTTTCTAGTCATCATAAGTCCAATCTTTGTGAGCTTTTGCCCACTCATATCTCTTTTTCTTGTTCTGTGGACGAAGTAGAGGTTTTTTTTGCAGATACACAACCCTTCAGACCAGCCGTTCTCAAACATCTTTTCACAGTTGTCAGAGATATGGGTTTTGACCTAGTCATGTTGATTTCCTCCCTTATTTGTGGTGCTGTCTTTCACCGATCTCTTTTACTGATGACAATGCTACGTTTATCCTCTGCTTTTGTAGTAACTCTCTTTCGTCCATGTCTTTTTCTATCATCATAACTTCCAGGTTCCTCTATTCTCTTCACAGTGTAGTGGACTCCTTTGTTAAACACCTTTAGGTGTTTTGCAATTTCTCCTTCTGTGTTTCCTTCTTTCTTCAATGTACAAATCTGTACTTTTGTTTCTTTACTCAGTTGCTTCTTTCTAGCCATTTTTGCTGTAGTTTGAACGCAGTTGAGATTTATTAGGATTTTTGTATGCAGACTCTCAAAAGCCAAAAAGTTGAAGTGAATAATCCAACTGTGATTTGTTTTTTTTTGCTTTTGCACTGAAGCTTGCCCACTCATAACATTACAGTCTACGGTGCATGTACCATATAAATAACCATAGATTGCTTAATTTTAATCCGATTTTCGAACGGTTTGGTTTGTAACAAACCTCAGACTTTTAGTTATGTTCCTGCATACTCAAGAATAATTTTAACCATGGATTTTCATAAATAAACATTAAGCAGATAGGTAGAGCAATAGCTATAGGCCTACACAAACAAGGCAGTTATATTAAATTATTTATATCAAAAAACATTTACTCATTTCATGTATGTTATATTAGTAATATTTCTATTATAGGGATAACTTTAACGACATATAGCAAAAACATAAACATTTATTTCTAGTATAAATTTCTGCCTCATACTGCCTTTTTAGATGATTTTAACAACCCAAAAAGCTTGGAAATCATGTGCAACTTAAGTTATGTTGAAACGAAAAAGCATTTCTGCCCTTCCAACTGATGTAAAATTGCTGGGTCAACTTTGTAGTATGTTTTTGGTCTCACTCACAGTGAGTCCGTTAGCCTAGTTAGACAGTTGATAGGCCGGGAGCCAGGTACACCCCATGCGCTGTTTTTTGCTACCTTTTTTTCACTATTATTTCTTGTTCTCCTGTACCTTGGGCCAAAACAAGTTCATACTGACCACCCCCAACTCGGCCCCATTCGGCCCCAGGGGCCAAAAAAACGTATTTTTGGGAAAAGCTTCTGGCGAAATGATGTAATTGCAAATTATAGGGTGCTGCAACTTCATAAATGGTCAAATAAGTCTGAAATTTTGCATGGTGTATCCTAACAGATAGGGGAAACTACCAGAATAATAATCTGGGGCTTACTACCATTCTATTGCCAAATATCACCCTCTGAATACCCCAAAAGACCAAAAAATGTCTGTCCGCCTAACAAATTGTCATCAAAAGTGATCATTTTAAAGTATTTTCTTATACATTTCACTGCCTACCATGAATATGGAAAACTTCCCACATTTATAAGCTTCAATTTAAGTCCAAGCTGACCTTTCTATCTGGAAAATTACTATGAACAAAGTACTTCACTGTACCCCAAATCGGAGAAACCTGACAATTCCAGAATCACCATTCCAAATGGGATTCAGCACATTTTCTGAATCTAAATCAAATCTTAAACAATATTTGAAACATGAGTTATGTTGAAGTGAATTACATAAAATGAATAATGGTATGCCTCCAGGTGGACCAGGGTATCAAGGTCCAACATTAAACATGATCACACCAAATCCGAGAACCAAATAGGAGATTTATTAAAGAGCAAGATCTGGACAAGGAATAAAAATGACTTGTGAACATTTCTTAACAATAGATTAACATTCTGTGCAACCTAATGGAGAAATATGGAAAAAAAAGCTCAACCATAAAACACATTTCTATGGTCCTTTTTTACTGTACTTTGACCACTAGTCATATCAATGTATTGTGTATACAATGTGTCCCAGAATATCCACTTAGGAAGTTTTATTGTTTATTTCATCTATCCTTCTATTGCTTTCTCTTGGCTACAGCTGTCTGGGATATTGGTGTGGCTACACTCATAAAAATTTTCTGCTCCAGGATGTGTCCTCAATGCCTATGAAATATACTTAGTAGGCAATGTGAGGATTCTAGTACAGTTTTGCTGCTCTGAGAGGGATTTGTATTATGATGATGATGATGATGTTATATGTACTGAGATTCCAGCTGATAAGACTGTGACAATATAACTGGATTTTAATCATCATCTTCCTCATCATCATCCATATTTGTATGCATTCCATCAGCCAAGTCATCCCCATCTGTTTCTCTGTTTCAATTGACGGCTTTTTCGCAAAAACCAACAAGGCCAAAGGAATGAACTTCATAATTAAAGATGCTGAGAATGTGGAACTTCCTTCTCCAAGTGAATGTGATAAACACAAGGACATCCACAAAGACTGTCACTTAGAAAAAGAAAAATGCTGTCATACAAAAAATGAAAATCTTCTTATATATGTCTATTTCCAAAGCTATTATACTTCCTTCTTTTTCAGTCTGTATGAAACTGTTTAGAGAAGGTTATGCATGGAGTGTTTGAAACTTATTCAGAAAAATGCCTTCTTTCTTTGAGCAATCAAGGAAAGAAGGCAGCCTCAGTAAAGCGAGCTAAAAGATTTCTCACCCCCATGCAAACATTGGAGAGAATACTTGATCCACTAGAGTTGTAGCCTATCTCAGACAGGGTTTGTGACAGTTACATTTCAGCAGTAGTATCAACAATTTTTCAGATCTGTTAGAAGTCAGTCAAATCACAATCTAATTTTAATTTGGGAAATTACAAAGTCTTTGACAAAACTAGTTTGCTTACTTTTGCAATCTCTCAAGGCATTTGGTTTTACTGGTGATTTTGTTAGCACAATTTACATTTTACAAAGGCATTTGCAGCTCAGTTAAAATCTATTTATTACATCTCCTCCTGATATCAGCCAGACTTTGACGAGTGACTGTAGGCCCTACATTGAGTTTTCAAACCACTAGGTGATGCTCTGTTTGAAGATCTAGTGCTCTGAATATTCTTTTTCTGATTACATAGCTAATGGTCAGTGTTTTTTATTTAATGGGGCGTCTCACGTTCAAGCGTTGTCTAAATTGTGTGTCTAATGTGCAGATAGCCCCAAAGGAGCCAGTCCTTAGGATAAAGACTGGGTTTGAGCCACTGCTGGTACAAATTCAAATACAAATTCTACATTGGTGGGAGAAGCCTGACTCTTCCTCAGTTTTCTTAGATCCAGAAATAACCTTCTAGATTTTTTTAAAGCCTGGGCATGTCTCTGTTGAGTGAGCAAGCCCCTATGGACAAGACTACTCGTCCAAGTCTAATTCTCAGATAGTATATTTAGATATTTCCAGAGACGCGAGGTAAGCGTCTAAGTTGCAAAACTCTCTGCATCCTAAATTGAGCATAAAAATAAATCAACAAAACATTTAAACTTTTCATTGACAATATTCTACCTCTAAAGAGTTCTATCTGTGTGAAAACTTAATGTTTTTTATGTTAGCAGACAGGAAAAAAAATATGCCACTTGACTGATTTCACTCATTGGTCAGTTTCTACACAATGGTCTGAAATATTCTGCCTGTTCAGTTTCATTTTGATTTTCTCAGCCCAGCCTTCAAGACCAAATATTTGCTATAGAAAGTCTCTTAGTCAGGGTATGGCCAGTTTTTCTCTGTAGAGACTGGGACAGCCTGTGAAATCACACATCTGAAGACTGTACAGTTAGACTTCAGTTTGTTGGGAATGTTGTCTGAATGCTTAAAAAGCCACACAGCAGGGTAAGAAATCAACTTTAATCCATTTGTGTCAATATACAAAAACAAAACAAAGCCCTGGTGGATGCATATCCAACAAAACCAAATCTACAAAATAAAATTGAACACCAAGAAAAACACTCCCGGGGTTTCTCAGGAGCCATTAACGTGCTGCTCCACATCCATGTCCTCATCTTCCTCTTGTTCCTCTTCTTCATCATCATCATTCCTCTCTTCTTCTCCACCCATGTGTGCCTCTGGATGTGCAGTCTCACCCTCTTCTTCCTCCTCTTCCTCTTCTTCCTCCTCCACCATTCCAGCTGTACCTGATTTCAGAAATGTATAAATTCATCCAGCCAGTGAATGTAACAGTTGTTTTGGTCACAGAACAGCTAAACACTCGTCTGCACTGGCTAAGTATCGTGGCAGTATTCAAGTGTATGTAATACTAATTCAAAATATATGAGATCAAAGATCATCACATCTAGTGCACTTATATTTTATTGAAAGCCTATTTGTATTTATTTCAAATCATATATTTAACAGGAAGTAAAGACAGAGTCGTGTTTGCAACAAGTCAGTCTGAGTCAACCTGATGTGAAGCTGAGAAGAGGTTCACCACTCTGATAGTGATCAAAAGAGCAAACCTGTCAGTGATTTCAGAATAATATTTAAGTTAACCCTTTGCTGTATGTCTTCTCTAACTCTCTGCTCGCAACATTACCTGTTTCTCCAGCTGTCCTGCCTAATAAAGGCAAAAATTAAAAACTTATTTGATTTAGAAACACCAGTAACTTCTCTGAGCCCATTTAAGAGAGACAGGGGCAAAGCAGAAAACTGTCCTATGATGCGCTGGATCCAAATAGGTTATTCTTTTAGGAAATCAGACACAGCATCCTCTGCTAAAAATAGGAGAGACCACCCAGCTTGTCACCAGTGCACAGTATAAAAGGCAGCATCCCTTATGGTATGGGGATAAGTGCCAAGCATGCATAGTTTCCACATCCAGGAAGGTAGAGCTGAGGCGCAACCAATTACACAGGCTCAAGAGCTTAAAGTCCCACTCTGATCTTTCTTTTTTTTTTGTACAACTTTAAGTGTTCTCAGTGGCCGTCAAAATGTGATTATGAAGTTTTTAGCCAAAATGATGTCACCTGTGTCATTTTTAAGGGTTTTTCTCCTGCAGAGCTCCAGTAACTCATTGGCAATTCGCCTCTGACTTTTGGGTGGAGACAGCGCTGCTCTGCACCATCCTCTTCATGCCAAATTGTAGCCTAACGTTGCCGTTGCAGCAGAAGAAGCACTCAGACACTGATGTCATTGCAGTCTACTACTGCACACACTTGTTTAGCGATTGTCCTCTCTATTTCTCGGAGTCTGGCCTGCAGAGTGGGGCTCTGGAAGTGGAACTTGCAGTTGTGATGTAGGAACCTACCATTACTTTTCACGACATGTCCTTTAGCATTAGAAAAATGCCACATGAACATTTAGACAACAAGAAAAACATGATTTTCAGAGGAGTGGGTCTTTAAGATTTTGCCATCCAGACAATGACTTTTTCAGGACCTCTCATATTTTAGCATCATGACACATTTACATATGACCAAAGAGACCCTGAACTGTAGAGCTGATATCCTGTATAAACCAGGAATGGGAAAGTGTGCTATTAAAAATGTATTTATTTAATTATTTATTAAGGTGGAGCCTCACTATGGTAGTTTAACATGTTCCTCTTTAATAATTTATGAAACATGCAGTTTGTAATAAATATTTCTGATTAAATCTACATTTCTGTTTGTACATCTTCATTTTTTGTCTTTACACTATTTTGTAGTAAATAAAGGTTTTGATAAACATTAAGGCTTAAATGATTCGTCAAATAATTTGAGTACCTTCATTACAAAAATTGATCGAGGAAATTCCTCCGCCTCAAGGAATCGTTTATTTCTACAGCTCAAAGCGTGGTATTCTGCTCAGACTACTTCTAATGTGGCACAACACGCTCACGTCATCCACCCAAAGGAAGAAGAAAGAGGGGAAAGACATGTTTAATTTTAGCAGCGGGAAGATGGAGGAAAGACAGGACGGCGATGAAACTTAAGATAAAGCCACTAAGAAAAGACAAAATGTCGAAAGTGTGGGAGCATTTCAAGCTGGAAATCAAGGCGAACACCATTATGTGTTTTCACTGTAAGACAGTCCTTGTATACCACAACAGTACGTTTTCAATGCTGCAGCATCTCCACCAAAGGTACCTGGTTTACTCCAAGAGCAGAGGACCCAAGACAAGGTAAAATTAAGTTAACGTAGGGTGATCAGACGCCCTATTTTCCCCAGACATGTCCTTTTTTGTAGATTACAAAATGTGTCTGGCCGGAATTTCTAATTCTAAAATTGCCTGGATTTTGTTGTACTAGATTAAATCTTTAGTTTTATTCATTGTAGAAATTTACATTGCAACAGGCACTCACAGTGGGAAGGGGGTCACTAACTTGATGGGGGGGTGAGTGCGCTAAGTTGTCGTCTTTGATCACATAGCAGATTGTGTGCTGAAACCAAAAGCCACATCAAAGCACTGTGTTAGTATGAGCTCAGCACTGACCTTCTCTGAGGTCTCGTCCTGGGATTTGACCAGCCTGTAGCATCCCTTTCAACCGCTCCACCTCTGCCAGTGATGATGCATTAGCAATAGCATTCTGAAACACAAACACACTCATGTTAACCCCCTGCTTCACCCAGAAAAGCTCTTTACTAAGTGGGTCCTTTAGTATTTCAAGGGTTTGGAGCCAAAGGGGCCTAAGTGTGACGCTGGGCAAATATGAGTAAATCAGCTGAAAGCTCTCGGTCAGATCTTCTAATGCCAAATAGAACACAAGTGAAAGGATGAACCAAAGGTGAACTGAGGTGACTTTAAAAAAGGTCTTAGTAGGATCTGGAGGGTTGAGACACACATGCACTCAGTCCAATTTTGGGAATGACTGGGCTTCGAGCTCAGCTGGTAATCTGAAAATCCTTGTAAACACACCTTGATGGCTTCCACATCAGCTTGAGACGGCCCCGTCCTCTTCTTCTCCAGCTGTGCTGCCACTCCTGGAGTGAATCTGGAAGGAACAGGCGTCATTTAGACAACAAGGACACCCACATGCCTCTCTTATAGACCTCTTTACCAGTGTAGTATCTTTTCTTGAGTCAAATGAACTGATACATAGTCCAAAGACAGCAGTCCTGAGCAACACTGTGGCTTCAGGTTTTAATAGTGCAGGTCAAACTGATCGGTAGATTTTTCACCTTCACCAAAGGAAGGCATATTTCTGGATAATTTTTGGGTAAAGGATTAAGCGATAGGTTTTGGGCAGATTTCATGCCTTATTAAACTTGTTCACCAGTCGAGATCCAGTGATTCTGAGGAGCTGCTGTCTGTCGTGGACATTCATCTTACGTTTTTGTTCGCTTGGCAATATCCTTTGCAAGTTGAGCACCACGTTTTCCTTTGAACATTTTCTCTGCTTCCTGGCGTTCCTATGACGATATCACAGGGTTAAAGTGAAAAGGCTCATCATTGACAAACTGTGCATTCTCCTGCCTGGTCCTGACCTCTCAGTTGTCAGGGGTCTTATATTCTCAAGAACATTTTTCTTCATTGACAAAGATAAATTCAGGTACGTTTTAGGGGTGGGAGAAAAAATTGATACAGCATAGTATCATAGTATTTTGTCTGGTGATATATCGTATCGTAAGTATCAATTTCTCAAATTAACTGCTTATATAAAGTAAAATCTATGATAATAGAAAAATAAAATCAACTATTTGTCCAGTGAGGTTGGCAGAGGTGACATCATAGGGCAGGAGAAAGTTTGTGCAACAAATATATATATATAAGGTTTGTAAGATGTGCTACATGAAAATAAAATACTATGTAAATAAGACAAACATAAAGGAAAGACGAATGCTAAATTAGCTAAACAGTTGAAAACATTGTATACAATGCAATATATTGTATCACAATACTCACTGTCTTGCAAAATGTTAAAAATCATAATAATATCGTATTGTGGCCCAAGTATTGTGATTATATCGTATCGTGGGGTCACTGGCAATTCCCACCACTTGTAGGTTTACATCTTTGCCACACTTCCACTGTTAAATGTTTGCTTCTTTAAACACCTTCAGCTGCTGGATGGCTGATCCCATCAGGGTAAGCATGGCCTAGGTTGTTGTTTGAGGAGTCTGACAACATTACAGAAAGGATCCCTACAGTGACAGATCTGTTTGTTAAAGAGGAAGAAGATTTTGTCTTCAATATCGCCTGACTTTTGAACAGAAAACAGAAGTTACCACTTTACTTTTATCCTTCTCTTTAGTGTCCATTATTCAGTTAAACAAAAAAAACAGGATCAGGTGTAATAACACCTGCTGGACCAATGTTTATACTTGGGTTTTAAATTTTAGGGCTAAAGCAGATGGTCCATGATTCACACTTCAAGCCATTCAGTCTGAGTGAACACCATACAAACAGCTCATGCTCTTATTAGGTCACATCTGCAGCACAAACCTCCGACTTACCTTTAGTTTTACCTTCTGGAAGTCGAGCACACGGATCTGTGGGATTTTGTTGATGACATAGAGCCTGTAATGCTTCTTGTTTGTCACAGGGTTCCTTAACAAGCTGAAATGTAGTGATTACACCCATGTATAATTAAGCTATAACAGGTAATTAGTTTATCTTTGCAGTACTGAATATTCATACCTGAGAAGAGTCAATGTCTTCACTGAGGCCAGTGGGTCCAAGTCACCCTACACACAACACAATGACATATTATTACTTCCAATAAGGTAAGGTCTGCTCTGATTATCCTCTCCTCTGTGTTTGTTACTTAAGAAGCGATGAAAACAGTTTATTGTAATTACGACAAGAGAGTTTGTTTAATTTTTTATTTAAAAAAAAGAAAAAAAATTAAACTTTTGTCAGACAAACTAAAAACAACCAGTTTTATTGATGTGACTCATTCTAGCTGCTAGAGACAGGGGCACATCATTGCTCTGTGTGTAAAAAGAAGATCTTCTGTATATTTTCTTTGGATAAAACTACAGGAGTTTAAAAGTCAGAATAAATTTAAATTTGTGACACACACTAGGAAACAGATTTAGATGGCTATGGTTCAGAGATTCAGTGGGTCCCCTTTCAATTGAAAGTTTAAAAGTTTGAACCTTGCCCTGCTGCCTAAATGTAGAAGTGTCCTTAAGCAAGAGACTGAAGCAGAAATTATCCCTGAAACCATAGCCTGTAGTGTAAAGTTGTGTGTGACAAAGGGTGCTGATTAAAAGAATCCTCCATGATAAATCCTTGGACATACTAAAAATCACTTACTGATTACTTGCAAAAAAAATGACCTCAAATTTTTCAGCAACAGTTTGGAAAGTATTGCTTCTCTAAAAATGAGCTTGTGAAACACCCACCTGAAGTCCCACCGCTTTAGCCAGTTGGTTCACACTTGAAACTTAAAACACCAGCCAGATAGCTCAATATGAGGCCACATGCCGTTCATCATGACTGAGTAGAAAACCAAACCTACTTCCCCAGCAGGGAGCACCAAATCACCAAACCAAAATCTTATCACAAAGGCTTCGACAGGAAAGCGAGGGGCAAAAGAGACATTAGAGACCTTTCAATCCAAGGTACACTGTTGGTGTTTACTCACCAACTCCTGAATGTTGTTGTTGGTCAGGACCAGTTCTTTCAGAGTGGGCAGAGACTGCTCCAGATTCTCACCTATACGACTGAGGAAGCAGTTCACAAAGTTAGCCAGAGCACTCAACCTTCATCTCCACATCCTGTCATCACTTACAACAGTTTGTTAATTCATTGAATCACAAAGACTTTTTCTTACAGTTATCCTTTCTATGTAAGGTATTACAGACTGATACAAAAAGTGAAATGAATCACAGATCAGCTACACAGCTCTGCAAGTCTAACCCAACACCTGAGTGTCCTGCCAGCTAGATTTGCTGACTGTTTCTTTTTATTTGGTTGAACTGATTGGTTGGCCACTCAATGGAGAGGGGCTTTCTGAATAAATCATTTAAAAGTCCTGGGGGCTTTTATTCCCTTTAGAAGAAATAAAATGTAAAATCTAATTGAAAAACATTCCTACATGTTTAAGACTTGGAGGATGAACTCAGTTGGGATTTTTTTCAAAAAGCATTAAGTGAGCAGTAAGTGCAAGAAGACATGACAGCTAAAACTTACCAAATCCTATTGTTGTTCATCAACAATGTTTTCAGTCTTTTGAGCAAAGGAAAGCCATCCAGTTTTCTGATCTCGTTATCAGAGAAGTCAACTGTGTCAAACTGGTCCAGTGTGGCTCCCAGATTCTCAAGCACTGGGATTTTATAACCTATAGGATGAAAAATATAGATGAATACTGAGGACTTTACTCAGCTATGAAAACACTGCAGATACATCAGACCAAGGAAGGTGACATAAACAGAGACTCCCAAAGATCAAGATGAGGAGTGAGTGAGCTTGAGATTTATATGATTTTACTGAAATTGTTCAAACTTAATGACAGTTTTATGTATTCCCACACAAGTAACACACTGAAAGGTTGAATGGTAAACTTGAGTCCTATTTGAGAAAAGATTTTTCAGATTGGCAGATTTCTCCAGCACGCAGCCAAAGGGGGAGTTAAACCAACTGAACAGTAATCTTAACCCCATATAACACCAGTTTTAGCATCGCTGCATTGGCTCCCCATCTGTTTCAGGATTGATTTTAAGGTTCTTTTATTAGTTTTTAGATGTATTAATGGTCTTGGCCCTTCCTATTTATCTGACTTACTTTTATCATATCAACCCTTGCGGACCCTGCGGTCCTCTGGCACAGGCCTTATTACCTTACCCAGGGTTAAAAAAAACAAGAACACACTGGGAGGCGGCTTTCAGCCTGCCGGAGAGCCTCAGGGCCGCGAAGACTGTTGATATCTTTAAGAGGAGGCTCAAGACTCACTTTTTTAACCAGGCTTTTCATTAATTGACTTTTTATTTTTCTCTTATTACAAATGTTCATTTTAATCAAGGTTCTTAATATTTCTTTTATGTCAATTCATTAATTATCTTAGTCTTTTACTTCTTTTACCCTTTTTATACGGTAAAGAGCTCTTACGTTTTTGTTCATTTATTTTCTTGTGTTAGTCCATCAGGTTTTACTCTTTTTACAATTTTTTATTTACAAGTGTTTCCCAAAGGTAGCTCTTTCCACACGTAATGTCTCGGTGTCAGGCCATGTCTCTATAACAATATATCTTAAATTCGTACTCTGTGTGCGCTTGTGTGGGTGAGTGAGGGAGGGAGGTCATGTGTCTCTGTGTGTGTGTGTGTGGGTCCATGTGTGGGTTTTACCGTTGTTAATTGTTGTTTTAGCCTCTGTGAGGCACTTTGAACTACATTTTTCATCTGAAAAGTGCCATAAAATAAAGTTGAATTTGAATTTGAAAAGGAAAGTCAATGTGTGCTTCCTCTACTTTAAGGTCCAGGTGTGTCTTCGTCACAGTCAAGGCCATCTCGTCACTCTCTTTCAAACCATCAGAGTCCACTGTGTTTTACTGCCATGCCAATTTAATATGTTATAAGAAGAACTTTATTAATCCCTGAGGGGAAATACAAAAAAACAAACTTACACACAACAGTACGGCACATAGCTAACAAATGCATTTATTGTCTAGCAGACAAGAGTTTCCTCACAATTTTAATTAATCTAAAATGTTATATTCAAGACATCTTCTTCTGAGTGCTAAAACTGCTGTGAGGAAGTCTGTGGTAAAACAATCTGGACTCTTGTGTTATGAAGTCACATATCAATCATTGTCTTTTTTTCCCTCAGTATACTGTCACTGTTTTCTGGTCTGCCACCATTTACAATATAAAGATAGACCTGTTACTGATGGTCTTGTTAGCTGTCTTAGCTGTGTTGGAGCTGTAGTAAGAGTTTGCTAAGGAACATATTTTAAGCAAAGGTCCATAAATGAGACTGATTTGTCTGTGTGCATATTTCGTCCATCCCTACACCAGATAGTGACCGGCCCAGCGAAATAATCAGAACATGTGTAGTAGTTAAACTGTTTAGGTTAACTTTCTCCTTTACTCTCAGAGCTGCTCATGATGCCTAGTAAAGCCATGCCGAACTATACGAGACTCACAGTCAACACATGTATAATAGTTGACCTGCGAACAACGAATTAGACTAATACAGGAGCTGGGTCGGAGGCCGGGATGTTTAGCCTCAGTGAGCTAACGATGCTAACAAACAAAGTTGTACTAACCTCTTAAATCCAGCTCCCGGTCTCTAACCGGGTTTGTATACTGAGCGGCCTGCTCGATGAGCTCTGCGGTGAGTTTCACCATGACGGGGCCGACGGGGAGGTAAAGAAAAAAATTAATAGTTTTTACTGAAAAACGTGTTCCGCAGACTTGAGGTTCCCACAAACCCGCTCTATGCACGTCTTTCTTCTTCGTCTTCTTTTTCTTCTTCTTCTTTAATGGAGCTCATTGGCGGTTAGCAAACCATCTTAAGAGTGCATTACCGCCACCTACTGGACTGGAGTGTGGAACAGTAAATTGGCAGACCAAAAAAAAAAAAAAAAAAAAAAAAAAAAAAGAAAATTACATCCTCTCCATTAGCCCTGTATCTTTCAAATATGCCATTAACTGCTTGAGCATAATTTCTGACAGGTTCCCCATGTTAAGTGCCATCCTGGTTTCCTCTGCTGCTGCTGCCAGTGTTTCTTTCCTCCTCATATTCTCCACAATCCAACACATGCTGGACAGTTTCAGCCTGCCCACATTTATCGCATCTGCCATCAGGGTGTTTTCCTATTTTATACAGTGCATTGTTCTGTCCTTTGTGCCCATCTACAGAGAAGGGCAGAGCCACCTCTTTTGCCTGAGAAGACTCCGATCAATAGACGTCTGTAGTGAGATGCTGCAGATGTTTTATCAGTCTGTGGTATCTACAGTGTTCTGTTCTACGCTGCAGTCAGCTGGGGAGGAAGCATCAAACACAAAGATGCAAGACGTCTTAACAAACTGGTGAAAAAGGCTGGCTCTGTGGTTGGATTCAAGCTGGACTCAGTGGAGGATGTGGTGGAGAGATCTACACTGAGGAAGGTGGAGACTATTCTAAAGAACATGAATCACCCACTTCACAACACCTTGATGGACCAAAGGGCCAATGGTGGTGGAAGGCTCCTCTCTCTTTGCTGCAGGACAGAAAGATTCAGAAGATCTTTTGTACCAACAGCCATTAGACTTAATAACTCTTGTGTAAATAGTAGATAACTTTTTTTGGAGACATATTATGTGAGGCAACAGACAATTGAATTTCCCTTTGGGGATTAATAAAGTTATTCTTATTCTTATTCTTACCATCTTTCCCTGGTGAAGTTTGTCTTGCATTTAAAATTGCTCTCCTCAGCTCAAATACAGTAAATGGTAAATCTAGGTCTTCTCCTGACAATGTGCTTCTTCTTACTGTACCTCTTATATTTTGTGCAGAGGTATTGTGTCTACACTGCTTAGCTTTGTACAATAAATTTTCTGAGCTGTGAATCTTCACAAACGTCTTCCCTAGGAGCTCTGCCTTATCTGCAGTACTTATTGCTGTTATGTTGTTGTAATGCATCGCTGGTATTTCAAGGTTACTTTTTAAGCCGTTCATTTTCCTAAACATACCTCATACTTCTGCCAGCTGTGTTTCTCTACCAATTTCATTGCAGTATTGTCTACGGTATGTCCATTTTGTTGATCTTATAGTTTTTTTAACTACTGCTTGTGGTCTTTTGTATTGGATCAATGTATCTAGCATGTGGTGAGCCTTGAACTGTCTAAATGTTCTATTTCTCATTAAATTGCTTTACTACATTTGTCATCCCACCACGACACACTCTTTTTCCGCTTTCTTCCTCTACTCTTTGGAATAGTTTCTTCTGCTGTCTTTATCAATGCTGTTACCAATTCTCCATTCATTTCCTCTATATTTGTAACATTCTCTTCCAGTAATTTTACACATCTGTCGTCACTTTTTATCTAGATTTTGCATCCCAATCTGCGTCACCCAACTTCCACCTTGGTGTCCTTGCTCCCCCCACTTTTGATCATTATTGGATAATGATCACTGCCTACTGTTGAATGATTCAAGACTTTCCAATTACTAACACCTGCAACTGTAGTGGTTGTGAGTGTCAGATCGATTACACTCTTTGTATTCTGTGAGCTATTATACCTTGTACCTCTTCCATCATTGATACACACCAAACCCATATCATCTATAAATTCCTCTATTACTGACCCATTTATATCTGTATTATTGCTCCCCCATAATGTGCTGTGCGCATTTAAGTCCCCACACCATATTACCTTCCCTTGTATTGGCCCACTTGCATCATTAATATATCAGCGCACAGTCTGTTACATGAGTTATAGTAATTTACTATTATAATGCTACTCTTTTCTGTCCATACCTTAATTACAATAGATTCTTGTTCCTTTCCTATCTAGACTAAATTATAGTTCAACCCATTCCTCATAAATGTTGCCACTCCTCCACCTTTCCTGGTATCCCTATCATTCCTTATTGCAGTGTACCCATACAAAACAAAATCTGATTGTGGCTTTGTCCGACAAAGGTGCCGGGACATATGGTCTCACCTCATAACTCATATATCCTATGTACAAATGTAATCAACACGGACAGGCTGTCACATCTCTCTCCATTTCTGGTCGCTTTCAGCCGTCCGGCTTCCAGCACATTTGCACCCACCACATTGTCTTTATCTGTTCAGTTGACACAACCATAGGTATACCTGAAATGACTCCCCTAGTTGACTTCTTCTGGTCTTCAGGTATTGAGCACTGCACTTTTTTTCCATCAATCTTGTTTAGTCTTATGGCTTTTCCTTGTTGCACACTATTCCTACAAAAGATCAACAATTAACCATTCAGCAACACACATTCTTTACTTCACCCACAAACTCGCCTTCGTTAACATAATTGGGTTCCACTCACCAAACGACACACCGTCCTGAGAAAGTTTGATGATATTTTAATACTTCTCACTCTGCCTCACTATTGGTGTTCCACCTCCCTCACTATCCGTTCCCTCTGAGTTGTTTCTATCACTTTGCTGTCTCTCTTTTTTGCGTTTTCTCCTATTTTTTTGACCTCCCAAATTCCAGTCATCTTCCCTCCCACCAATTACTTCAATTCTATCTTCCTTCCTGATCCGTAACTTGCGCCTGCCATCTCCTGCCCATTCACAGTCCAGCTGTTCGCCAACCGCCAGACCAACTAGCTTGACAGACCCACAGAAGGTTCTCCTCAGGACTGCACATCTCCTCTTCTTTTTGGCGGTTGGCAAACCAGCTGAAGGGTGCATTACTGCCATCTACTGAACTGGAATATGGCTCTGGATTTGGGCAGTTGTCCTTAAATTCTGGCAATTAAATTTGTATCTTTGAGAAATAAGAGAATCAGTTTGTATGCCTGTTGAACTTTTGCTCCAGGTATGCTTTCTAGTGTAAAGCTGCTATTCTTCTGATTGAGTGAGACCATGAAACCTTCTCTCGCCTGTAAATATTGGTTGCAATCCATAAAACAATGTTGTACTGTTTCTGGTACATTGTGGTGAGAACAGAGTCCTGTTGTGTGTTTGCCTATCATATAGAGTGTGTTGTTTAATCCTGTGTGTGCCATACTGAGTCGTGTGATTATGCATTCTTCTTTTTGAGTAGTTAATGTTTTCCTTACATCTTTGACCTGTTGCTGAATATTGGCTGTGTCTCAATTCAGAGACTGCATACAGCAAGTGCGCTTAGCTGAGCGCACTGCCGTTATGTGGACTTGAGTACCCTGAGTGAGATAGTCCAGTTTTTGTGAATTGGGACGGTCTACCCTTCGAAGGACTTCCTGGTTGAGTTGCCAAATGTCCCCGACCTCAGGCTCGCGTCACGACTGATTTAAAGAAAGGCCGCGGAGCGCAGCAGTTATTTTTAAATTGTGCAACCTTGCACAGACACAAAACAATAGATACATACAAGCACAGATCATTCCCACAAAATTCATCCAATGATTGAATGTTTTGTATGAAGGAGTATGAGGGCCATATCGAGAATTTTCTTAGAGACTTATAGATTAAAGTCGTGAATTTACGAGAATAAAGTCATTAATTTATAAGAATAAAATCATAAGGTTACCTGTTATTTCAAAGGAGAGTTGTTAAAATTAGGGCCATGAAGCATTTGAAGGAACTGTGCTTCAGTAAAGGTTTCACAAACAAGGAGATACTTTATCCTTTGGCACATCAGCATCACATTGTCATAAGTGTAAGGACTTTAAAAAGAATATATAAGAAATATTTCTTTTCCACGTGGGAAAAAAAGAGAGAAAATAACAGGTGGACTTCGAGGAAATTGCTGCTTTTGTGGAGGCAGAAATAGATATGCTGTGGATATATCTGTCAATGTAGCCGTAAATAGCCGTGAATGGCATTGAGCTTTAGTTTTTTGATATGAATCCATATGCCATAATAAGGCCTTGGTTTCTCTGCAGGTGTAGGTTACCACCGGTGTCAGAGACGTGGTGCTCGTTGGAGCTCGACTCCCTCTAGATCACAAATGTTGTTCATCAGTTTGACTGTTTCTTGAAAAGCCACAAAAGCTCTCTGAATGACCCGCTGATACATCCACAGATAACCCTGCAGTTGACCAGCTCCATCCCTTTTCCCCTCTACCGAAGCAGCTTTATGACTTTGTGTACTTTATGACTTTATTCTCATTAATTTACAACTTTAATCTCTAAGTCTTTCAAAAAAAAAAAACAAAACTTGATGTGGCCCTGATACTTCAATGTAGCTCTGTCAGCTTTCTTATTTCTAATGTTTTTGATTGTGGTAGCAGAGTGGATCAGTTGTTTTCTTTAGAGAATAATGTTTGGTTTGCAGGTGCAGATTTCAGTGAGTTAAGAGATCATGCACACTTGAAATGCGCTGTTCGACGGTACAGTCTCTGAATTGAGACACAGCCATTGTATAGGTGTCATGCACGTCTCTCTTCTTTCTTCAACGTATTTTGCAGTTAATAAACTGGCGTTAAAGCGCACTAGTGCCACCTACAAGAGTGGAGTGGTACGCCTTAAATTAGTAGGTGGTATGAAAATGAATTATTATTTTTATTTCAGAGCTGGAGTAATAGAGAGATTGATTATTTTAGATCATTCTGATTCACTTAATTTTTTTTAAAGAATAATGTAATGAAATCTATGGCTTGGAGAGTACCCACAAAGGGTACTTTTGCTACTCTCCATCTCTTAGCATATGTATGTTGGTTCATGTTATTTGGTGTTTATTAGCGTAAACCACTAAACTGTGCCAAACTAAAAAAAATAAAATAAAATTGCGAAGTCTAAGAGCATGTTTTGTTATTTAGTGATGTTGACAGGTGAGCGATATGGCAAGACGATACCATGGCAGACAGGACTACAAGTGGAAAATATCGAAAGGTGCATACTTTAGTTTGAGGGTAACTAGAAAAGAAAATGTCAGGAGTAAACTTTAGGGACAAATAAATAATTAACAGATTGACCAAAAATGTATGAGGAAAATTCTTTCTTTCTGTCCTTACCCAGTTTGTGAAGCTTTGTCCCGATTATTCACGGAACCTGAGATACTCAAACCCCTTCACAACATGGGCAGAGACTCACTCTCACCAAACTGGAGTAATCTCTATTTACTACCACAAACTAAATGCGTAATGTGCTAATTTCATTTTTTATAACACTAAAGTTACTGCTGGCCAGCTTTCCTAATTATTTGAATGTGCAATGATGAGCCAGCTTTGATGATGTGACATTATACTGTTGAGAAATGCAAATGTTATGTCCAGTGGATGAATCGAATCTCCAAGTGTAAATAATCTTAATATCAAATCAAACATGTACCTGCCTGTACTTTGACATGCATTGACACTCTGTTCCAGCTTTCTGATTCACGGAGCAAACTGCATCCTTGCAGGTTTTGACCAGATCCTGTTCTTAGTTTACTCCTCAGTCCTGACTATTTGCCCAGGACAGATGGAGATAAAGGTCTCACAGAAAGATGATGGCAAAGCTGTGATGACAGAGCAGCCAAATACAGGGCCTGGCAGCAGAGAGCTACACCCCCACTGAGAGACAAACACAGTGTGTGTGACACAGTGCCTTTGGGCAAGGCGGTCCCTTACAGCACACAGCCTTAAGGCTTTTGAAGGATGATGGGTGTAGAGCGCAGGGATTAAGTCTTCTTAAACAAGGATGTTTGGTTAATTTACAGCTATCTGCGTCATTACATAAGTACAAGCAAATCATACAGTGGTAGCACTGTACTCATAGAAGACTTCATAAAGACTCATACAAAGACTGTCAGACTGAATTATATAAAAAGATTTTTTTTAAAAGTGTTTGCAGAGTGGACTGAGATGAGAGACTTTGGACTTGAGCTTTTAAGCCAAGCTCTGACAGACATGTTTGCTTCTTCTCCTTCTGAACCTCAGCTAAAAATATGACCTCAGGCATATTTGACTATTTGACTGCTTCTTGTATCGGGTTGATATTAATCTAAAATTATGCTAGACTTTATCCTGTACCAAAACTATCCTATTGGCTATCCTGCACCAATTATTTCATTGCTAAAATGCTAAGGGAAAGTGAGGGGAGAAAAGCTGTGTTGGCATTCTCCAGTTTCTCATTTGGTACATCTGTAATTGACAGCCACTCTGATACAGGATTTGTTCTGTTTTATCCTAACCCCTCTTTTACTTCAGATCCTTTCTAATGAGGACTGAGAGCAGAACTGATGTCTGGATTTCAGAGTGACACCAGAGACAGAAGTTTCTGGTACTCTGAGGCTAGCTCATGTTACCTGCCTGCTGGTGATTCCTTCAGTTTGTCCACTGCTCCTGCTGTTGCTGACTTATGGCTGTGATTTGTGTGCATGACTATTTTTTGAGACCAATACTTTTTCTACCATTTGGGGGCTGCTTCCCACCAGAGCCCAGCCTCACCTGCACCTATTCTATAACTTCTTTGTGCGTCAAATGTCTGACAGCCTAATTGACAGTGCTGCGAGCTCTGCACTTCAGCCCTGTCCATCTAGCTGTGTTCTGAAAATAACGTCACATACATTGGCAACTCCCCAGTAAGCTGTCTTCAACAAACAAAACAAAATAAAGACAAAATAGAAATTTGATAAATGAATTAACAAATGTTTGATATTGTAGGATACTTGTCAATGCAGTTAGTGTTATCAGCACCAACAGCTTAAGGGTTATTGTGAGTCTGGTTAATGTAAAATGAATTAGATAAACAGATCATTCATTAATAAACATTTAGAGTACACACATCCTTTTCAATCAACACGCACAGGCATCATGTGTCAAGCTGCCCTTTCCACAAAGAATTGGACACACATTATAACCACAACAACAATGGTTTTCACATTGAGTCAAAGTTTGCAGAGTCAAAGGTGAGAAGCCGCATTACACCTCTTTCATGAACAAACCATAAAATAAATCAGTCAGCTTTTTGGAGAAGGTCCATGCTTTTCACATGGAGCGCATGTTTTATTTTGTAACAACAAAGCCACGGTGAGGCAACAAGGTCTTAAAACCGATTCCCTGAGCTAACTGGTAGCCAGTGGAGATCAGCAAGACGTGGTTCCTTTTTTTGGAACCAGTTAAAAGCCCAGCAGCAAGAGTTCAAGTCTAGAGAGAGGGGGTCATTATCAAAACTTCAGTCTTGGTGTCATTGAAACTCAGAGTTGTTAAACATCCAGCAGTTGATATCACTGAGGCAAGACAAAATAGAAGACATGGCACTACAGCTGGACTTTAGTTGGACATTTGGATGGATGTTGCCTACTTACCCCCAACTTGCACTGCAAACCATATAACCCATACTTTAGTCTTCTCAGTGAGGACTTCCATATATATTTTTTATTTTCTGGTTTTCACTGCAAAACTGAACTCATAGAAAAGCCAGCTGATGATGTCAGCTGTCCACTGTGTTGGTCCTCTGAAGTCACATTTGATCACACCAGTTTCTGTGAGACTTTAAGTCTGTGAATCTACACTGTTAAATGTTAGGAGTGAGGTCTAGCAGTCTTATAATGGTACCATTGTTATTTCTTCAGTGCGAAGCTTTTGTCGTCTGCAGCAGAGGACAGGCCGACAGCACGTTTCATCGGTCTGTTGTGATCTCTTTACTGTTGCAATAGTGTAAACACTGATTCAGTTTCAGATGCATACTGACTGAGAGTTTCTGGGCTAAGAGTAGGTTAGTT